ATATTCAGGCAGAGACTCGGTAGTTCAGGGAAAAGAGATAAAACTTGAGGACTTGAATATTCAATGAAAATATTTTCAATGCTAAGTTGTTTCAAATTCATTTTCGGTGTAAGCCATTTAGGAGGTTCGACTAAATATTAGAGTAAAAAATTAGTATATGAATCTAATTCAGACAATCGAAATATTAATAATTACTTTTAGGTTCATCTAACAAAGCCAAAGTTTCAAGATTTGGCATTTTCGCCAATATTCTTGCAAAAGAATCAGAAGCTCCAGGGTACAAAGAAAATTTAGAGAGATCTACTCGAGCTTCAAAGTGTTTCAAATTGTCTCCAAATGAGAAGAAAAAACTCCTAATAAAAGGGTTCGATTCCGACGAAAGATACTCCAAATTACCACAATGTTGCACTATTTCATCGATGTGAACACCACGAGAGCAATCGTAAGCATCAACTCTGTGACATGGAGATTTACCCTTAAATCCGATCAACGCGTTCGAAGTCGATAAAACATTGATCGTAGCCTTGCACATACACTGTTTATAACCAGCAAATTCTGTAGTCAAAAACTAGTAAATTTCAGAATAAATTAGCAAATATTTACTTCATGAAAACAATTAACTCACCTTTAGATTTGGTAACAGTTTAGAAACATTCACCTTCTCAAGTAACTTCGGGTCATTCGTGTAGATATGGTTGTAAGGTGAAAATTCTAGAGCTTCAAAATACCAAGAATACTCACCATCACATTGTTTTAAATGTAAATATTGAACTTTTTAAGTTGACTCTTAACCAAATTATTCCATGAACTACAAACTGTCCATCAAAAATGTAAAAAGAATAATGAGTTTCAATTGAATTTTTCAGTAGAAATTAATTAGAATGGAATTAAAAAGAATAAAAATATTCTCTTACCTGTCGACAAACTCAAAAGTTGCTTAAGATCCGCAAAATAATCAAATATATGCAATAAACAATCTTCAGATAAATCATTCAATTCCATTGCCACAAATCAAAAATATCTAATTGAGAATTAAGGTTGACAAAACGTCAAGTAAAAAGGTTAATCGTCCAACAATTAGAATCACAATGATAACAAAATTTGCGCCAAGAAACTCAAATGGTTGAAGGTAATCAATTTAGATTTGTTTCAATTACATTCACCGTTAAAATTTGAATCAAGATTGGATACATTTAACTGTAATAATCAGAAAAACTACAGGGCTATTCAGCTATTTTTACCGATGTTTTTTGCTATTTTCTCAGCAACTAAGAGTCAGAGAGACACGAGACTTGAGTGGTATGAGTTTGAGCGATACTCAATTGTCATATCAAAAGATCAAGGTCATTCGGGTCATCGGTAAAATAACACGTTTCAAGGTCATCTGAAGGTAATTCAACAAAGGAGAATATTCAGAGACACTACTGCAAGTTTTGAGGTTAAAAAATGTAGAGGAAAGCTGTAGAACCTTCAGATGACCTTGAAACGTGTTATTTTACCGATGACCTGAATGACCTTGATCTTTTGATATGACAATTGAGTATCGCTCAAACTCATACCACTCAGGTCTCGTGTCTCTCTGACTCTTAGTTGCTGAGAAAATAGCAAAAAACATCGGTAAAAATAGCTGAATAGCCCTGTAGATTAGATTAGTAGATTAATTGTTGTAAGATAATCATCAGAGAAAGTGAACATTCAATTTAATCCAATGGATAATGGAAATTAATTTAACGGATTTTATAATTTTTAACAATCAATTGTCAAGTTAGCCAATTAAAGTGTAATTTTATTAACGTCTCAATCTCAAGATAATAATGAAATTTGGTTTGTATTTAAAATTGTACAAATGATTAACTTTGATTGACTGTTTACAAAGACATTGCTAGTAGCAGGATTAGTGTTTAATTGTTAGATATTAATTCGATTCTCGGTGTAATTGTGATTAGTGATAATCGAAGATAATATTTAATGTCTATTGAATTGTCAATAAACGCCATAAACATGATTATCATGTTCATTTTCGCGATAAAATGAGAAAAAAGTCGTAATCAAACTTGATCTTGATGAATGATTAATTTTAATCAATTAGATCTCAACTCTAGGTAATTTGTTTTTCTTTCTCCAATGTCTTTTATGTTTTATCTTCAAGAATCGTCTAGAAATTGACTAATCATCTGTTCGCCGTTTTTTTCTTTTATTAATTTGTAAAATTATTCTGTTCATTTAAACACAAATTGTCTTTATAAATGTCTATACATTTATATAACCTTTAAAAGCTTCGTACCCTCACAACTCATACGTACAAATTAACTACATTTATGACTCCATCACAAATGGCTCCTGGTCGAAAATCTTCACTCGTTTGGTCTCATGTTTATGAGACTTCCTCGGACTCTTTCCAGTGTGTCTTCTGTTCCAGTCGTTATCGGCGAAATGCTACTCAAATTAAAGCTCATCTTATCGATAAATGTAGTTTATGTCCTGTTGAGATAAAAGCTAATTTAAGTAATGAGAATGAAAGATTCACTCATAGGAGACAAATGGAAGCTGGTGATCTTAATGATCGATCAGATATTCCTGGTCTTCAAGCGCATCATGATAAATGATGAGAGAAGTCAATAAACGAAGACAATTTCAAAATAGATCAGAGGGTCAGCAGTCCTTAAGTTAAAACCAATATGATAATAAGATTGATATCTTTCGCGACCGCATTAGGATACGCCATGATTTCAGGCCACACTTGGTCTTTGGGACTTTGAAAAGGAACACTTCAAGTTGAGAATACACTTGATAAAATAAATAATTTGAATGGGTCACCATTGTTTTCGAATCTAGATGATCAACAAATCAAATCCGAACTAAAATTTAGAGATCGAAATTATTCCCTAACAAGATCTTCTATTGACGATTCAATGCTATATCCCAATACAAATTGAATTAATCAGGTAAAGAGCATAGAAACTAATTGGATTGTTACTGGAACCATTATTATCCTGAGATTCAACTAATACATGCAAATGATTACAAATTAGTCAATTTAAATCTTCAAATGACCAAATATCATTAAAATACTAGTCTATCTGATGATGAATTATCTAATTTGTTGATTGATTTACTCTCAACATGCTCCAAAATTAAGGCAAATATTGAATTGATTCTGATTATCAATAATATTATCTCAATTTGAAGATATCTAATCCAACTTTTAGATTTTACACTTTCACATTCTTTGTACTTATAAACTCCCGAGGCGATTAATAAACAATCATGGACAATTGTGATTGCTCCCGAGGTGAGATTAATCCAAAGAGTTAATTGTGACACTGATAATATAAAGAAAGAAGCAAAATTAACGGAAAACACCCAAGTCCCAATGAAATTTAATCGTTTAAAGTAAAACTGATTAAGGAGAATGTGTTTTTGTTACGAATCCTTGTAATTTATAATCGAATTGGGCTCGATTGATTTAGAACCAAAAAATAATGATAAACTCAAGGCCTCAACGGCTTCACTTAATTGTTCAATTCTGGTTTTCGGTAATTCTTGATTCTGACATAATTGACAATTTAAATCACAATTTACATTTACGAGGATCATTAGAATGATACTTGTCATTGATTAACCTTGTGTTTCAGGTTAGAAAAATGATGAAAATAAATTCACTTCATAGCGAAAATACTTATGAATAAATTGAAATTGTTTTGAATGGACTGGCAATATCTTCATTCACTGAATACCGAACGTATTTCCGAGAAGAATATGCTAATTAATGAATATGTAAAAAGTGATTTGGTGACCAATTGACTTGCAATGTTTATCGACAGTATCATTTATTTCATTAAAATGTAGAACAAATAGATTCAAGTTCGGTAACATTTCAATTGTCTTGAACACCGAATCATTAGTTATGCATTTACGGTGAAGTCTGATCATAAGGTTCGCACAATCAGGAAACTTGACCAAAACACCATAACTAGTTTCAAAATACTTATTAATTTCACAATGAATTAGCAAATTAGTTTTCTCAAGGTTATTCATGAAATAACGCACTTGAAGGTCATTTGAAGAACTTTTTTACTTTACGACTAGGCTTGAGAAATTTCTAGTTTTCAAAAAGTTCTTCAAATGATATTCAAGTGCGTTATTATATGAATAACCTTTATGACCATGACCTTGAAATATCACAATTGCGTTTTGCACTTCCATGGACGAAATATGGACCCTATCGGTCAAGTAGTTTTTGAGTGAGCGGGAAAAGAAAACTAACAAAGTAGCTGAATAGCCCTGTATTTGAGAGAAGAATTAGTATCTGGATTTAGTTTAGATAATTAATATAAATACTTCCAAGTTCACATAACAAAGTCAAAGTTTCAAGATTTGGCATTTTCGCTCATATTCAACTTTTTCCAGTTTTCTTATAACTAAATTGTTCCATAAACTACAAAATGTCCATCAAAATGTAAAAAGAGTAATGAGTTTTAATTGAATCTTTTCATTAGAAAACTATAACTAGAAAATAGTCTACATAATTATCTAAATTGATTGATTACCTCTCAACATCAAAGAGTAATGAGGTAGCTCTAATTGGAGCTGGATTGCTGTTAATTACACAGAATACATGATGATTTTTAGCGACATTTAAATAAATTTGATTTTGATAGAAAAATCAACTTGAGTTTTGCATTGGTCGAGAAAATTGTGCAAGAAATTGATTGAAAAAATCACTTTATGATTTGATAGAAATATAGTTGTTCTTGTATTAAAAAATTCATCCAATGAGAACAATTAAATCAGAATTATTAATAGATATGATGTCCTAATTTTCCTAACTGTATAATGAACTTTGTCATAAGAAAATTGAGTTATCTCATCAGGGGAATTAAATCAAGGTGTAAACAAGTTATTGAAGGGCAAAAAAATCATAATCAGTAATAGATTGATTATTAAGCAATTTACTGGATCAATCAAGCTTATCATAATTGTTTCATCTTCTCTGTGTATTAACTTGCACAATATGTGTACAAAATGTACCTTCGGTAAAAGAAGCCTTAGAAAATGGTCGATTACTTATTGGAATAATTGATTCATGGCTACTCTGGAATCTCTGTGGTGTCCATTCGACCGATGTTACTAATGCGAGTCGAACTTTCCTTATGAACATTGAGACACTTGAGTGGGATCATTATCTTTGCGAGTGAGTAGTTTAAATTGTTAATCAAGATTATGTTTACCTTCAATTTCCTGTGATGATTTAATGACAAAATTGAGACAGAGCATATGGCTGGTACATCATGATGTCGAACGTTAATTCTGAGCAAGTTGAACAAACAAAATCAAATTTAACCTTTCATATTTTTTGATTGATTATTTGCATTTTCCTAATATCCGTTTTTTTATCTATTAATTGTTACAACAGAAAAGTATTCAAGATTCCGGTATCAATTTCATTTTTTTTGTGATTCTAATTGTCATATTTTTCTTAAATTGCTTTAGGTTATTGGTGATCAGCATTCAGCTTTAGTGGGTCACCAATGTCTCTCTCCTGGTCAGATTAAAAGTACTTATGGAACTGGATGTTTCATTTTACAAAATTGATAGAAAACCCGCTGTTTAAGCATTGGAAGGCAGTATTTCTGTTGTTGGTGCCTCAATGGTTTGTCTTCGGGACAATATTGGTTTAATTAATGATTTCAATGAAATCGAAAGTTTGGCAAATCAAGTTGAAGATTCTGGTGGCGTTTATTTTGTACCCGCATTTCAAGGTCTATTTGCACCTTACTGGGATCTTAATGCAAGCGGTTTGTTCATTGGTCTCTCTCAATTTACTCAAAAATCTCACTTGGTCCGAGCGATGTTGGAAAGTGTCGCTTTCCAAACGACTGATATTTTAGCTCTAATGAAACCTTCGCGTTCAGGATTAAAGGTCGACGGAGGAATGGCCGCAAATGATACTTTGTGCCAAATAATTTCTGATCTCAATAATGTTAAAGTTGTGAGACCTGCGAAAATTGAAGCGACCGCATTAGGATGCGCCATGATTTCAGGCCAAACTCTCTCTCTCTTTCATGTTTTTGATTGATTATTTGCATTTTACTAATATCCGTTTTTTTATCTGTTAATTGATACAACAGAAAAGTATTCAAGATTCCGGTATCAATTTTACCTAAAATACAATCATCAGCATCACACTTCGGTTTAATCAAATCTGGTTCTTTACAAGGGATTCCTTTCTCTGGTGTAAGTTAATTGCTTCAATTTTTTGTGATTTTCTGTCTAATTGTATTTTCCTTAAATTGCTTTAGGTTATTGGTGATCAGCACTCAGCTTTAGTGGGTCACCAATGTCTCTCTCCTGGTTAGATTAAAAGTACTTATGGAACTGGATGTCTCATTTTACAAAATTTAGGTTCACTTTCGGTGAAAAAAGTTCTGAGCGGAGTTTTAGCTGAAGCTAGAAAGTCACTAATATGAATGGATAAATATAAATAATATAAGAATATATGAATGAATATTAATATACACAAATAATTTGACTGGTGTAATGTTATTCTCTTTTTGTTTATTCATTGATAATCTCCGTTCCAAATTAGAAAATTGATGGATATGAATCATCACCGCGGAAATACTCATGAACAAACGGGTTATCGGTTTTGAAAGGACTGGCAATATCTTCATTCATATTGACTGATTCGTCCAAATCCTCTGTTGTTAAATAAGTAGACAGCGATTCTATGACCAGTTGTCTTGAAACGTCCATCGACTAAATTAAAGTAATCTGGGTCTTTCCTATCGTCTAAGGCTTGATAAACATTTTGAACAAATAGATTCAGCTTGGGTAACATTTCAATTAGCTCGATCATCAACGTATTATTTATGCATTTGTAGGCAACATCGATCATAAGATTCTTACAATAAGGAAACTTGGCCAATATACTTTTAAATAGCTGCGGGTATTTGAAATCGCGATCGTACTGATAATCATTCGAGAAATTGACCTTTATGATAAATGGAGTCGACAGTTAATGATAAACCAATGCAAATAAAAGATTAAGGAGAACTTACGATTCTTATTACTAAATCTTGGATGAATATAGGAAGAGCGGAAAGTTTTGGCTTCTTTTAGCATATCAATTCGCAAGTATAGACTTGGTAATTCGGGGAAAAGAGATAAAACTTGAAAAGTTGAAAATCTCATGTAAATAGTTAGAATTTTGAGTTTCAATTGAATTTTTCAGTAGAAATTAATTAAAATGGAATTAAAAAGAATAAAAATATTCTCTTACCTGTCGACAAAGTCAAAAGTTGTTTAAGATCCGCAAAATAATCAAATATATGCAATAAACAATCTTCAGGTAAATCATTCAATTCCATTACCACAAATCACTGATGTCTAATCGAGAATGAAGGTTGACAAAACGTCAAGTAAAAAGGTTAATTTGATTTTCGGTGTAATTGTGATTAGTGATAATTGAAGATTATATTTAAATGTCTATTGAATTGTGAACAGTTCATTTTTGCGATAAAAGGAGAAAAAAGTCGAAATTCCGATTGATCTTGATCTGAGTCAGTTTAGAAGTCAATAAACGAAGACAATTTCAAAATAGATCAGAGGGTCAGCAGTCCTTAAGTTAAAACCAATATGATAATAAGGTTTTGTATGAGTCGTGAAATTCAAGTGGACTGAATTAAATCAATTTATAAGCATTTAAGTCACCAACAAATCTTATTAAATATTAACAGAATCTAAGAACATGCCAGTAATGATACCTTAACTTATCTCGAATTGAAACCAAATAAATTTTAATACGATAAAGGATTAGTAACAATAGTTGCAGATAATTTGATTGACAGAAAAGTTTAGTTTGCTTATCTATTGATTATATATTAGTTTCCGTTGAGAAATTTTATGAAAATACGTTATCACAAAACAAACGACGAAAATACTTTTGTATGAATTGATTATCGGTGTTGAAAGGACTGGCGATATCTTCATTCACTGAATATCGAATTTTTTTGTGAAAAGAAACATCGATGACTGTGTAAAAAGCGATCCGACGACCAATTGACTTGCAATGTTTATCGACAGTATCAAAGTAAGCAGGGTCCTTCCAAGTGTCTTTTATGTCATCAATATGTAGAACAAAAAGATTCAAGTTCGGTAACATTTCAATTATCTTGAACACCGAATCATTCTCAGTGAATCCGTAGCGGATCCGAATCATAAGATTCTTACAATTGGGAAAGTTAGCCAATACACTTTTAAGCAGCTTACCGCAGTCGACATCTTCACCTGAATAAGGTGCTGGCTGAATGAAAAATCGCATTCTCTCACCTATTGTTAGCTGTGTAATAAATTGAATTGAATTAGTGGTAAAATAAAGATAAATAAAAGATTAGAGATACTTACGATGTCTAATGCCAAATCTTGGACATCCGGATGAATTCTGGAAGTAGGAAAAGCTTTGGCTTCTTCTCGCTGTTCAAAACTTAAGTGTAGACTTGGTAGTTCAGGGAAAAGAGATAAAACTTGAAGAGTTGAAGATTCAATGTCAATATTTCTTATTTTGAGTTGTTTCAAATTAATTTTCGGTTTAGGCCATTCAGGAGGTTCGACTAAATATAAGAATAAAAAAAATTAGTATCTGGATTTAGTTTATAATTAATATAAATACTTTCAGGTTCACATAACAAAGTCAAAGTTTCAAGATTTGGCATTTTCGCCATTAATCTTGCAAAAGAATCAGTAGCTTCAGGGTGCAAGGAAAATTTAGAGAAATCGACCAAAGCTTCAAAGTGTTTCAAATTGTCTCCAAATCCGAAGAAAAAAATCCGAATAAAACGTTTCGAATTCGACGAAAGATACTCCAAATTACCGCAATGTCTTACGACTTTATCGATGTGAGCATGGGGGTTAAGATTGAAGTAACTTTTGTAACATGGAGATTCATCCTTTAATCCAATCAACGTGTTCGAAGTCGATAAAACATTGATCGTTGCCTTGCACACACACTGTTGACCATCCACATTACTAGTTTTAAAATACTGATAAATTTCAAAATGGATTAGCAAATTAGTTTTCTCCTCTAAAATAATCGACTTACCTTAAGATTTGGTAAAAGTTTAGAAACGTTTACTTTCTCAACAAATCTTAAGTCGTTGGTGTAGACAGAATGATAAGATGAATGAATGCATGAAGTTTCATAAATATGATAAACCTCATTTTTAGGTATTTCGTCTGAGAAATAAGAAAAAGAAACATAATTTAACTTTTCCAATGATCGGCATGAAGACAACTCACCTTCGAATCCTTCCAAATGTAATTCTCGAACTTTTACGAGTTTCCTTTTAACCAAATTGTTCCATAAACGACAAACTACAAACATCAAAACTTCAATTAAGTTCATTTTACCAAAGAAAACAATTAGAAAAAGACAGAAATATTTTCTTACCTGTCGACAGAATACAAAGTTGTTTAAAACAATCAATATAATCAAATATATACGATAAACAATCGTAAGGTAAATCATTTAATTGCATCGTGATAAATGTCCGATTGACCATCAGGGTTGACAAAAACTCTAAAAAATGATACTTGATTGGGAATAATTAACTTTTGGTCTATTGGAAAACTACCAAGTGTAAAAATGATAAGAGTTTTAACAATCAAAAATTAAAAGCGTTATGATAAAAAGTGATTAGCCCAGACAAAGCGAAATTAAGTTAATTAGCTTGAAACTCGTTTACGATTTTGAATGAGCCGCGAAATTCAAGAAGATTGAATGAAATCTTATTAAATCTAAGAAATTAATTAAGTTGTGAATAAGGAATTACAAGCTATTGTTTATTATTAATATTTTAGAATTGCGATGTTTATTGCACAGAATACATTAATTTTCTCGCGACATTTAAATGAATTTGATTTTTTTTTGATAGAAAAATCAACTTTACTTTTGTATTGGCCGAGAAAATTGAAGAGCAAAGAATTGATCGGTAAAAGAAGCCTTAGAAAATGGTCGATTACTTATTGGAATAATTGATTCATGGCTACTCTGGAATCTCTGTGGTGTCCATTCGACCGATGTTACTAATGCGAGTCGAACTTTCCTTATGAACATTGAGACACTTGAGTGGGATCATTATCTTTGCGAGTGAGTAGTTTAAATTGTTAATCAAGATTATGTTTACCTTCAATTTCCTGTGATGATTTAATGACAAAATTGAGACAAAGCATATGGCTGATTCATCATGATGTCGAACGTTAATTCTGAGCAAGTTGAACAAACAAAATCAAATTTAACCTTTCATATTTTTTGATTGATTATTTGCATTTTACTAATATCCGTTTTTTTATCTGTTAATTGATGCAACAGAAATTCAGTAGTATTCAAGATTCCGGTATAGATTTTACCTTAAATACAATCATGAGCATCACACTTTGGTTTAATCAAATATAGTTCTTTACAAGGGATTCCTGTCACTGGTGTAAGTTGATTAATTTCATTTTTTGTGATTTTCTGTCTAATTGTATAATATTTTTCTTAAATTGCTTTAGGTTATTGGTGATCAGCATTCAGCTTTAGTGGGTCACCAATGTCTCTCTCCTGGTCAGATTAAAAGTACTTATGGAACTGGATGTTTCATTTTACAAAATTGATAGAAAACCCGCTGTTTAAGCATTGGAAGGCAGTATTTCTGTTGTTGGTGCCTCAATGGTTTGGCTTCGGGATAATATTGGTTTAATTAATAATTTCAATGAAATCGAAAGTTTAGCAAATCAAGTTGAAGATTCTGGTGGAGTTTATTTTGTACCCGCTTTGCAAGGTCTATTTGCACCTTACTGGTATCTCAATGCAAGCGGTTTGTTCATTGGTTATCTTTGTTTCAGATTAGAAAATTGATGGATATGAATCTTTATACAGCGGAAATACTTATGAACAAATGGGTTATCGGTCTTGAAAGGACTGGCGATATCTTCATTCACTGAATATCGAATTTTTTTGTGGAAATCAACATCAATGACTATGTAAAAAGCGACTCGACGACCAATTGACTTGCAATGTTTATCGACAGTATCAAAGTAATCAAGGTCCTTCCAAGTGCCATTTATGTCATCAATATGTAGAACAAATAGATTCAAGTTTGGCAACATTTCAATTATCTTGAACACCATTTCTTTATCAGTGAATCCGAAACGTATCCAAATCATAAGATTCTTACAATTGGGAAAGTTGGCCAATACACTATTAATCAGCTTACCGCAGTGGACAACTTCCGCTGCCTCTATTGGCTTTGTAATAAATTGAATCGAATTAGTGGTAAAAAAAGATAGATAAAAGATTAGATAAAACTTACGACTTCTAATACCAAATCCTGGACGTTTGGATGAATTCTGGAAGTTGAAAAAGCTTTGGCTTTTCCTTGATATGCAAAACTTAAGTAGAGACTTGGTAGTTCTGGGAAAAGAGATAAAACTTGAAGAGTTGAAGATTCAATGTCAATACTTTCTATGCTGAGTTGTTTCAAATTCATTTTCGGTGCAGGCCCTTTAAGAGGTTCGACTAAATATTAGAGAAAAAAATTAGTATGTGAATTTAATTCAAATTATCGATATAAATACTTTCAGGTTCTTCAAACAAAGACAAAGTTTCAAGATTTGGCATTTTCGCCATTATTCTTTCAAAAGAATCAGAAGCTCCAGGGTGAAAATAAAATCCAGAGAAATCTTCCAAAGCTTCAAAGTGTTTCAAATTGTCTCCAAATCTGGAGAAAAAACTTCGAATAAAATGTTTAAATCCGGACGAAAGGTACTCCAAATTACCACAATGTCTTACGACTTCATCGATGTGAGCATGGGGAATAAAACTGAAGTTACTTTTGTAACATGAAGATTCACCCTTCAGTCCAATCAATGTGTTCGAAGTCGATAAAACATTGATCGTTGCCTTGCACATACAGTGTTGACCATCCAAATAGTAACTAGTTTCAAAATACTGATTGATTTCACAATGGATTAGCAAATTAGTTTTCTCCTCTAAAATAATCAACTCACCTTTAGATTTGGTAACAGTTTAGAAACATTCACCTTCTCAAAGAACTTCAGGTCATTCGTGTAGATATGGTTGTAAGATGAACATTCTAGAGCATCAAAATACCAAGAATACTCACCATCGCATTGTATTAAATGTAAATATTGAACTTTTTTCAGTTGACTTTTAACCAAATTATTCCATAGACTACAAACTGTCCATCAAAATGTAAAAAGAATAATGAGTTTCAATTGAATTTTTCAGTAGAAATTAATTAGAATGGAATTAAAAAGAATAAAAATATTCTCTTACCTGTCGACAAACTCAAAAGTTGTTTAAGATCCGGAAAATAATCAAATATATGCAATAAACAATCTTCAGGTAAATCATTCAATTCCATTGCCACAAATCACTGATATCTAATTGAGAATTAAGGTTGACAAAACGTCAAATAAAAAGGTTAATCATCCTACAATTAGAATCACAATGATAACAAGATTTGAGCAACGAAACTCAAATGGTTGAAGGTAATCAATTTAGATCTGTTTCAATTACATTCACCGTTAAAATTTGAATCAAGATTGGATACATTTAAATGTAATAATCAGAAAAACTAGATTAGATTAGTAGATTAATTGTTGTAAGATAAATATCAGAGAAAGTGAACATTCAATTTAATCCAATGGATAATGGAAATTAATTTAACGGATTTTATAAGTTTTAACAATCAATTGTCAAGTTAGCCAATTAAAGTGTAATTTTATTAACGTCTCAATCTCAAGATAATAATGAAATTTGGTTTGTATTTAAAATTGTACAAATGATTAACTTTGATTGACTGTTTACAAAGACATTGCTAGTAGCAGGATTAGTGTTTAATTGTTAGATATTAATTCGATTCTCGGTGTAATTGTGATAAGTGATAATCGAAGATAATATTTAATGTCTATTGAATTGTGAATAAACGTCATAAACATGATTATCATGTTCATTTTCGCGATAAAATGAGAAAAAAGTCGTAATCAAACTTGATCTTGATGAATGATTAATTTTAATCAATTAGATCTCAACTCTAGGTAATTTGTTTTTCTTTCTCCAATGTCTTTTATGTTTTATCTTCAAAAATCGTCTAAAGCTGGTGATCTTAATGATCGATCAGATATTCCTGGTCTTCAAGCGCATCATGATAAAATGATGAGAGAAGTAAATAAACGAAGACAATTAGCTTTAGATAAGCCTCATGATGGTGCAGGATCATCAAGTTTCATTGACAAAACAATTAAACCTCACATGGATCCAGCAGAAGAGCAGGAAGGGCTACGAATACTTTTAATATTTGCACGAGCTATTTACAGTTCATCTCTTCCCTATCAGAAGTCATCAGAGAAGTCAATAAACGAAGACAATTTCAAAATAGATCAGAGGGTCAGCAGTCCTAAAGTAAAAACTAATATAATAATAAGATTGATATCATTTTTCAACAATTGTTGAAATCTTAAGATTTCAACAAGTAATTAAATCAATGCAATTAACTGAAGACCCGGGCGACGTTTAAGATTTTGTATGAGTCGCGAAATTCAAGTGGACTGAATTAAATCAATTTATAAGCATTTAAGTCACCAATAAAATCTTATTAAATATTCACAGAATCTAAGAATAGCCCAGTAATGATACCTTAACTCATCTCGAATTGAAACTAAATTAATATTAATACGATAAAGGATTGAAAGGAGGACTGGTCATTTCAAAAGACATTGGATATCAATTGATCTTTACAACTGAATTATCTTTGCTAGTACAAAAAGTAATAAACTTTATTATTATTTTCAATAAGTTTGAAATTGATCAAGGAAATAAAGATTGGTAAATTGATTGTTGAAATAACTTTAAGATTCATGTTCTGAGTGATTTTTACACATAAACCTCAGAGGATCAAAAGATTCGAATTATAAAATTTAAGTTGTTAGTAACAATAGTTGCAGATAATTTGATTGATAGAAAAGTTCAGTTTGTTTATCTATTGATTATATCTGTGTTTCCGCTGAGAAATTTTATGAAAATTAAATTTCACGACGAAAATACTTATATATGAATTGATTTTCGGTGTTAAAAGGATTGGCGATATCTTCATTCACTGAATATCGAATTTTTTTGTGAAAATCAACATCAATGACTGTGTAAAAAGCGACTCGACGACCAATTGACTTGCAATATTTATCGACAGTATCAAAGTAACCAGGGTCCTTCCAAGTGCAAAGTATGCCATCAACATGTAGAACAAAAAGATTCAAGTTCGGTAACATTTCAATTATCTTGAACACCGAAACATTCTCGGTGAATCCATTTTCGAGCCAAATCATAAGATTCTTACAATTGAGAAAGTTGGCCAATACACTTTTAATCAGCTCACCGCAGTCGACATCTTCCTCTGCTTGTAGTCCTTGCTGTGCGTATAAGAGAGGTGATTCAAGTACTGTTTGCTGTGTAATAAATTGAATTGAATTAGTGGTAAACCAAAGGAAATGAAAAGATTAGATAGAACTTACGATTTCTAATGCCAAATCTTGGACATCCGGATGAATTCTGGAAGTAGGAAAAGCTTTGGCTTCGCCTTGTTGTTTGAAACTTAAGTGTAGACTTGGTAGTTCAGGGAAAAGAGATAAAACTTGAAGAGGGGAAGATTCAATGTCAATATATTCAATTTTGAGTTGTTTCAAATTCATTTTCGGTGTAGGCCATTTAGGAGGTTCGACTAAATATTAGAAAAAAAAATTAGTATCTGGATCTAGTTTAAATAATTAATATAAATACTTTCAGGTTCACATAACAAAGTCAAAGTTTCAAGATTTGGCATTTTCGCCATTATTCTTGCAAAAGAATCAGTAGCTCCAGGGTACAAAGAAAATTTAGAGAGATCTACCGAAGCTTCAAAGTGTTTCAAATTGTCTCCAAATGAGAAGAAAAAACTCCGAATAAAATGTTTCGATCCCGACGAAAGATACTCCAAATTACCACAATGTTGCACTATTGCATCGACGTGAACACGGGAATCTAGAGTGAATTCACTTTTGTAACATGGAGATTGACCCGATAATCCAATCAGCGTATTGGAACTTGATAAAACATTGATCATTGCCTTGCACATACACTTTTGACCTTTTGAATAACTAGTTCTAAAATACTGACAAATTTCAAAATGGATTAGTAAATTAGTTTGTCCTCTAAAATAAGCGACTTACTTTAAGATTTGGTAAAAGTTTAGAAACGTTCACTTTCTCAATAAATCCAAAGTCGTTGGTGTAGACAGAATGATGAGGGGGATAATTGCGTGAGACATAAATGTGATAAACCTTATTTTTAGTAATTTCTTCTGAGAATAAAGAAAAAGAAACATAATTGTACTTTTCTAATGATCGACATGAAGATAACTCACCATCAGATTCTTCAAATGTAATTCTCGAACTTTTTCCAGTCTCCTTTTAACCAAATTGTTCCATAAACGACAAACTACAAACATCAAAACATCAATTAACTTCATTTTACCAAAGAAAACAATATGGAAAAAGACAGAAATATTCTCTTACCTGTCGACAGAATACAAAGTTGTTTAACACAATCAATATAATCAAATACATGAAATAAAAAATCGTCAGGTAAATCATTTAATTGCATCGTGATAAATATCCGATTGACGATCAGGTTGACAAAAACTCTAAAAAATGATACTTGATTGGGAATAATTAACTTTTGGTCTATTGGAAAACTACCAAGCGTAAAAATGATCAGAGTTTTGACAATCGAAAATTAAAATCGTTATGATAACAAGTTATTAGGCCTGCAAAGCGAAATTAAGTTAATTAGCTTAAACTCGTTTCAGATTTTGTATGAGCCGCGAAATTCAAGTAGACTGAATGAAATCTGATCATAAGAAAAGTTAAGTCATGAATAAGAAATTACTTGCTATTTTTATTAATATTTTTATATCAACTATTAATAATTGTGATGTTTATTACATAGAAAACATGGAAAAATTTTCTAGCGACATGTAAATGAATTTGATTATCCTTCTGATATAAAATCAACTCAAATTGTTTTCAATAATTCAATGTTTTCATTTAATCATTCACCTGGTCATGGTGATCATTTGGTCTGATGGAAGAACCCGTCAAATTGTCGACGATTTTCTCGATCAAACTCCTAATCGTGATTTCAATTTCTACAAGGTAAATTAATCTCTCAATCTTTAGTCTCCATATAATGAGCATACATATAATCTTTAATCTTTAATCATAGGAATTAACTGTGATCATTTAATGACAAAATTGAGACAAAGCATATGGCTGATACATCCTGATGTCGAACGTTAATTCTGATCAAGTTGAACAAACAAAATCAAATTTAACCTTTCAATTTTAACTTTTTGATTGATTTATTAATGGTGGAGTTTATTTTGTACCCGCTTTTCAAGGTCTAATTGCACTCGGTACGAGCGATATTTTAGTTCTAATGAAACCTCCGCGTTCAGGATTAAAGGTTGACGGAGGAATGGCCGCAAATTACACTTTATGATAAATATTAATATTTACAGATAATTTGCTTGGTGTAATGTTATTCTCTTTTTGTTTATTCATTGATTATCTTTCTTCCAGATTAGAAAATTGATGGATAAGAATGTCTTTCACTGCGGAAATACTTATGGATGAATAGGTTCTCGGTTTTGAAAGGATTGGCAATATCTTCATTATGTGAATACTCAATGATTCGTCCAAATCCTTTGTTCTTGAATAAGAAGATAGCGATTCTGCGACCAGTTGAATTGAAATGTCTATCGACTGAATTAAAGTAATCCGGATCTTTCCAATCATCTAAGGCTTGATAAACATTTTGAACAAATAGATTCAGCTTGGGTAACATTTCAATTATCTCGATCATCATCTTATTATTTATGTATTTGTAGGCAACATCGATCATAAGATTCTTACAATTAGGAAACTTGGTCAAAATACTTTTAAACAAATGTGGGTATTTGAAATCGCGATCGTACTGATAATCATTCATGAAATTGTCCTGTATGATAAATAAAGTGAACAGTTAATAAAAAACCAAGGTAAATAAAAGATTAAGGAGAACTTACGATTCGTATTACTAAATCTTGGACACTCGGATGAATATCCGAAGTAGGAAAAGTTTGAACTTCTTTTAACATATCAATTCGCAAGTAGAGACTAGGTAATTCAGGGAAAAGAGATAAAACTTGAAAAGTCGAAGATCCCATGTAAAAATTTAGAATTTTGAGCTGTTTCAAATTTATTTTCGGTGTAGGCCAACAGCGAGGTTTGACTAAATATTAGAGAAAAAAAATTAGTACGTGAATCGCATTCAGACAATCAAAATATTAATAATTACTTTCAGAGTCATATAACAAAGTCAAAGTTTCAAGATTTGGCATTTTCGCCAATATTCTTGCAAAAGAATCAGAAGCTCCATGGTAAAAAGAAAATCCAGAGAGATCTACCAAAGCTTCAAAGTGTTTCAAATTGTCTCCAAATGAGAAGAAAAAACTCCAAATAAAAGGTTTCGACTCCGACGAAAGATATTCCAAATTACCACAATGTTGCACTATTTCATCGATGTCAACACCACGAGGGCAAATGCGAGCCTTACTTCCGCAACATGGAGTGCGCCCCGATAATCCAATCAACGTGTTCGAAGTCGATAAAACATTGATTACAGCCTTGCACATACACTGGTTATTGTCGTAATAATTTACTGTAAAAAACTAGTAAATTTCAGGATGGATTAGAAAACGTTTTCTTCTTACATGTAAATAATCAAAATATAAATTAATTTGTCCTCTAAAATAAGCGACTTACTTTGAGATTTGGTAAGAGTTTAGAAACATTTACTCTCTCAAGTAATCCAATGTTACATGTGTAGACATGATTTTTAGATGAATATTTCCTAGAGTCAGAATAGTGAGTCGCTAATTAAAAGAATAAAGAAAAAAAAACAGAATTAATTTAAACCTTTCAATGATCGAAATGACAATAGCTCACCGAAAGATACATCCAAATGTAAATATTGAACTTTTTTCAGTCTCCTTTTAACTAAATTGTTCCATCCACTACAAACTGTTCATCAAAATGTATTAATAATAAAAAGAATGATGAGTTTCATTTGAATATTTTCAGTAAAAACAATTAGAAAAATATAAAAATATTCTCTTACCTGTCGACAAAGTCAAAAGTTGTTTAAGTTCCGGAAAATAATCAAATATATACGATAAACAATCGTTAGGTAAATCATTTAGTTGCATTTTCACAAATCAGAAATATCCATTTGAGAATCAGGGTAGACTAAAACTTGAAATAATTGAACTTCTATGAAGATAATCAACTTAAGAGTAATTGGAAAACAATCAACTGTAATGGTGATCAAAGGCTCAACCATCATACAATTAAAAGCTTTTAGCAAAGAGTAATAAGCTATTAATCTTTGGCTTTTAGTCCTGTGACCTGAGATTCGACCCGCGAAATTCATGTGGTTGAAGGTAATCATTTTCGATCTGTTTCAGTTATTAATACATTCACTCAATAAATTCACTTATTAACTCCAAAAATTTATTATTTTCTAATTTCTTCTGATTGTTGTTTCTCAAATGGTTGATCCTCTTTTTTAGGTGTAACCATAATCTATTGAGAAAAATTGGATTAGTAAATGATAATTGAAGCTCTTTAATTGTAGAGTATTTCAAACCTTGTTGGTAAAAGGATTCGTCTTGATTCTTGGCTTGGATTGAATTTCTAATTGTCGACTGATCTTCTTTGACTTTTTCATTATTCGTATGATCACAAGCATCACTCGAATGAAATATAAATTGTAAACATGGTAGAAAATACAAATTGAATTAATCAGGTAAAGAGCATAGAAACTAATTGGATTGTTACTGGAACCATTATTATCCTGAGATTCAACTAATACATGCAAATGATTACAAATTAGTCAATTTAAATCTTCAAATGACCAAATATCATTAAAATAATAGTCTACCTGATGATGAATTGTTAATAATAATTCAATGTCTTTATTTAATCTTTAAACTTCTAATCGTGATTTCAATTTCTACAAGGTCAATCAATCTTTAATCTTTAATCATAGGAATTAACTGTAATTATTTAATGACAAAATTGGCTGATACATCATGATGTCGAACATTAATTCTGAGCAAGTTGAACAAACAAAATCATATTTAACCTTCCATACTTTTTGATTGATTATTTGCATTTTACTAATATCCGTTTTTTTATCTGTTAATTGTTACAACAGAAAAGTATTCAAGATTCCGGTATCAATTTTACCTAAAATACAATCATCGGCATAACACTTTGGTTTAATCAAATCTGGTTCTTTACAAGGGATTCCTGTCACTGGTGTAAGTTGATTGATTTCATTTTTTGTGATTTTATGATTCTAATTGTCATATTTTTCTTAAATTGCTTTAGGTTATTGGTGATCAGCATTCAGCTTTAGTGGGTCACCAATGTCTCTCTCCTGGTCAGATTAAAAGTACTTATGGAACTGGATGTTTCATTTTACAAAATTGATGAAAAACCCGCTGTTTATGCGTTAGAAGGCAGTATTGCTGTTGTTGGTGCCTCAATGGTTTGGCTTCGGGATAATATTGGTTTAATTAATGATTTCAATGAAATCGAAAGTTTGGCAAATCAAGTTGAAGATTCTGGTGGCGTTTATTTTGTACCCGCTTTTCAAGGTCTATTTGCACCTTACTGGGATCTTAATGCAAGCAGTTTGTTCATTGGTTATCTTTGTTCCAGATTAGAAAATTGATGGATATGAATCTTTTCCACAGCGGAAATACTTATGAACAAATGAGTTATCGGTTTTGAAAGGACTGACAATATCTTCATTCAATGAGTTCCGAATGATTCGTCCAAATCCTTTGCTGTAAAATAAGTAGATAGCAATTCTGCGACCAGTTGACTTGAAATGTCTATCAACTAAATTACGGGGCGTTTTTTTTATCCACTACGGCTATTTCACTGAATATCGCCGGAACCAAAAGTCATATGAATGTCAGACTTGACCAGAGGACTGAACAGAATTGAAGCGCTCGACCCTATGATTTTCAAGGTCATTATGGTCATTTCCCGATGGACGCGTTCAAAGGTCATTTTAAGGTCTTTGTGTGAAAGAGCACAAAAAGTTACACATAAGTCTTGGGTTTGATGATATTCCGTCAAACAGCAGCTGAGATACAGATCTTTTAATCCTTTCATCACAAGCACTTCAAAATTAAATTTGAGGGGTTATTTGATTCGCTCTTTCACACAAAGACCTTAAAATGACCTTTAAATGCTACCTTCGTTAAATGACCTCAATGACCGCGAAAATCGTAGGGTCGAGCGCTTCAATTCTGTTCAGTCCTCTGGTCAAGTCTGACATTCATATGACTTTTGATTTCGGAGATATTCAGTGAAATAGCCGTAGTGGGTAAAAAAACGCCCTGTATAATAATCTGGATCTTCTCTATTGTCTAAAGGTTGATATACATTTTGAACAAATAGATTCAAATTGGGTAACATTTCAATTATCTCGATCACTAACTTATTATTTATGCATTCGGTGGCAACATTGATCATAAGATTCTTACAATTAGGAAACTTGATCAATATACTTTTAAACAGTTTTGGATATTCAATATCACGATCATCGTACTCATACTCATCAAAAAAATCGTCCTGTATGATAAATGGAGTTAACAGTTAATAAAAATCAAGGTAAATAAAAGATTAAGGAGAACGTACGATCATCATCTTATTATTTATGTATTTGTAGGCAACATCGATCATAAGATTCTTACAATTAGGAAACTTGGTCAAAATACTTTTAAACAAATGTGGGTATTTGAAATCGCGATTGTACTGATAATCATTCATGAAATTGTCCTGCATGATAAATGGAGTGAACAGTTAATAAAAAACCAAGGTAAATAAAAGATTAAGGAGAACTTACGATTCTTCAGAATGATAAGCGTCCATTAATCTTAACTCCATTCACCTCTTTTCTTTTTGAGGAGAGGTGAAAGGTTAATCCTTTTTATAGCTTCTTAAATGGAGTTGTAAAAGGTGGACAACATCAAATTGACTTTAGAATTTTGATTGAGTTGATTGAAGTGTTTATTTTCTTGATTATATCTACTAAGTCGCACAAAAATCCTTTCCCCTTTCGAAAGGATTTACTTAATTCACTTTTGATGATTTAAACTTTAGTAATCTGATTATTTTGCTTTTCTAGCTTTCAAAATCTTTCCACAATTATTGCACAAAAAATTTCCTTAACTCTCTTCTTTACTTAGGTGAATCCATCGCCAAGGATCCTGGTTACCTCAAGCTTAGGAAGATTCGAGCTGCCCAACAAATCGCAAAGACGGTCAGTTAATCGTTCTAATTATCTCCATTTTTTTAGATCAATTTCCTCTGACTGTTGTTTGCTCAAATGATTGGTCCTCTTTTTTAGGTGTAACCATAATCTATTGAGAAAAATTGGATTAGTAAATGATAATTGAAGCTCTTTAATTGTAGAGTATTTCAAACCTTGTTGGTAAAAGGATTCGTCTTGATTCTTGGCTTGGATTGAATTTCTAATTGTCGACTGATCTTCTTTGACTTTTTCATTATTCGTATGATCACAAGCATCACTCGAATGAAATATAAATTGTAAACATGGTAGAAAATACAAATTGAATTAATCAGGTAAAGAGCATAGAAACTAATTGGATTGTTACTGGAACCATTATTATCCTGAGATTCAACTAATACATGCAAATTATTACAAATTAGACAATTTAAATCTTCAAATGACCAAATATCATTAAAATAATAGTCTACCTGATGATGAATTATCTAATTTGTTGATTGATTTACTCTCAACATGCTCTAAGATCATGGCAAATATTGAATTAATTCTGATTACCAATAATATTATCTCAATCTGAAGATATCTAATCCAACTTTTAGATTTTACACTTTCACATTCTTTGTACTTATAAACCCCCGAGGCGATTAATAAACAATCATGGACAATTGTGATTGCTCCCGAGGTGAGATTAATCCAAAGAGTTAATTGTGACACTGATAATATGAAAAATGAAACAAAATTAACGGAAAACACCCAAGTCCCAATGAAATTCAATCGTTTAAAGTGAAACTGATTTAGAAGAATGTGTTTTTGTAACGAATCCTTGTAATTTTTAATCGAATTGGGTTCGATTGATTTAGAACCGAAAAATATTGATAAACTCAAGGCCTCAACGGCATCACTTAATTGTACAATTCTGGTTTTCACTTGGTCACTTGATTCTGACATTATTGACAATTTAAATCACAATTTACATTTACAGTTAACGTTGACCATTAGAATGATAATATGAAAATGATAAATGTAATGACCAGCAAAACTTACGAGATGCCCGAGAGGTTAAAGGTGAATAAGATCTTATGCTCTAAATTGATTCTTAAAGTTAGTTCAGATGTTAATTTCTAAACTAGAAAAGTTAAATTACAAGACATTTAAGAAAATCACCAGTTATAAGTGAAACCAATTAAAAATTCGTGAATTTGACTTACACATTAAAATGAATTGAGTTGTTTTTTTTTCTTCGTCCCAAGATGGCGGCACTTAGAAGGAAAAATGTGCAATCACATTGAGATTATTTCATTTGGTAAAAGTGTTTGTTTGTTTGAAATATTTTGTCCTTGATTAAATTTAATTAGCTAATTAAAAATGTCTCAACAATTTGCAGATATGGCCAATAAATTTGGCAAAGGTGGTCCTAAAGGTCTTGGTCTTGGTTTGAAGCTTTTAGCAGCTACTGGTGCTTTAGGTTATGGTCTAACTAAATCAGTCTACACCGGTGAGATTTTTTTTTCCTCTTTTTGTTTCCCATGTGGTTTCATTTAGTTAATTGTCTAATTAATTGTGACATTGGTTAAATTGTTATACAGTTGAAGGAGGTCACCGTGCCATCATTTTCAGTCGATTAGGTGGTATTCAAAATGAAATCTATCCTGAAGGTCTTCATTTTAGGTAAGATTCTTTTCTTTGAAAGTGAAACCGATTTTTTTTTCCATTTCGTTTTGATGAATGGAATGTTTCTCATTTTCTTCTCTATTAAATAATTTTTTCCTTGTTTTAAATTCTCTTTACAGAATACCTTGGTTTCAATATCCAATCATTTACGACATTCGATCACGGCCCAGAAAAATTTCTTCACCAACTGGTAGCAAAGATTTACAAATGGTCAATATTTCATTAAGAGTCTTGGCTCGACCTGACGCTGTCAAGTTACCGGAAATGTACAGAATGTTAGGAACCGATTATGATGAAAGAGTTTTACCATCAATCTGTAATGAGGTAATTTGATTATAAGAAAAAAAGTTTATCTCTTTTTGTCCACAATTATAATGTGACTGATTTAATTTCAGGTTCTTAAAAGTGTTGTGGCCAAATTCAATGCATCCCAGTTGATTACACAGCGTCAGCAAGTATCACTTCTTGTTCGTAAGGAGCTTATAGACCGAGCCAAAGATTTCAATATTATTCTGGATGATGTTTCATTGACTGAATTAAGTTTCAGTAAGGAATATGCTGCTGCTGTTGAATCTAAGCAAGTCGCCCAACAGGAAGCTCAACGAGCCGCATTCATCGTTGAACAAGCCAAACAAGAGAGACAACAGAAGATCGTTCAAGCGGAGGGAGAAGCCGAATCTGCTCTTATGATATCCTTTTCATACTTTTCACAATTTATCTCTAATATTTTATTCTTTCCCTTATATTTGAAGCATTTTAATGATGAAAAACTTGAAGAAGGCGAACTAGTATATCTTCAGAATGATAAGCGTCCATTAATCTTAACTCCATTCACCTCTTTTCTTTTTGAGGAGAGGTGAAAGGTTAATCCTTTTTATAGCTTCTTAAATGGAGTTGTAAAAGGTGGACAACATCAAATTGACTTTAGAATTTTGATTGAGTTGATTGAAGTGTTTATTTTCTTGATTATATCTACTAAGTCGCACAAAAATCCTTTCCCTTTCGAAAGGATTTACTTAATTCACTTTTGATGATTTAAACTTTAGTAATCTGATTATTTTGCTTTTCTAGCTTTCAAAATCTTTCCACAATTATTGCACAAAAAATTTCCTTAACTCTCTTCTTTACTTAGGTGAATCCATTGCCAAGGATCCTGGCTACCTCAAGCTTAGGAAGATTCGAGCTGCCCAACAAATCGCAAAGACGGTCAGTTAATCGTTCTAATTATCTCCATTCATTTTCTAAGATCAATTTTATCGATTCTTTTGCTTTTCATGATCATGTTAAACTTAAATTTCTTTCTCTTCTTCCTGATCTTTAGGTCGCTAGTTCACAAAACAAGGTTTATCTCAACTCTGGTTCTCTTATGCTCAATATTGCTGATAAGGAATATGACATTACAGCTGATACAATTAAACCTGGTAAAAAATAATGGAACCTTGTCAAATGTTAGATGTTAATTGATATAAAAAACGATCACAATCAAAGAAACAAAAAAAAATAATAGTCTATTCATCTTTAGTTTACCAAGAAACTTACACATACACACAAAAAAATTAACTGTTGTATTTCCTACCACTTAATTGTCAATTAAACACTTTTTTCGTCTAATTCTTCCATTATTGTAAAACATTAATTGTGTCAATTCTTAGATTTAGTTTCTGCCAATTAAATTTTCTAATTAATTTTAAATCTCTACAAATCTTATCCTTTTAATTGCACGAAATTATTCATCGATGATAAATAATGAATAATGAATAATGAATAGTTAAAAATGGAAAAAAAATCATTCATTAAATTGAGATCATGTTAATTGTAAAGGAATTTATTAAATTAAATTCAATGATTAAATTTGAAATTGGATTCCGAATGCTAATTTGACTGCAATTGCTGTGAGAATAGACACTCGGTGCTAAACTTACTCCTTTTAACCTTGTTAATTTTTTGGTGACATTTGATTGTGTTTTGGTTTGGATTCAATTAGTTAATTAGATCAAATCGAATTTTTATTCTTGAATTGGTAACTAGTTTGTTTGTTGATCATCTCTTTAGTATAAGTTTAAGTATCTACAGTAAATATGTCGGAAATTGTTAAAGGAATCATTCATCATTGTAAGAAAGCTCCAGCAGTAAGTGAACATCAATTCATGTATTGGTCTTGTTTTCTTTTACTATTTTGGATAAGAATTTTCAACTATTTGTGATTAAATTAAATTTATTTGTTTTCTTCTTTTTAGATTATCCCTATTGTCGTTTTCAGTGGTGCTGCTGCTTTGGGTGCTGGTACCTATCTCGCGAGATTAGCCTTGCAAACACCGGACGGAGTGTGAGTGTCTACCTAATGATTCATTCACCCAATTCTTAACCCTAATGCCTTTCAATTAGTTACACGTTTCTAATTATCTATTTCGATTCTTCTTAATTCTAGTGGTATTATCAATAGGCAAAGAGAACCTCATAATCGATATGAGAAAAAGAACTACAAGGTAAGCAAATTGTTCATATGATTTCCGATAAGATCTCAAGGTACCTTAACTGAATTTGATTCTTAACTGATTTTTTTTCTTCTTTTTTTTCCTATTGCGATCTCTTTAGTTTTGGACTTACTTTGATGCAGAAAATTATGAACATCCTCGACCTCGATATGATTAAAATTTTGGACATTCAAATGACCATAAACTAAATTATAGCATCAATGAGGAGAAAGAGGTTATCCTAATAGTCAATTTAATTTGAAAAAAAAGCAAAAAGCAAATAACCTACTGTGTATGATATTATTAATTGTGTATTCTAATTTTCTGTGTAGACCTAAACTCAAATTACAAAATCAGATCATAATAATCATATTGGAAAAATGAAAGATTAAGACAAAATGATTGAATAATCATTGAATAGCTGTTAACATTTTAATTGTTTCTGCTATGAAATTGTTTATTGGTGATGATTGTTAATCTAATAATCTAATATGAATCAATCCAATCTTTTGAATAAGATTTGAATCAATTGAAAATAATAATAAAAAGTTATTCTTAATTGTTTTTAATTTACACAATAATCGGTTATACCAAACATTTAAACAGAAAAATAGTTTATTATAACCTTTGTTTTCCAATTGGAAAAATTTCCTATTAATTGTGTACAATCAACTTGAAGTTTATCCACAATTCGGTACAAATATCAGTAGACATTAACTGCATAATCAATTTGATTCAATTTCCTTTGGTCAAATCAGAATCTCGATCATTTCAAACTATTCATTGAAATCTCTGTGAAAGTGATTATCAATTACCTGATGGAATTGTTTTCTAATCAACTGAATAATCAAACAGTTTCAAAAGTTTATTGATTTAACGTGATGATGTTAACCAGATTTTGTAAACAATTAAATTGGAAAACTTTTTCGCAACTTTTGGTTGTAATTAAAAGTTCAGGACATAAGACATTTCTTATTAACGAAAACGGAATCGGAAATGGTTGATATGCTTTCTGAATAAACGAAAGTAATTCAGATTTCAAATTTCAACAATTTTTCAGGTAAATTCTGAATGAGATTCAATTGTTTATCATCATGTTGAGGAAAAACAGAATTTCAGAGAAATGAAATAAAGTCTTGTTATATTATCTTCATCCTCTGATCACTAATAATTCACAATCTCCAGTAAAGATCATGAATGAATATCCACTTCATGGAAATGAACAATTTCCAAATTCTGTCTCTAATGGTTCAGTCGAAACAATTTGTAATTCTTTTTTTTTTACTTCACTTCAAATAATTTCTCTCTTTTTTCTCAGATTGAGTCAATAAAAATTTGAATAATTATTCAATTCGTGATCAATTTATTCAAATATTTGCATGGTAATTATGGTTTAGAACTTTTTCCAATTTCAACAAGCGAACTGAACTTTTTCATGGTTACGTTTTCATCGATTATCTCTGCAACACCATTTTCTATTATTTACTTCTCTTTCTTTCGAGTAATTCATTCGTTTTGTAACACTTACAAGAGAATTGATTATTGATTGATTTTTCATCTTTTAATTACAATATTGTATATTAATAATTAAAAATTGTGTCTATTCAAAGAAAATCGATTGTTTCAATTTTCAGAAAAATCGATTGACCGAAACTCTTTCGATTGCAAACCGATAATCGATTTTTAACTGGGCACATGAAGATGAAAATTCTGATCGATAGTCTTGTCATCGTCTTCTGATGATGCTTCTTGATTAAATATGTTTCTAAATTGGATTAATTTAATTCTATTAACGTCTTCCTATCATAATCATCTAGATTAAAAGGTAAGATTTATCTATTTTTATCTATTTATCATCTTCTAAGTGTCTTTTCATGTCCCACCCTTAAAGTAAACAAGTAGAGTCTTTTTTTTCCTTCATTTCTTTTTCACTTTTGTTTGGGGACAATTAATATTTTCTCTTTATTAATGTTTTGTATTTTTTATTTTCAGTGTTAATTAGTAAATTGTGGTTGATCTAAATTCTCTCCACACCTTCATCTCTTTTCTCCCTTTGATGAATATTGAATCAACAATGGAGAGAGAGGTAAAATATCATTATTACTATTGGAGATAATAAGGAAGAAAAATAAACGAACAAACAAACAAAAGAAATAGAAAAGAAAATTCTAATTCTTTAAATCGATCAATATATATACCTGGTTACCTGGAAGAATATTTTAAAGTGAAATCGTCTGGAATAAGGAAGAAAAGAATCAACAAAAGTACAAGACTAAAGGAGAGAAAAGAATTGAACAAAGACAATGAGGAAAAAAATTTCCATTTACCATTAGTGATCAAGAAGAAGATAATCATTGGAGATTTATTGTGATAAAAATATTCTCTCCTCCTTTTGTTGTTTCTCTCTCTATATCTCTCGCTCTCTCTCTCTCTCTTTCTCCCGATGAAAGGAAAAAAGAATTTATTTTATATTAACATAATTCTCATCATCAACTCGAACATCAATTAACAATCAAAAAAGGATGAAACCCCGATTATTTCAACCGTTTTGGAACAGACCCAATTTCTTCAATCTTATATTAATGTGTGTCTTTCTTTGTACGATGGTTTTAATTAGTTTAAATATCGGCGATGGGAATACTCTGGTTACTCGAAACATTTCAATGAAACGACCACTCATTGTGACCCCCAAGTACAAAAGCTCATTTGACTTATCCAAATTGGAGGATAATGATATGTCTCAATTGATTGATTTGAAAGACTTTCAATTTCTGATCAATAATTTACCATGTCACAGATCATCATCTTCCTCCTTCGCCTCTTCCTCTTCCTCTCCATCTGAAACCTTTGCCTTTTCCTCATCCAAATCATCATCATCTTTATTAGAAACTGTTGACGGTACAACTGTGATTCAAAATGGAAACAATTCAATCTCACCAGATGATGATTCCAATAGTGTTGATATATTCCTGTTAATATTTATTCATAGTGCTCCAAATAACTTTGAAAAGCGTAAAATAATTCGTGATACTTGGGCCAGTTCTCAGAATATCTCATTCTCTCAGATTCGCCGGGTTTTCCTTTTAGGCCTAGTTGATGATATTGAACTTCAACGATCAATTAATCAAGAGAACAAGATTCATGGTGATATTATTCAAGGAAATTTTGTTGACACATATCGTAATTTAACTTACAAACACGTGATGGGCCTTAAATGGATAACATATTATTGTCGTTCAGCCAAATTTATCCTTAAAACGGATGATGATATTTTCGTTGATACTTATCAATTGATTAACCATTTGAAAGGATTAATGATTAATCCATTAACCCAACCAAAAAGACTTATTAATTGTTTCGTCGTTCGTAATCCATATCCAGCAAGAAGTGATAAAAGTAAATGGAAAGTAACTTATAAGGTGAGCTTTTGGGAAATTATTCATTTTTCAATTTTCAATTATTTCGTCACTTAATTAAATTAATTAGTCATACAATTAATCATTTTTTCGTTTAATTAGGAGTTTCCTGGGAAATATTATCCAACCTATTGCTTCGGATGGGGTATAATATTATCTCCTGATGTTGTATTTGATTTATACCTCCAATCAAAAGTACACCTTATTTTTGGGTGGATGATGTTTATGTCACCGGATTGTTGGCCGAAAAAGCAGCAATTGATCAAACTGATTTAGGGTCTAAATTGGCTTTAACCGATCAAGATATTGAGAAATGGGTTGAGGCCAAGGAGACACTTAGCTTACCTCCAATGTTTGCTCGACCAGCAGCAATTAAGGATCTTCAAACAATCTACGATCTCTGGAATAAAACAATCAGATATTACCAATTTATAACCTAAAGAATGACAATGAGTGATAAAATGAAGTGATCTTTGCTATTCAGCAAATCTTGTCGACGATTATTGTTCCAAAAGCGATAAAAACTCAACCTATTTTATTGAGGAAAAACTATTCAAAGTCCAAAGAAATGATTGGATTAATCACCTTCGTGGCAACTTAATGATAGAGCAAAAATGATTTCCAATTCATTATGATTCAAGTGGTTCGAGTTAATCCAAGTAAAGGAGATAAAGAATTGGATTGAAATCACCTGAGTAATCAGGAGATAATGGAATCAATCATTCTCAAGGTTTATTTTTATACTTCATCATCAACCAATAATCAAGAATAATATAAAGACTTTATTTTTTGTTTGATGAGCCTCCATGAACAAAAAGGAAAAAATTCTTCAGACCTCAGACCAAATCAAGATTAATCCAAAGATTTCTCTCTCTCTCTCTCTATTTCCCATTGAAAACGAAAGAAAATCGGCTGTTCAATTAACTTGGGTAACTTTTATTCAATCTTCATCTAGTTTAATCTATATCATGAATCCATTATTATTTATTTAAATTTCTGATCTTTTTATAATGGAAACAGAGAAATTAACCTTTTATTAATTGCTCTGTATTTTCTTTTCTTTCTGTTACACTCTTTTCCCCTCGAAACTGCGTTAATCGGATCAAGCACAGATCGAAAATTCGTTCGTTGTCAATCATTTAATTGTAGTCAATGACAATATGCCAATTAGTCTGGTTAATTGTTCATTATCTTTTCATTCATTCATCCTCATCAGCTGATAACGCTAACCCTTGTATTTTCCTCTTCCTCTTCCTCTCTCACTCTCTATCACATTACTTTAATTTTGTGTCTTTCAAATTCCCTCCTAAATCATAACTTATTTTATAATTTATCAATCAAGCAAAACTTTATACACCCAAATAATCCTATGCACAAACATCATGTTAAACTTGGTTAGATTAATCAACTCAATCTAATTACAAACAGAATTCCTAAGACGATGTATCCTGCCCGCTCTCTGACTACTCTCTCTCTCTAGAAAACACTGATCATCTCTCAAACTTCATGATCTCTGAACAATAATCACAAATGTTGAATTTCACCCATGAAAAACAAAAAAAACAGAAAAATTGATTAATTTTCCGTTTCTTTCCTCGATTATTGAACTTTTTGTATTATATGATTTCGTTTTCTATAAACCAAGTTGATTGAACATAAACTAATTAAATGGATTAAAAAATTCTCGTTAATTGTGGATAATCTGTTGTATATTTTCAATGATAATCATCAACAATTTCCTCCAATTAGTTACACAGGAAATATTATAGAAAAAGACTTGATTGTAATTAGAAATCTCGAAAGTTAATCTTTCCTTTAAATTGTTTGTTATCATTTTCTCAACATTGGAAAATGAATCAATCCAATTGATGGAATAACAATAAAATAAATTGTACACAAGAAAAAGTTATTCTTAATTGTTTTAATTTCTCTTCCATATCAATTTACACAATAATCATAATCATAATCAAAAAATCTAGAATCTGACAAGAGCTAAAAGTTAAATTGTACCAAAGATTTTAATAGAAAAAGAGTTAATTATAAGCTTTGTGTTTCTAAATTAAAGAATATCAATTTAAACAAAATTAAAAGATCACTGATTTAGTTCAATTAATAACTTAAATATAATCTTATTTATATATCATAATGTTTTGATTGTTACTGATTAGTTAATTGTTTTGGTCTAAGACACAAATAAGAGTCAAGGTAATGAGCTCTTACTATGTATTAATTAGTTAAATATCAACTTACACTTGTTAGTTAACCTCTAACGGTTAATTGTTACAATTTATCTTTCGATTTATCATTTATATGATTAACTAATCGGCTAATTGTTGGACAATTTTCAATACATCATAGACCAGTTTTCCTTCATCAACTATTAGAAACATCAAATCAGAAGCTTTTCCATTGACTAATCAATATAATCAATCTGATTAAGATTAGAAATGTGTAGAGTTGATATCATGCATAAATTAAAATGCTGATGATTATTAAATTGTTGTGAGCCATTGTTACGACAATTAAATGATATAAGTTGAATCAGGTTCATTGGATCAATTTAATGAGCTTTCTGATTGTTTTCCTTCAGTAGTTTATTGATGATCTCTTTTTGGTTAATAACTTTGCGCCCATTGATTTGATTTAAATGAATATGATTGATTATTATTGTTCGTCTGTTAATTAGCTCTTTCCATTATGCTTTAATTGTTGTGACAAATTTAATTGTGTGATTTGTGTGTGAGAGTGTGAGTGTGTAAGTGTTTGTGTGTGAGTGTTGAGGAACCAAGAGGTCAATCTTTCTTGGACTGAGAAACTTTTGCCGCTTTTGACCTTTTAAAATCTCGAGTACAGATTCGGAAAAACATTACACTTTGGTAGACCATTAGGAGAAGAAGTGAAAATGTAATTAGCGATAAATCAAATTTAGGGACTAATGAGTCGAGTTTTGGATCTCCGGTTGGTGAGCCTAAAACAAAACGATAGGCGAGAAAAAAGTTAGGCAAACATCGGAAAATTAGGTTGGTAATTAGATTGAGGTGAGAAACCGCTCGAAACAAAGGTCCATCTTGAGGTATTCCGATTCCCATTAGAAGAAGAGATCGAGTATGTAAGAAGGTATTGTTCAATTCTGCGAGAAGGGCGAACATTAGACCTCCGGTGTAATGTCGCTTGTTAATCGAGATGGACATGTCGAGGACACAGACTACATGGTGAAGTAAAATCTCTGACGATTCAGTCCAATTTCGGGCAAACTCGTGTCGACGAAGTAGATTGGTTAGGAAATCTTTCACAAAATAACCCGTCGAGAAACAGATCACCAGGTAGGGGATTAAGTGACTTTCAAAGACCAGATCATTTTGAAGAGATGGATAAAGAATAAGAGAAATAACCAAACCAATTGAACAAAGGGTTGCATGGATTAGCGAGATAACTGTATTGTTAAATTTACGCCAATTCCATCGGCGTCGAATTGATTTATTATTCTGCTTTGAGGCGAGTGATGATTCTATGGGATCACGATAAACATCAAGAGTATTTTCGATTCCATAGAAAGCGAAAAAAGTTCCAATGGCGACAATATAACCATAGATTAACCAAACGGGCGAACCGAATTCATGTGAATAATTTGAACCAGAATTTAGAGTTGATCGGTTTATCAGATCATCTGATGAAGGATTATTATTATTATTGGAGATCATTGAATCTGATGATTGTGAGATTGTTATGTGATCCATAGTCTTGAGACAATCCGTTCAATTAAAACGGGATTAGATTAGAGATCAATGAAAGTGACTTTTTGATATCGATTTCAACTGTTGATCCAATTGGGATGATGTTGATTCGGACGGTATTTAGATTGTTGATTTCTTAGTGATGATGATGATCTTTGTGTTACAATATAATCCTAATTTGAGATTATCCTGTTCGTTGGGCAATTATATCAATAATATTGGTGAGAAATTGTATTTCTGTGAATATGATGTTTGATTAATTGGTAATGATGGTCAACAGAAGAGCTGAAGAAATTTAATCAAGTGATATAGTTTAGTGTCGTTGATTTTGTTACTCAATTGCAATTGGAAAGAGCTCATGGTATTGGTAAAAATAATGAGGAAAATTAAGAGTAATCATGATAATTTACTAATAGTAATTAGATGAGAGATTGAAAAAGGTAAATAAAAGGATAGCAGTGAGAATTGAGAACAGGATGAATAGGTTGATAGAAAATCATGATAACTCATTTCAAAGGAAAAGACGATAATTGATCAAAATAAAGGCCAGAAAACAAGGTAATCGAAACGATTACTCGAAGATGATTAAATCAATTTAATTGAATAACTAAAAAGGCACCAGACAAAGAGAGAGATGATCAATATGAAACCAGGAAAAGAAACCAGGATAATGATGAAGATTAGATGGAGATGCGATTAATCCGATTTTGGATAAAACTATTAAATTGTCTTTAATTGGTCCACAGATTGAAAGAGAATTGATTACAATTTACCCAAGAGAAAACGCAAATAGAATTGAGGAAACAGTTACGATTAAAGATCGAGATTTAAATTGAGATAAAAAGAGAACAACAAAATAACTGTAAATGTCTCTTTCTCCCAATTCGTATCCCATTTAATGTAAGTTCATTTCTTTTCATCTGTCTACCTCTGTCTTTTTTTCTCTTCTCTTTTTTTCATCATCTCTTACTCTTTCTTTCTTTCTTTCTCTCTCTAAAATGGATAAAATTAGTGTATTAAATATAAAGAAACCAGGAAGACTCGAATCCATGGTAACTTCATCTTCTCATATTTATCATTTTCCCTCCGAGTTTCACCCAGAATTTGGGTTTATTTTTCTCTTTCTATTCTATTCCTTGTCGACAATCAGTTCGAAACATCACAATTAATAGTATTTCATTAGGATTATTTATCATTCTCACTTAATCTCTCTGGCAATTTATTATTTCTCGCTAATCAATTGTTACGTTTGTTTGATGTTTTACTTTTCCTTGTTTTCCTTTTTTGTTTCATTTTGTTTCATTTTTTAATTGTTTCCATTGTTTGATAGGTTAATTCATCGATCAGATTCAATTCCATTGAACATCATGAATATTTTCAATTTCTATTGATTGAATTATGTCAATTTCCTCTGGTTTTACCTTCCATTAATTGAGTCTCTTTCTACCTTTTACCTAATCAGTTTCTTATTTTTTTCTCCCTTCAATGTTGTTTCTCAATGGATTTTATTCATTTTAGAACTGAATTTATTTCCTATTCTCTTCCTTTTCTATTAATATCTAATTGTTATTATTGGTACAGTTAATGATTATTTCCACGCAATTTAATGATTCCATTGACCTTTTATCGTGAAAATTGGAGAGAGACAAACACAGTAACCATAATGATGACAATTCCTTAATTGTCAATGTTAATTGTATCTCTCTCTCTTTCTCTTGCATGACAAATACAAGATGGATGAGACTAATTAAATATCACAATAGAGTCTTAATCGTGATTAAGATTATTTTTCCATGAGTCTTGTGGTTTTCCTTTTATTGGTGATTTAGACAATTGTTAACACACAATTGATGATCGTTTCATTTTTTTCACAATGAAAATTAACAAAACTTGTCAATCAATTATCATTTATATTTTGAATAAATGAATAAAATATAATAAAATAAATGAATTTAAAAACTTTGAACCTCAAAATCGAGAAAAATTATCACTGAATTTGATTTTTTTAATTATGTCAATTAACTGGTAGACCGAAACTTTCCTTTTCAATTTATTAATAAATTTAGATCATAATTCAGTTCCAATGTCCCTCTTTCTGTTTCTTTAGTGATTCTAAATTTGAATCTCACTGTAATCAGTTAAATCAATATAATCCATGTATCATGGAGACGCAATCATAATTATATCTTGAGATTGAACAAATTATCGTCACTATCAAGGTAATTACTTAAATTGTGATCCAAGTGACTGAATCTCCCCCAAGGTCAACATCTCATCTGTTTTTCTGAGCCTTGGATGACAAAGGAGCTCAACAAATGTCTCAACAGTTTAACAAACCTCTTCAATTTGGTAAGTAATTAATTTAGTTTTCTATTCATTTAATCATTTAATCCCTTTAATCTGTTCATAATTAACTAGATGAAACATTGTTCGACAATGTTTCCATCAATAGCCATGCAATTCACCGAGCCTGTGAATCTTTGGACAGAGAAACCAAATGTTTGGATTCAGATGTGAAGGTGAGAGAAAATTATTTTCCAATCTCATCCATGTTACTTTCAATTTATCTCCTAAATCCAAATTAACTAAATTGTTTTCCATTCCTATTGTTAGATTAAAGCTCTTCTCAATACAGTTCGTGTGATTGATTTAACAACTCTATCAGGAGACGACACTTATGTCAATGTCCAGCGTCTTTGTCACCGAGGCCTCAATCCATTGGTGAAACCTTTGTTGGATCAATTGGTTTCCTATAACTATTGTGATTCTAATTTAACTGTTGGTGCCATTTGTGTTTACCCTTCAAGAATCAGGGATTGTCATGATGCTTTCAAAATGATTAAACCTCTTCGGGAACCATTGAAAGTGGCCTCGGTTGTTACTGGATTTCCTTCTGGTCAATATGGTTTAGAGTCTCGCTTGAAAGAGATTGAGTTTGCCTGTGATTCGGGTGCCGATGAAATAGACACAGTTATTGACCGATCGCTGGCTCTTAATGGTGATTGGGATAAGGTTTACAAAGAAATCAAAATGATGAGACTTAAAGGGTCAGATGTCAGGCTAAAGGTTATTCTTGAAGTTGGTGAACTTGGTTCTTTGTCTAATGTTTACAAAGCAAGTTGGGCCGCGATGATGGCTGGAGCTGATTTCATCAAAACATCAACTGGAAAGGTTTCAGTAAATGCTACACTTCCGGTTGGCTTTGTAATGACTCGAGCAATTAGTGAATTTTATTCAACCACCGGGGTTAAAGTTGGTTTTAAACCTGCGGGTGGATTGCGAACAGAACAAGATTGTTACAAATGGATCAAATTAATGGAGAATCAACTTGGTGATGAATGGTTATCACCTAATCTATTTCGTATTGGTGCCAGTTCACTTTTAAATCAAGTGGAAAAAAGTTTATTCAAATTGAAATTCAATCGTGATCCAGCTCCTTGGGAAATTTCAGTGTAGAAAAATGATTATTTTTTTTTCTATTTTTAATCATTCCGATTCTCTAATAATATTTATATTTATTCATTGACTATTTAAAGTTAAACATAATTATTATTAATTGTGATTAGAATAATCATTTCTCCTTCTCCAATGCTGCAATAAACTCTTCTAATTTTTCTTGAATTAATTTCACACGTTCTGGTAGGAGAGAAAAAGGAAAGAAAAAGAAATCAATCAAATTGTTAACAAAAGTTAATCAAAGGTAATTTAAATTCTTACTTAATTCTTCGGCTAATTGAACTCGACGTCCTGTTAATAATTTAAGTTTCTTTTCACGATCTTGACTAAAATCGTCCAGCACATCTTTCAATTCCTTTTCTAATCGACGTCCTTCTCGATTCATTATCTGTTGACGAAGTGCATTCGTTGTGGCAGCGAAAGTTTTATGAATTCGCCAGAAAACAATTATATCATCATATTTAATCTGAAGAGAGAGAGAGAGAAAACAGTAATAATTAATAACAATTCGTAAATCAATACAATTAAGAGACTTACATCTTCTACTTCAATTCCTTGTTTATAAAGGTAGAAACATTTTTTACACTCTTCGCATCTTTCCAATACTTTTTTGATAAAATGAATTCGATATACATGAAACCAGATATTCTTTATCTATTTGTTAATTGTTTTGATAGAAAAATGATCGATTAGTTATTAGAACTGATCAAATATTGGAAAATTATACTTACCATATCATACGAAGCTTCAATGTTTTGCACTTGAAGATTTTGTTGGACTGTTAGTAGTTCGATATCATCGAGATTAGAATGTGACTGAGAATAAAAAAACACAAACAATTAAAATTAAGAGGATTAGATTAAAGTTTCAGTATTTACCTTGAATCTTGGACTTTGGAAATATTTTTCAAGTTCATTCTTAATTGCAGTGTTAACATGATTCTCGTTTGATTTGTATGTCCAATACAACCATCTCTCTGTCCATGGAGGTCCACACATATTTTTCAATGCAATTTCAGCTATAGATGTTAAAGATTAATAATTAGTTTGAGTAAATTTGATTTTGAGAAAGTGATTAACTTACATTTCTTTGAATAATCTTTAAGATTCTCGGCGAAAAGGTTTATGGCAATGGTCCATTGATTTTTATCGGGAATTAAATAATCTTCAAGAGCGTTAGATTGTATTACTTTCTGTGAATTTCAATTTGATTCAATGAATTAGTTAATTGATGTTTAATTGTGTTATGTGGTTAAAATCATACCAGAACTTCTGATGCTTTAGGTTCCCATTTATGACGTTTCCAACTTTCTTCGATAACTGCTGCTTTTAGATCATCTAGAACGTCGTCATGACCTGGGTCCGTTTTACTTTTCTCAATTAGTCGATCTAATTCTTGGATTAATGCCTTTTTCGCAACTTCAACTGATTTACCAGGTAAAATATTTTCCACCCAATCTTTCAATTTAATGTCCACTTTGGTTCTAAAAAGACTTCGAACTAACTCTTGGGAAGCCGGTAAGTAAATACTTTCCATTAGATAAGAGCTACAACTTTCCCAGAGCAATTTACTGATCACAGTTTCCCTGTAGAAAATTAATAAAATAAAATTACATGTTAATCAATTAAATATCAACTTAAATTTTAACTTCTTACCAATGGTTAGGACTTAGTTGACTTAGATTAACAATTTCATCAACTAATTGTGCTTTCGCTTTCTCGAAAAGCTCATCCTAGAGAAATGGAAGAAAAATTTCCAAAAAAAGGATTAATAATATTAGAATAGAGAAACGAATAATCCATAAATTTTATCGACAATTACCCGATCACATTCACGCATTCGAGGAAAACTATTTCGCCATTCAGTTTCTAAATTGAATCGAGCTGCTTTGAAAGCGTCCGCTTGTTGTTCAACTGAAGCTTTGACCATTTTCCAGAAACACTCTGACACTGCCAAACTTAGATTATGAGTCGTACATTGGGTTGTGTTTAAAATCCCTTGTCTATGAGAATTAAAAACGAAAATAGAATTAATTTTGACAGAATAACAATTAAAACATTGATTGTTTAACTTACTTGCAAAGTTGTGAATCACGGAAAAATTGTTCCTCATACTTTTTGATTGATTCAATCTTCTCATCTACTTCACCTTTACCAGTTACCACAGCGTAATATCCTAAGGCTTTCATTGGAAATAATTTACCATCCAAAATTTTACGAATCTGATCATTAGAATCAAAGGACAATTAATAGTAATTTACCTTTCGAAAATTGTTATCAAAGTATTCAAACTTACTCTACTTGGATTGGCCATGTTACGTTCAGCAAGATCTACTTTGGTTAACACAAAAATAGTTCGTTTACCGTTAGGATCCATTTGACTAACTAAATCGGTCACTATGCTCCGTTCGGGATCAACGGAACCATCTTGGATACATAAGATTATTGCATTTGGATTGCTCATATGAAGCTTGGCGATGTCTCTGATTGCTTCTCGGGTATTAAGAGCCATGTCTGAAGTTACGGTCTGTGGATGGAAATGAACAAAAGATTAAAGATTAAAGGAATTACATAAGAATAATCGTTTAGAGTAAACTTACACTTATGATTCCCGGTAAATCGACTAAAATCATTCGTAAAATTCCAGGTCCTTGGACTGTTAGAGAAATTACTTCAGGAGAAACAGAAATACTATCACGAGTAAAAGATTTCATTCTTATCTCAATCTCTTTACGTAAATCGATCAGGTCAGACTCTTTTGTCAGGTCATATTCTCTTGGATTATCTTTAAAACGAGCGATATGATAAGGGCCTTCACTTAATGTCACTTTAACCGGCGATCGAGTCATCATTTCACCAGCTCCTCGAGGAAATATCCGAGCGCCGGCTAACATTTCAAGTACACTTGTTTTCCCGGCACTTTGATCACCAATAACGACAACCTTTACAAAGACAGGGGAGATCAGTCAAATGATTGAAAAACAATTGAAATACAACAGAGGAAAACACACTTACCCTTGGAAGATGATCTTGTGTGTTATAATTAACATCATAATCAGATAATTCATCGAGAATATCTGAATACATATCAATGAGTGATTTTTGAATTTTCTTGATTTTTGTATCAGTTTTCTTGAGAAGTACTTGTTTCCTCAAATCTTTATTTTCTCTCTCTAGTCTCTCTATTTCCCTTTGTAATTTAACCTGAAAGAAAAACAAATGATTAAACAACAAAGATGATTAAATTCAGTGAATGGATCAGTTGAGTAAAATTAATCACCTGAACTGAAATAAGTTCATCTTGTAGTTTTGATATTCGTTCTGCATCCCTTTGGGCTCTTTCATAAGCCTCTGAGTTTGATGAAGAAGATGATGATGATGAAAATGAATGAGCTTGTGAAATACTCTCAGTGGTTATCCTTTCGGAGGTCAGGTCATCAGTTGGTAATAATGAATTCCGTCCTACAATAAAATTCAAATCTATTGATGATCACATGGATGTTAGAAGATGGAAAAATGCATGACAAAAAAATAAAGTAAATCAAAGTAAAAGGGACAATGTTTTTTTGGGTCTATTGGTTTGGTGGTTTGTGCTTTCTACGATTTTGTCGAGTAATAAGAGATTAGGAATCGACAAGGTTAGTAGGATTAAATTAGATAAAGATTGATATTAATTAGATTAGGACAACTGACTTGCAAGTTCCGCTTGACGAGCTGCTCGAGCCTCTTCAATCCATTGGTTAATTACGTCTAATCCATCGGATGCTGATGATGTAACTTTATCAAGCCAATTACCACTTTCGGTACCAAATTTTTTCGCTAATTCTTCCAAAGATTCTCGATATCTATCAGCCTTTTCTGAGTCTGGAAACATTTCACTAATCCATCCAAAATCAGGAACACCGTCTTTCAGCTCTTTGAATTTCTGTGATAATCAAGAGCAATAAAGAGAGAGAGAGAGAGACAAATTGAATAGAATAAAATAGAATAAGCATCATAAATTAAGCGAAAATTAGCAGCAATTAAAGAAAGAAAAGAAAAAGAGCAATAGAATAAAAAGTAAATGGAAAATGGTGAAATTGTGATGATCTTGGAGAAGAGAAAATAAATTACCTTATGAGCTTGGATTCCACCGCCAACAGCAGAGCCCAGAACAAGATACCGAAGACGTAGAAGACCACGAGCGATCCTTAGAATAACAACCATAATAAATTAATTATTTTCCATCAACATTCTAACAATTTAAATTAACACTTTGTTACAATCAACAACATTAACCAAAAGTTACATTCAAACCGCTTCAATAACATTCTGATCAGCTGTTTCTCTTCATGGTAAAGGCTCAACATTTGAACTTAAAGCTGAGTTTTTTCGGCTTAGATTTCGGCGCATTGTTAGTCTTTTATGGGGAAGTTTATTTTAATTGTTAATCTTTTTCGAGCAAATTTATTCCACTTAAACTGTGATCAATTACATATTGTATGTTACCATGTTCCCAGAGACTTTAACATAGACTTCTGAAATTTAGGTCCTGCAACCAAGACTTTATATCTCTCTCTGTGACAAGTTTATTAATTGTGCATCAGTTTTTACTAATTTTATCTCAATTAATTTCCTTGATTGTCTCAACTTTAAAACGTTTTCATGGAGATGAAGAAGAGATTTCTCACTCATTTCTTTTTCAAATTTTCGACAAGAGCATTAGAAGATATGTTAATAGTGCTAAAAGAACTTCTTTTGCCTCGTTCGATTCTGAAGAATTGTGTTTGTACTAAAGTGCCTTAGAAAATTGATTATCATTGACGATGGTTCGATTCCAAGTCTTCTGAACACTTCTCTCAACATACGATCAACTTATATGGAAATCTAACTTCAGGAGTTAATTTAGATGACGAAATTCTTTCGTCCATCATATTAGGTCACGTTGGTGCTCATTTTGGTACAAAATAATTCCATTCGAGTTCAGCCTGGAGGTGAAATGAATGAATCAAATGAATAACATGAAGCTTTCCGTTAAGAAGCCGTTATAACAAATCGTTTCGATTGACAATCAGCTGAGGTGCAATGAACATTTCCGTGCTTTTAATTAAAACTGAAGGTGAAAAAGAATTGAAAAACTTATAACTCATGGACAAGTTCCATATCCTGGTAAGATTTGATCTACTTTTTCTATTTCATTGACGTTTTTATCTTTACTTGATTGACTTTCTTTTTGTTTCACTGATCATTTCATCAAGTTGACTAGTTAATTTGTAATAATAACTTCGAGAGCGTCACAATAATTAATATGTTCTGGTAAAGTTTCATTTTTCAATTTGTGGTCTTGTTTCTTGTTTCTTGTTTGTTGTTGTTTTGTTCACGATCAACATTCAACAGGAAGCATCAACTCCATTTTTCACCTTCATTTAATTGCGAGTGTCATGGTTATGATTCACCTGACTCATCACCTCGCTGAGCTTCATTCATTTCATGTTGATATCATTTCATTTTGTTTTGCTTACCTCAAGCTCCAGTGTTTTTTTGGTTCATTGAGCTCATTCAAGTTCATTTGATTGAGATTCAATTTTCTTCCAATTAGTTTTTTCTTCGATCTTTTTTTCTTCATCTTAATCATCTTAATTATTATCTTTTTACTAATAAATTATCGTTTTCTTTATTTCTCTAGGAATGCACAACAGGGAAGTCATCGAACATCAAATTCCTTCCGTTTTCGAATTTCGGATTTTCATCCTAATTGTGAACATTCATTTCCATGTAATCAGGAAGTTGGATCAACAATTAACTTTCGCTTTCAGTCATTCACTTTGTTTATCCTCTTTTTTCTGATTATGAGAATTACTGACAAATAATTTAGTAGAAAAAATCGACTGAATTAGAATTCGTTATAATAAATGATAACCAACTCATCAAATCGTTTTTTCTTTGATTTTGAATGAGATTTTTACGATTGTGATTTAATTGAGAAAAATATGATTGGCGTTAAAATGGAAGTTGTGAAAATACAAACACCGAAAAAAAAACTATTAACATAAAAGATGAAATTGGAGTAGATTAAACTACGTCAATTGTTAACAATCAATAAAAATGATCGCTGGTAAATTACATTCTCTCCTTTTCTCTGGGATATTTGGAAAAGAGCAATCGAGAGAGTTTCACTTTTGATAGTAAAAAAAATCACTGTCATCATGGTGATGGTGATAATCACCATGTTATGGGTGTTCGTTGACTTTATCTCAATACATATAATTAGAGGTTGGAGACAGTGAGAAGACTAATAAAAAAATAATTCGTGAGATTGGTAATTGTGTGTATGTATAATATGAACAGTCCAAGATATTGAGTTTTAATGAAAATAACTCGTTGGGAAATTTATGTTCAAGTGGCGATTGATTTGTTTTTGTGGCTTATGTTGAGTAGAAAAATTAAAATTGATTGAGTTATTAGGAAGCCCATTGTTTTAAAGCTTCTAATTCATCGTCAAGATCTTTAGATTTGGAACCTGATAAACAAAAACAAAGAAAAGAAAAAAAGAGAAATATAGTTAATTCGTATATTATTAGAATAGGTTCAAGAGATTGGACATTGAGAGGAATCAATTAACTCACTTGATGATGTTGCCCCTCTGGGGTCGGTTTGTGGGGCCACTGGAAGACCACCAGCATCCAATAATTGTCTGTCCAATTCTTCTTGCTCCATTTCTGCCAATTCCTGTTAATAGAAAGGTTAAAATTTAGAAGATTTGATTGAGAGCCAAAATTGAAACTCAAAATAGAAAAGAACCCTTGAAATTACCTTTAGAAGGTCATCTTCATCAATTTGCTGACCATAACCACTATGATCTGTGATAACGTGGACTATTTCCTCGGCGATTTGTTGTTGTTCACGGACTTCGTCCATCAAATCTTCCACTTTGTCTGTATCCATATTACTGTGTACAGTTTTTAATGCTTTGGCGGCCATTCCCATGTTCTTAAGAACCTCGACATTGGTGTTGACATTTTCTAGGGCATCTTTTTGATTCTCTAAGGTTGTTAATGTTCCCTCAACAGTTTCCAATTGTTTCTCAATACGTTTTTTCCTCTTTAAAGCAGCCAAAGCTATTTTCTTATTCTTTGTTCCATTGGCTCTGATAATTGTCTCCTGTTCTTTTATTAATCCTTCAAGATGTTCCTGCTTCTTGAGAAGCATTTCCTCGGTATCTCGTAGTCTGTTAGAGAGAAATTCATACAAAAACATAAAAAATGAGTAACAAATAATTGGAGTATAAAAGTAAATTAACAAAACAAATAGGGAGATAGACTAAAATCATTATTAAACATTGATGATGCCTAATATTAATACCGATAATAATAGTAAGATAAGAGTATGTGATTGAGGAAAAACTAAAAATAAGCTCATTACAATTCATGATGCAGAAAAATATACAGAACAAGTTTTCAAATACATGAAATAAAATAAAATCAAAAAATTATTCAGACAAATACGTTGACTGTTGAGAAAATTGAAAAATTAAAAACAATCAACATTCAACGATCAACATTAGCCAATTGATTTAATAAAAGTGAGTAATACCAGTTAACCAAATTAGACCCAGTGATTGATTAAAAAAACAAACCAACACTTAAACATTAATCAAAATGCCATGTGGAATAGAATATAAAAAAAGAAAAGAATTAAATTAATATCAATGGAAGAATAAACTTACTTTTGAATGGCCAGAGTTGTGGTGACCTTTTGCTCTTGTTTTGCTCCATCACTTTTACCTCCGAATAGTCTACCAAGGAAAGACATTCTAGAATTTATTCTTCTAATAATTAAAAATTTTCTAGAAGAGAAAAAAACGGATTAGAAACAAAAACTACAATCTAATTAACTGTAAATATCTAACAAGTACATTGAGAAAGTGAAAAAAATAAATTCGGTTAATTGTAAACAATAAATGACTCACTTTGGAATCGATATCGATACTGTTTTCCAATTATCGATATCGAATAACCAATCAGATTCTCGAATTTTCTAGTCAATGCCATCTGGTGATTCCAAGGGACTTGAAGTTTATCATAAATTTTCATTCTCATTGTTGAACATTTGTTAATCATCTTCATTTTAAATTTAATTAATTGTGATTTACTTTTTGTTTTACTAATCAACTGTTAAATTATGGAAAATAAGCAAGTAAGTAGATTAATTAATTGTCTTTGCGTTTTCTTCTTTCTTCTTTTCTTTTTAAATTCACATGTTTTAAATCTCTTTAATTCCATGGCGTTGTTTTTCCTCATGTGCTCATTTCTATTCGTCTTTGTCTTTGTATTTTCTAACCATGGTTGAGGTTTTTTTTTCTTTCTCTTCTCTAATTGATTGTGGATCATTTCTGTCAATTGAATTTCTTTTCTTACTTGTTGAGTGTCTTTTGTTCTTTTGATTTATCAACTGTTCTCTAATTACACTGATTTTATATCTTTTTTTGTGTTTCTCTCTCTTCCTTTGTCTCTGTGTTTTTCTTTTGCTTTGTCTCGGACTTTCTTAGGCTTTAGCTGCCAAAGAGAAGGGTAATGCTGCCTACAAGGAGAAACGCTTTGAAGAAGCACTCAAGCACTATGATGAAGCCATTTCTCTGGATCCTAATGATATGACATTCCTTTTAAACAAAGCAGGTGAGCTAATGAGTCATTTGGTTTGCCATTTTCTTTTCAAATTAAGCTTACCGTTTCTCTCACCATGATGTTTAAATAGTTTCTCCATTTTGTCTAATTCTTTTTTTTTGTATTTTCCTTTATTTCTAATGACAGCGGTTCGAATTGAACAAAAGGATTATGATACATGTATTAAAGATTGTGAAAAGGCTGTTGAAATAGGTCGAGAAAATCGAGCTGATTTTAAAGTGATAGCTAAGTAAGTGTTTTAACAAACAAACAAACATTACAATTGCTGATTAAATTATCATCTCCTTTTAATTATTTTCTCTCAGAGCATACGCTAGAATGGCCCTTGCTTACTATAGAAAGGATGATCTGGAAAATGCCAAGAAGTTCTATGAAAAATCTTTAACTGAACATCGTACACCCGAAACAAGATCTAAACTTTCCGACGTAGAAAAGGCCATCAAAGAAAAAGAAAAACAAGCTTACATTAATCCAGAGAAGTCTCTAGAAGAAAAGACTAAAGGAAATGAATATTTCACAAAAGGTATGAGAACGAGTCGATTTTCAAAAGTCATTCTATTTCTAATTGCCGTTCAAACTCTAATCACTGATTGACCATAAAAGTCTAGTGTCATGAAAATACCAGAATTTATGATCTTCCCTTCAACGTTCAGTCATCAATTGTTGCAATTGGTCATTTTTTCTACCTGTATTAATCCAAAATCTATTTATTTCCGTAGGAGACTATCCAGCAGCCATTCATCATTATACTGAAGCGATAAAACGTAATCCTGATGATTTTAAGATTTACAGTAATCGAGCAGCGTGTTATCAAAAACTTGCTGAATTTAAATTGGCCCTTCAAGACTGTGAAGAATGTATTAAACTTGATTCTTCTTTCGGTAAGTACTAACTTAGCGCAAATTTAACAAAATCAAATATTTGATTATAATTTTTGTCCATCTTATCAAATTTATTCAGTCAAAGGTCATGTGAGAAAAGGAATGGCTCTGTTGGCTATGAAGGAGTTCACCAAAGCTTCGACTGCCTTTCAAAAAGCTCTTGAAATCGACCCTAATTGTCAAGAAGCAGTTGATGGCTATCGAAAATGTACTATGGCTTCTATGTCAAATCCAGAAGAAGTTCGAGCTCGAGCGATGTCTGATCCAGAGGTTCAGAAAATTTTAGGCGATCCTGCGATGAGATTAATTTTGGAGCAAATGCAAAGTGACCCTAAAGCCCTTCAAGATCATCTCCGTAATCCCGAAGTGGCAGCAAAAATTGAGAAACTAATTGAAGCTGGTCTTATTGGTATTCGATGATATCATTAAATCACATTAAAACAACTCAACTAATCTTCAAACACAAATCCATACAACAAAATCAACAATTTGAGAGAAAGAAAAACAAGTGAATTAAATTTCAATTCATCTATTGTTAATCTTACACTTAATATAATGATAATAATCTATCAAATTGCAAACCAACGGAAACATGTAAGAATAATCTTCTTTACCAGAAGAGAGAAAGAGAGAAAACAAACTCAAGATAGAGAAAAGCGACAACATTTCCTTCAAGTAATTAACTAACAATTAATTGATTAGCTTTTCATTGAGTTTAATAATAAAGGAAATACTTTTTTTTGACTTTTTTTTGTTCAGTTTCAAAAGATTTGTTTATTTTCTTGGTGCAACTCATGTGAAAAAAAAAGATAATCAATGGTGTGGAGTTGATCGAGTATAATTTCATGAATTTTACACGAATTAAAAGTAATTGTAAACATGGGCAAAGAAAAAAGTAAATCAAAAAGAGAGAAAAACAAAAAACAAATAAACACATTTCGTTGATAAAAAAGAGTCAAAGTTGATTGTTGATTAGTTTGAGATCAGATTCGGAAGCTCTCGTGTTTACCATCGATGTGTTTTAACCTTAGGTACACATCAGTTCCTGTTCCCTGCATCGATTCAATCGTTAATGAGCCACCAAGATACTCGGCGTAGGCTCTTGATGTTGGCAAACCGAATCCAAATCCGTGCATTTTGGTGGTCGACGAATTGGGCTCGTGCATCATACAGCCGAATAGACCTCCATCGATCCGATGATCGGTGGACATTCCAGAGGTCGTAAAATGATATTGAGTAACAAGATCAATCATGTCATGAGATATTCCACCACCACGATCAGAAATTCTGATAAGTTAACAAAGTATACAGCCACGGAAAATGAGTTTGAGGGTAAATTTATATCATTCGCGCAGCAAAGGCGATAACGACAATTTATCAGTAGTTAGATAATCAAGACATTCAAATTCACCATTGTTTTGATTGATAAGATTTTCTTATCGCTTTCGATGCGCAATTGATATAAAACTACCCTCAAACTCATTTTCCGTGGCTGTATAATCAATCGTTTATCGTCAATCGTTGAGACACAATGATTTAGTTCACAATAGTTGATTAATCTTACCTAATGATGAAATCAATATTATTCTGAGCTATTGTTATGGTTATCGGTGGTACATTTGGTGAATCCAAATGCGACTCAACATTAGCTCTGGAAAAAAAATGAAAGAAAGAAAAATTGATTTAATAATCATGGCAAAAATTTCTATTAATTGTTCTTAGATCTCTTTAATATTAATTGTCTGGTTAGCTATCAACTTGTTGATGAAAGGCTGATTGAAATAAAGCACATGGGATAATCATGATAACGATTAATGATTAACCAGTTTTTAAGTTGTATTCAATTTTAATGTATAGAGTTAATGATGCGTAATAAATAAATATATCAATAGCTTAGGATAATTACCACTAAATGATTAGTGTTAATTAAATTGTTAGTTTTATGCTTTGTCAATCATTACGAGATCACATGAAAATCTGCAAAATCTGTTCAATCGTTTGAAATGTCAACAGTTTGATAACGTTAATGGTGATAGGTAACATTTTAAGTGTCATAAATCGTATGGAATTGTTTAATTACCTGACAGCATTTTTAAGAAGCTCGGGAAGAATATAATCTAATGGAGCTTCGATGTAAGGAAAGGTCGCATTAAGATGACCATTCAGACGAAAAGCGGGCGACTTTCCATACTTATTTTCACTTAAAACCCGAACATAATCACACCATTTCTCGATTAATTGTTTGGGTTTCATTGCAAGATTAATTATTCCAACGTGATTAGATTGCTCACTATGAAGAGCTAAATGATGTTCGGCGAGAATTCGCATTCCAAGACGGGAGGTTAAAGTTCTATCCAGGAAACTTCGGATAATCTCTTCGTTCTCCAATGTCAAAGAGAAACAAAAGCACAAAAAAAAGAGAAAGAGAAACATATATTGTTTAAAAGGTGATTACGATTTAATTGTTGATCGTTGTAGATAAAAAGACAATTACCTTTATGTGTTTCCTTGATTCTCTAAATCCTTCGGCCAGCCTGGTAACCACGTCCTTGTGGGTGTCAAGTAATTGCCTCAACATGGATGTGTATCGTTTCTCTGTTTCGAGATCTGTGATCTATTTGCATTATACTTTAAACGATCAGACAAGAGGCTTCCCGGTGGTCATCTCACCTCGGGAAACTCTGTGACGGTGTAAAAGGCCTGGATATATTGCTCATGGACTCCAAGAATGGTTGGATTACATCCGACAATAAAAGGTAACTCTCGAAATCCAGCGATCCTATGGGCTATTCGAACGGGTAATTCCTTATGTAAATATTGTGCACTTCTCTGTAGTCAATGTAAACAAAAGATAAATTAGATAATTAATAGAAATCAAAAAAAGAATTGAAAATTAAAGGATAAATTTTCAATTATCATCAAGGTTTTCTTAAGTTTGTTTCATCTCAAGACAAGGTTTCAAGAGATAAAATTAAGGAGAGACCTCGGCAATTGATTATTCAAGTTAATCATGTAAAAAAGTGTAAACTAATAAGCTTAATTAGGTCAAGCACAATTGAAACATTATCAACGGTAAAAGTTTTTAAAGCGGGAATAAACTTGAATTTATAATTCCAAGTAATAAGAAGTTGAATTTGAATAACATTGAATAACTTTCTCATAGTTAATTAATATTATCAAAGATTGTTCAAAGTATAATTAAAGGAGTGTGAGTGTCTGTGTGATTAAGAGGAAATCAATTGTAAATCGTAGACATAAAATACGATCACATGATTGATTAAATTGCATAAGAATAATCTTCCAAAGGGTTCTCGTGATTCCTAAAACTGCCGTTGCAATTAAAGACCAATGAGCATGTTCATGATTAAAGAACTAATTATCAAAATGGTTGTTTAATGATAATTAAAACTTTGGACAAAGATCATAGATCAGAGTGAACATATGATTGGAAATTTCAAAATGATATTATTAACAATAAAGTGAAAGTGATTATTAAAACGTAATCAGTTAACACAGAGGAAGATTGATTAGCTTAGTTGATTCTTACACTTTCATTTACTGTAAAACATAAGCCGATCACAATTTAGGTCAAATTGTTGTTTAACCATCAACATCATCCAATCATCATCATCATCATGTTTCCCTCTTTCATCTTTTTTTGTGAGTATATAATCACTTGCAGATCATGTTAACATGAGGTAACCATTAATTGTTCACGTGAAAATTTAATCATCATGAAATGATCAATGATCAGTTATCCAAAAAAAGAATCACAAAAAGTGAAAATAAAACGACAAATGTAGTTCGGCTTTTTAGAGAGGATCATATTTGCGACCCAAAAAAAGGCCTGAAAATGCCGAACCGGTTTTTCTTGACCAGAACTTTCACCTTTCAAACAAAAAGAAATACAATTAGAATTGTTTACTTACCAATAGATGACTTCCATCTGGACTCTTACCAGCATACAAAAGGGTTGCTGGGGTTAAACGAACGGAGGGCTGGAGAAAGTAAAGAGAATAGAAAAACAAAGATGGAAGAACCAGTAGAAAAAACCAGAAGAGAAAAGAGAAAAACGAGATTAGAAGAAGAGAATATTTAAATTGTTCTCTCGTTTGACCGAGAATAGAATTTCCAAAGTAACAAAGGCACATTTTAGAATAGAATTTTTTAGACTTACCTTTACAGCCGCGATATCAATTGAATTGTGATTATAAAACCAGTCCAATCGGTTTGGTTGTTGACAAATTGAGAAACAGAGTCGCTGGGAATTAACTAAATCATTTGAAGGTTTTACTAAACAAGGAACATTTTTACTTGCTAAGGAGAAAGATCTACCTAACATATTGATGATGAAAATAATCAGTTAAAAGATTACTATAGACAATGGAGAGAAGTTAAAGGGTCAAGGGTAAAGGCTAATAAAGGGTTGGAAAAAAAATAATCACTAATTAAGTTTCCCGATCAATTAAAATGTAACATAAACAAAATCAACTAATCACGTTACAAGGATTAACTGGTGAGATTAATTAATTGTCTCAACCTTAACCATGGACAAGAGATGAAATCAAACTGAATAAGAACGTGAAATTATCATCATGATAATAAAGAGAAAGTGAGAAGAATCAACCAAAGAGGGAGAGCAATTAAATTATCTTAACAATCAAGTTAATCAACAATAAAGTGAAATGAGAATCAAAATAAACATTAAACTTTATTTAAACTCCGCCTTTGGCTTTTCCTATGAAGACCAATAGATGTCACTAGTCGAGTTAATTGTTCTTCGGAAATTTTATTTAATTTAATTGTAATCAATTGAAAATCTATTGCAATTCAATCATTAAAATGTTAGAAAGTAGATTGATCAATTTTCACCGAGAAAATAAAATCAAGATTGACTTTTGGTTTTCTTAAGTTTCAATTGGAAAATAAAGATTAACTCGAGAAAGAATTTTCAATTTTAGAAAATTAAAAATCGATTAACTTTGATTAAATGAAGTTAATCAAGTTTTTCGAGAGTTTACTTGATTTGTATTTATAAAGAGAGAAAACATCATCTGAATTAAAATTTGATTTCTTATTGGTTTTTGATTCAGTTTAAGTACATAGAGTTTGATGAAGATAACGATGGTAAATCGAAGGTGGAAAAAAAAGTTTCGATTTTTCGAACTCTTTGAGAATTAATTGAAAAAAAAGGAGAATAATTAAAAAGGTGAATAATACAAAGTTGTACAAAAAGTTTGATCTACTTTCGCACATGAGAAGAATATGGAAAAGTTATTAGAAGATTTAGAAAATGAAGGAAGACTTTTCTTTCGTTTGTTTTTTTTCAAATGTTCTAAAGATATTAAATTTCTACCAATATTTGTTAGGTGTTAATTATTTTAAGCGTTGATTTTGATGACAAAAATGAAGATTTTGATGGTTGAATGATAATGATAATGATGAAATTTGCTGAGGTAAAAAAAATGTGACGAAATAAAGTTGTGTCTCTTTCAATATGAGTCCTTTCTGTTTCGTAATTGTAATTGATTGTTGGATAATTTTTTTGGATTAATTGGAGGAAACATGAAACGATGAGAGAGCGCGAAAAAAGTTGTTCAAACGGCAGTTGGTACTTTTTTGAGTCTTTGCTCTTGATGATGAAGACTGTGTGAAGGCTCTATGGTAATAATGAGAGAGATGATGGCGATATTGATGATGGAAATGAAGATGATGATGATGATGATGATGATGGACGAGTCAAATAATAATAATAATAATAATAATAGAATCAATTTACCATCAACACTCAGGCTTTTTTTGCTTTTATATTTTTGTAAGTAGCAGTTGATGGTTATGATTGTTTTGTTTTTTTTTGTTCGAGAGGAAGTTGAAGAGGAAAAGAAAATGAATATTTACAATCAGGGTGGAAGAAAACGAAAGGAAGGAATGTGATGATGATGATTATTCCATTGTTGGTGTTTATGTGTATTAATCCATGAGCGTTTTTCACTTGTCTCATGTTTGCTTCGACTTTCTTTTTGTGTCAATGTAAAAGCCAATAAACCATTACACTTTTTCTCGATTATCCACTAATCAGTAAGTCTAGATTGTCATCAGAATATATAATTTGCAAGTTTTACTTCCAGGTTTTAGGTTAAAACTCTTCAGCATCCCTGTAACTTGGTTCAGTTGACACGAAAAAGTCGTCAAAGAAACCGTAAAGGAATTCGAAGGTATGTCGTTTTTCGGGCTCAGGATCCCAGCATTGGAGCATAATACTGTAAACGGAGTCCGGACATTCACAGTTGGACGGTTTGGGCATTCGATAGCCTCTTTCGACTTGTTCGATGACTTCCCTGTTGTGCATTCCTAGAGAAATAAAGGAAAAACGATAATTTATTAGTAAAAAGATAATAATTAAGATGATTAAGATGAAGAAAAAAAGATCGAAGAAAAAACTAATTGGAAGAAAATTGAATCTCAATCAAATGAACTTGAATGAGCTCAATGAACCAAAAAAACACTGGAGCTTGAGGTAAGCAAAACAAAATGAAATGATATCAACATGAAATGAATGAAGCTCAGCGAGGTGATGAGTCAGGTGAATCATAACCATGACACTCGCAATTAAATGAAGGTGAAAAATGGAGTTGATGCTTCCTGTTGAATGTTGATCGTGAACAAAACAACAACAAACAAGAAACAAGAAACAAGACCACAAATTGAAAAATGAAACTTTACCAGAACATATTAATTATTGTGACGCTCTCGAAGTTATTATTACAAATTAACTAGTCAACTTGATGAAATGATCAGTGAAACAAAAAGAAAGTTAATCAAGTAAAGATAAAAACGTCAATGAAATAGAGAAAAAAGTAGATCAAATCTTACCAGGATATGGAACTTGTCCATGAGTTATAAGTTCGTACAAGAGAATACCGTAAGACCAAACATCGGATTTGATTGAAAATTTACCGTACAAAGCGGCTTCTGGTGCTGTCCATTTAATTGGAAACTTGGCTCCTTGTCTTGCAGTATATTCAGAATCTTCTATTACCCTTGCTAGCCCGAAATCAGCTACTTTTACAAGTTTGTTTTTACCAACAAGTATATTGCGAGCGGCAAGATCACGATGGATAAGCTTTTGCTTTTCTAGGTAGGACATGCCACTTGCGATTTGTGCGCCCATGTCCAAGAGATCAGGTAATTTAAGATTCTTGCCTTCCCTGTTATTCCTTAGGTAATCTAGTAAACTTCCGTTGCACATGAATTCTGTAACAATTAGGAGAGGTTCTTCTTGTGAACATACACCATAAAGTGGTACTAATTTCTCGTGTCTACATTTTCTCATGATAGCAGCTTCTTCCAAGAAAGCTTGTGGTGACATAGTTCCAGATTTAAGTGTTTTAATGGCCACCTCGGTGTGACCTTTATAGAGACCATAATAAACTTTACCAAAATTACCACCACCAAGTTCACGTATAAATTCAAGATCTTTCCTTTCAATTTCATCCTTTTTGTTAGGCCAATAACTGGGCTTGGTTTTAGGACAAGGTTTAGTTAATGCGTGACACAATCCGTTAGCTCCTTCTGAATAATAATCAACCAAATCTTGTAAAGTAGGAAAGGTTTTACGAGTTGTCACAAAGTAACCACCATTGTCCAAGGTTTTAATTTTGTAATGTTTTACATGGTCACCTTTAGATGATTCCCAATCTCTTATGGACAATGAATAAGCACCGGCTGTTTGTTCACTGTTTCGTATCAAAAAGGTTCCACGAGGTAAATCACCAGCTAACATGAGCTTCTCAGCTTCACGACGAGATATTTTACCGAAGAACCATCTAAATATAAGTTGAAAGGTTGATGGGAAAGAAAAACAAAAAGAAAATAAAGTAAAATTAGTCAAAAGATAATTAATGAGAAATAGAAAAAAAAATAATATAATATAACAAGGATGGACTAAGATGGTTAATCTTACAGATTTTTCATGAGAGAATTTTTCTAAAATTTCATCACAACAAGTCAATATAATAAAGAAAATTAAGTGAAAACATTAACAAACTGAGAATAATCATCAAAACTAATTGTAAGCAGAAAGAAATGAGACAAAACAAAAGCTGAAAACATTTATCAGAGATTATATCTTGTAATTAAAAAGTTCCGGGAATTTAATTATCCCTTGTAAGTAATTATCAATCATCATCATAGATCTGCCCCCTTTTAACAGATTAACTGATAATCCAGAATATCCTATGAATTTGAATTAAATGAAACATGTATGTCAACTGAAATTGAAATTTTCAACAATTTCTGTCCAATCTTTAATCACTCTTGACTTGAGAATATATTTTTTCTCAACCTTCAATCAATTTTTTCAATCAATTGGTTACCAATTGATTAATAGAAACTTTATCAATTTTAATTGAGTTAAGATTTTACTCAGAGATAATAGACCCCTAAAGCTTATCAATATTTTTCTCTCTATTTGTGAGTGATTGAAAATGATCAAATAGTATTACCAAAATAGGTAATAACCCTAAGTTTAGTAATGAGAATTGAGGATTAATGAAATTCATGAGAGGACAGATAGGAAAAGGTTAAACAATTGATAGAATTGATTATTCTTACTCTTCTGTTTCGATGGCCTCTGTTACAACATAATTCCGAGGTATGTAACCTTTTTGATTGGTGACTTTATGTTTAGCTAACCACCAATCTGGATCTCCATCGTCTAATATGATTAAACGATCACCTTTACGAAAGCTCAGATCTCCTTCATCTTTGGCATTATAATTATATAAAGCAATGACTATCTGTTGATTATTTGACCCATGTGATCCATGAGAGCCACTGTGAGAGACCATATGATGAGATGGAGTCCGTACGATTCCTGAATCATTTGAATTGGCACCTTTCAAACATGTGACACCACCTCCAGCACCACTTTGAGCACTAGTTGTTGAATTTGAATTGGTAATACCTTTACAGTTTCCACCAATTCCGGTAAAAGGAGATCTATTATTGGGCATTGGATTCATTGAGTCAGCAAAACCATCCAGATTAACACTGAAACCAGGGTTACCCACACGGTGTGCATCTCGTTTACATGTATTACCCATAATACAAAAATTCTTACCTCTGAATTATCCGATTTATGAGATTTAAACAAAAATAAACAAACAAACAAACAAAATAAACAAAATTCAACAACAGTAAAGGCGATTTACTTCAAACATAATGAAAACTTCAATCTCTCCACAAACCAAAGTAGTGTCGCCTATAAGGGGAAAAACTGTTGCTTAGTAACTTGTAGCAAAGAAATCGCACTATTTCAGCTCAATTACTTTGCGCTTAACTTAAATTACTTTAAGAATTACAATTAACTGGAGAATACACAAGAGTATAATTAGGGTGAACACTTTGTTTTAACGAGAAAAAGAAATCACAATGAGAGATGATGATGGAAATATTTTCAACTCAAATTGTGGTTGGTTGATTTTACTTTCTAATTCGGGCTGAGAAAATCAATTTGGTTCCATTGGATGTAAAGTATTTTAGTAGATTATCTTTGTTTCCAAACTGATCATTAACTTTGAAGATTGGGCCATGAAAGAGGAAAATTATTGAATTGATATGAATAATATTTCACTTGATATCACAAAAGGAAAAGTATCACCACAAGACCATTGAGATTTCCATGAGGATTAAACGTTGACCATAAGTTGAGAGAACAAGAGATTTATTTGATTAACAAATTTGTCTAGTCACAAAATTAGAGGAAAAAAGTTTAATTCAATGAATAGTAAATTATTAACCATTTGCAAATTTAACAGATAATTCAAGTTCTCCCGATGAGAATCAAATCACAAATACAATTAACTGATTATCGATGTAAAAAAAAATAACTCACAGATATACAAAGTGTTACATAAATCCACAGATTCAAGTAAAGAAATTCTAAGAAAACCCCTCACAAACAGTGATTAGAAATGAGAGAAAATCATAATGATCAGTTCTTGATTTAATTTAGTTTTGTCTAATTACTAATCAACAATTAATTTCTTTGACTTTTTATCAGTAGAAATCAAAAAGTAAAATCTTCCAACTCTTGAATTGAAATTCTATTCACCATTATGACTCCTCCCACTTTCGAATTTGTAAACAGACCAACAGATGTCACCTCTTTCTATTCTAAAATTCGGTTACCTGAGTTTGTGGAGTCACAATAATATTTAAAAAAAATTCTTGTTTACTAATTAATTAATTTCTTTGTAAATAATTTAGTTTCATTAATTAACCTAAAACTCTTTGTTTTCAATCAATTGCATCAATAATGGTCTGATTTGATTGTTCTACCTTCAATGGAGCTTCTTTATGTTGTCTCATCTTTGGTCATAATTTTTACCTTTTGTAACTTCACAACTGGAATGTAAGTCTTGGTGTTTTCTTTTCATTTTTACTAATTGTTCTTAAATTTTTTAATTCTATTCTAAAGCTAATTAATTTTCTTACAAATAGAGTTAATCTCTTTTCATTTAACATAAATTCTCGCTTAAAATTCTAATATAAATGAGGCTTTTTCTTTATCTCTCTCTCTCTTTTCATCTCCATATATTTACTGTGTATTCTTTTCCTTATCCCTTAAAGTTGGGGGTTAACCCTTTTTGTCACAATTGTCTTTTTTAATTTTCTTCTTTGTTACTTTTATAGATTTTCTAGAATTTATTGAATCTTTCAATTTTTTTAATCAATCACCTTGAATTAACTGCAATCTAATGGTTACAATGAGTTTCTGCTCTCATCACTCTCGTTGCTCATTGTTGCCCTTACTTTTCATTTTCGCCTAGAAACCATGTGAACATCAATTATTAATTAGTTCTTTTATTTTTCTTTTCTTTTCTTTTTTAGGCAAATTTGTATCAGAATATGGAAGAAGAAATCGACACAAGATTTTCCAGCTTTCCCTTTCATAGCTGGTCTTCTATGGTAATTAAACAATAATTGAGCCTCTCCATTTCTTTTCTGCCACAATCAATGAACCGATTCAATTTAATCAACTTACAAAGATATTAGTGAACTTCCAAGTTGTGATTCTGACTATTTAACATTGAATTTCACTCTCAAAATTTTATTTTCATTTCAATTATACAATTACCGTTGTATTGTTAGCCTATTCAGCTCTATTCATTGAATCACTGCAATCAACAAGAAAGTGAAGATGTTCAAATACAACAATTGAATCAATTGTGGTTTTCATTCATCACAAACAATACTGTCTGGATCAATTTTAATATATAATTTAGGCTTAATTTTTTATGCCATTTTTACATAACAGTGATTAATGATGATTCGTGATCCATTATTTAGTTTTTTGAATCAACTTTTACATTGTATTAACCATTTTCTTCCTCCTTTTTTACCCTTCACCTCTTTCCATTCAACTTCCTGTCTTTTTACCTTTTGTTTCATTCAACCATTAGCACTTTTTTAGGTCTTCGTTATGGACTAGTTATCCACGATTCAGTTACTATATTTGTTAATTCCATTGGTACCGCTATTTTCTCTTTATATGTTCTATTCTATTACCATTTTACATTGAACAAAGTAAGTATCGAATTTAGAAAATGTCACATTTTGCTTACTCTTGATGTCATTTTAATTTCCAATTTGTTTTCAATTTTCTTTACAATTTAGCGATCAATCAATATGAAAATTAGCTGTCTCATTGCTGTGATGTTACTCATTGAATTAGCCTTTGGTCATCAAGAAAATCCTCGAGCCTTATCTGGTATTCTCGCCGGTGTTTCTAGTGTTATTTTTTCCGGTTCTCCGATGACCAGTATTTCTCAAGTTATTCGAGATAAAAATTCTGGTATATTACCTTTTTGGTTAATATTTTCTACTGCTGTTGTCGCCTTCTTTTGGTTTACTTATGGTCTTCTCATAGGCGATGCCTTCATCCAGGTTAGTTGATTAGTTGAATGATTAACCTACGTGGCTTTTCATTATTATCCTTAACTATCACAGTTCTAAATGAAACCACATCGACATTTTTTCTCATCCCTCTTTTGGTTTATCACTGACAATATTTACGTCATTTATTTCTGTTTCCCTGTTCAATACCTAGAAGTTGATTTCTTTATATCATGTTTACAATCACAATTGTGATTCTTTTCAAATTGTTTTCTCCTCTAATTGTTCTCAAACAATCAAGCTTATCCAAAATGTAGAAACACAGTTCTTATTTGATTGCACCTTTATTTCAATCACAATAATTCATGTTTTTTTCTGTTAACATTAAGCAATTTTCTCAATAATGTTCACGATTACACCCACATTTAGATGAGAGAGTGAGAGGGACAAGAATTCATTTGATGAATTTTCTGTTGACACCTATGAGTTCAATCACCTTAATCTTGGCACTTTGATTTTAACCTGATTTACCTTTTCATCTTTTTTTCACACCAAACATATGATGATGATTTGTTCATATTTACAATTTAAACTATTTAACTTGTTTTTTTATTTCTATTTCCATATTGATCTAATTCTTAGATCTCAAATTCCCTCGCCATAATCTTGGCTGTCTTCCAATTATCATTGTTCATTTTCTATCCACCTCAAAGTAGTTATAAGGTGAGTTCGTAATCCATGAATAGTTTTGACGATTAACTAAATCATTATTTTTCTTTATATTTACAGACATTGGAAAAGGAATTTCTCCTCGAAAATTTATGAAAAAGCGGCTCAATTAAGCTTTTTTACGTTTTTTTTACTATTTTGGAACTATTTCTTCTCTGAAATTTATCTCTTTTTCCTGATTTTCTGAGGAATAACAAAGAACCAAAACTTTTGCCCATCAAAAGGAACAATTTTCAATTTCTCTCTTCATTCGCCTTTGGACCAAGTTGACCTTCCTTATTCCTTAAATTGGAACTTTGTTTTCTTTTTACCGTAAAAATCAATCAAAACACAATCATCGCCTATTCCAATTGACAATTTGGGCTTATTTTGTTTAAGAAAAATCTATTTATTCTCATATAATTGATAATAATTATTACTTTATTATGGTATCTCAATGTATGAGATCAATCCCATTTTGATAGTTCTTGTTATTATGACTTGTTATCATATCTATACCAAAAAATCAACAAATTGTACATCTCTTATGGTATAATCAAAAAAAAAGTTAACTAATATTTTATTAATCACTAAATTGTAGTCAAGTATCATGATGTAACATGAAAGTACTAATTGAAAGTAATAACTGTTGTTGCCTTTGAACAATTAAAAGGGTATGATCCGAATCACAATAACTAATAACATGTGAATATTATTAATTTCTCATAATCTAATCTTAATTGAACTAATTGATTTTTAATTAATCGATGCCGAAGAAAAAAAATCGAGTTAATTGTGAGCTTAATTTTTTTTGGATCTCATAAGCCCCAAATCTTTTAATTTAGTTACTTGTTTGGGTTTCACTGATTCGTACTCATATTAATCAAACAAATTGTGCAATGATTACAAGATGAGTGATCTAAATATAATCAAATCAACCCACTGTGATTAGCCCTAAATGATTTGTCCCATCAGGTTAATCCTTAATTTATTGGCACGAAAGTCAATGAGTTTGGTTTTAACTTTAAACTAGATTAACATTTGAATTGAGGGTAAATCAGCAACAGAGTAATTTGATTATAAATTGTTAGGGTTGATCATCCAAATTGATTAACGTGTCTTTCAACTTTCACAATAAGCACAATCAACAATAATTATCGGTCAACTTAAAACTTCAAACTGGTCACGTAACAATCACAATTTAATCAAGGGCGATGATACAAGTGGATTAAAGGGCAAGTTTGGTTAATTAAATTGCTAATAATCAACAATCTAATCATGACAGAGTATAAATACAGACAGTGTTTTAAATTTTCTATTCATTGATTCAATTGAAATCATCATGTATTCATCAACAATCTTAATCATTGCTCTTCAACTAACAATCAATGGTAAGTTTATAAATGAGTGATTCTAAATTGATATTAATAATTTAACTGTCATCTTTATTGTTATTTACTGTTTGTCAATCAGTTGGTATAATTATCGGTGCTCCAAGAAGTGGTAAAGTTAATTGTACTGATTATCGACACAATTTGGACGTTTGGTCAAATGAACTTTTACCTTTGGCCGATCGAGCGATACCTTTACCAACTACACCCGAAGAATTGAACAATGACCATTGTGTCCGATCAAAAGCCGCTTCGAAAAAGTTGAAAGATCTTCGAGTTTGTTTGAAACCTTTTCCGTCTCAAGTTCTCGATGTGATCTTGTCGGGTGCTCGAAAAACCATGAGAAACACATGTAACACCTTCGAAGCCCGTCAAGAGTTTGTCGCCAAAACCGCTTGCATGAGAGAGGTAAGTTAATTGTTCCACCTTAATTACACCAATTAAACTCTTATCTATTACTTTCCAATCAGAGTGGACAATATCCAAAGGCCATCGATTGTGTTGACCGTTATGTTGCCGAAATGGAGTATGTTCGAGATCATATCGATAACCTCGACATGAAGATTCCTTACACTTGTTGCTACTATTGGAAAACTCGAAGGGTAACAATTAACTTTACAATCGATTGAGATTCGCAATTATTAATCTCTTAATTGTTTCTTTTTTTTCTTATTCTTATTCTTATTTTCTTATCCAGTGTTTCCTTAATGTCGTCGCTGCTAATTGTAATCAAGCTTCACTTAACTATTCAACTGAGCACATGGACTCATTGTTTACTGAAACAACTGATTTACTTTGCAATAAATGGGAAGAGGAATCAACTAATTGTGCTAAATTAGCTCCTTTACATTTAAACCGAAAGGCAGTCAAACATTCATTAACTTTTGTCTTACCAAATCTTGACATTTACACTCAAACGTAGACAACAATTTACTAATCAAATACACTCTAACTTATTGTTTTCCAATAAAATTGTTAATTTTCATAAATTAATTGTCAATTTATTTACTTATTGTCGTTTTTGTCTCGACTAAATTAAACACAACACCCAATTAATTGTCACCCAAAGATAATCTTTAGGATTAAAGCTAATCCGTTTTACAGAAAAAAGTTTTTCATCGAAACTTAAGCCAAGAATATAATTCTCAATTGGAATCTAAATTTAAATCATAATCTAATCTTCATTTTAAAACAATTACCAATAAACACCAAACACTGTGTTGATCACCAAGAATCAACTAACATCAATTCAATTCATCTAAATTGTAATCAACTTCCAACAACCAACACAAAATCAATTGAATATCAACCAGTTTCTTTCAAAAGGTTTCATTTTAAAGTAAATTTATCAATTAGTTAATCGATTTTAGTTAATCAAGTGTAAAGTGATCAACATCAATTCTTCAAAATGGAAGCAATTAAGAAAAAAATGGCGTCGATTAAGATTGATAAGGACAATGCTATGGATCGAGCTGATACAGCGGAGACTTCCCTTAGGGAAGCTAATTCGAGGGTTTCTAAGGTGAGCAGTTGATTGTTACTAATTGAATTGTCCCAGACTGTTAATTGTTTTGTTGATTCAAAGGCCGAAGAGGAAATAATGGCCTTAGAAAAGCGATTGGTCCAAATTCAAGAAGATCTCGTTCACGCCACCGAAAATCTTGCCAGGACAAATGAAGAATTGGAAACCAAGGAGAAAAGTCTCCATGTGGTGAGTTAATTGTTTCTCCTTTTCGATCGTGATAATTGTTGATTTATTTTCTTTACGATTAATTGAACAATTAAGGCCGAAAATGAAGTTGCCTCATTAGCCAGAAAAGTCCAACAATTAGAAGAGGATTTGGAAAAATCTGAAGAAGGAACTAAAATCGCTCAGGTTAAATTTGAACAAGTTTCTCAGGCTGGAGATGAAAGCGAAAGGTAATTAATAGATTTAATTGTCGACTCTCATCTAATTAAATTCTCTAATTGTTGTTATATAGAATGAAGAAAATGTTCGAGCATCGTAATACTCTAGATAGTGAACGATTGAAAATTTTGGAATCACAATTGAAAGAAACTCGAACTGCCGTTGAAGAAGCGGATAAAAAGTACGATGAGGTGAGTTAATTGTTGATTAATTCGTTTCCTAACAATTAATTGTTTACTCGATCATTTGATTATCTAGCTTGCTAAAAAGGTCGCTGAGGTTGAAGATGATCTCGAAAGAGCTGAGGAAAGAGCTCAAACTGGTGAAATGTAAGCTAATCGGTTGGGGAATTGATTAAAATCCCAATTAATTGTGATTCCTTTTCATTAATTAGTAAAATATTGGAACTTGAAGAGGAATTGAAAGTCGTCAGTAACAATGTTAAATCGTTGGAAGTAAGTGAAGAGAAATCAATGGCCAAACAAGATGAATACGAGGAGCGAATTGATGATTTAAAAAATCAACTTCGAGAGGTTTGTGTTTAGTTAATTGTTGTTAATCAATTTAGTTAATATCAATTCGATGATTCAATTTAAAGGCTGAAACAAGAGCTGATTTTGCTGAACGAGCTGTACAGAAATTGCTTAAAGAGGTTGACAGGATTGAAGGTAAGTGATTAATTCTGTTTAAATTGTTGTTAATTGTTATGTATAATTGATTTAAATTGTTAATTGTTAATCATTTAGATCAATTGGCTCATGAGAAGGAAAAATCAAAGAGTCTCACTGATGAAATGGATCAAACTTTTGCTGAATTAACTGGATATTAATACTTACTCAATGTTCATTGGAAATTATTTAAATTGGATTGATGATCAGTTGATTGATTTTAATTAAGAAACAACAATCAGAATGATAATTATGTAGAATCAATAAATCATATAAAATGATTCAAATTTTTCTGAATAAAAATCGCGTTCATCGGAAATTAAATATATAAATTTTTCTAAATTGTTCTGATTAACACAATTGTATTTAATTGTTGCTCCGATGAAAATTTCTCAGAAGAATCAGATTTCGATTGTGACCCAATGAATTTTTCAATAAATTCAATCAATTTCTCACAATAAATGAGATAATATTGTAGTTGGATATTTCGATTGTGATTTTCCAATGGAAATGGTTAAAGTTGAAGTGAGTTTTTTTGAACTTTTCTCCGCCACATTGGTTCAAGTAGATCGTTAATTCAACAGGATTGTAGCAATTTCGTAAATTAGATAGTTAATCACAATGAAGAATAATAATTACAGGGGGAAAGTAGCAAATTGTTTTCTTTCCATAGGTGAGTTGTTGTGTTTTTGTTTATCTACACGTTGATTTACGTGAGAATGAGTGAGAAAAGTGAAGAAAAAAACAATTTAGAGTAATAAAAATACTGAAGTTCTCAGTTTAAGCAATTGGAATAGACTATTTATATGTAAAATTTTTCTCTCCGGTGATTTAAGTGATTTGAGAAATTTCCTTCAGCTTAGGTTATGATGTGGATACGAAACTAGTGGTTGATGGTGTTGGATTAACGGTTGAAGTGTTGCTGTTGCTGCTGCTTGGTCCCATGAACTGTTTAAAGGGTAAAAGAATATATTTAAATTGATAAGCGAATTAATCGGATCACAATTAACATGCAGGGTAAATAAATATATTTAATACGATATAATATGTTAGAGAGATTTGGTTTCTAAAAAATGCTTGACTTGTATCACAAAGTGAAAATGCATTTGTTATGTCCAGTTTTTTTCTTCTTTCGTTTTGATTTTGTTAAATTGTTAGATCTATTTAGTAATCAACATTCTTACATTGTAAAATATTTTCTTCCCAACGAATTGTGTAAGAGTTGATTTCACGTCTTTCGATCCTAATCTACACCGAATGTAACCATATAGATTAGATGAACTTAAGATCAAAGCTAAAGCCACGACAACCTGAAAAAAGAGATGAAATAGAAAACCAAGAAATGGAAGAAAAAAAAATTACTAAAGTGAACAGGTAAGTAAATCGTTTTGATTTGTTGTTTACACTTACAAACCACTGGATGTTAAATCGGAATATGGTAACAAGAAGTAAAAGGAACCAAATTAATGGAGTAAAAATTAATGGTATCCAAAATATTTGAGAATCAGCTGTGTTGGAATCTTTATCATCAAAGATATTCAATGATGCTGAATCTGATTGACTTTTGGCATGTTTATTTTCAAACACCCAATGGTTGTTTCCTTCCTCGTCAACATGGTTCCACCAACGAAGACCAGCAAGTAGCCTTCCAGTGACATTTTTAACGGTCCAAAAATCCATAGAGATTAAAAAGACCAGAGCAACAAAAGTGGAGAGAAAATTTTGACCAAAAAGTCCACCAAAAAGGTAGAGAAGAATAGCAGCTCCTTTGAAGGCTACATGGAACAAAGCAGCCATAGGATGTCTGATGAAAGAGGAGAGAAAAATATGATACAATTAAAAATAGAAAAAAAAAACAAATTAAGACAAAAAAAGAAACCACATCATCATATGAACACATAGGGAAACCAATCACACAATATTCAATTAGAATTAGTAAATTACTTGAATCGTTTCTGAGGTTGAATCGAGACACTTCGCTCAAAGTCAAAGATAAGATGTTCAGGACTAGATGTAGACGCCATTGGTAATATAAATCTATAAAGAAAACAACTAAAATAAATTAAATAATTAATGGTGTAAACAAAATAGAAATCAAAACAAAGATTATCAATTCAATCTTTTAACATGAAGGAAAAGTTAAATAAATAAAATCAGCAGACAATAAACTTACAGTTAGAATTTTTAATCACTTCAAGTGAAAAATCTAGTCTACCAACGATTAGATGTTAATTCGCGTTAATTTAACAAAATTAAACAATTGCGATCAAATTGTTTCCATAATTGAAACGATTAAAATTGATAGAAAACAGATTGACAATTAACACGAAGACAAACAGGTGAAGAAAAGTGTGAGATTTAAAGAGTCGATCTGATTGGTCCAAATGGAAAACGCGCCATTTTTTTGGAATCGAATTTTTAATTTTCTCTTTTCTCTCAATGCAAGTTTTTTCTTTGTCGTTTGTTATTAACCATTAATTTATTTCTCGTTGATTTATTTCAATTTATTCTTGGTGATTTAGTTTATTCTTCAAGGTGAGTAATATGTTCAATTGTTTCTTCATCGTTATATTAGATTTTATGGTTTCTATGTATTGTGACGCTATTTTTTATTAATTGTCTCTGGTGTCTTTGCCTGGACTCCATCTTTTGATTATGTTATTAATTTGGTTGATTGTTAAGACCTTTTTTTTCTATATTGGCTTATTAGTTTGGTGATCACTATTAGTTAGATTTTGATTTTGATTTGGAATTACTTTGAACTTTAAGAGTCATTTGTTGCTAACCTTTTGGTTTCAATTTTTTGGTTTGGTTTTTTCATTTCTCTAACATTTCCACCTTTTGTTCAATTTTTTTTTCTTATAGATTTTGGTGACACAATGACTGAAGAAGCGGTGTTTAATTATTTGAAATCGACAAATCGACCTTATAGTGCTAACGATATTCATGGAAATTTGCAAAGCTACGGAAAGAAAGATATTACTAAAGCTTTGGAGAGTTTGGTTGAAAAGGAGAAAATATTAACCAAAACTTATGGAAAGCAAAGTATCTATTTCATCAATCAGGATTGTTTCACTGAGGTTAAAGATGATGATTTAAAACAGATCGAAGAAAATATCAAGGTTCTTTATACCGAATATGAAAAACTTTCAATGGATTTGAATGAAAAAAAGGCTGAGGTATCGCGACGTAAAGAGGTATTACCATTGGAAGAGATAAATAAAAAGTTAACTAGTTTAAATGCTGAGATCAAAGATTTACAAGCCAAAATAGAGACATGTTCAGCTAACAAAGTGGATTCAAGTTTACTCAAAGAAAGTCAAGAAAAACACGCGAAAATGAAGAAAGAAGCTAATAAACGGAAAAGGATCACCAAAGATGCATTTAATATGATTCTTGAGAATTACGAAGGAACTAAGAAGAGCCTTCTTGAGGAGTTGGATATTGATATCTCTTAACCAGATGACCCTCTGTGTTAAAAATATAATGATTTAAAATTTTGTGAATCAATTGTTCATCATCACTGAACAATAAGTAGAGATATTTCAATGTTTCTGCAAACCAAAATGATTCTTGGTGATCTTTTGGACGAACATGTTTTGAATCTCTAACATCTCCAATGCTGGTATAACCACCGGTGGGTATTTTACAATATTTGTTGAAAGACTGAAAAATCTGTCAAAAAGAAAAAGTAAATAATTAATTGAATTATCACAAAGAACAAAAAAAAATCAATATCAAAATGTAAGTAAAAATCTATAAAAGAAATAAAAAAAAAACTAATTTCTGAAAAGTGAACACAAACCTGCCATCCTTGATCACGATATTGTTGATCCTTGGTTAAGTGATAAAGGTAAAACAGTGATTCAACATGTTCGGGACGAAGCAAATTGTGTGCATCAGCTGGATGAATAGTTAATTCATCTTCACCTTGCGATGGATTTTCATTGAAATACATGATTTCCGGTGATAATCCAGTTTGGGTTGTATTGTACATAAATTGGCAGGTTCGAGCCAAAGCCAAGGCAAGTTCCAAGTGTTGGTCAATTTTACTTTTCATTGCATAATCATCAGCATAAGCATTGGTCTTTGTTAGGTGATGATGACCCAAAGCCAACGAACCCGAAAGGAAGCAAACAAGATGATCCATTTTAGGATGAACAACGGATGTTTCTCGACGTAACAATTCACCGATAAAAGTTAATTGTTTTGGACCCTGAGTTACCCTGACAAGACGATTTCTAATTGCATCAACCGCTTTCAACCAATCACCTTTTAACCAATCAATTCCTGTTTGTAAATATTGTTTCAATAAATATTCATAATATGAATCACCACGAGCTCCAAGGGTAATTGTTGACGGTGAGAAACTACCAGTTGCGGGATTGATAAACATTGGCACCAATGGATCATCTTTAGTTAGTTCGTGAAGATGCAAAGATGTTTTAAATGATGTTTCCTCGAAAATTGATTGTTTAGTTATTCGGGATAAATCACGAAACTCAAGTTGCATTGTACTAACTTCCGATGTAGATGAATCTTGAGACCAAACTGGTGATTTAGGTAATTTGGTTAATAGATTAACATCACTATAAGGAATAGAACCAGATTTAGAATCGAAACAGTGAATTAATCGATCACCAACATCAAGAGCTTTTGTCAATAGAGTTGCACTTCGAGTTATATGATAAGATGATAAAAGACCACCAAGAACTCTGATTGTCATTTCGAAACAATTAACATCACCATTGGAATGAAAGTTAAGATCTTTTTCAATCCAATCAAGAGATTCTTTAAATTCTTTCTCTAATCCCATCAATAAAAGTGTATCAAGTGAATCGATTATAGTTAATCCAACACCAAACCAAGTTGCGTAACTTTGTGAAATTGGTTTCAATGTATCTTGACCCCAGGCGTATTTCCTGTAACCTTCCCATGAATGTAAAGTTGCTGCAATTATCTCTTTCTGTTGATTGTTGATTGCAACCTCACTATTAAGTATATCTCGTTCCCAACTAATATCATCTAGACTAAAGTCACCCTCAACTTTAACAAATGACCGATATTGCGATGATGATGATGATGGTGATGATGAGGATGGAGATACAATGAGAGAAGATTTTTTAATTTGTAATAACAATGGATCCAATATTGATGATGATGAGGAAGATGAAGATTGCAATGAATTTGGAGATAAAGGTTTAAGAATATCAGTAACACTAAAAGTATCTTGATTTGAGCTCGGTTGTTGTTTCGGTCGAGGTAATTGTTGAGGTGAAAATATCACAGATTGTTGGGGTTGTGGTAATTGTTGATGGTGCTCATTGTTGTTTTTGTTGTTGTTTAGCTCGTTGATTATATTATTAGAATCTAATTTGAAAGATGACTGATTTATGGGTAAATTGTTTTTGATTAAATCAGGCCAAACCATTAGAAGGCAGCTCATTAGAGAGACAGATAACAAGACAATACCCAAAAATATTTTCACGAATCGAGGTAATGGTCGCCATAACTGTAGAGAAGAAGATGAATAATCAGTATTAAACATAATCGCTAATTTTTTGATGATTTAAAAAAGTTGTCAATGTTGTAACAATTAGATCATAGAAAAGTAAAATTAATCCCTATAGAAAAGGTAACAATGTAAACTAGATTTAAATGTGATTAATTTGAGTGAATGATTGACTTGATTGTTTGCTTGTTCAATAGTTGAACAGTCAATTATTAAAATAGAAAAGTTAATCATTGAGATTATTGATTTGTTACTAATTAGTTACAAAAATAGTATCAATACCCATTCAAGTTAAAGGTTAGTGATGAGTAAATTTAGTAGTCAATGTTAATAGCAAAAAAAAAGGTTATTAATAAACCTTAAGGACCAAATGGATCAATATCTAGGTGAACAAAGATTAATCAACGATGTAAATTTAGTTGATGAAATTATTATTTATGGAAAAATACTAACCCGAAGTAACCTAATCCGATTTGATTTGAATAAAAGGCTCGATTTAGATCCAGTTTCAGGGTCATTGATGAAATGCTCTCTCTCACTGGTCATCCTTGTGTCATTTAAATGATGATTGGATCCTTTCAATTAATGGCAAATTCTTTGTCTCAATTATCACAGAAGAGAACAAATTATGAGGAAGGATGAGAGAGAGAGAGAAAGATATAGAGATGATGAAAGAGAATAGAATAGATTATTAATACATGAATGTCTTTCCAAAATTCTCCGGGGATTGAGTAACAGGATAGAATGTCTTTTGATGAGCACGATGATTGAGAGATTGTTCACAATTTAGATAACAAACATAGAATATATTTAAACGTCGTCAAAATGAACACATGGAATTCTAATAATTAGAATTGAAGATGACAAAGAAGAGAGAAACAAGATAGAAAATTATATTGTTGAAATAGAATTGATAAAAGATATTGTTCAACATTTATCTCTATCAAGTGATTATCTAGTTAATAGATTAGGATGTTTTTTCCCCTTGGTAGTGGATTGAGCACACAATTGGAATTACGGATTAAAATGAGCAGCAATTAAAAGTCATCATTAACAATGGAATTTAATTGTTTGAAGAAGAGAAAGAAAAAAAAATGGTTGAAAAGACACAAAAGTATCTCATCAATGAAAAAGAAGCAAATTTATCAGCTGATTTGCTCTTTCTTTTTTTATCTTTCATAACAAGTTTTGTCTTTTCTCTTTTTTTAGTTTCTCTCCATTTGTCTCTCTGTTCACATTGAACACAAATTCCAAGTAAAAAGAAAATCAATCACCAAACTGATCAGATTAACATTTTCTTCCCAACAAATATCAACTGATATTAAGAAACTTCATGTTAATCATCAAAAGAAATTTAATTTCAGCAAAAAAGAATAAATTTCTTTTAAATTACTCTAATTAACAACTGGACACTTTTTCCACTTTGATTAATTATCCTGATAATGGTGGAGGGAAAAAAATTTAAGAATTTGAACAAAACAGATTAACATTTGTATTATCCAAAAAATCAACAATTAAAAGCTGAGATTAAGATTAAAGTAAAATTTTGTCAATTAATTTTTAAGAGAAAAAATTTTCTTTCTTTTCTTTTTCAATGGCGCCTAATCGATGGTCGAACAACAGATGGCAGCACTTTCGATGGAATTTCAACCAATCACATTGAAAGCGACAAATTTTTGAATCAAAATCTTTTTTGTTTTCACAAGTTTAACTTTCCAACGGCAAACATTTATTATTGTTTCATTTAATTGTCTGTCATTTTGATTTGTTTTTAAATTTATTGATTTATTGATTGATTGAATTGCTATTGTAATGTTTCAAGGTAACAATAGGTGTTTAACCACACCGGTTAAAATGACACCCGTAACACCAAGAAAGTGTAATAAAGATCCGGTTGAAGTTTATTGTAGACTTCGACCTCTCAGGAATACTAATGATCCAATTTGTGTTAGAAAATATAATGAGACTACAATTAAATTAACTCCAATTGGAATTGGTAAATTGGGTTCTTTCTTTACATTCAGAAGTGTATTCCCTGAATCTACCACCCAAACCGAACTGTTTGAAAAGGTTGGTTTTCCTTTGTTGAAATCCTTGATCCATGGTAAAAATGGTAAGTTTTTAAATTCTTTTCTTTTTTACCTTTTGGTCATTTCTTCCATTTTAACTTTTACTTATCTTTTCTTTATCTCCAAGGTCTTCTCTTTACTTATGGTACTACCTCATCTGGTAAAACATATACTTTAACTGGAAATCCCAATGAAAGTGGTATTCTACCTCGAACCCTTGATATATTATTCAACAGTCTTGATGATCAATTGTGCCGGAAGTTTACTTTCAGTCCTGATGGAGCAAATGGTTTCAAAGTTCGATCACCACCTGATGCTTTAATTGAATGGCAAAAGTACAAGCAAGTAACTCGAACACCCTCTGCAACTCCAATGAAAAGAAAAGAAAACGATGATCTAAAAGAATGGCAATCACGAAATCGAGACACAACTAAAATTGACTTGGATTCTAAAGGAAATGGTTTCGCTGTTTTTGTCTCATATGTTGAAATTTACAACAATTATATTTATGATCTTCTTGATGATGAAATTTTTGCTGATAGTCTTGAAAGAAGACAACCTCAGTCTAAAGTTTTAAGGGAAGATAAAAGGAAAAAAGTTTTCGTTTGGAATGCAAAAGAGATTGAAGTCCAATCTTCCGACGAAGCATTTAACCTTTTTGTCAAGGGAGTTCGTCGCCGTAGGATGGCCCATACAGCTTTGAACACTGAATCAAGTCGAAGTCATTCAGTTTTCAACATCAAACTTGTTCAATCACCTTTAGATTCTGATGGTGAAGTTATTCCTGATAGTAAATATGTGACAATTAGTCAACTTTCTTTGGTTGATCTTGCTGGAAGTGAACGTACCACTCGAACTCAAAATACCGGTGAACGATTAAGAGAAGCCGGAAACATAAACAATTCTTTGATGGCTCTTAGAACATGTATCGAGCTACTTAGAGAAAATCAAAAATATGGAATGAATAAAATGATTCCTTATCGAGACAATAAACTAACTCATCTATTTAAAAGCTACTTCGAAGGTGAAGGAAAAATCAAGATGATCATTTGTGTGAATCCTGGTGCTGCAGATTTTGATGAGACACTTGTAAGTATCATTTACAACTAATTAACTTGATTTTACATCAACGACTAATGTTTATTTCTTACAGCATGTGATGAAATTTGCTGAAACAGCACAAGAAGTTATGATTAACCGAGCTGAAGATATACCCTTTCACCTTAAAATGCCTCATCCATATGCATCTCCTAAATTCATTCCATTCCCGAAAAGCGATTCATCTTCGGCTGTGACCACTATTGGTCCATCTTTACCTGCGTTCTCTGTAAGTTAAATCTTTCCAATAGTTGGAGACTTTTTTGTGTCATTTACTTTTGTTTCATCTCATTTGTAATTTTTTACTTTCAGAGTGTTGACTTTAAAGATCGTAAACAATTGACCGATCTGATTGAAATATTGGAATTGAGAAAGAAAAATTGTCTTCGACATTTTGAAAACGTTCGTGCAAAACGTAAGTTACTTTTTACTCTTCTATTATTTATCCTGATTATTATGATATTTCTAATTTTATCTATTTTCTTTTTAGAAATGTTATTCCGTGAGAATCTTATCTCTGCTGAGAGTGAAAATATGCTAACCAAGCAACAATTGAAAATAATTAGAAATGATTTAGAGGTTCGAGAAGATCAAATGAAAAAATTGGAATCCAAGTGTAGCTTATTAGAAGGTGAACAAGAGGAATACATGAGAAAGATTTACAGTTTAGAAAGACATTTACGCGAAGTAGAAGAGAAACTTGACCAAAAGAATCAAGCTCTTGATCACGCTGATATTCGATGTGAATTAACTAAAGCTGCAACCCAAGAAAAGATCGCCCGAGAAAAGGAAAGACTGAAACGAGTTTTCGAGAAAGTTTTACGAGAAAAACAAGCTCAACTTGAGCGAGAACAATGTTTGACCAAAGAGAAAATGCATCTGGTCAAGGAAATATTGACCGCTGACAATTCGGATTGGGGAGTTTTCCGTGAATATTGGGACTCCATGTATCCAAACATGAACCCAACAACCCCTAACACCGGAACTAAAACAAATCAAAATGGTCACAATAACAATAATGGTACTGGCGGAAGTGCGGTCAGTGGCATTGGACATTTACGAAGACCCAGTATGCCTGAATCAACCACTCGAACTGCGTCTATTGCCACACCTGAAAAGACCTCAACTCCATCCTCGTCTAAACGAATGAAACTTGCATCTGAACCTGGAACTTCAATGATGTGCACTCCATCCATTATTCCTACTTACGAATTTGCTGCAGAAAATAATGATAATCGCCTTCGAACTAAGTCAACTCCTGGTATGCCGGTAATTAACCCGAGGCACATTCGATCTCTTTCAACTGGAAATGAGAAATGGATTGATCACCGAGACCAAAATGAACTTGACATGGGAACAGTTCTGAAAGCAAAGATTAAAAACAAAAAATCGATCACTAATTTAAAAGACATGGAACCAGCTGACTTGAGACGTGCATCCAAATATGCGATTACCACTCACATTGCCGATGCCGATGGAGATATTGAGACTCGAGTTTACAAAGGTGAAGTAATCCCAAGCTCTGCCGGAGGAGCTCAGGTCATTTTCAATGACGTCGAAACAATGATTCAATCATCTCCACACAAAACCAAATAATAATCATCCTATTTAACCACCAGAAACAAAACCACATTGTAAAAGTTTTAATTACAACTCAAAATTTCCGATTCATACTCACATCACATCCAGAGAAAATTTTATCAAAACAACTAATTAACTTTTATATAAACTCTTCTTTTTTTTGACAAGCATCTCTATCTCTCTCTCTATTAACCTGATTGTTTGATCAATCGATGTTTAATTAAATGATTAAGAAAAAAAAGAATTTGTTTTTTTCGTTGCATTTTAATGCTTTAAAAATAAACTAATTTTAAATCGAAACAAAATATTGATTAAAGTTAATCATTTTCACAAGCAAATAAAATTTTAAGTAGCAAATTTAATTAGATTAATTATCCAACGATTCGATCCAATAAACTCTTACCAGAGGGTCGACGAAACAAATTAAACCGATTAAATCTAATTCCGAGTAGACCAGTGTAACGATCAGAATTATGTTGATTCGAGTTACCATGTTGCCGATTATTGGAATTATTTTCAAATTGGAAACTTGAACCACCCCGATGACCAACATCGTGTCCCCCGTGGTCATTGTGGTCATTGTGGTTATTGTGGTCATTTTGGTCACTTTCATGGGAACTTTGAAAACGATTCGAGAAAAAAGAGTGACCTGAACCTCGATGCGAAGCGGGAGTTAAAAATCCTAAATATCGCTGAACCAAACCACCGTTGTTATCACTGTGGTCATCGTCGTGTTCACTATCGTCATCCCCACCGTGAGTCCCACCGTGAGCACCATGAGCACTGTTACCACTGTGTCCACCGCTGTCTCCATGGCCGCTCCCTTGTCCACCGAAGTGACCACTATGAAATCTATGAACGTATTCTGGGTTCAAATAGCCGATGGGTATTTTTTTATATCGAATGTAAGTTGGCATTTCGATTGGTCTTCGAAGTGGGAAACCCGCACCGTAATAATCACAATCAATTAATCTGATTGAATTTGTTATGGAAATGATTATAATCTAATCAGTTGTATGAGAAACAATTAGTTAATCATTAATTGAAAATCATTGCGATTAAAATTAAGACTTACCCATAATTTCATCTTTGATTATTTCACTAAGTTGTAAATGATTTGGATACATTTGATTTACTGTTAATTGTTGTTTCATTAATTTTCATTTGATTGTCAACTTGCCTTCATTGTTACAATTAGAGTGACAATTAAGCGAGTTGAGAAAAAAAAATCATCAAATTGTTACAATTTGATTAACTCACTGGTTTTCCCATTTCAACATTTTATTATTAATTTTCATCCGCATCTCTTTTAATAGTTTACAACAATTTAAATTAATTGTTATCATTTTCTATTAGATTTAATTGTAATTGTCTGCTTCCAATTAATTACCTGATTATCAAAACAATTGGGAAACTCACAATTTATTAATAAAATAATTTTACAACAATTATGATAATGAAAATTTGATCTCATGTAATAATTGTCTGATTAACTAATTGTTATAAATTTACAATCTTTATCCTAATTATTTTAAATACATGTGATGAAGTATTGTTTGCATTTTAATCAACCATTTAAATAACGGCAACCAGTTTATTTGATCAAATTGATGATTGTCAATAATCATGAAGGTAAATTAAAAGTTTTAAATGATAAACAATTAGTTGGATTAGTTTTTAATTAACATCATTTATTTGCTTAAAAGTTTTCTGATGACAAGTATCAGGTACAATTCAAGAGGTTTTCAATTAAAACTGAAACAAAATGTTTTACAAGAAGATCTCATGTCGAGCTTTCAATTGATTAACAATTAAGAAAATCAGATAATTATTAACCACGTTGATGAATTTAAATTGTTTCCTTGATTTATTTGCTCATAGCTGAGGCCATTGCACCCTAATTCATTGAAAAGGAGAAATAGAAATTAGTTTTTCAACTGATCGATGAATTTACTTTAGAATTAGATTTCATTTTGAACAATTAAATTGTTAACATTTAACTTACCCTGAGCCAGCAGATGAAGCGGCCATTGCCCCGGAGTTTGGGCCAGTGCTTGAAGCGGAACTTGAGCGTGGTGATGAGTTAGAATTGTAACTTGTATTCGAACCAGAAGTTGAACCAGTACCTGAAGTGGAAGTTGAGCTCGAACCAGAATTTGAACCATCACTGGAGCTCGTCATTGTAGTCTTTTCATAGGTCTGGTCGGTTCCATTGATTTTACAAAGCGTTTTAGTCATCGTGATATTTTGATCGCCGAGTTTAGCATGTTCAGTGGTCACATTGGTTGGGACACATTCTTGTTGCTTATTTGTTTCCTTGATCTGATCTTGAATATCTTTAAATTCAGAAAAGAAAATTAAAACCAATCAAGATCTTGAGGAAAGTTAAGATTGTAGTTCGAGAGAAAACTTTTCATTTTAAACAAATTCACTTTGAATTGTTGCATTTTTCTTCTTAAATTCACTTGATTCAAAGATAATTATGAAGGAACTTACTTTTAATCATATCCATTGCGTTTTTCATTATGGCGTTGGGATCTGGCCCCATAGGCATATACCCCCAGGTCATTGGGGCCATGCCACTCGTTCCGGGGGTGTTTCCACTCGTTACTCCATCCATTCCCCGTTTGGCACGATTAATCGAGTCACCAAAAGTGCCAACAACCAGTGAAATAAATATCAAAGTGATCATTTTAATCATGACGAGAGTGAAGTCTAAACACGAAAAAAGAACAGGAAAACGAATTGGTTCAAAAATTTAAAATAAATGATGTAAATATTTTAAAACAAAGGAACACAGTTAATTAATTGCTACTTACTTCAATAGAATTTATCAAACAATTAGAATTTAACGTTAATCAATCAACGTTCAAAGGAAAATGAGTCTAAATTACAAATGAACTTAAGCTTAAATACAAGAGATTGAGATGATAAGTTTGATTTTTAACGAATAGAAAACAACGCACTCAAAGGTTAATTGTTATTCGACAATTAAAGTTTATTGGTTAAATATCAACTGTACAAATTGTGATTAACGTTTAATTTACGTCCAACTCTCTGTCTATTTATTCAATGGTTTACAATCAATAATCGTCATTAAACTTTATCTTCTCACCTGTTGATCAGTTAAATTGTTTTCTTGTTTTAATTAGTATTCATTTATTTTGGTTCCATGGCAACAATCAGACATTAGAACTCAATCAAAAGGTAAGGTTAACTTTTAATTCAACAATTAAATGACTCATTTCTTATTAATCATATTCCATTTTAATGTTGATCTATTTTAAGGATCCAATTAATTTATTCCTCAATCGAAATCACGGAATTGAATTTTTTTAATTCTTTGGCTTGAGTTTCATTTTTATCCTCTTCAGTGATTACGTTTCGTTGAATAAAAATTATGGTAAATTGTTGTAGATTTAATTTTTTTTGTGATCCGATAAATTAAGAGTAAACATGGATTTTAATTATTCAGGTTTAGATTGTTTTAACTTGTGATATTTAATTTAATTAAGTCTATAGTTTGTCTACAGCATTTTGGTTATCCATTAATCGTATTGGATAATTACTGTTGGTCTGGTTCATACTCATTACGAATAAAAGTCCAGGGGCTATTTGTCGGCCATATTTGTTTGGAGAATCAGATTGTGAGATTAATTGTTGTTGAGTTAATTCAGAAAGATTTTCCAATCTTTCATCAAGATCTTGAATGTTATCCTTTGAATTATTTGTTGTATCCATCATGAACTTGACTCTACGCTCTTTATTAAGATCAGATTTAACTTGATTCATTTCTGGATCATCCTGTTGATTAACATTCTGAGCTGTTGTTGAATTAGTTGTCATCTTTAAGATTGGAGATAATGATGATGATGATGATGATGCTGACGATGAACTGGAAGTAGTTGAAGATGAAGATGATGAAGATGATGAAGAATAGCCTAAAATGTTAAGCATCTCATCAGCGGCGTTTCTTTTAGCTATTCTTTTATTTGGTCCAAAACCAAAGGTAATCAATTCGTTGCTAATTGTTGGTGCGATAAAACGCGAATTTTTTGGAGCTTTAATTGAACATTGAATAGTAAATTCTTTCTTTCGGTGTTCAATATCAACTTCCGATATTAATTTAAACTTTGGTTCGTCCTCTTTTTTGGCCATTTGTAATTGGAGAAGTCGACTAATTGGATTCAATGTGAAAGATGTTTTAATCAACTTCACATCATCATCACCTTCAGCCAATTCCTTTGATTGTTGATTACTTTTGGTGATTGAATTTGACTGGCAAGTAATCATTTCGGAGACTGGGCAATTAACTGAATCCATTGGTGATGAGATTTTTGTATTGTGAAGCCTTGTGGCTAAATCATCGACTTTCTCATCTAATTTGGCTGATTGGTCTCTCTTTTTCTTGTTCGTTTTGTTACCGGTGGTTCTTTTCTTGGATAGCCGATCGGTGGAAGATTTTTCTTTGGTTGGTGAGGAAGAATTCAAATTGTTAGGATCGTTAACAACAGGGGTGGTTTTCGATTGCCCACAAGTTACATTAAGTGGTTCTTTCTCTCTAATTCAGCTAATACTGCGGCTGCAGCTCGTCTTTTGGCTGTCTTTTTACGAACACCTCTTCCCATGGCTGAGTAATTACCGACGGTACATTTAATCACAAAACAGGGCATGTGAGAAGGACCAGATTCCGATATTACATCAAATTGTACTAAGTATTTTCTTTTCATTGCTGCCTCGTAAATCATACTAACTGGTGATTTACTGTCATCATCATCATCTTCCACTTCTACCAATGATAATCCCACCGGTGTTGGTGTATTTGTATTAGTTACAGGGACTGTTGTAGTTGGTAAGGGAAGTTGTCGAATGGTTTTCAAAGCCTCTTCAGCGGCAGCATGTCGAGCGATCTGAATTGTTTTACCTTTACCGGAAAATTGTCTCTCACCAACCATAACTGTCGCTACATACCAAGGTGTACACACACCTCTAATCAAAGGGAATCTTTGATTGTAAAGATTACGATAATTATGGAAATCACCGGGATTGGAAGTCATTTGATTAGAAACTGATGATGGAAAGGACATCAAATTTGACAGAAGATTAGGTCTTATGGGTTGTTCGTAGACATGATATTGTACTTGTTCCCTTCGTTTCATGGCCAAAACATTTAATTCCACTGTTGGTGTTAATTGTGAGTTACATTTGGCTACTTTACGTTGCGATTTTGGTGATGGTTGTGGAAATTTGGTCGATTGAAGAGCCAAAGAAGCCGCTGCATGTTGAGCTTTTCTTATGGAAAGAGCGGAAGACCGATACTCCTCTTTATCGCCCAATCTCAGGAGAACTGAGAATGTTCTTGAATGAGGAGCACCAGATTCCTCAATTAGCTCATATCGACAGGTAATTGAATTAAAACGACACAATTCGTTAACCAAACACATTGGACTTTTCTCCTTATTATTAAATGCACAATATCCATCATTTGGGTTACTTTTATCATCACCATTTTCCAACATATCATCATCATTGTTGTTCATTTTTCCATCAATTATATTTTCTTGATTAGAAACATTTTTCGAAGACAAATTGGAAAAACCAATTCCAGAAAGTAATTCTCCTCCAGAAGAATTCATAATTATATGATTAACATGAAACAATTAATAAATTAAACAGAAATCAAATTGACAAAAGAAAACAAATAAAAGAGGAAACAATAAAAACCTTAAGAGTTACGTATGAACATAAAAAGCTACACAAAGAGAATAGAAAAAAAATTTTCTTTTCTAAAAAAGAACATTGAGATTTAATCGAATTGTATTTCGCTTAATTAAACATGTTCACCGTTCATTGATTAACATTATTCGTCTTAAATAGTAACAATTAATTGAAAGACAGTTGAAAACATTGAGAGATTCTTGTTAATTGACAAGTTCAAGTTTCCAATCTCAGCTGAATGAGACTAAATTCCTATCACACCGATAGACGGGGCTAATTTCTTGGCCTATTAATTGTTACAATTAAATTTAATTTCCAAGTCATTTTACTCTGATGGTTAGTCTATGAGGAATTTTCTGTTCAATTGTATCGAGATGAATTAGTGATTTTCTTTGAGGAGAATTGGTTTACTCTTCTTGCCAATGGGATGAAGAGATTAACCAATGAATTAGAATTGATTTGATTTGATTTGATTTGGTTTGGTTTAACTTGTTTAATAATTTAAAAGATACACAGTTCATGTTAATTCTGAGAAATTTAACAGAAGTTCTTTATTGATCCGAATAATCATAGAATTTTTTTTTAAATATTTCAATTGACACTTCAATTTATCTGAGAATCAAACCAGCAAAAAAACATAGGCTCTGATTTTAAAAGAGGAAAAATGTTATCAATTACACTTTTGTTAATTGTTGTCAAAGAGTTGCAAAATTGTTACTCTTTGATTGTTGTGTATAATTAGTTTTCTGTTGTTGTTGTTGTGTTCTTGTTATTACTATATTATGTGTATAACTAACAGAGACATCATTCGATGCCGACGATTGAGACCAAATAAAAAAAAATCTTGGACTTTATCCTTGACTTGATTAATATGATTATGTGTTTTCTTTGTTTACAATTGATCGGCGATTAAGACATCAAGAAAAAAAAACAAAGGAACCAGAAGACGAAGAAGAAGAGCAAACATGAAGATGAAGATGAAGATGATGATGATGATGGTGTGTTAATGATGTTGGTAATTAAGTTGATTGTGAATTATTTCTTACATATTAGATGGTTTTCTTTTCTGTTGGTTGTTGTATATATTTGCATTTCTTTGTGAACAATATGATGATGGAATGATGATCGACTATTATTTCAATTGGGGTTGTTTGATTTTCGATTTTCTCTTTTGTTTTCTTATAAGTTGTTCCAAATCAAGCATTACCCATGGAAATTTTGGCAGTCAGGATGATGGCAATAATGAGACCAAACAGTCCAATGGCTGAGGCGAAAATTTCAACGATAAGAATCTTGATGAAAAGAGATGGATTAGCGGCATCAGCAAGAGCAGCTCCACTTCCAACAACACCAACAGAAATACCACAGAATAAATTACTTAAACCAACAGTTAGACCAGCACCGAACATGATATAACCTGAGAGGTAATTTTTTGCTTTAATCTCAAAATTTTCTTCCGCTTTAAGAGGGTTAAATTGTTCAACAGTATTGAGAAGCACAATTGCTAAAATAATACCATAAATGGCTACAGCTTCACAGAAGATAATTGATACTAAATTTTTGGTTCTTATTCTAGGAGCTTTAACACCACCACCAATAATTGATACTCCAGTGGCAAAAATACCAGTGGCTGCTCCTACAACGCTCAACGATATGGATAAACCAATACCCAATGCACACCACATATAAGGAGAAATACCTGTAGAAATTTAATTGACAAAGAGAAAAAATAGACAAGAAAAAAAAAGAGAACATAATGAGAAGAAGAAAAACAAAATGGTAGTATAATCATTGAGAGAAGGTGAGAGAAGAAAATTGTCAAAAAGCATAATAATAAGAAGAAGAGATAAGGGCTCTTCTTTTTTCTTCTCCCGTTAAATTACCAACATAAGGTTAACCCAAACGGATACACAATCTATATAATTAGTTAATTACCTTCAAGAAGCCATTGAATATCTCCCATACGAGAACCTCTCCCGGTTAACATATAATATAGAGAAAAACATAATAGAGTAAATATTGTTGTTCCATATACCGTAAGTTGAGTGTAATATAAAAGACCCATGATGGTAACTCTATTTGGGGAGACTATTTGGAATGACTTGGTGATCCGGACTAACACCTAATACAAATATAGATTGACGGAAATTCTTCAAAGATTAACACTAGATTAGAAATTAATTTGTCAATTCACAAAGAAAGAGGTGTTTAATTAACATTAATTTTGTCCTTCAATTATCACCAAAAATCAACTATCAATCTTATCAACTCTCTCTCCGAGTTACCTTGTCAGAGGCGTCGCTGGAGAAGCGCCATCTCTGGGTTACTTATATTACTAAAGAATTTTTCTTTTTCAATTCGGATTATTATTGGAGGAACTTTTCTTAAATGTAATTATTTTCCTTTTTTTGGAAATTAGTTTTATTTGATGAATGAGATTTTTTTTTGAGTTTTTCTTGTTATGCAACAAAATTACTTATTTTATTCATTAACTTGATTACTCTCTTATTTTTTATTTCATTTTTTGTTTTGTTTTGTGAAATGATAAGTGTATTTCCAATAAAATGATGTTCATTATCATCATCATTTTAATTGTTGTTTTTTTTGTTATTTAAACATCAAGTTATGTTTTATTTTGTTGGTTTGTTGTTGTTGTTGTTTTGGATGGGATAAGAGATCAGATAGACTGGGTGTTAGAGATCAGGACTTTTATTAGGAGTATAAATGGGTGCGTTAGGATCCAATGGAGATTTCATGGACGAGTCATGTGAATCATTTGGATCTGACATGAACTTAGAGTTGAGCATAAGAGATGACACAATATCACTATCGATTCCAGTGTATGCGGTTGTCGCTGGCATAACTGCTAACAATTCGGTGAAACGAGATTTAAGCTGGGACACGATTGACTCTAGTTCTTCGATTCGTCTATCTTTTTGATGTAAAAGCGCTGAAATGAAAAAAAAAGAGATTAATTTAGTCAAATTTTCAAATAACATGGATAACATATAATCGATGAAAGACGTAAAAAAGAAACGATTTCTTACAGTTCCTACCTTGATTGATTTCGAGCTGTCTTTTAGCTTCACCCAGAGCAGAAAAAAGATCCAATTTTAACCTTGTCTCTGCACTTAAACTATTCTCGAGGTGTGCGTTCTTGTCTTGCATAGCAGACAAAGCGGACAAGAGTATTTCTGTATCTCCATGAGATTCTTTATATTGACGGAGAGACTGTAAAGTAGACGCGAGGAGAGAAAAGGAGAGTTAAATTAGCAAACAATTAAATTAAAAAGCAATAATAAGAATGAGAATGAAATTGATAAAAATCTTTGTATTCCTTACCTGAGCCTCACTATCAATCTGTTTAACTTGGTCTTCTCGAGCCTTGATCTCTTTCCTCAAGAGTTTTAATTCATTCTCAAGTTCTCTTCTTTTGTTTTTACAAATCTCTGTACATTCAATTCGAGCAGCTGCTGCTGCTGCTCTGGCGTTCGCTTCGTCTTTTTTGGCTTTTCTTTCACTGGCAAGTTGATTCTCATAAGATGTTCTTGATTTTTTCTCCTCCTGCAAACGTTTCTCCAATTGTGACACCGCTTGCTTATCTTGCTGTCGTGCACTCAGCAAATTGTGTAGCCTAGTCTGCAGGCTATCGTTATCTTGCTGAAGGGTTGATATCTCGTTCTTAAGTCCTCTCTCCTCGGATAGAAGAGAGTTAATTTGAGATTTCAACTCAAGTTCCGTCTGACGACTCGCTTGTAAGTAAGCTTTAAGTCTTTTAATGTCTGCTTCAAGGCTATGAAAATATACGCAAGAGAAAATGTAATTAAATTAAAAAAGAAAAACAAAAGAAAATCAATTAGATATGCATGGATAATGAATTAATATCTACAGCTGAATCTTAGATTACATTTGGAGAGCATTGAAATACATGTGAAAATTGCGTAACTTACCGTATCACAAGCTCATCTTTCTGCGATGTTAAATTATTAGCCAAATTGTTTTTGGTCTTCTTATTTGAAATATTCAATGATTGAACATTACCAAAAGGTAAAGAGTTGGCATTGGTTGTACAGTTATTAGATGTTACATGGTTTGATGAGTGGTTCAATTTGTTTGAAGATGAGAGTGTAATGGATGCCATAGAATTTGTCAGCTTATCAGCTGATTTGTTTGATGAAAGTGATGATGTAGATGATGGTGGAGTGGTTGATGTTATGGTTTTAAATGAATTTTCATGATTATATTCACCTATGTTACTGTCATTCTCGTAATCACCGAGTTGCTTTTTGTTGTTAATTGAATGTTCCATAAATTGAAGCTCTTGCTTATCTATACCATTGGTATAGTTTTTCTTGGATTCATATTCATTGTTCAATTTAACTAAGTTAGGCGGTTGATGACTAACAGTTGGAGTTTTTTCATTATTTCCTGAATTGGCCTTTTTATTGTTGAGACTATGGTGATTATGATTTAAGGCTAATGGGAGAGGAACACTATTAGAGATGACAGAGGTATTGTCCGTTGAATTGGGAGTGCAAATTTCCTGAGGTAAAGCCTTTTGAAGAAGCTCGAAGTAAAATTCATTTTCTTTTGTAACCTCCGATTGTTTTCTTATTCTCATCTTATAACTAACATGACTTTTAAAACCAAAACCCAGGGTAACCACAGAATATCCAATGCTGTAATAAGTAAAAAAGATGAGAAAAGAGAGATAGAGAGAGAGAGAGAGAAATGAAGGTTAATAGTTTTTGTAAAGCTAAAAAAAGCTACTACCAATGAGGTAAAAGATGCATGATGAGTTTGAGAGTGTGAGAGAGGGAGAAAGTGAAGAGGAAAAACTTACCAATGAGCCGCAAAAGGTCTGCAAAGGTCTAAATGAAAAGGAAGGTTTTTTAGTTCCTTCAGGCGAAACGATGCTTCAATATATACAAATAGTAACCAAAGTGATAATGTCGGAAGACATATTCCTTTCTCAGTATGCCAGACATATTGTACCCAAACATATGTACTGGCAACAAAAAATAACCAATGAACAGGGATGAGAAGGAAACAGATCATATCGGATGTGAGTGCAATGAAAACGAAAAAAACTGAGAAAGCCAATCCTTGGTATTTAAAGGAGTCGTAAACACTTCGTAAGAGTAACCAGAACGGCCAAAGATACTCAAATCGAAATTCGAGAATGAAATCAGCAAAAAGTACGAAAGACCAAACCATCAAAAATTTCAAGTACATGAAAGTGCTAGATGAAGATGGTAAAAAAATCCAAATTAGTTGAGATTTACAAAGATATTGATAAGATGATATCAATAAAAAAGCAATGGAGATCATCATCATGTAGAGAGATAGTGAGTGAGAGAGACAGAGAGATATCTAGACAAGTTGATAACAAAAGCAAAATAAGATGAAACAAAAAATAGGAGAAGCAAAGAAAAAGAAAAGCAAAATGAAATAATAATAAGTATCACTAATCACAGTTGAAAACAAATTAATTGAAAGATGCTTAATTAAAAGCTGACACATTAGTTGAACAGAAATTTGATTTGTCACCAATAGCGAATCAAGACTAAGCCAAGAAACCAAATTGTTCAACAATTGAAAAGAAAATTTAAATTGACCAACAGGCATCAAGTTGCTTATGGATTCAACTACCATTGAGAATTTGCAACAGTTTAGACTATTCTTTTTAAACAGCTTATTCTCCTTCTTAATCTTTTCCTAGTTTTTAACCACAACTTTTTCATCTCATTCACATCATCAATCTTTTCTTTTTTAAGCTTTTTTTTTACTATTACAAGTTATTACTATTAACCTTAATTGGAAATGAAAAGGTAGAGAGAATTAGTGAGAATAACAACCTTCACTCTCTCATGTTACATCTTCAATTGATTCTATTCTTTATTATTAGTGAGAAAGAAAGAGAAGAAAGAGCAGAGAAAGAGAGAGAGAGAGAGAAAGAAAGAAAGAAAGAAAGAGAGAAAAGAAAAAACAAAAACACATCTTCTAACTGACGTAATTTATAATCAAACTGATTATATTGATAGAAACAATTAAATCGGAGGATGAAGATTAGATTAATTAAGGTAATAACAACATAATCATCAGCAGAAAGAAAATCAGAAAAACATCAAGATAGAGTTTGTTAGAGAAAAAAGAGAAAGAGAATAAAAGAAGAAAATAAAACATAATATATTTACCTTCCATAAAATCCACTCGAGGTCAGCTTGGATTTCTTGACAGGACGACGAAATTTGCCACAAAAATCGGCATTTCTCCTCTTCATATTCTACCTTATTGGAGCCACTCTTGAACAATTCGATAACAATAAATAACAAATAACTAAATATTATTAAATAATTATAATAAAATTAAACAAAATTATTAAACAAATGAAAATCTGCTTTTGCTTCAGTTGAATGGATCCCAGGGAAGAGTAGTGAAGATCCGAATCCAGAACAAGTTTTAATCCGGAGAAACAACTTAACGCAATTAGGAGACATTCCCTTGGAGTTAAATTCTTTTCCAAAGTAACGACACCTGATGGAATTTATCAGCTTTAAACTTTAAAGTGAATCATATGTTCAAATTATAATTTCGATTTCATTTGATTGATTGTGTTTTTTGTTTGTTATTTAAAAAGAAGACGTAATTAAATTTTGCTTTTAATTGTTTTTTGTACTTGTGGATCTCAACTTTTTCAACATGGAAAGAAAAAAACCTTCTACTCAGGAAGATAAAGAGAAAAAAGAAGACGATCTTGCTCGACCTGCTGGTCAAAGGCCACCGATTGATCCTTTGGTTGATTCAGGTTCTAATTTACGTGGACCACCTATTGTGAATATTGGTCGTGCTGATCTTGATCCTTTTGCTGGAGGAGTTGGTGGTGGAATGATTTTCGATCCAAATGATCCAAGTCATTTTATTCAACCCAATCGGCCTCAATTTCCTGGAATGGGTCATTTCCCTTCCCCCTCTGGAATGATTCCTCAGCCTCCTTTAGGTGCTCGTTTTGACCCTTTCGGTCCTGGTGGTACACCCGGACGTGGATTAAGAGGTGCAAGGCCTAGAGGAGGAGGTGGACATTTTCAGGGTCCAGGTAGAGGCCCTGATAATGACCATATGAGACCTGATGGATGGGATGATGCTTTCATGTAGTATTTTTGATCAACAGTTATAGTAGCCCATCAATTTTAATTGTACTGCACAATTAAGCTATTAAATTTCTCAACTTGCTCCATGTAAAGATCATCTAACTAAAAATCATTCTTGTAAAAATTGATCAATTTTGTCAAAGTGTAATTTTTATCCCGAAAAAAGAAACGATGAATACAAAATCTTTTTATAAGATTAGAGTAATTGTTTATTTAAACGGCATTCAGAAAATTAAATGATTATTATTGAGAGAAAAGGAATTGAAATTTAACAAATTTTGTTACAAAAAAAATGATTAGTCAAACTAAAAAGATGAATTATTGGAATATAAGAAAAAGATAATGACTAGATGGAAACAACTCAAAGTATCTGAGATTTTTGTTTACATCAATTTAATGAGATCTCTTTATTTACTTATGAATGAATTTGATGTTTAAATTCAATGTCTATTGTAAGATGATCGTGTACTCATCTGAGATCTGGAAATCAGCCCATTTACTTGGTTCGAAAATCTTTTTAACGGCCGAAACGTGGGCATCGGTTCTTAAATGGTCCATTAGGCTTCGACGATTGAAAAATTTAATATCAGAGCAAAGTTCACATTTTGCAACCGCTTTCATGTTACTGGAAAAAAAGAAATGGAAAAAAGAAAAATAATTAGAAACAATCACAGATTAAACTTTTTTGTATTACAATCGATTCAGTTTTACTTACGAGTCTATGATCAACTTCATTGATTCTAAATTGGTTGCTAAATTTTCCTTGAAATTTTCGAAACAAACTTCGGCTACAACTTTGTGTGTTTCGTAAAGAGGTTCGATGAGCAGATTTACATTTGAAGAGGTTAATTGATCTTTATCAACCCATTCAAATTTCCTTTCCCATTTTTCTTTGATTGGGATAACGACTCGTTGTCGTGATAACAATTCCAAAACCATGGCTCGAATCTTTTGTTGTTTCTGGAATAAAGCGTGGCCACAAATTTCTGCGAAATTGGATTCACTTGATAAAACATCACTGATGTTGTAACGAATCAGATTAATCTTGGTAATATCTGCGTTATCGATGAAACAATCAAAAGTAATTTCCATATCATTGTCTGGGTCGTGAGGATGTTTAGTGTTTTCATCGTAACCCAGTCCACAAAGAGCACTAACATATTGTTTACGTTCATAGTCCACACGAAATTCAACTCGTGGTGCAAATAAGAGAGACATTAATTGAGGAAATCCGGTGATGTCGGGCATTAGTGTTGTATTTCTAGCAGTTAATCTGCCACTTTCTGGTTGTAATTGGACACATGATGCAACAAGAAGGCGTTTGTTTGAATTTTCTGGATCAGGATCAAAACAAACAGAGTTTACAGATTCACTGTCAATGGCCACTCGTAACACTGAGTCTTGACGGGTTACTCCTTCGAAGCTCACTTCAATTGGGGTGTAAGGTCCTTTCAGTTTGACCTTTTCTTTGCTGAATGGACTATTGTAACTGTTGATTAAACTATCAGCTAGATATTTGGCCTCTCCTTCCGGGATAAAATTTTCAACAGTACAAGCCTCAGTTAGAGTATAAAGAGGCTCTTCTTCCTCGGTGGCTCGATGATGGAAACGAACATTGGAGTCAAATTTGGATTGTGAAGGTTCGTCCCACTTGACGAATACTCCATCAGCTAATAGTTTATCATTGATTGAAACGCCATTATCTTGGCCACGGAAAAGTTTCAGGGCGATCACATCATTCACTACACTATAAACCATTCCCCAAACATCGTTACAATTCAACACTAATGAAGCGAAAACATCTAAATCATTGTAACGAGCTTCTTGCTTCATTTTACGAGCTTGAGAAGGAGTAACTTCACATAGACGACATGCCATGGCCAAAGCGGGAGTCGAGAACAGTTCAACTGGCATTTGAGTTGGATCAAGACGAACACAGGAATCAAGATCTTCTAAATTGATTATTCCAGTGGTGCCAGAGTCTATACAGAAAACTTCGAAGCTTTTACGTTCTCGATCAACCCGACAAACTCTTGCTCTTTCTAATTTCCTTGGACGATCTTCATATTTCCAATTTATTATGATAACATCGCCAACTTTAGGGTCGTTGTATGGAAACTTTTCTGGCTTGTAAGCATTTTCGATCGCTTTATCAAGGTTAGCGAGCATCGTAGTAGTTTGTCTATCTCGCATTCGAGCATAAAAAAATTCCGGTTCAACTTCGGTTACAGTGATTTCAATTTTTTTCTTACTCTTTGATGGTAATCGTGGATTTGGTATTTTACAACTCGAGTAAGGTGGGATTCGGTAGCGAGCTGTCCTGAAAAGATGAGCTGCATTAATTTTAGCTTCTCTAATATCAAACAAAGATTTGATTCTTGGACCAGCGATGTGAGGCTTGTACTTGGTGACGATGATTTGTTTACGACATCGATTGAGTTTGATGGCCAAGTAAACAGCGGTCGCAACTTGATTTTCTTGGAACACTTTTTTCCTTAACATTGATTCTTGGTAAAGAGATTCTTCAGCTCGAGGAACTGCCATACCATCAGTTTGAGATGAAATAGCTGGACCCAAGATTTCATCATCCTTTGTATGGAATGTGACATAACAATGAGTATCCTCGAATTCAAGTTCCATATGAGAATCAATTTCTTCTAAAGCTAATTTAATTTGATCAGCATAAAGAACACCTTCATGTTGAGGTAATCCACTTAGTTTAACTGTTTTGTAAGGGTCTTTATCAGTTAACTCTTTTGCGATTTCGGGATTTCTGAGAGGTGTTTTGATGTAATAATAAGGATAAAAAGCCGCGGCGATAACGACCTTGAGGATGAGCTGATCTTCAAATTTATCTCTGATCAGGTTGGGCCTTTTTTCGGATTGGATACCAGCGGAAGTTAATCTTTTTCTTAATTCATCAACCAAATTGATGACATCTTGAAGTCGAGCATATTGAATGAAATTGACTCGACACCAAGTCTTTGCTTTTGCAGAACGAGATTCAAAAATACCTGCACTCACCATATCCCAGAAGGTTCGATAGGCATACCAGTAAGCGATTGGGTCACTAAAAGTACGTTCAGTCCAAGCTAAACGCGCTTTGTAAGCTCTAATTGTATCATCGAAACTTTTGCTGAAAAAGTTTTGTAATGAGAGACATGCAGCAATAATGATACAATCGTCGAGGCAATCAAACAGGTAGCCCATCATCACAAATTTAGATAGTTGAACATCTAATGGGAGATCGGCCATCATTTTACCAAGAAGGGACAGTTGACCATCTTCTTCTTCATAAACACCGTTAATTGTTGGAGTCAATGCACCGACTCTTTTCAGTCTAACAATTGAACGACGAAGATCACCTAAATTGGGAGAGTCAATACAAAGAGCAAGTAATTCTCTCGGTGGTCCAAGATCTAATTTCTTCACTTTAAGAATAGCATTTTCTAAAGGTGTTCTTAATAGTTCAGGTACACCTTCTTTCGACATGAATCTATCATAAAATTCGGCAGTGACCATTCGATAGACTCGACCATCTTGAACTCGACCACATCTACCAGCTCTTTGATCACAATTGGCATGTGAAGCCCACTCAAGTTTTAAAGTTGGATAATTAGTCATTTTATCACAGACTAAACTCTTGGTCAAACAATAGTCAATAACATAAACAACTTCTGGCACTGTAATTGAACTTTCGGCGATATTTGTTGATAAAATAATCTTTCGTTCACCAAGTTTAGTAGCGACGAAAACTTTTCGTTGTTCCTCCAGTGTGATCGATGAATGAAGTTGTAAGATGAGCCAATTTAGTCTAAATTTTGATGAATAAGCTTCTAATAATTTAGTCATTTGTCTGATATCATCAAAACCAGGTAAGAAAACAAGAACAGCTCCTTTTCGAGAAGCTGATCTATCAAGCGAATCAAAATGTTTAATCATAATGGGACACATTCGGGCTCGCACAGCATCGATGTGAGGATCTTCAATGTCGAATTGTAGAAACTCTGGTTGTTCAACACCAACTGAAGCTTCTTGACGCCATGTTGGTGGAAACCCGTTGATATAAGTCTTTATAATTGGCCGAACACTTTCCTCGATTTTAACTTCATAAGGTCGAATTGGAAGACCAGATTGAGATTTGAGAGAAAAGTAATGCACAAATTTGTTGGAATCAAATGTTGCACTCATGAGAATCACTTTAACTGGAGCTGCTTGAGTCCAAAGAAACTTCCTCACAACCATTAACAACAGATCAGTTTCATCACTTCGTTCGTGAATTTCATCGATAATGATGTGAGTATAATTGTCCATTTTCTTTTCAGCGATTAACTTTTGTAAAAGAACACCAGTTGTACAGTAAAGGAGTCTAGTTAATTCTCCAGCCGTTTTGTCCATACCAATTTGATATCCAACAAGTTCGCCCACTTTCCAGTCTCTTTCCTCACAAACTCTTTCGGCTATACTTTTTGCCGCTATACGACGAGGTTGAGTGACCACAATGTTGAAATGTTTATTACGATTATAACAATCTTCCATTATGAATTGAGGCACTTGAGTTGTCTTACCACACCCAGTTGTACCTTTAATGATGACAACTCGATTTAAATTGATTTGGGTGGTGATGTTTTTCCTCTTCGATTCAATGGGTAATGGAGCTGAATTATAATCTTGTTGTTTTTTAACTTTGAAAAAATGTTCAACAGTCGTTCGGAAATTTGGGTCTAACAACTCATTTACCTCGTCGAGGCAAGTACTAACACCGTCAAGAGTTGCATGAGTGGTAGAAGCTGAGTCGTCATCGATTTCCATTTTGAAATCTCCGTTTCGATTATTTCGACGGAAGACGAATTGCTAAAAAAGAAAAATTCAACATTAAAATATTTACAACATAAATCGAAGCCGAAAATATTGAACTTTGATGAGAGTGATTTGATTCGTCCTGTTGAATCAATATGTTTACTCACCGAGGCTTTTGTTTTTTCTTGTTCATTTATACGGTTAACGTAAGCCTTTTGCTCCATTGAATCACTGAAGAAATTAAATAGACAAAAATAAATTTTTATAAGAATTTGATGAGCAGTTAAAGAGTTTTAATACTTACACGTTCATAAAACGAGATCCTGATTGATAGACTTTGGCTCGTTTGGAGTCGGGCTCTTCGTGCTTTACTCTCGCAGCTTCAATTTCCGATTGACGAGGATGAACGGAGATTGTAGGTCGTTCTCCTGGCTCAAGATTGAAAAGTGATAAAAGATCTTCAGCTCGAACACCAACATCAGGGATAGAAATAGATGGTTGAGATCCAGGTTCAACTTTGGGTATACGAGTAGCCACTTCAATCTCTTCGGTAGCCATTGGTTCAGATTGAGGTTCAGATTCAATGTCTCCACATTCACGTTTAATATGAACTGTTGGATCAATTGGGTTTTCCATTGACCCATCTTCAAGAATATTATTCCTGAGAAATGGTCTTCCTAAACCTCGTTTGGGTGTTTGATTAGATTCATCAGCCATGGTATAAGATTATTGGAATACAAAGCGTTGAAATAACCGTAACTAGAGAAAAAAGAATAATTTAAAATAAAATGGTTAAATTGAAGTTATAAAAAAACACAGAAAGAATAAAATTAATTCAATAAAAAAGCTTAAGATGATGAGAGTTGATTAAATTGATGAAACACAAAGTGTAAGAATGAGAGTGAAAACCAAAGTGATGACCATTGATTGACCAGATACTTATTTATACAAATATCCAAAGGTACTTCAAGTCGCAAAGAAAAGTCAATTGAGATTAAATAAATTATGATAGAAAGAGCTAATTGGCAAAAAAAGAGAAATAATTAATCTAATCGTTTCGATTAAACATGAACGCTGTTCAATTGACCGAGCAAAGGTCATCTTTTTTAAAGTAGAGCAGAAAGAAACAAAAGTAAGAGCTCAAGTGCTCCAATTAAGTGACTCTCTCAAGTAAGCTAGACAATAGGGGAGCTAACAATTTAATCTACACGTTCAACAGTGTAACTTAAACAAATGGTGATGATAAAACTGACAATCTGACAATTGAAATAAAAAAAAGCCACAGAAGAAAATTGTAAACAAATCAAAATAACCCAAAGAAAACTGAAGATATTTGAGAGAAGGGTAAACATGAACACACAAATTAGACACTCGAAAAGCTTTTAACCAAATAGAAAACACTTTTAATCAACTCACCTAAAGATGACAACAAACAATTGAATGTAATTAACTAAAACAATTTAAACTAAATTAATGAAAAAAAAGCCAATTGTTTTGAAAAAGAATAGAAAATGCCGAACAATAACCGACCCGCTTTCGAAAACCGCATAGCCGAAATTCGATGCCGTCGCCATCTAGCGTTTAAAGAATTTCAATCTTCAGATGTGAAAGTTACAATTTATTTTCTTAATTCCTTTTGTTTAGTTTGTCACCAATTGTTTCACAATTTAATTCGCAATTAATTATGAATACTAAATTTGTTTGTAATCTTTTGTTAATTTGTTTCTTCATTTTAATTACATTCTCTCAATCAAGTGAGTATCTACCGTTTCTACTCATCTTTCTTTCTATCGATGTTTCCTCAAGTTTTGCGCCAGTGAATTACAATTACAATTGATTGTTTTTCTTTTTATTTACTACTTGATGCAATTATTTTCAGGTGTTGCTATTAAATGTTGGATTTGTAACAGTCGAACTGATCCTAAATGTGGTGACCCTTTCGTTAATCAATCTATACCTTTAAACGATTGTGATGTTGACCCTCATAAACCATCAACGCGTAAGTAGAACAAAAAATTGAGATTCTTTTTTCTTTTTGTCTCTTCTAATTTAATTTTCCAATTGTTTTACTAATTGTTTAGCTGATTTGGCTGGTGCTAGAGCAACAATGTGCCGGAAGATTCGACAAAAGGTTGAAAACGAATGGAGAGTAATTCGATCCTGTGCCTATTTGGGTTCACCAGGTGAAGGGACTGGTAATGAGAATGTTTGTCATTACCAAACAGGTAAGTTTCTTTTTCTCCTTCTATGGAAATAATTCTATTCTATTTTGAGGAAAAGAAATACACGAAAAAAAAGAAAGAGATCATATTGGAAAATCTTTTCATAATATCGATCAATTGATTGATAGTATTAAAGAAAGAAAAAAAATCTATAAAAACAACCAGTTGATCGATCGGTTGATTTGTATTTTCATGAATTTAATTGTTCTCTTATTTTTTTCTCTTCTTTTTTGTCACACCCTTTTCCTGCCAGAATCATACAATGTTTTCCGTGAAACTTGTACCTGTAACAGTAAAGATGGTTGTAACCATGGATTCTCAATTCGAAGTGGTTCTCTCATGATGATTTTCACCACGATGTGTCTAGTATTTGTTTTCGATTTAATTTAATTCAATTATTCAACTGTCAACGAAACAAAACCAATCAATTTGTTGGCTTCAGTGCCAATCACGTCCACAAAGTGTTTCAATTGAGGAATAATCAATTATCTTCTTCAAGTAAATCCAATCTTCAATTTGTTGATTTAATATTCTGTTTTAACTCTTGCATTCCCTATCACCGCCTTCGTCATGATCAATACTTTCACCATTGATTCAGTGTTTTTCCAAAAGATTAACCAAAAAAGTCACAAATTAACTGCCATTATTAATTGTCCATTTAGTTGATTTCACTTTTTGGTTAAACGAATTGTCATCATTACTAAAGTCATTATCATCACAGTGATGACTTGAGAGAATCTCATTTTTTAACTACACCATCAATTCATGAGTTGAATTATCATCAAGTAAATCTGACTGATAATTTTGACGATTTTTTTTGCTAATTTATCAATTTGTAAACACAATTCTGTCATTCGATTAGAATATTTTAATAAATTTTATGCTCATGAATGAAATGAATGAATTTTCAAGTGTTATGTTTGATTTTAAGACGAACTATTCTATGTAAATAATTAAATTTTACTTTATTTCACTTTCACAAGATTCAACGTCACCAATTGTTCAAGTTTGGTCACTTCACGCTCTAACCTTAATCGCAGACTCTGGTGGTCCAATGTTCCGTACATATATTGAACCAACATTAACCCATTCAATTAAATTGTTAATCCAAGTTCCATATCACCATTGTGATGTTCATCAATGTATTGGTAAACTACTTTCCGCTGTGATAACCACCGTGGGACCTGAACTCCAAAGTGACACACCAGCACTCGCTGTAACCCGGTCTTCCCTCCTTGTCTCTTGTGGTGTCATGCAAGAGCATTCCGACCCGTTGGCTCAATCCCAGGCTATCGGGTGTCTCCAGCAACTTCATATGTTTGCACCAAGACATGTTAATCTATCATCTTTGGTTCCGATGTTGTGTTCAGTGTTAAATAGTCCCCACTTATTTTTACGTCGATCAGCAATCGCATGTCTCCATCAGCTGATCCAACGGGAAGCTAAACAAGTTTGCAGTCACGCCGCTGATTGGTTAAAAGACTTGAAGAATTCTGATTTTAAACAAAATTCCAATGGAATCAATCATCTCCACAGTGAACACGGATTACCTGGTATACTTTTCTACCTGATGGATCATGAAAATGATACAAAAATATTATCCGATATTCAGAAAATAATAACTTCTCTGGTTCAATCAATTGCTACGGAAAATTTGCAAACTTGGATTGCCCTTTGTAAGGAAGTTCTTTGTGCTGCTGATCCAAGTTCAAGCTTATCGACACCTGAGAAAGATTTCGAGGGTGATGGGGATTTCGACGATGCCGAATCAAAGTTTAAGGCGAGAGATGATAATCCAAATCAGGCAATGAGTCCACCTAAATGGCGAACCCGAGTTTTTGCTACACAAACACTTTGTCGAATCATTCAAACCTGTGAGAATAGTCGAGATGCAAAGGCTCATTTTGATTTGATTACCGTTCGAGAAAAGAAATCAAGTGGCCATGAGAAAGATGCTTTTCTAGTTCATCATCTTTCTGATCTCATTCGAATGTCTTTTATGGCGGCAACATCAGATTCTGATCAACTTCGTCTTGAAGGTCTACAAGCTCTCCAATTGGTTATCGATAAATTTGCCAAAGTTCCTGAACCTGAATTCCCACAACACGTTATTCTGGAACAATATCAAGCACAAGTTGGAGCCGCTCTTCGTCCCGCTTTCTCGCCCGACACCCCTTCCCATGTCACTGCAATGGCCTGTCAAGTTTGTAGTACTTGGATTGGATTTTTTTTGCTAATTTATCAATTTGTAAACACAATTCTGTCAATCGATTAGAATATTTTAATAAATTTTATGCTCATGAATGAAATGAATGAATTTTCAAGTGTTACAATTGATATTTGATTCAACAAACGAATTAAAAAAATGAAGAGATGAGAAAAGACTTTGATGAATATCCTTCCATGGAGATTGAAGATCTCTTGGTGAGTAAAATGGTGAAGATATTTAAAGGAATCGGTGAATAAATTTCAATCTGTACAATTTGTTTCATCCAATTTAATTTGATTGTTTGGCAACTTTTGACATTTTCGGTGATGTAGTGACATGAGTCAATCCTTTGGAAGCTTGAGCTCTTCTTTTCATCCCTTGCTTCATATTGGCGATCGCTTTGTTTCGTAATTTTTCCGACAAATTATTCAAATCTTCACTGAAAGTTCGAATGGTTGTTCTCAGAGTTTCGATATCTTCCTCTGTCCATTTGTCACTAAGATAAATGAGAAAAGAAAAATACAAATACAAATCTATGAATTAAACGCTGTAAGATTTTACTACAAAAAGAAAAAGGTTCAACAATTCAATTTTCTCTATCAATTCAAACCAAAGTATTTAACTGTCAAAGGTTATGTTTAATTTTAAGACGAAACTCTACGTAATTCTACGTAAATAATTAAATTTACTACTAAATTGATTAACTTACCTGGAGAAATCTGAATCAGGTTTGTCATAAGAGCCAATCAGTTCACCTAATTTAGTAAAAGCTTGACCAGAAAAAACAAGAATCTCTCCGACTTTATCTCCGGTAGTTAATGTCATATTCAGTTAACTGTTGGTGGAACAGAATTAGCGAAAAGATAATTTAATCAAGACAACAATTGGGATGAAATTAAGTGGAAACCACGAGAAACCAGAAATTATTGTCAAGAACAAAGTGAAAGTAAACAAAGTAAAAAGAGCGAATCATAAAAAAGGCGCGATTTTCGTTTTTCTTTTCGAAATTAATTTTTCATTCTTGTTATACCGTGTTACCGTTTTAGCTTAGAGTTTTGTTTTCTTCTAAGGCCAAGGTCATTCAAGGTCTTTATTCTATTAACCGTTGAATAATATAATTACATTCAACCTCAAATTGTGATTTACGATCAAGGTTATTTAAGGTCATCTGCATTGGACTCTCCAACAAAAAAATCGATATTCTTCAACAGTGTTACTCGATAATTGTACAATTCGAACTTAAAAAGTTTCCTGCGATTCAAAAAGATTTAATTGAGTTAATAATTTCAATCTTCTTTCAATTTTTATCACAGAAAATTTCAATTAGAAAATCAAACGTAGACCAAATTAGAACGTTCAGTTGGTATTATAATCGTGAGTTTAAACCAAATGAAGATCTGTATATTCTTAGAGACAAACTCGTCGCCAAAATTGAATATACGGGAAAATGACCGTTGTCGTCAACAACAATAATCAAATTAATTACAGTCAACCCAAATAGAATCAGAATAATTTCTTATTCCTTAATCAACTTCGCCATCTTCATCTTCATCTTCATTGTCAAGTGATTTTGCCTTTAATGCCCTGAATAAGGCTGATTAATCAAGATTTTGATTCTAAATTCAATTCATTTTTTTTATAAATAAATCTGCAGATAATAAATGTAATTAATTTTTGCCATTCGATTTCAACATTTTACATACTTTCTTTATTCTTAATTTTTTTTACCAAAAAATCAGTCAAGATTATAAACATTACACCATTTACAAAAATTGTACAACAATTAACAATGATTCTATCTTTTGCTTCATACTATTAAATTGATCGCAATTAACAATTGATTTGTTTTGTTTTGGGGGTGAATATAACTTAGGAAAAAATCAGAAGAAATAATTAATTGAGGTCAAGGGAGGAAAAGGTTATATAACATTTACAATACATATCAACAAATTCAGATGATTCAGTGATTTACCAATAATGATTAATTAGCGATTATAAATATCACATTTTTTCTATGTGAAATGACTGAAATTGGTTTTTAATTCAATTATTTGATTGTTTGATCTGTTATGATTCCTAAGTGATCCTTCAGTCGATTCACCTGGTCCACCTTTATCTTGATTCCTAATTGCATTTTCCAATTTAGATTTAAATTTAGGATCACTTGCAATTATCTTTTTAAATTCATTCGGATAATTTGGTCCAATGGCAATTAAACGTTTCAATGCAAACTCGTGGAGTGAATATCTTAATGAACTTCGTCTACTTTGAGGATTATTTTCCAAGAGTAAATTGATTAAAACTGGAAGAAAAAGAGCCAATATATTGATTCCTACGATAGACAAAATTAAGGAGAGATGATGATGATAACAATTAAAACGAAGAAAAAAACAATTGCAATCTAAGAATCATTGATTTACTTACTTTTATCAGTTTCAGCTAAACCAATAAGTAATTCAAAGTTTTCTAAACCAACAGTAATTACTTTAAATTTAACTTTAGTTAATGAAGTTCCGTCACTAATTTCAATCACCCATTGTCTAATTAATTCAATCATTTTAGGAGCCAAAGAGTGGATATAAGGTAATTTAAGAGTATCATCTTCGACCTCAAGAATTAACTTAATTGTTCCCAAACATTTTAACACAACCTAGAGAGATGAAAAAAAAGAAAAGACAAATCAGAGACTAAATTTATTCTAATCGCTACAATTAACTTACTGTTTCTCTTGGAGATTGAAGAGTTTGTTTTAGCAAATTAATACATGGAAATTGAAGATTTGGAGCGTTCAGGACTTTCGGTGGTGTTGATGTGATGAAAATTCCGACAATTGTTACAGCTAATGCTTCATCTAATCGAGGCTCAACGTGACCTGAAATTAGTAACAAATATGATAAGGAATTAGTTTAATTATGATTGTTTCATTAAGTATTAATGAAACGAAATAAAAATTATGTACCGCGGTGACTATTAGTATAATCATCCAATTCTGATTATGAAAAGGTCGAGAAAAATCAGAAAAATTGAATACAATTATTACTTGATCGTTGATTGTGATACGATTTTGAAAGTAAATTGTTGAGATTGATTAACTTACTTGTTTTACACAAATCCAAGACAAAAGCTAATGAACTTTGAAGTAGTTCAGTCCACTCGGTGGAAGATAATTTATTTCTTGCTAATGATGAACTTCCTAATTTTTTGAACGAATCAAGAATCGAAGTGATCGGTTGCTCGTCTACTCCAAATGTCCACATTTTAGTGGTCACATCTCTTAGAACTCCGGTGATTAGATAGAGAACGGTAGGTAATACGACGATACTTCCCTTGGGTGAACAAAGATCTGGAAGAGTCGATAATATTTTCAGAGCACTTCCAATGATATTAAGACCTTCTTCTGATGGTGGTTTACGATTTTGAAGGACAGTGGCCAGTCCTGGGTTATTGGCAAGATTGGGACAAAGTTCGGGAAGTTGTCGGACAAGAACACACAAACAAATCTCTAAAAGAGCATAAACAATTGACTCCCAAGTGTTGATTGTACCGTTTTCACCGCCTTCACCAAATCCAGCGGAAAATAAATCAACATCATTTGATTCTTGATTAGCAGGAGCCAATTGTCTAATTTGTTTCTTTTTCTCGGTTTCCAAATGAAAATGACGAGATTCCATAATTAACAAAGCAATTTTAAGAATTAAACTCTGGCAGGTTGGATTATCTCGAGTTAACAAAAGCCGATGAAGTACATTACACAATTCAATGGCGAGTTTAGTATCTGAACCAATCATCGATTGTGGGTATGGGTGAGTTAATAGTGTTTCCATTGATCGAAGGCAAACAATTATGTATGATAATGGTTCCGTTGATTTAGGGTTACAAAGGGCTTCCATACAGATGCCGAAAAGAAGAGGAAAATAAGTCTCATCGTCGATTGATTTTTTATCCAACGATTTAGCGGTTTCATCTTCCATCTTACTAAGATCAGTGTTGGTGGTTAAAGTGGTTTCCTTGGCCATGGAGTTGATTAAATTGTCTTCATCTGATTGAGTGAATCCTTCAGAGCATAGCCAAAGGCGGCCGCATGAAGTATCGGTGGCCATGATTTACGATAAATTGGTCGAGCGACTTCAATGGTATCCGGTGTGTAAAAAGCTCCACCGTCATGGGAGTTGACCTGAGAAATTGGAGGGAAGGGTCAAAAGTGCGTGATCTTTTAAGGCCATTAACCAATATTTAGAAAGTGAAAGTAGCTCAGGTTTTACGAGATGTAGTAGACTTTCAATTACTCCTTCCAACTCTTTGAAATCATTTTCTTCATCTTTTTCTTTGGCTTGTTTCCTTTGCTCTTCTTCCTCCATGGCTACGATATAAACCTCAGCCCAAGCTTTGAGGATCGCCAATTTCTCGAGAGTTGATGCACTTTCGTTATAAAGACTTGACGATGAATCTTTTCTTAGTTTGGCTAAAGATGAAACTAATAACTGATGAACTCGACGCAGGTCATTTAGGTCTCGGGCAACTCCTGATCCAATCCAAGTACTACAAACTTGACAGGCCATTGCAGTGACATGGGAAGGGGTGTCGGGTGAGAAAGCGGGACGAAGAGCGGCTCCAACTTGTGCTTGATATTGTTCCAGAATAACGTGTTGTGGGAATTCAGGTTCAGGAACTTTGGCAAATTTATCGATAACCAATTGGAGAGCTTGTAGACCTTCAAGACGAAGTTGATCAGAATCTGATGTTGCCGCCATAAAAGACATTCGAATGAGATCAGAAAGATGATGAACTAGAAAAGCATCTTTCTCATGGCCACTTGATTTCTTTTCTCGAACGGTAATCAAATCAAAATGAGCCTTTGCATCTCGACTATTCTCACAGGTTTGAATGATTCGACAAAGTGTTTGTGTAGCAAAAACTCGGGTTCGCCATTTAGGTGGACTCATTGCCTGATTTGGATTATCATCTCTCGCCTTAAACTTTGATTCGGCATCGTCGAAATCCCCATCACCCTCGAAATCTTTCTCAGGTGTCGATAAGCTTGAACTTGGATCAGCAGCACAAAGAACTTCCTTACAAAGGGCAATCCAAGTTTGCAAATTTTCCGTAGCAATTGATTGAACCAGAGAAGTTATTATTTTCTGAATATCGGATAATATTTTTGTATCATTTTCATGATCCATCAGGTAGAAAAGTATACCAGGTAATCCGTGTTCACTGTGGAGATGATTGATTCCATTGGAATTTTGTTTAAAATCAGAATTCTTCAAGTCTTTTAACCAATCAGCGGCGTGACTGCAAACTTGTTTAGCTTCCCGTTGGATCAGCTGATGGAGACATGCGATTGCTGATCGACGTAAAAATAAGTGGGGACTATTTAACACTGAACACAACATCGGAACCAAAGATGATAGATTAACATGTCTTGGTGCAAACATATGAAGTTGCTGGAGACACCCGATAGCCTGGGATTGAGCCAACGGGTCGGAATGCTCTTGCATGACACCACAAGAGACAAGGAGGGAAGACCGGGTTACAGCGAGTGCTGGTGTGTCACTTTGGAGTTCAGGTCCCACGGTGGTTATCACAGCGGAAAGTAGTTTACCAATACATTGATGAACATCACAATGGTGATATGGAACTTGGATTAACAATTTAATTGAATGGGTTAATGTTGGTTCAATATATGTACGGAACATTGGACCACCAGAGTCTGCGATTAAGGTTAGAGCGTGAAGTGACCAAACTTGAACAATTGGTGACGTTGAATCTTGTGAAAGTGCTAATAAAATACTGATAGAAGTGTTTAGATGTTGATTTGAACCTAAACTGCCCATGTAACGATGTAAACAGCCCAATGCAAGTGAATGTCCAGTTCGTGATAAAGCATCTCGAGCTGTTTTCAGTTTATCGAAACATATTTGTGCCACTTCAGCGACAAATTTGGCATCACCGACAACATGACAAAGTCGACCAAGACCTTGAGCAGCGGCACATCGGATAATAGGATTATGGTGAGACAATAAATTCATTATAAAACCAGTGATGGTTTTCTTAACTTCTTCACAACCAATGTTACTCTTACTCTCCGCTGAATTCTGAGTTTGGATGAAAAGAGTAAATTAAATTAGTGTTCACAATTTTATCACTTTAAAGTTCCTTTGTTATTATTTACCTTTAGAGAGCCTAAAACAGCAGCTAAGACATTGATCTGAATGGCTTCTTGTCGAGCTCCTTTTTCGTGTTTAATACATTCTTGGAAATGATTTAAAATCTGTAGACGATGTTTGTTAGCAACAAAACGGAAAATGTAACCAAAAACTAGACACGATTTGTTAACAATAGCGGATCCGAGTGGTAATGGACTAGGAATGAAATTGTCTTTATCTTGTTCATTGTAAAGGGTAGTAGGATCATGTTCAATTGCTCCGGATCCTGATGTACTGGCGATTTGAAGCTTGATTGTAAGAATGAAAAGAGTAAAAAAAAATTAGTAAATTAGTTGACTTTTGAAGTGAAAACAATTGAGATTAGATCATAAGTGTTTTATCAAAATTGAAAGATTAGCTGGAAGTGTAAACAACTTACAAAATTTTTTTCCGATTTGCGATTTGGTTCCATCTAAATTGTTTAGAATTAAATATTGAATATGTAAAAGGTTAATCATTTATTTACTAGTTTTAATTAGTGATAAAATTTTGACAAATTGAAAACAAACCTGATCTTCGATTGAACGATGGTCCGTTTCTTGAATCCATGAGCCGATAATTATTTCATCATCGGGATGACAAAGTGATCTAAGGAGGGTTGTTGTTGTATTAATCGCATTATCACCAAGGGTAAAATCAGCGACTAGAATTCTTAGTAAATTAGAATAACTTGATTCGTATGAATTAGCCGGAAGAAGAAGAAGAGTATCATATAAACGTAGACGAACCAAAGCTGCACTCGCCTTAACTGCTGGACCATAATTACGAAAAATATTACTGAGAGTTGTTAACATGGTTAAGGCGAATTCAATTGGAGGTAAAAGTCGACGAACTATATCATCGTCAACTAATTTCTCACAATAAGTGAGAAAACTCGACATGGCTGCAAGAGCACCAGCTCGATTTTCAAGAGTAATTTGCCAAGTAAATGCATCTCCTCGAGCTTTCTCCGAGTCAAGACCTTTGGTAGTTCGAGGGAATGAATTTTTCCAAAGAAGTAACATCCTGGGTAAAAGACCACGAACGACCGAAGGTCCTAAAGCCATAACACCGCCAATTAATTGCCAACCAGATTGAGTTCGAGGAAGAGATAAGCGTCCATTTTGTGAAGCAGTACGAAGTAAATCTTCAGCTATACTGAAAATGAGCTTACCCTTATTATGGGGTATACTTAATGGGGTTTGGCACGATGAACCCAAAAGAGCTGAAATGGCAAACGAATGGCCGTAAATTGTTTCCGGAGATATTTTCATTGTTTCCAGTCTTTCGAGACTCCTCTCAATGAGAGGTGTCAATTGAGATGGCAAGGAAATAGCAACACATCTCATTGACCAAGCAGCGGAAAGACGAACGGTGGGCGATGAATTGGTGAGTAGGGAGACAATTGTGTCGATGACAGAGATCGATGTATCAGTGAGAAGGGACGAAGATGATGTTCCCAAGTCTTGAAGGATACAACCGATTTCAAGAAGAGCACAGGCTAAAACATGTTGAATTTGATGAATATCTTGAATTGGAATTGGCTCTTTCTCTTTAACATTTGATGCTCCAATACCGGGTAACAGTTCAGATTGATGATGATGATGATGATTTCCAGTGGGCGAGGAAAGACCAGGATTGATATGTTTGTTGATGATAATAATTAATTCTTTAACTGCTTGTGCTTGAGATTTTTCACCTAAATTTTTACCCAAAATTGACCTTAAAACAAAACCAATACAACGACGAGCGTAAACTGCATCTACATGAGTTGAGGCACATTTTGGATTAGCCAAAAGCTCGAGAAGGTGAGAAAGATATTTGTTCATATTTTTCTCTAACCAATGATTACCCAAATGATTAACAACTACAACATATGAATGAGTGACACCAACTCGAGTTTCTTTAGAGACAACTGACCCTCCCTTGATCATATCACCAGGGCCACTTTTAAGAAAACCAATTCCACCCTTTAAAAATCCTAAAGCCAATAAATTGAGAACCTCATCAAGTGTGGCAAGTTTATTTTTACCCACGGAAGCAAATTGATTGGGTTTTTGTGTAATAGCGACGAGATAACCAAGAACCTCGGCAATGGCACATCGAACCTCATAATTTGAACCTTCCAATGCTCGAAAACAAAGTGAAAAGACACTCTCCAATTCGGTTGTGTATAAAAAAGGTGCATAGTTTAGCATCTCTTTAAGACAATGAGCAGCATTACAACGAACTGCCATAACTCTGTCAGTGATTCCGTGACGAATTGACTTGAAAATGTCTCGATGTAACGAACCGGCAGCAGCTCCCATTCCTGAGACAATTTTTTCCAGTGTTAAATAGATTTCACATCTTGATTGAGACTGAAAAGGAGACAGAAACAGAAACAATCAATTTAAATTGTCCATTGAAAGTCTTTTTTTTCTCCTAATTTAGTCAACATACCTCAGCATTTTTTAATGATTTTAATAATAGAATCACAGTTTCCTCATAAGATCGGCCCATAAGTCGACCTAATTTCTCGTACATTGCTCCAATACAAATAGTAGCTGCCCTGTAGTGTTAATTATTGGAAAAAGTAAAATAATAAATGAAGATTGTTACAAGTTTTAATTGAAGAGATGTTGTGATTATGTTGATTTCTTCCTCTTCTTTTGATCACAATCTTTGTGATACTTACAATCGAGTTGGCAAATAACTTGGAGAATCGTCTTTGATTTTAAGTATATCATTACACTTATTAACGGTTTCGAAAAGTAGAAAAGTATCACCGACATTAAATAGAGTAGCTAAACACCGGCCAATTAACCTTCTCGCTGGTGCACTAGGATTGTTGGCTATTTGTTTGAGAAGCTGTTCGACCAATGGCTTTTGGGATTCCTTGATCTCGGCCTAAAAGTAGATGTGATTGAGAAACGAAAGAAATGATTAAGATTAATCAAAGAAATCGTTGTTTGAGTAACACTTACCTTAGGAGTATTTACAAGGCTTTTGTCCAGGTATCTTAACCATTCGAGAATATAAATTTCCTTCTTGATACCAGACAATTCATTGAATTCAGTTTCATTAAGAAGTAGATTGAATGTTGATTCCATGTTAATATATTATGGTAATCAAAATTGATTACTTAGTTTGTTGGTAAGATCAAGTCAAGTAAACAATTGTCTCAAGGTTTGTAGGAAACACCGGATAGTAATAGAAGTAGATGTTATTATTGATTTGGACCTTGGAGGATAAATTTGTCGTCAACAGGAAACTTTGATTTAACTAAGATAGTGTCATGATGAAGAACTGTAATCATTAAGATGAGATAGAGATAGAAAAAAATAAAGTGCTGATGAAAAGTAGATTCTAAAGACACAGATGATAAATATTCACTATTAAGGGGAAAAAGATGAAGAGTTAGTTTGATCATCACAGAATAGATCAATTGTAAACAATAATAGTGACCATTAAGTTGAAGATGTTGGATTAAAAGAATCAAAGAATCAATTCAATCAAAAGCAATTCAGTCTCAATGAGATAGTAATTAAAGCCTAAGCTTGGAGAGTGAATGTCAATTGATGTTGGAAACACATGATCAAGATGAAATGGTGATACAGCAAAATAACCGATCTCAAGCCGAATACAAAATCTCCTCCAACTATAAGAATTGACAAAATGGAAACATACCTAAAGGAGAAAACAAGGTAAAATAATCAGAGAAAAATAGAGAAAAAAAATGAATTAGCAATTAAAATAAAGAACAAACAAAAATGGTAAACAATTGATAGTATTTACCTTTTTATGGTAAAACCAAGAAACAGAAATGAGTAGGTGGCTATCAGCTAATGGAAGATAATTAGAGAGATTAATCAGTCAACCGGAAATCCGAATTGATAATCAATGGTAATATGAATAAATTAGAAGAATTAAGATGATATGTAAAAAAGAATTAAATTTAAATGGACAATTAAATAGATTGATTAACAAAAGAGAACCAAAGTAAACAGAGTTACTCATTTGTTATCATTGACTCTCAATAGGCTTATGTTTATGCAAACATTTTGCTCCTTTTTCAAACTCAAACCTGGTAACCTTTAAACCTTCAATTGGATGGAAGATTTAATTTACATTGTCACAATTATCAACTCAATCAATTGTCAATGATTAAAGTTTTCAATATGATCTATAAAAATTGATTCTGATGACGTTTAACCAACTAATTAACAGCTTACCTTTAATTGTTTACCTTCATCACTGTTTCACTTGACAAAAAAATTCATTTTCTGAATTACCGGTGAAAGGAAAAAGATTAAGGGTACATTTAAATTCCACTAATTGTTGGATAATGATGAACATCAATCTGACGAGAATATTAATTAACTTTAATTCATTAAGAGTTTTGTGTTAATCAATTTGAAAAGATTAGAATTTTAAATTTTAAATCTTTTAAATTCAATTGAATGAAGCGGTAAGTTAGCGACATCTGGTGAGCTTAGAAAAAGAATTTTAAATTTTCCATGAAAATTTTATTCTAAATGATTAATTCAATTAAGAGATTAAATTCTATTGTAATCATTGATTACTCGGTGGGTCAATGTAATGTTGAATGTTGACAAGAGTTTTGAACTTGTCGATGGGGTTTTCGTTATGAGCAAATGTAAATATAAAATTGCAAGAGATAAAAATTACATGAAATGATTAAGATATTTGGGTGATAAGCAAAATGTTGATTAGTGATTTGTATTCAAATTTTTTGTTGATGAGATTGATTTAGTTTTTTTCTAAGGTTGAAGATAAATTGTGGCTCCTTGGCTTGGTAAACTGGCAACTGTGAATTTGGATATTTTAGCCATTGATTGTTGAAATTGTCGCGATAAATTTTCTGGTACCAATGAGACAATCCCACCTCCCCAACCAGCACCGGTCATCCTTGACCCTAAGGCACCGGATGAAAGGGCATGATTGACCAAAAGATCAAGCTCTGGGCAGCTACATTCGTATTGATTTGAACAACTATTGTGACTTTCGTTCATCAAATGTCCAATTTCAATGAGAATTTGATCATCCGTTGTATTTCCATGTGAACACAATTTGACAACTTTTTCGACCCTTTGAGCTTCAGAGTAAACATGAGTTACTCTATCATGGATCTTGAAACCATCGGAATAGTTTTTCATCACACTTTTCATCCTTTCCATGGTTACAGCTGATCCATTTGAGAGGAGAAAAGCTAATTCAGTAGAATTCGATAAATCAAAATAGTCCAAAAGCTCCTTCAGGTTGAAAACTTTTCCAATCTCAATAGATTCATCGACAATGTCCAACATTTCATCGAAACTTTTGTTCATTAACTTTTTTATCTGGGCCAATGTTGGACAAGTAATATGACCTGGTTTTACTTTTAGGTGACAATGATCAACTATCATGAGAGAAGCAATTTTAACCTCGAAAACTCGAGCATTAAATTGTTCGGTTGCCGCTTTATTACAAGTAACTCCGCTGTGGGTGAAAAAAAAGCAACTACCTTTAGGAAGTTGAACATCATCGCAGCTCAATGTTGGCTCAAAGTTGATCAATTTAGCGAAACCTGAACGAGCAAACATGGCAATCGACTGATCCATTGCACCGCCTTGAGTACCAATGTATCTTTCACATTTAGCTGCAGTATCGGCGATGATAAATTTGTTCACATCACCATTTTTGATTGAGTAATGAGTAGCCAACAAAGACGCGGTCACTAAGGCAGAAGAGCTCGATAGTCCAGATGAGGTTGGAATCGTTCCCCAAACAGCGATGTTCAAACCTTCGAGATTCTCGAATGAATCTGCTAGATCTTTAGCTCCTTGAACTCCACATAATACATAATGATACCAATCAGGAGGGATGTTGATGGTGAAATTGTCTAAAGGAATCTCAATGTCAGAATGAATTTCTGAATTCATGTTGGTTAATCTAATCAATCGATCAGAGTTCAGAGCAACAGCCAACAAAGTATCTTGTTCAATTGCCATGGGAAGAACACCAAACCCACAGTAATCAATGTGTTCACCAATTAAATTAACTCTTCCAGGAACTCGAACAATAAAAGATGGACTTGAATTGTATTTTCTCTTGAACAAATCTCGCAATTTACTAAATCTTGGTTGATCCTCTTTCAAAATCGGTACGTTTTTCTCAATATCTGCTGATGATTGATCCTTATTCCTATCACCGTGATCCATAGTAGTTTATTAGTTGAATTTAACTAACATGCGACAAAGAATTAAGTAATTTTTTTAATCAGAGTTGAGCTTCAAATTACTCGAGCTTTTAAATTCTTTGATCACTTTTTCCCTTATGATGATTACGAGTAACTCATCAGTATCAAGTAACTAAAGGCTGATGATTCAATTTACACTGAGAAAGAAAAAATGAAACAAGAATTACAACAAGGTCTATTAAGAAATAACCTAGAAAAACATTGATAACATCTATTAGAAAGAGTAATTAGGTGATAATAAAATTGTCCTGATAATCAAAGACTAGAAGATAAAAAAGAAAAGAGTTTTTTTCTCATTTTCATTAACAATTAGTTATTGATTAGCTTTGTTACGAAAAGGAATAAAAAATGAAAATTCTTCCTCATCTTTAGCAGCAATCAATCACCATTTACATAGAAAATATATTTCAAGCAAATTCTAAATATCATCATTAAACATAAACAGGAAATTGAGTTAATAGTCAACTAAATGTTCTCAGGAACCAAAAATAGTAAAACTAACAATCAAGAGCAAAGAAAAAAATAACAAAATAAAAAGTAAACAATGAAAAAGCTTCTTACCTTTGCGAGATTTAATTACACAAGAACAAATTATAATTCAGAGAATAGACCAAATTATGATGACCAGATTAACAGTGTAATCAAAAGATAAAGAGAAATCAATTAATCAACTCCTAAGAAAATGAAAAGAAATTAATTAACAAAAAAACACAAACAAAATTAAATCTTTCGATTAAACTAAAAAGCTTAATCTTATTAATACAACAACAATATTCACTTTTGTTATTGTTGATTAAAATTCAAGATGATCCTGAAATCCTAAGATCCTGGAAATGTACTCTATTAAAGACAAAGATCAATTAAATCAATCACAATTTAATTATATTAACAACACAATAAGAGATCAGAATGATTAAGGTTCTTAACCTTCGGTTGATTGTTGATGAAAAATAATCTTAATCAAGAGTAACAGTTAAGAGGCGGTAAAAGAACGACATCTATTGGGCCAACAGAGAAAAAGAATTTACCAAAATTCTAAAGAACATTTTTTATTTCGAGACGAACCCTAATTCTCTAAATTTTTCTTGTGATTATTTTTTTCTCGTTGTGATTATTTGATTAACAATAGAATTTAATCTAATTAAATTAATTTAATTCTATTCATTCATTTGAATTTAAGTTTAATCAAATTGAATCTTTAAGAGTGAATCAAATGTTCCTTTCGAATTGCTAACCTCTTGATGATAGAAGTTGATTAATAGTTGATATTAAATCTTTTGATTAAATTAATTGTCGTTAATTGTGCGAATAAATTTTGATTCTTCTACTCTGAATCTTAGTCATTTGTTTGCTCGGTTAAACGTTTTCGCCGCCATCTAGTTTTTTCTTCATCTTCTTCTCTCTTCTTGTTTAAATCGTCTTATTTTCTCTGTGCTAGTGACAATGATGTCCTATAAACTCGGTTAACCAGTCTTAACCTCCTCTAACTAAAAATCACCAATGGCAACCACCGCCTTAGCCATTAATAACCAGTCTAAACTGGAATTTAACAATGTCTCCATTTTAACCACTGACCTCGCAAATCTCAGTTCAAACATTATCATCTTAAACTCATCTTTAAATTATAATTGTTTCATTGAATTTTATAATAATTTTGCTGATTTAAATTTAACACCTTTTTTACCAGGATGACAAAATTTGATTCTCAATCCTCATTTGAGGATTTCATGAGTGAGGATAAATTACCACCAGTTTTTCCTTCATCACAATCTTCAAATGTTTCGGACACTCTGGTTTACAGTCAACATCTCATCTCGGAATTTTGTGATCGTAAGTATTTGTTGATTCATTTTCGTTTCACTCGCAAGTTCTGTCTTCACATTTAATGTATTTCATCAGACTTTTAACCTTTCGGCAATGCCGTCTTGTTTGGGGAAAAGTTGTGTTGGTCTTTTACTTTGGTCTTGACCTGATCATTTTTTAACTTTTTTGATTGTATCTTTAACATGCAAATATAATTTACTTCAATATTGTCACTGAATTTGTGAATTTTGGATTTTATTAATATTTTCATCCTTTTTGCTCTCTTTTCATCAGGTGAAACCTATGGACCTTTTGGAATTGAAACCAAAGAAACCAAAGAAACTGAAGAAGATGATTTACTTAATTTCCTCGGCTCTTCTCTTGCTTATAGCCCTAAGTCTATATCACCACATTCTCCTTCTGATGGAAGTTCATGTCTAACTTTCAGTTCATCTACACTTGATCCTTTGGATATTGCCCCAGGCCAGTTAGATACTTATGACATGCGTGATGATAATATTTTAAATATCGAAAATGTGAATCATATTGAGAATCATGAATTCACGGGAACCTCTGATATTGACTTTTCATGTTTAATCCCACTTTCATCGATAACTACACCAACACCACCACCGACACCAATACCAACATCAGTACCAGAAGCAACGCCATTACCCATATCTGTTCCAGTGGAAACCTCAGAAAGCTGTATTAATAAAAAGCCCTCAACTCGTGGAAGGAAACGAAAGTTGTTCAACAATTGTGACTCGAAGAAAAAGGATCAAAATAAAGAAGCAGCCCGTCGATATCGTGAAAAAACCAAGCAACAAGTTGCCGAATTGGAAGCTGAAGAAGGTGAACTTATCAAAACAAATAAAAAACTACGAATGGAACTCGAAATAGTAACCAGAACTCACCGAGAATTCGTTCTCTGGATCAGAGATTGTCGCAAAGAAGCAAGAAGGAAATAATTTATGGATCTTTTTTGTACTAATTTTTTTTTCATCTCTTTAATTATTTTCATGCAATTTAATTTGATTTTTTTAACTTTTGATTTATTACTTATAATTCAATTTCCAGTGCTCATTCTGCACTTGCACTAATTAACGCTGTTGGCATGATATTCATTCATACATTCGTCCAGTTTGATTCTTCTTCTTCTTCTTCTTATTGTAAATTCTAAATTTAAACATTCTCATGTTCACTTTTAATTAATGATTAAACTTTCAAACAATTAAACTAATCATTTATTCATTTTTAATTGATTTAACTAAGATAATGTCATGATGAAAAACTGTAATCATTAAGATGAGATAGAGATAGAAAAAAATAAAGTGCTGATGAAAAGTAGATTCTAAAGACACAGATGATAAATATTCACTATCAAGGGGAAAAAGATGAAGAGTTAGTTTGATCATCACAGAATAGATCAATTGTAAACAATAATAGTGACCATTAAGTTGAAGATGTTGGATTAAAAGAATCAAAGAATCAATTCAATCAAAAGCAATTCAGTCTCAATGAGATAGTAATTAAAGCCTAAGCTTGAAGAGTGAATGTCAATTGATGTTGGAAACACATGATCAAGATGAAATGGTGATACAGCAAAATAACCGATCTCAAGCCGAATACAAAATCTCCTCCAACCATAAGAATTGACAAAATGGAAACATACCTAAAGGAGAAAACGGGGTAAAACAATCAGAGAAAAAATAAAGAAGAAAATGAATTAGCAATTAAAACAAATTGATGGTAAGAAAAATTTAACCATCTAAATAGAAAATACAGTCGACTCCAAAATTAAGTTGCAATTGTGATTCTGGAAGAAAGAATAACAAAATAAAAAGTAAACAGTGAAAAAGCTTCTTACCTTTGCGAGATTTAATTACACAAGTCCAAATTAAAATTCAGCGAAACTATGATGACCAGATCAAAATGATTAAGGTTCTTGATTGTTGATGAAAAAAAATCTTAATCAAGAGTAACAGTTAAGAGGCGGTAAAAGAACGACATCTATTGGGCCAACAGAGAAAAAGAATTTACCAAAATTCTAAAGAACATTTTTTATTTCAAGACGAACCCTAAATCTTCTTGTGCTTGTTTTTTTCTCGTTGTGATTATTTGATTAACAATAGAATTTAATCTAATTAATTTGTATTCATTCATTTGAATTTAAGTTTAATCTTGATTGTTCTTTGACATCTATACTCTCATGTTGTTCAATCGTCACCTTTATATTGATAAAGTCCTTCCCCATAATCTCATCACTTTTGTTTTTCTTTTCTCTTTTTTCTGAAGCCCGGTTTCAATTACCTTTTCATTTTTTTCTATTCGTTTCTCATCCATAGAGTCTTTTTTTCTCTCTTTTTTTTCTCACTCCTTTTTTTCTCTCCCTCTTACCCTTTAGTGTTTTTTCTTCTCTTTTTCACCATGTTTGCTGATAAAACTTGGGAGAGTTCGGGTAAAAATGAGTTTATCAACGGTGTTCGATCTCATTCAGAAAATTCGACTGAACTGAAAAAGCTTCTATACACATGCTGTAATCAGTGTATCTGTGGACAGTTAAGGTATGACTCGTTTATTTCAACCTTGTCCAGTATTGTTGATACCAGTCCGTCTGTTCCCATATTGTTAACTGATATTCTATTGGTTTGTGATGTGGAAACCCAAATGGCGGATAATAAGGATCAAAGAGAAAATTATTTAGCGCTACTTGCTGGTTGCTCGAACAAGTTGATCGCAGATGTATTACTTAAGGAAAGATTAGAATATGATACCATCGGAGAGGCTAAAATCATTGCCAACAAAAAAAGTGCCGTCACCAAGTTCATCAAGCTAAAAACACGTCTCTTTTATAAACAACAAAAATTCAATCTATTCAGAGAAGAGTCTGAAGGTTATGCCAAATTAATCACTGAATTAAGTCAACCTGGAGGCTTTGATTGTAATCATATGCTTCAAGTTATTCGATCTCTTATAGGTAATTAATCATTATACAATTTGTTAGTTTTCTTTCAAATATCCTCATCTAACTTTTATTCTAATCAATTTTTTTTACATTCTATTTCCATTCACAGGATGTTTCAATTTAGATCCAAATCGTGTTTTAGACATCGTGCTTGAGTGTTTTGAATGTAGACCTTACCTTGCGGATTCTTATATTTCCCTGCTATGTAATTTTCTAAATAATTCTAATACATTATCCCAGATATTGGCATTCAAATTTAGCTTCTATCATACTGATAATACGATGATTACACCTGATTCTTTATATGAGGTTGCTGCTTTACTCCTTCAACAGAAACTCCTCTCATTAGAACAAATTTATTCTTTTCTCAGTCCAAGTGATAAACTAATTTATGAATACAATCAGAATGAGATTAAAGATGCTCGTGCTTATGCTCGAAAAACCTTTGTATCAGCTGAAGATAAGCCAATGGATGAAGATCGTCTATCCGACATGGAAAGATTTTCTTTATTAGTTAATAACCAGAAGCTTGGACTTTGCTTAGCACTTTTAAAAGTAGGTGATTGGAAAAATGCCCATGAGTTAATTGAAAGTTTGCCAAGTTTTTACGCTGTGTCCAACCCAATTATCGCTAAACAGTTATGCTCATTAATACACTATACCATGGATGTTATTTATCATTCGTACGTAATTTCATCTTCATCACAATGATTTCATTTCTTTTTTTTTGAGTTTTTTACTTTTAACGATCTATTTTTGATTTACTCAGGCATTCTGGATTACCTTCCATTATCATCAATAAAGTTAAAATGTACAAGTGTGACGGAAAACCATCAATCAAACAAGCAGAAACTGTTCCAGAATTGAAGGATAATGTATTCCCGATGATTTCCACTTTGGGACCTTTTATCCATGGAGATACTCTACTTATTTCAAAGATTATTAGGATTGGAAAATCAATCATGAGCACACCAAACGTTGGTGATATTAAATATGAACTTTTAAGTATTTTAGACGAAGCTATTTTACCTTCTCTATCATTGGTTGAAGGTAATTGTGGTCTGGCTGATGAACTTTGGCAGTTTCTTTGTCTTTTTCCATATACTGCTCGATATCGACTTTATTATAATTGGAAAACCGATCCAGCTATTCCGATTATGATTCGAACTAGATCACAAAATATGAGGCGTATAAAATATATTATGAAGCGTTTAAGCAAGGAGAATGTTAAATACTCTGGGCGACAAATTGGGAAACTAAGTCACTCAAATCCATCATTTCTATTTGAATATGTAAATGTCAACAACTATTTACTCCAGATGATATGGACGCAATTAATTAACTTTTCTAACTTTTGTCTAATCAACAGATGTCTCTTCAAATTCAATCCTACGATAATTTAATTGGTCCTGTTGTTGACTCACTTAAATATTTAACATCATTATCATACGATGTGCTCATCTATTGTATAATCGAAGCTCTATCAAACTCAAGTAAAGACCGGACGCTCCATGATGGTGCAACAATATCTCCCTGGTTGCTAAGTTTAGCTAATTTTTGTGGATCAGTTGTTAAAAAGTATCCAGTTGAATTACCCGGATTACTCCAGTTTATTGCTAATCAACTAAAAGCTGAAAAGAGTTTAGATCTACTGATTCTTAAAGAGATAATTCAAAAAATGGCTGGAATTGAAGCTGCTGAGGAAATGACTAATGAACAATTGGCTGCATTATCTGGTGGTGAACTATTGAGAGCCGAAGGTGGTTACTTTAATCAAGTTCGTAATACAAGAAAATCGTCCGTTCGCCTCAAGGATACTCTTCTGGAATCAAACCTTGCGATGCCTTTGTGTATTCTTATGGCACAACAACGAAATTGTATTCTCTACAGTAAACAAGAACATTCGCACATCAAATTAGTTGGAAAATTATATGATCAAGTAAGAGAGTTAATTTAATTATTGATCATTTAAATTCGATATTAATATTGTTTTACCTTTTTTTTCTAGTGTCAAGAGACTTTGGTTCAATATGGATCTTTCTTATCCTGTAATTTGAGTATCGATGATTATATTGGTAATTTACCATCACTTGGCTCTTTAATCACAGACTACAATTTGAGTGCAGATGTAGCATTCTTTTTGGTTCGACCAATGATTGCTCATTATATTAATGTAAGACCATTTTTCTACTATTAATCGACTAATTGACTCATTTAATTGCTAATGGATTACGTTTTTTGGTTTAAATTGATCTTTTTAATTACAGCAAAAATTTGAAGAACTAAGAAAAAATGAAAAGACATCTAAAGGAATCCATTTGTATATCGAAGCTTGGGAATCAGTTACAAAACCTCTTGTAGACATAATCATTCCAGCTTTTCCAACCAAATTCTGGGAAGATTTAAGGTATTGTAATATTTTTTCGTGATTATCTTTTTTATTACTTTGATTCTAAAGTTTGTATTCATCTTTTTCAGCTCAAGATTTTTCGTGACCTTTTGGACTTTATCTATTTATGATCTCGAAGTTCCTAAAAGTAGTTATGATAGAGAAGTTGAAAGACTAAAGGGACAAATTCAGTCTACTGAGGATAATAAAGATATAAATCCTGGTAAAAAGAAGAAAGAGATTGAAAGGTGTCGACTTTTACAGGAGAAACTATTAGAAGAACAATTGCGACAAGATGAACATGTTCGACGTGTTCGTCAAAGATTAGAAAAAGAAAGAGACCTTTGGTTCCAATCGAGTAAGTTTATGACTGGTTGAACTTTACATTCATTTATTAATTCACTTTTCGATTATTTTTGATTATTATATAGAATTAGCGAAAATGGAAATGACAACTCAATTTCTACAACACTGCCTCTTTCCGCGATCAATATTCACTGCCACCGATGCTCTTTATTGTGCTAAATTTGTGCATCTTCTTCACACTATTAAAACGCCCAATTTTTCAACTTTAATTTGTTACGATAGAGTAAGTTTCTTCATTGATTTGTTTTGTCTTTACTTTTGTTAATAAAACTTTTTCGATAATTTTGTTTTTTTCTTAGATATTTGGTGACATTTCTTATACAATGTCTTCTTGTACCGAGAATGAAGCTAATCACTATGGACGATTCCTTTGTGCTCTTCAAGAAACAGTGATGCGATGGCATAAAGATAAAGCGGTATTTGAGAAGGTAACATGATTATAAATCGTTTCTATCATATTAATACTAAATTACAAACAATTTTATTCTATTGATAATTTTTTAGGAATGTGCTAAATATCCAGGATTTGTGACTAAATTTTTCGAGAAAGAACCAGCTCATGTTGATTATGAAAACTATCGCCATGTTTGTCATAAGTGGCATTATAGATTAACTAAAGCTTTTATTGTTTGCCTTGATTCAGGAGATTATGTTCAGATCAGAAATGCTTTGATTGTCTTGACCAAATTAATTACTTATTTTCCAGTTATTAGCAGCTTTGCTACAGCTATTGAGCGTCGAGTTGACCAAATTAGAAACACTGAACAAAATAAGAGACCTGATCTTTATGCTTTAGCTACAGGGTAAGTTACCGTTTTTCTTGTTTCATCCAAATATCTTTTCCTAAATTTTCTAGTTGATTTATTTATTAATGATAACAAATTCTATTTACAGTTACTCTGGGCAACTTAAAAATAAACGATCAACCTGTGTACCAGAACATGAGTTCCATCTGAAAACTCAACATCCAGTAAATAATACGAAAACGGTAACGACGAATAATGTTAAAAAAGAAACGAAACAAGAGACAAATAATGTCGCATCAACACCAGTTACGACTAAATCACCTCCACCTAAAGAGAAAAAAGATAATATTCTCAAGCCACGTCCACCGGCGGAAACTAACGAAAACTCCAGTGAAAAGAAAAAAGAACCTAAAAATGATTCTGTTCGAACTGCCGAGAAGAAAGAGAAAACCACAAAAACTGAAAGGAATCACGTATCATCAGAAAAGGTATCAACTAAATCGGATTCCAAATCATCAAGTATTCCAAATTCTCCCAGAAAAGGTGACCATAGAGGACGAAGTGCTGAGCCACCCGTCGAAACTGAAAGAGGTAAAGTTCTCCATAACATTTAACCTTTCAATTTGATAATTCGGGTTTTCTTTATCATAAAAACATTAATTTTTCTTTTTCTGTATTTCTTCTATTTTATTATTTTATCAGAACATAAACGTCGAAAAGTTGAAGCCAAGGTTAGTCTTAATTAACGGTTTAAGCGTAATGTATAGACTGTAACATTTGTTTATAAAGACAAAGAAATGAAAAGACAAAAAGTAACTAAACTTTGTAAAAACATTAATAGACTCATGAGGATGGCAATGTTGTCAGTGGTGGAGCAACAGGAACCGGAGGTAGCGGTGGTACAGGTACAGGAAGTGTGGTAAACAACGAAAGACGAAGTGACAAAGAAAAGGAGAGAAATGAAAACTATGATAGAAGACGAGGAGGAGACGATTCAACATCATCATCACCTTCAGCAAATTCTCGTTCACATGAAAAGAAAACATCAAATTCATCTTCAAGGAAAAGGGTATAGAAAATGAAGCTTTTTGTTGCATCCAAAAAAAACTACCAACTATCCAGGAAAGAAAAGGGTATCGGGAAAGAGTTATAAAGAGATAAACTTTTGCATGCAGCATCCAACCAGATCACATCAAAGAAACTAAGTATTTTGAATATGTCAAACCCATGAGTGAGCAATTTATATTAACCATTTGATTATGAATCCGAAAGTAACACTGGATTAGCAACAGAGAAACATTGAAACTCAGTAATTTACATTATTCTTCTTTCCCTCTCCCTTTTTTTTCAAACTCTTCAATGTATCCCATTCATATTCTTATTCGTATCTCAGTTATAACAATTGACTAATAAGTTTTGTTGACTTTTTCTTTTTTTGTAGGAAATTGTGGATGAATCTCCAAGCGAAGTACCTTCAACAAATACGAAGAAAAAGAAAGACGAAGAATCGAGTAAATCAAAGAAGACAGTTAATAATGACGAGCGAGAATCAAGTAGAAAAGTAAATTAACTTTCACTTTTATCTAAGAAAATTGATTATTAGAATCTAATCATTTGTTTGTATTTTTCTTCTCATCTAGCAGTCATCTGAAACCAAACGAAGTTCATCTTCACGTAAAAACAAATCCGAAGATAAATAATCCAAAATTTCATCCTCAATCCTATTCTGAATCGGGTCCACATTCATTGTCAAAAACCAAAAGATTTCATCATTTTCAGTAAAACAACAATAATATTCAACGAAATCTGAATTTCTCAAAAAATATTCATCATTTTATTTTCCTTTTCTTTTTTAAATCATCTTAGTTCAAATTTGTGTTTATACCTTTCTCACTCTCTTTCTCTACTTCTCTAGTCGTAAATCGTATTTTTTTAATCATTTTAATCTTAATTTATTTTAGTTTTTTTTGGATCTGAACAATTACTATTTTCTGGTGATGATCTCATCTGTTGATCTTGTTGTGTTTCTCCTTCAACTTGCATTTGGTTGTTGGTCACTTCGGTTGTGACCAAGAGCTCTTTTTTAACCCATTCTTCGTTTGGTAACAATTTATCGACTAAAGTTATCGCCGAGGTGGCCGGATTCTTACGAATTTCTGAATGTCGAATGGCCTTTATTCCATTAATGAAAACAGCATCTTTCGATCGATGCTCAACAAGACCAAATAATAGACCTCTGAAGAAGATGAATGGAAATGATTAGTGTTGATTTGAGTCAAGTGTTTTCATTTTGTTTCTAATATACTTACAAGTTAATTACACAATATGGTCCTCTAAGAAACATAGAATTGGTTGCCCCACTGGATAATAGGATATTCTGTAAATAATCAAGGATATTTTTCTTACAATTAAAACGCAAATTCATGTTGAATGAACCAGATCAGTTTTAAGTGACAAATTATTAGTTCAAAAATAAAGGGATCATGTTTTTCTTGGTTTAGTAACAATTCTGGTTGGAAAATCGAGATAAAAAAAGACTCTAATTTTTGTTAATCGAAATGAAATCCTCAATAAATTATAAAATGAAATTCATTCTTGAAACAAATTCTCCTCCAGTAAAATTAATTGATTGTTAGATGATTAGCTTTAAATGTGAAAATCAATAATTACCTTTCCTTTGGTTTTCCTTGATAAATTTTGCGAGTTGCTGAAAAAATTGTGTCGATTACTTTGCGATGAAAAGGCTTGACAGTAATTAATTTCAAGAAGAATACCTCTGGTAATTGGTAGACTAAAATTAGCTTTTCTCCAACTGAAATTTGATTTCTCAGTAAAATCAAAAGTGAGAATATCACAATCAAAACCACCACCAAGAATTTGGGTTAAAACTTTTTCGGTTTTACATTCAAGTGCCAGGAGATCATAGAGTTTAACAACAGGCGATTGTCCAATCTTATGTAAGTGAAGACCATCTTCAACCGAAACAGTTAACCTAGTATACAATTTGATTGTTCTCCTCTCACCAATTGCTTCAATCATATAGGAAGATAATTGCGGTGGTGAAGGAATCGAGTTAAGTTGATTTGCTCCATCGATACAAACATTAAGAGCAATTTCTTTTAATCCAAGTTTAACACATCGTTTCACCTTCTCCAAAATAGTATCACGATTATCGCGAACAGAATCTCTTTCAATGATTATATTTAAATCCATGAGACCAAGATGAAGAACAGCAATAAATTAACAATTAAAAGCAAAAATAATTAAAAGTAATTAAACTATGATGTAATTAGAAAACAGGAAAAATAGAAATTCAATTTTCAACTGATCAACCAAAAAGAAAACAAATGAAATGAGAAGACCACGTGTCTCACTAGATGGCAGCAGAATAGAAAAGGCGGTAAACTTTTTTTAAAAGAAAAAACTTTTCGTAAACTCGATGTGATTGTAAACTCATAAAGTCCTAAACGTGAGCAAGATCATCTTACTCACTCTCATCATCCTAATCATCCTAATCATCTTCATCTTCACCGAATCATTTAACAACATTATCACTTTTTTACACTCTCTCTCTCTCTTTATAAACTTCATCACCAAGATAATCAAATTAAACTGATCAAACAAATCATGTTTAACGGATATTCATTTCAAGGTTGGTGTCTAATTAGTTGACAATTGATTAAGAGAACAATTTGAAAAGTGTTAATTTTCCTCTCTTCTTGTTATTCTTTATTAATTCTTTGATTCTGTGTTAATTGTTTATCTCTCTTTTCTTTTATTTTTATGTTGATCATTTAATTTGATTGCTTGGGATTAGATAAATTAATGGAAGATGTTTATCCTGGTCAAGGACGAGTTAATCAGCTCGGTGGTGTTTTCATTAATGGTCGACCATTACCTAATCATGTTCGACTTCAAATTGTTCAAATGGCCGCTTCGGGTGTTCGTCCTTGTGCCATTTCCCGACAATTAAGAGTATCCCATGGATGTGTTTCCAAGATTCTAAATCGTTACCAGGAAACGGGTTCAATCAGACCAGGAGTTATCGGTGGTTCTAAACCTCGAGTGGCAACACCACAGGTTGAGAAGAAAATTGAAGATTATCGCCGAGATAATCCAGGAATATTCGCCTGGGAGATTAGAGAAAGATTGATGAAGGTGAGAGAGATGGAAGAAAAACAAATTCTCTTCGACAATTGTGATCGTAATTTAATTTAATTTTCATGTTTCAGGAAGGAATTTGTGACAAAAATAGTGCCCCAAGTATTAGTTCAATTACCCGATTGTTACGAGGGATTAAACATTCAACAGGAAGTGAATACAGAAGTAGCAGTGATGGTGAACTTTCAATGACCGATGGACATGACACGAGAAAAGATCACAGTATTGCTGGAATACTTGGAGGTAAGTGCAACAATTAGTTTTAATCAATAGAATTAGTTTTCTCTTTTTTTTTCACTGCTAATCCTTTATGTCTTAATGGTTACACAATTTACAACCAATCAGTTCTTAAATTTTAGTGCATGTAGACATCATTTTGATAGTGATTCCGTTTTTAATACTACCAAGCAGATGGGCATCATTTGAATTATCATCATCATAATAATCAGTATTATTATTGTCATCAACATCAGCATCATCATCACCGTAGCAAATTATTACAGTAATAATTACAATGCAAACCTTTGGTGATGAAGATGAAAAAATCATCCTCATCATGAGAAGAGCTAAAGGAAGAGGGAGAGAGCGAAGAGGAAAAGACTTGTACGAGTGCGAAAGAAAGAGGAAGATTATGAGAAGAAGATAATGACAAAGAGAGAGAGAGAGAGAGAGAGAGCCAAGTGTGAGTTCGAACCAAGTGAATCATCCTCATCATCTCCATCATTCTGGTTGCTTCATCTTCCTCCTCATCAGACGCTTGTAGGTAGGAAGGGAGAGGAAGATAAAAAGAAAAAGCAAGTTCGATATGAATAGTTCTAAATCCGAATCGAATCGTTGTCGTCGGTAAAGAAATTGTTATGTGAATAAAAACTTAACGCTAATTATCCCGATGCTTAAATTGCCATTCGCCTTTTAGATTCTTTTTTTATATTATCATTACAATTATCATTTGTTATTATTATATTATCATCATCCAGTTGATTCCCTGATCAGTTTCCTCTGATCAACAATCAACTGTAATCACTCATTGTGAGAATTAACTTTAATCGACTTTTTCGAAGGGAAAAATAGAACAAAATTATTTTTTTTTCCTCTTCGATTTTTCTCTTCTTTTCATTTTTCATCCTCTTCCCCAATCATCTTCATCTTCATCATAATCATCATCATCTATTTAACTAAATATTATATTGATTATAAAATAAAATTCATGGTTAATCAGTTTTTTGTCAGGTAATTTGTTATCATTATTAAATTGTAACAATAACGTTAAACTTTCATCATTACAATTGGTAAACATTGTTAATCTTGTTAATACTTAATCCAGTTATCATAATAACAAAAATATTAGGTCAAGTTAATCTGATTATGTGACAACAATTAAGATTAAGGAAAAGTGAACAAAAAAATATTGATCACAATGTTTGTTGTTTTTAATCATTTGCTGTTGATTAAATATTTTAGTGTCAATTGCTGGTCAATTGTGTTAATCAATGTCTATCTATCTATTGATATTACTATTTTTATAATCAATTGTTAAACATTTGATTAACAATTGATTTAGTTATGCATTCCAATCATTTATTAGGTGTTACAATCGGTAACCATTGATAATTTTTTTTCTTACTATTCAATTGTAATAAATTGTATTACCTTGTATCATCATAATCATCATAATCAACATCATTTATCATCAATAAATTGATTGTTGATTATCAATTTTGTCTAACCAACACCTTAACAATTACCTGGGTAAAGGTAATTTGAAATGCTTATTTCAACTTGCTCATTAATGGTCAGTTTAAGTAAAAGCGACTGACCTCTAACCATATAGATATTTTTTTCCTCTTTAACTTTGCTTTAAATTATTATAGTGATTTAGTGATGATTATAAGTCACACTTATTATGAGAATTAACTTCTGTTTAAAATAAGCCACAAATTGATTGTGGTTAATTTAAACATCACCATACTCAGTGATTAAATGAAATAATATCCGGTTAAGAGATTTAATTGTTTGAGAAAAGTTTTCCAATAAAAGGATTCAGGGAATCGATTAACATTTCAGATTAGGATTAACAGTAAATGTATTAAGAGTCTCTCGAAATCATTAGAGTTGATTGACTAATCAATAATCAATAATATTCTCATTTCATTTCTGGTGATTAAGGTGATGATCATGATGATGATGATGATGATGATGATGATGGTCATTGATGATTAAAACCTTGAGAGTGGAGGGTAAGTGTATCAAGGGTGGTCTTTATGTTGACCATCAATGATCAATATGATTATCATACAATTGTCGGTGTTTATTGTTGATAGGAGACAGGAGAGAGAGAGAGAGAAGATAAATTAGAGAGCAGAAAAGAGGAGGAGGAAATATATAGATCTGACTATAGAAAGGTATAGGTTGTTGATATTAATCATTATACATTCAACATACAGGGTAACCTGGCTGATAATGAGATCTTTTTTGAGAGAGGGAGTGTCTTGTTTACTTTGGTATATATTAGTTGCTGTAAGAGGAAGAGAAGAAAAAAATTCATTAATTAGTGAGGTTTAAGAAGGAAAAAGAGATAATCTAATTGGTGATTAGTATGATTGACCTTTTACCTTTTCTTCCTGGTGATTTAACAATAAGATAAAAAAAAACTTTATCCTCGAAAAGTTAGTTAGTGTAAATAAACTATATGTACATCAGGTATCTCATCTGATTATCTGACAAGTTATTTCGTGAGTTGGGCAACAATTGAATAGGAATTTAGTAGTTAAGAGTAGATTACAATTAGAGAAACATGTTAACGGTCAATGATTTTCAATAGGACAAAATTAACATAGGAAAAGAAGAGAAAAGGAAAAGGTAACAAAAAAGTTGACAAAGTTACAAATGAAAATCGAATGAAGAAAAAAAAAGTGATGATGATGATGAAAGAAGACATGAAAAAAATAGAAGAGTAATAATGATCGTTATCCTTTTTCTTGTCCTTTTCTTATGTCCATCGGTCAAAAAGGTAACCAAAGGAGAGAGAGAGAGAGACTGAAAAATGACAATAAGGGTTGAAGTTGAATAGTTGTAAAGGTCATTATGAGTTGTAAGTTTGTTCAACGTTGGCGGTCAACAAGTCGATTTCGGTTGTATTGTCCAGTGAACATGTTAAATCCTTGTAAATACTTTTCAAAAGTCATGTTTTCCTTGTTCAATATGACAAAAGAGTACATGATCTGTTAGACAAGAAGAGGAGGAGGAGGACGAAAAGAAGGTGGTAGTGGTCAAGGTAAGAGAGAGAGAGAGAGAGAGATACAAAGAGGAGACAAGTAAAAGACCACCAGGAGTTACAATCGATTGGGAGTGATCGCAGCAAAAGAGACGATGAAGAGATGATAATGATGACGAAGAATCAACAAGTCTTTTTGATCATATTTTCGAAACCTAAGAAAAAGAAGAGAAAAATAGTGAAATGGACAACAGAAAATACCATAGATACACAAATTCTTACAAATGTTCTCGACAAGAATCGTGAAAAATATTAATACCTTAGAGTGACTTAAATAGATCCATATGCGTACAAGAAGATGAATATATCCACAATCGTTCATTTCTCTTCCTTTATCATCTCTCTCTCTCTCACTTTACACGTCGTTGTTGTTATACTGTCCATCGTGTCCACCTCCTTCTTATCGTTGTAAGGCTCTTTATCCCCGTTATTAGGTGTTAAAGTCCAACCTCTTTCATTGTTCGAATCTTGTAGTTTGTACAAAATCCTATTCATCGATGAAAGATGTTTTTCTTTAGAGAGAGAATGAAAAATAGAAGCAAAAAAGATTAGAATCATTTATAACGTAATCATTCATTTACCATTATTATAGTTAATCTACGCGAATAAGAATCAATGGCGTGATACATTTATCTCTTCTTCGAATATTTTTCTTCTCTTGTACATTTCGACCCCACGAACAACATGTTAAACCTTAATAGATTGTCGACATTAGGCCCGTCATCAAGTCACTCATTGTTATCGCTTCTCTCAATTCAATTGTAATAACTTGTTGGGTTGATTGTTGTTATTTCTCAAAAAAAGAAAAAAAAATCTATACGAACCTCGAACAGTATCAATTCCGATTGATATTGTATTTTAATGACATTTACATTATTATGGATATTTCTTTGTCCGTTCAACAGTTTTTGAACTGTTGGAGGTCGATCGGCCGTCTTTTCATCGCCTTGTGTCGTTTGTATCACAAATCTCTCTCTCTCTCTCCCCCGTCATTTGTTTCCAATTATTTTGTCTTCTTCCATTGACTTTTGCTTGGCTTAACTGAGGCTCAAAATATTTTCACCACAAACCCGTCAACGTGAATGAACAATCACAATTCATTTTGAAGACACAAAAAAAGTTGACAATTTGTGGTATATTGTATTTAGTTAAATACCGGTTGGGATATCATTCATTGAATGGGCGGATATTAGTAAGTGTTAATTTAATTGTAATCAATATCCTCTCATCAGTAGTACTTAAAAACATTCAACCACAATTTCACTTAATCATCAATCAGATTATATCTTATTATTAATAATCCAATGATAACAATTTAACTCCCAACTCATTATACTCTTAATAATATTTATATATCAGATAATCTAGAAATAGCAAAGAGAGAGAGAGACACACAATTAATTAGATACAAAATCTTGGACAATTTATAGACTTGATTAACTACCAAAACAATTAAAAAGTTTTACGATAACATTTTCCTCTAATGATGGTGACAATAATGAAGATAATTATGTTGATGATAAGGATACTCAATGTTTTGTCTATGGAGCAAAGTAAGAAAAAGTTTACTACCTTTCCAGTTACTACTGATTTTATTGTTATTACTTGATGATGTTGCTACTTTGTTAACACACCATGTAGTTTAAGTGTGTTACTGGGTTAAGGTATCTCTTTCCGAGACGATGATAATCATTACCTTGGTCTCTCACTGATTCTCTTACATACCCTAAGGTTAAAAGGTGAAATTGTTACCTTAATGAGCTTAAAAATGAGTTGGACTTGTCATTACAATACGAACATGAGTTTAAACTATTGTCTCCATTTCTAAATGTTATTTTTTTCTCTCTCCACAATGGGAAGAAGAAAAGAAAAAGGAAGAAAAAAAATATATTCGATTCTCTGTAATTAAAATATTTTACCTTCTTTTCTGTCATCCTATTGTATTCTCTTCATCTCTAGTCATTGATACTTTTTTTTTACGATTTTGCAAACATTTTCACTATTCTGATGACGGTTTTTTCTCATCTTTGATTTTTGGGTTGAATTTGTTTCGTTTCTTGATTTAAGGTCGAAGTGGCGATGAATCTGATTGTGATTCTGAACCAGGGATACCATTGAAACGGAAACAACGACGATCTCGAACAACTTTTACCGCTGAACAATTGGAAGAACTTGAGAGAGCATTTGAACGAAGCCAATATCCTGATGTATTTACACGTGAAGAATTGGCACAATTAACTAGATTATCGGAGGCTCGAGTTCAGGTTTGGTTTAGTAATCGACGGGCAAGATGGAGGAAACAGGCCGGCGGTTCAACGGGTTCACATCATCACAGTGGCTCTGGTGGAACGGCTCTTCATCAATCATCCACCACACCCATTCATGTTCACAGTGGTTCCGGTTCAAATCATGGGACAACATCAACAGGTTTAACCACTGGTGAAGTTAAATTCGGAGGTCCTTACAGTCCACCTAATTTCACGTCACCTTACACGGATCCATGTTTAACTTACAATGGTAATTTACCGTTTCCACCTTTTAATAATCCGTACCAATTAATTTGATACAGATACAATTCACAGTTAATTTATTATGTTCCAGTGAATTTAAATTGCTATATTTACCTAGAGAGAGAGTTATCAAAAGGTATCCCATATAAACTCAAATCCCAGTGATAATATTGTTGTTATAATCCAAAAGTTGACAGCGGAAAGATAATCGTCTCTTTTAATTTAGGCCACTTTTTTGAACGTTCAGAGAATCCACTTGACAGTTGTAATTGAAACTGTTTTCATCAGCACCGATCATCTTTAAAATTGTCGTAGTAACAGAAAATTGTTGTTAAATGTAAGACTCTAGGTAATCCATCAAGAAATTGTCATTAATCCTTTGATCCGATTAACTGAAAATCAAAGTGAACGGGTTAACAACCACAAAGCTTAAAATGTTATCTTTTTTTTTAAGTTTCATCTTTCAAACTTCATGTTCAACTTTTAGACTTAAAGTTTAGCTTCATGTCAAAAAACTTGAAGACAATTTGAAGAAACTGTCAAAAGTGTTGGTCAATTCATTACGAATATTAATGATGATATTTTCTCTTCTTTTTTGCTTCTCCTCAATGGTCAATTGTGTATCTCAATGGTCAACTCTTTAGAATCAAATTGGTGCCGTCGTTCAATGTCCAACCCAGTTAACAAAGTTCCAAGTGTTTCCAATAATCTGACAACAGGAACAACAACAACAACTGCCCCAAGCAATGGATTGACTATCAATATAAACTGTAATTCTGTCAACACTGTCAATAATAACAACACCAACAGCACCAATGATAATTTAACCTCTAACAACGATAATACCAACAATAATAATAACGATAATGATAATAATCTTAACAGAATCAATGGTAATAGTGGTAACAACACGGTGATTAGTGTTCCATCATCATCATCATCTTCTTCATCCTCATTAACCCCAACTACTTCAACAGCATCAGGAATCTCAGTTTCAAGTGGATATTCAAGTGACAATTTCACAAGTCAATCAATGTTCAATAATTTCCTTGGTTCATCTAATGGGCCAACAGGTTGTTCCAATGCAACTTCAACCACTGATTATCCTTCACATCATCACCCTCACCATCAGCATCCTCATTCAGTTCATCATCATCCACACAATTCTCATCATCACCATGGATCACTTAATCATCCTCATCCCCATTCTCATCCACATCATCCTAATCATCACACTTTAAACTCGAGTAATCAACATTTAACCAACGAATCGCCCATTTCCACGTGGAATCCATCGGTTTTCAGTTCATCAGGAAGACATGATACAAATGTATATTCAACCTCTTCCTGGACACACACTCCTTTCCAAACAGTGAATTCACCACATGAACCATTCAGGTAACTAAATTAAGAAGCAAAATTAACAATACAATCAATTTGATATCAGACAAGGAAAATATTTCCAATTTCCAATGTGATTAAAGTGATTCTCAGAATTTTCTACCAAGTTAGATAATCTTTTCTAATTTTTGTTTCTCCGTGTTAAATTATTTTACCAGCATGAAATTTGCTAAATTTCTGTACATTGATTAACATAACAGTAAATCAATATATCACTAGAATCAAGACAATCAAACTAATACATCAATATATGTACTTTGATTTTGCTAATTTACAGTGTACCTAATGACACATTCCTTAATTCATCCTATGGTAATATACATGGAGGACACGAATTAAGTAAAACTGGTTTCGCTTATGGATCTTCACAGTTACCTAGTTGTAAGTTAATTAAATTTAATTGTCCAATTTTCGTCTCTCGATGCATAAGAAGAGGAGTTACTCGAGTGCATATGAGAGTGTCAAGGCCTAAACCTTTTTGTTTTCTTCTTGTAATAAAAAAAGAATAAAATAATCAAGAGAGAGAGAGAGAGACTTTACAAAGATGAAAGTTGAAAGAGAATAACAAATGAAGAGTAACCTTACCTTTTCGAAAGGGAATATGAGCCTTCTAATGGTGTTGTAGGTCGACAGGTAAGAAACGGAGAAAGAGATAAAGGTAAGTAGGTAAACACATCCACAGGAATAAAAGTAAGTCGTTAAAGATGAAGATGAGCCCGAAGAAAAGAAAGAAAAGAAAGAAGAAATCAAGCTTCGTCATAAATCGCTTAACCGTTTACCTCAGTAGCTAATATATCTCATTATTGATTCGAAAATTTTTACAACCTCTTAAACGGTGGATCCTTATTATTTATCCTTCTCATTTAGTCCTTTGGCCTTTTCTCTATTTTTTTTTGTTCACCAATCACCAAACATAATCATCGAGAATCATTAACATCGTTGTTCACTTATTGTTCACAATCGGTTATAAGAACATTTAAATTGTTCGAAAGAAAAAGGAACCAATTCGCAATTTACCTTTGCAAACTTTTCTCTCTAATTTTAAAGTTTCGAAATCTTCGAAAATCTTGATGATCACTTTTCGTCGAAACTTTTAACTATTAATATTTTCTCTTTTTTCTTATGATGAAAGAAAATTTTTATATAGTCTTATGAAAATGTTCTCTTCTTTTTGTCGAATATTATTATTCTTTTTTTTCTTCTTGTTCTATCAAAATATCTAACTAATAATTCACTTTGTTTTCGTCTTCGTTTTCCAGGTAATGTTCAACATTCATTTCGATTACCAGTGTGATCCAAAAGAGGCCTTATTGTAACATCTAATTTAGATCAATTTTCATCATTGTAATTAAAGTTAATCACAAATTCTTCTTGACTAATTGTCAATCATCCTCATCCTCATCATCATCATCATCTATTATCAAGAGGCCATAACGATAAGATGTACAAAAACAAAAGTTGAACGTTCAAGATAATTTAGTTTCTAAAAAGGATAATCAACTATTGGATTAATTTTCTTTGATTAATTGTGATTAAAGGTTAACTATTTGTCTCCATCCATGTTAAATTATAACCTTCTAGTAAATCAATTTAAGGTTAGCAATTGAAAATTTGTTTGGACACTTTAATCAACTTTTTCATTAATATCCTTGATCATAATTAACTGTAATTGTCTAAAATTTTATTGATTGTAAAATTATTCAGATCAATAACAGTATTAATCAATTAATTCCAACTCTCTATTTACATTTTGTTTGTAATTAAACTTAATTGTCTTACCTTTAACCTCCTTTCATTGTATAATAATAATAATTTATATTCATTGATGAAAATTATAAACAACAATTTGTATTAATCGATATTTATTTTTTCCTATCAACAATTTAATCAAATTAAACAAATTATTTTTTATATTCCACCAAAATCTGAACAATTAACTAACTAATTCCTTAAATAATGATAAACAATTAAAAAACGAAACTTAATTGTTGATATGAAAAGTTTTGTTTCTCTTTTAGTATTAATATAAAACCAACAAATCTAATCAATTTCACGGTGATTAACAATTAAAACAATTAAAAACTATTATAACTGAGATCAAAATTTGATTCGCAATTAGAATAAATAAAATTAAATTAATTAGTCTAAATGATTGAAAAAAATTAAATTTGTGTCACTTTGTTTACTTTTGGTTAATCAAATTAATCAGGATTAATTGAGAGTTGCAATTGAAATCAATCTCTCCCAGCATGTTAATTTAACCTGTTAAATTGTTAATTGTGTCTAATTTATCCTTTTTTTTTGAGAATTAAATTTCTAACCACAAAATAATTAATTGATTGTTGAAGAAATAGGAAAATGTGTCTACCTGTATTCGTGATATAGAAAAGCGTTAAAGTTGATTGGGTGGTTAAAGAAAATGAAAGGTAAGAGTCCATAGATTATTAAATCAATAGAATAATTTTATTAATCAAAATGGCCTCATATCGGGAGATGATGGTGATCATTATGATAGACAAGTTTACTTTTTACAAGAATAAGTTAATTGTGAATTTGTAATATTTCCATTAATCATGTTCTTTAAAGAGAGTTGAAGGTAAGTTGGAAAATCTCTTATGTACACAATGTCTTTTTCTCCTCTCATTTCCACCAAACTTATTTTTCGCCATCATCTTCATCATCCTCATCATCATCATCATCTTCTTCTTCTCAGTATGAAGTAAACCCAAATTCATTTATCTCACTAATAATACTACAAGTTACCTGATGATGGTTATCATTATAATCATGATGCAAGCTAAAAAGGTATATGAGTGTAACACCCATGTGACTCGACATTTTTTTTCTGTAGAATTTTTTTCTTCTCTCTCTCTCTCTCTCTCTCTCTCTCTCTCTCTTTGTGAGGATTAACCATTGTTTTCATCACCATCAACAACATTAACACATTCGAATGTTGAGAAAAATATTAAATCAATGTTTGATGTATTTTCTTTCAGGTTTCACCTTTTCTTATGGTTGGGCAAGGATTGTGTCGAAAATGGGAGACGATGGAGAAACCAGATGAGAGAGAAGCAAAAGAGGAGAAATCATGGTGATGATGAGAGAGAGAGAGAGATGATGATGATGAGGGAGAGAAAGATATTCGTTAGCTTGGTGATGATAATAATAAAGGCTTCTGGGAGGTCTTATATCATTATTCATCTTTACTTAGCGAGAGATAGTTAATATGGGAATTGGTTATGGTTAATTAGTGTTGAAAACTGAAGGATTTACTCACAATCGTTTATTAATATTAATCAATTGCACCAATTCCTGAAATTTCATCCAGATAATCAGGTAACAATCAAATTCTGACCTGATGGTTTCCTCTCTCAGCTCATGATTATCAACCATGAGGACAAAATGTTTACAGTTTGAAACATTGATGATAAATGTATGCAAACAACTTTTAATTTCAATTGTGATTATTATTATTTTCTCTCTCACTCTTACAGAATTAATTATCGGCATGAATAAGGTAAACGATTAACCAATAGCGATTATGTTGATTCTAAATTGTTTGGTTAACTTACCCATTGGACATTGAGTGTGAGTGTTTCCATGTTGATTTATGTGTAATTAAATGATGCAGAATAAGTTGCTAACTGTTGTTTAGTTAACTAACCACAAATTACATTAAGAGCAACAAAAAAACAAACGTAATCGTTACACAATTGATGTTGAACAAAAAGTTACTATGGATTATTATTATTGCCGTTTTTTTTGCCAACAACGATTATCCTCCCAACAATTTACAAGGTTAATTGTACAAACCTTTTTTCCCTACCGATGTTGATCTGTTTATGTATTGGTATTAACAATTCATTGATTGTACAATCAATTCTGATTAGACTGAGTACTCAGATTGAAAGGCAAGCAAAGTGATAAACTTATTGATTAGCATTGATTAACTTGATTCTTTACTTTGTTTTTCTTGCTACCTTCTTATTGTTGTTGTAATTGTTGTTAACATTTTCCTCGTTTCCATTGACCTTCAGGTACAATTTTAAGGGATCATTTTGGTGTCTCCCAGGGTGGCTCTCAGAAGGGAGGAAGGAGATGATGATAATGACGACGATGATGATGAAGATAAGGAAGAAAAGGAGGCAAATATGGAGGGAGTGATTATCTCTCTCTCTCTCTCTCTTTTCGTATTCTTTTAACTTTTCCTCTTTAAAAAACAAAGAATAACCATTCTAAAGGAATCATTATTCACTTCTAGATGTGTATCAACAATTGGACAAATTGATTTTCATCTTTCAACCCGAAAAAAAAGTAAATATTATTCAGGTTTCATTTTCTATAAAGATAATTAATGATGATCACACCAAAGGAGAAAATGATAATCTGTCAGCATTATATTTCATTTCTCATTCGCTAAATTGTCTCAAAAAAGTTTCTCAATTTTTCTTCCTCAATTAACGTTACCCTCATTTAATGGAACGTTAAATCAATTAAAATTTCTAATTGTAATCTTTAAAGAAAATTTTATTATCAAAATCTATTCTATTGCTATTATCGAGATGTAATTTTCCATCAAATTAACTGAGCGAAAATTTTGATAATCTAAAATTCTGACCATCAAATTGAGTAAAAACCCTTTTTTTCAATTTCTTCGAGAATAGTGATCAATATTTTATCACTATTCAAATGAAGTTCTGCTGAATATTGTATTTATCATGAATAATTATCTTCTCAGTGATTAGTTAATTTAGTTGGAGAAATTTACGCGACGTGTGTCTCCATCTTTTGAGTGAATTTGTCAGCGAAATGAAAAAGTTTAACTTGATACAAATTTGAAATTTCTCTTCTCTAATTTTATTTTCTCCTCTTTTTCATGACGAACCTTATGAGTTGAACTTTTTTCGACCTGATCTTGGCCTTCGTCTCAATATACTGATACTTATTTCATATTCAAATTTAAACAATCTCACTGTTCAAAAACCGAGTGATTAGCTGATAAATCCAAGACAACAATACACTTACGATTAGAGGTATTTAACGAATGAAGAAAATATTGTAAACAGACAAAAGATTTTAAATGAAATTGTAAATTTATTAGAATCTAAATTGTACAAACTTAGCGGTTAGCTCAGTGCCCGATGGAGCCACCACATTGGAGCTAAATGCTTAATGTATTGCCTCTAGCGTAGGTTAATAAAATGGAAATGAAGAAAAGTTTTGACAAATTAATGTTTCATTTTACTGATCAATTGTTATTACGGTTAATTGCTTGAATTTTGCTATTGAATTTTATCAAGAAAAATAAGGTAAAGGTCATATAATAGTATAATAATATAAGTTATTGTAATCGAACAGTTTTTTGTAGCCTTAACCTCATCTCTTTTTTTTGTATTATGATTTTCATGGTAATTAGATTTAAATAATGGTAATACTAATGAGATAATTAAGATGAATTTGATGTGTTCTGGTACGATGATTTCCATTGAGCAAGACTTTTGAACATACTAACTCGACGATCGGGATTAGTATGAGTAACTGTTGAGGTTATCATTCGAGGCTTGAAAAATTTGATAAATCGTTCCAATTCAGAGTAACTTGAATGTTCACTATAAGGAATTCCTTTAGAAATGGGAAAAGAAAAAGACAATTCGACAATTAATATTATTAAATGACCAATAGATTACAATCAATAACGAACCATAAATGTAAACATTATTCTCGACCGACGGAACGATTGATTCGGCAGTTCCACAATCTTCCCAACCACAGGGTTTAAAGGCTAAAATTGAACTGAATCTATTGCAACAACCCTTTAAATATCCTTTGAGAAACTAAATTAAAAGGAGAGAAATGTAATCACAATTAATTGTAACTCTTTAAACCATAAATTTAATCAACTCACCTGATGATTTATATCTGAAAGCGGCAACACATGAATCTGAGCTTGATCTTTATCGTCAACCAGATTTTCATTGATAATTGGATCATTGATTATCTTGAGAACTTTTAATTTAGTTGAATTAACCCAAAGATTCATTGATAATCCATTTGCAAGACTTTTGAAAACTTTTTCTTTACCAATATTGTAAGTACCGCAAACGATTAATAATTTAGGATCATCCGATAAATGTTTCAATGTTAAATCAATGGTAATTTGAATTGTATCCATTTGACTGGGAAAATTATAAGCTGGATGACAATAAGTTGTATCTAAATAAATTTGATCAATTGGTCGTTCAATTAAAAATGGATCAGTTTCCATTTCAGGGGAAGCACGAAAATCACCAGTATGAAGTATCCGTCGTTCATCAGGTAATATGAACAGAAACATCACCGATCCGGGACAATGTTGAGCGTCAATTAGAATCACTTGAATACCATCAACAACAATCGGTGATCTATTGGTAACCATAATTACTTGACTTGGTTTGATTCCAATTTGATCGATAACAAGTTTACCGGTAATCATACTTGTAATAATTGTACCATTGAACTTGGAAGATAAACCAATGTAATGATCATAATGGAAATGGGATAAAAAGTAATAGGTGATCTCAGGTGAAGGGTCAAAGTTAAAAGCATCAACAGCAAATGATGTGTCAGCTATTTTTTTCCAGTATGGTATTTGTTTCGTAGGCTGTGATGATGAGGATGAGGATGAGGATGATATTGGGTGGGGCCCTCGTCCAGTAACATGAGAACCATTTTCCTTTGAACTATTTAAGGCCTGAGAGTTGGGAGCATCTCCAAAGGATTGAGTAGCCTCGAAATCAGAATCATCTGAATCAATTATATTCCAGGCTCGTTTTAAATCTTTATAATATTCTAAATAACCAGAGTCATTGGCATGGGTTCGCTTTAAATCATCTAAATAAACTCTAAGATAATCTCTATCATCGGCAGAATCCATCAGGTCCATTCAGCTGGTCACTAATCGGTTCACAGTTTAACCTAAAGGTCAAATTGACGATTTCAAGTCTCTAGAAAGAATCAAATGAAACAAAACCACAAAATTAAAAAATAAATAGAATCACACAATTGAATCGGATTAAGATACTAAACAATTAAAATTAAATCAAATCTCCACAAGTATCATGTAATAATAACACAAGAACGAGAATCAAACACTCAATCAAATCCTTACGATGATTTAAATGGTGAACAAAGTGTAAAGATTAACATACTAATGGTAATGATATAAACTAGATTATAAGGATGATTAAATAGGACAATTAAGGATTAGAGAAAACAACAGAGAAAATTAAATCATCATAAATGATTAGGATAAAAATGGAGTAAAAAAAAAATGATCCACCCAAAAGGATCAGGAGAACCAAAAAAATAACAAAACACAAACTCACCATTATTTTGATCCCTGGAAATTTAATCGATCATCTAATTAACCTATTGATTAACCAGATAGTTAACACGAATGGAGATTAAAAAATAGCCAAAATTAAATTTAATTGTCTAAAGTAATCAGATGATTACAATTGCGAAAACAACAAATAATTTATGAGAGTTTAGCTTTTCTCATCCTTTTAAAATCCAATGAAAAAAAAGCGCGAAATTTTCAAAAAGATTTAGAATTTAACCTTTTTAATGATTAGAAATTTAATTGTTCTACAATTGGATCAGTGATCACAATTAAATAATGATTAACCTTAACACTATTTCAATTGATTAATTTCAAGTTTAAATGATTAATATAAATAAATAGAGAAAAGGAAAACAATTGAATTGAGAAAAAGTTTGGAAAACTATTGAAAAGAAACAATTTGACATCGTAACAATTAAAATTACTAAATGACGAAAGTGATTGTAATTTAATCAATTGATTGCAATTGGAATGACAGAAATCAACAGCTATTAAATTGTTAGACAATTAATTAGATTAAGTTAAACAAATTAACCCAATTGATTGATGAGGAAAAATTAATCAAACATTTTCACACCTGAACAATTAAAGTTAATCATTGGAATGACCAATAATCTAAATCAATTATTTGCTTGTTTCCTTTTTGTTTTATCAATTGATTGTTAAAACAATTAACTAATTTTATATATATAAATAAACCTCTTAAATTGTTTGGTAAAGTTTTTTTTATTGATTTTCTATTAAAAATAAATGATCAAGTTGATGATAAGTTTCAATTTTAATAATAGTAATTAGGAAAAAGTATAATAATTTCAATTGTTGTTCAAACAATTAACTTATGCTGGTGAATATAAAATGTAAATGATGATGTTGATTGTTGAATGAATTAAGAATATAATTAACAATTAAAAAGCAAAAGGTAATAAAAGAAAGAGTAAAAAAAATAGATTTTGATAATCATCTTGAGAAACAATCAAAATGATTAACTACAAAATAATTTAGCAAATTAATTTGCTTTGAGTGTTAAAAATACTCAATTGATTAACTCAACGATTAGATTTAGGATTGTGATTATCATTGAGTGAACGGGATAATTAATGATGTAAAAATGATCAAGAAAATTAATAAATTATTACAAGATGAAAATAAATGATTAGTAAATTGTTGTTGTTCATTTTAAAATTCATCTGATTGTAGGTCAATTTGGATAGTTTCAATTTTAACTGATTAACTGATTATCTCAAATTATTGGTTAACTAAATTGTTAATCACATACACAAAATATTCACAACAATTATAATAATAAGTAAATAAATTATAATCAATTAACACACAGAAAGTGTTGCTGTTGTTGATTGTTGATTGTTAAGTGTTGATAATCAATTGGTGACCCTTAATTGTTGCCAGAATTTGTTTGTTGAAAAAAAAAAAATTAACTCTAAAGTTGATGTAACATTTACATCCAATTGCTTTGATTGTAAGTGTTGCTAATTAACTGATTGGAAAGTATCACTAACACCAATTGATTGGATGATTTGATTTCGTCAATGGTTTTGACGCTTCATTTTTCTTGCTAAATCATTGATTTAGACAGACAATTAAAAATTGATTGGGAATCCAGTTGATTTGTAATTAAATGGTGATGAGAAGATGAAGATTGTGATGATGGATGATCAATTTGATTAGATAATAAATAGATTTGGTAATGATGACAGTTTGCTTTTGTTTTGAACTTGAACCAAATTAATTGAATAATCAAAATTAAACAATTACGATTATAACATTGATTTAACGGACGGAGACGATGATGAGGATAATGTTTCCGTTAAAGTTGGTACTAAATGACCACAGGATAGTTTAATGTTAACCAAACAGGTACAAATTGGTCCTCGAAGCTCCAATCGATTGTATTGTGAACATTTGATTCGTGAATCGTCAAGCGATTCATCGTTATCATCAACAGGCTCGGTTCCAGTGTAATCGGGTTGAGAGGGATAGAAATCATCTCCAGGTAGAAAAGAAATCGCTCCGTCAATAAAGGTCGAAATGACGGGTAACCATCGTTCGATTCCTAAATTTTCTCTCTTCGAGGCAAACGAACGAATCGACTTATAATTAGGAAGATTTTCAATTCGAGATAATTCGTACACTTGAGGTGGAGCGAGAAATATATTCCCTTCAGCGTGTTCGCTCAGCATTTCGTTAGGTGAACACCACTAAGATTGAAAAGATAATCGAGTGGAAAAAAAAAAAAGAAAATAAAAATAATTAGAACAAAATTCTGATTGAAATCGAACAGAAAAACAATTTCGAATGACAATTCGTTGATTACCTTTAACGTTGTCACCTCTTTATTGTCAACAACTACGTTCGGTTGTTTATCGAGGCAACAAAGGTAGAACATTGTGTCGAATCGTCGATGTCCAACCGATTTCGGTGTTAACCAGTCCCACCATTCGTATAATGACCAAATGTCCGGCGATTGGCCAAGTAATCGGCACAATTCAATAAAGGCCAATCCATTTGAATGAACTTTTTCCCTCCACTCGGAAAGATCAACTGATGATGTTGTTAAATTACTCGGACCATTTGTATTACTTGATTGGTAGTTATTAGTTAACAAGAGGACACCTTGATTGTTGAAGAGAAAATTTAATTTAGTTAGTGAATTAATTTCACTTCATTTGATTTGAACATTAGTTAATAGTTATGATTAAATGTTGCCTTCAAATGTTACAATCAATTGTAAAGGTTAGAGGGATAAGGATTTACCAAGATTAAATATCTGTTTAAATTAATTACAATTAGACTAAATTACTGATCAAGGTAAATAAGATTTAAGGTAAAACCCAAGGGCAGAGAGATGAGAATCAAAAGTAAACTGAATCAAGCCAGAAATTAGTGGATTAGTGAGTGTAAGAGAATGACTCTACTACTGTGAAAGGTTAATTAGAATTAATGAAAATGGAAAGTGATTAATTAATTAATTACAAACCTGTTTCCTCGAAAGTTTCACGAATTGCTGTAATTCTTAATGAAAGATCGGGTGGAAGTGGACTTGAGGTATTTAATTGCTCGGTGGGCGAAGGCATAGTTAATGGTGAAGTGATTATTGGGGGTCTTGGACCTCCTTTGGTCCGGTCTCTGATTGTGGTCACTAATTGTTGTTGATTAAGGGAACAAGAATCGTTGAAGATTGACCACCATTCAGGTGAGAAATCAGATGAATCAACTTTGCCCCCAGGGAAAACAAAAGCCGAAGCTAAAAAGGAAGCGATATTACTCCTTTTAACCATAAGAACACGATAATCAACAGAATTGGGTAACAATTTACTTCGTGATTTACTATTAATTGTTGTAGGTGTGACAGATGATGAAGATGAAGGTAAAACCCTAGAAGTAGCAATCATATTGTCACTTAAATTAGATCCAACAATTTGAGGAATCGAGGCTCTGGTAACCATAATTAGCGAAGCAGCTTCACGCCAAGGTAAAGATGATTGGGAACTTTTATCAATGTGATTATTTATATTCGCCATTGTAATAATTATGACAAGTTTATGATGATGGACAATTAATAAATTGTTGCGTTTAAAAGTCAACAAAAAGAAAAGAAGTAAATTAAAACACCCAAACAATAATCACTATTGTTGAGAGTAAATCGAAATGGTTCAAGTTAAGCTCAATAGATTAGAGAGAAATTAACTAATTTCGATGATTAAAATTGAAGAAAATTAAAACACTGACAATTAACACACATGACAATTAATGGGAGAAATGTTTTTCTTGGAAACAATTAACTTGACAATCAACGGAAAGAAATTAAAGAGAATCACAAATCAGAACCAAATCAAAACGGTTAAATGATTACACTAAATGTAGTAAACATGTGACACTTAATCAGTTTGGTTTTACAATCAAATTAAAGGTTAAATTGTTGTTGAAGGTAAGAGGGCAGTTCTCAGGTTAATTGAATTTAATCAAAGTAATGAAATAATTTGCTAATCACAATCAAAGGAAAGAGACATTGGTTAGAAAGGAAAAGAAAAATAATTTTCGCTTTCAACGAAAAAAGTGAAAGAAAAACACTAAACCTGAACGAAAGAGAATGGAAGAGAAAAAGAGAGATTGAGAGAGAGAGAGAGAAAAGGTTGGTCTTGGAAGATAGAAAGAGGATGAAGAAAGTAAGATGATAAAAGTGAGAAGATGATCATTATCATCTTAATCATCTTTTCCGGATTTCGATTAAATTAAACAACAATCAACTAATAACCTGGAAAACGCAACAACATAAACTGCGAATCGTGAAAATATTATCATGTTCAATTATGATTCTAATTAATTTCTGATTGCTATTTGTCTCTTTCTCTTATAAAAATTAAAAGGTCAATCATTAATTGTGATTAGTTATCATCAACAATTTAGGTATAAATATATTACAATTAAATGAAATGATTCTCAATGAACTGGATTAAGATTCAGATAAAAAAAGCAACACTGACCTTGTATCATTTTCCTTCCGATTAAACTAATTTTTTTTCTTAATTGTTGTTGTTGATTGTTTTGTTTTGGTATTCAGTTAATTCAGTTAATTCAGTTTTCAACAATTTGACCTGTTTTGCTAATTGTTGGATAACAATTTATTGATTGATTAGGTCAAGAAATTGATTCTCATCGTTTATTATACAAGCTAATGTATAAATCATCATAATTAATTATATGTTTCAATTGAAATGTTTAGTTAATTTTATTTCTTGTTGATTGTTGGTTCATTCATTTTAATGATCATCCTTGATTGTTGGCTTATGTAGCTTAATTGTTAACTCTCAAAATAATCTATATTTATACCTTAAGATACTTTAATATAATTACAATTTAAATATAATCATTAATCGAGATGATTGACCGTTAATTGTTTGGACAATCAACTAATATATGATTAATTGTGACCCTTTTTTGTTGTGTCTCATAATCAAATCTAAATTGTTGTTAGAAAAGGGAAAAGGAAATGGATTAATTGTTGTCAATTGTTAATCAATGTTGGCTAATTGTCTCCTCCTTTATAAATCACACTCTATGTTAATTAATACTCAAATTTAATTGATTGGTTCATATCCGCAATTAGGGAAACAAAAAGGAAGCCCTTTGTTAATTAGATAATTGTTTTCTTCGTGTCAGTTTAACTTCAATACAGTTAACTAACAATTAACTTTCTTCGGGAATATTAAAATTTTGTTTAATTGTTTTCTGATACCAAAAGTGATTAACTAATTTGATTTCTTCTTCTTTATTAACAATTAACATGGTTAATTGTTCAGAGAAACAAATTTCAAGAAGATACAATTCATTTATGATTAGTGATATTCTTGAAATTTTTGATCAATCAAATGATTCCGACTCAGAATTTGAAGATGATTTAATTAAAGATTCATCTGATTTCCAATCAATCAATTACTCATCATCAGAACAATCAACTAATAGTAATTATCAATTTGGATTGATAAACAATAATATCGATCAAGAAGTTAATTGTGATAGAAATCAATTGATTAAAACTTTCAATTCAAATTGTTCAACCAAAGGATCAACAACTAAATGTAAGTAATACAAACAATTGACAAACTAAATTGTGATTAAAATTAATCACATTCTTTTGATACTTTAATTGACTGTTGATTAGTTAATTGTAACGATCAAAACGTCAACTTGATTACATTTTTGTATTGTGTTCACTGATTAATCTAATTGTTTTTGATTCTTTTTTTTCTATCAATTTCTTCACAATCAATCACAATTTAGATTGTTCTGAATTAACTTTTAATTCTCGTCATTCTCAAATTTACTTTGAAATACAATTAAGACGTAAATTAATGTTACAATCAAAGCCTCGGAAAGGTGGACAGATTAGATTCACTCATCAACAAACTGTTTCCCTGGAGGAGAAATTTAATTGTTACAATTATCTTAATTCATCTGATCGTCGTTTATTGGCTCAACAATTAAATTTAACAGAGAGACAAGTGAAAACCTGGTTCCAGAATAGGCGAGCAAAGGACCGACGATTAAAGTCAATTAATCAGTCTAATTGTGACAATCAACTTGACAAAAGTAACAATTTAACTGTCAACCTAAAAATGAACAGTAATCATTATTTTCACCCTTGGAGTGATGATGATCAATCTGATTGAACAATTAAATGAACAACAATTTACAAATCAAATTTGTCTTTGATTATTTTCAAATCATTTGCAACAAATTAAATTTTTCATTAGCAATTTAATTTAAATCGTTGGTAATTTTTATCAATGTAAAAACATAAGGAAATGAGATCCTAATTGATTAACTGTTAATTGATTGTTTAACAATCCTAGATGGTAACAAAAATTAGGTTAATCTAATATCACAACAATTAAATTTAAACAGGAAACTCTTATCAATTTAAATTAACAAACAATAGGAAATAGTTTTATAAATCAACTTTAGTAATTAAAACGGGAAATGAAATATTTAAATTGTTATTGATTATCTTGAGATGATCATTGAGTATTACAAACAATTTGAATCACTAATTGTCACTAATCATTGGAAAAATCAAAAGAAAATAAATTGTTTATTAAATTCAATTTATCTCAACCCGGATTGTTAAATAATCAAAATGATTAACCAACTTAAATGAGTTCAGAAAAAGTAAAAAAAAAGGTAACCGATATTTAATTGTGATTAAGGGAATCACAATTAATTGTTAATCAGGCTAACCTGATATCATTGATGACATTAAAAAGTTTTTTATTAATCTGATTACCACGAGAAATTAAATCATGTTCAATTAAATCAAGTTTGAAATGTGATTGTTAATCATCATCAAGTTAACTGTTTACCAGTTTCATTTAGTTTTGATTTGATTTGATTTGTTTTGTTTTTTAATTAACTTGTATTTCAGGTTAATTAACAGGAAAAGTGGTTTCTCACATTTGTTACAATTAACTAATTTTCTCATATTAATCAACTGTAGTTAATGGTGTCTGGTTCAAGCTTTACAATTTAAAATCGTGTTCAGTGTCATCAGTGTCATCGTTGGTAACAATCAGTTAATTGTTGAAAGGTGAGATTAGCAGATCAACTGATTAAACAATCTCAGATAATTAATCTGATTGGAAATCTTGAGTTTTATCCAATTTTCATCTTAATCAATATCTTGATTGATTATCATTCACATCAGGACAATTTAGAAAATAACTAATCTTAATCGCGATTCTTTTCAACAACAATTAAAATTAAAAATAGACAATTTAACTGGTCTCCATCTTTTTGATTGTTTAACGAAATTAACAACCAGATAAAAAGGTGATTAATTAATCATCTGGATTGACTGAAATCGTATAATCGATATAACAATTAAGATTCTTCGGTTTCTTTGGGTTGATGATGAATCACAATTAAGGAAACAATTGTAATTCAATTTCCAACTTGTTGATGATTTTCCTTTTGACAGTTTTATGTTATTGCTATTTAAGTCACTCAAGGTTTGATTAGTTTCCCGTTATAAGAATACAAAAGAAACAATCAAGGTTAATTGTGAATCCATAAAATCGTCATCATTGATTTCATTTTATCATCTTCTCTCTCTCTCTCTCTCTCTCTCTCTCTCTCTCTCTCTCTCTCTCTCTCTCTCTCTCTCTCTCTCTCACTCATTTCCCCTCCCTTTCTACATCTGATCTTCCTCTTGGTAAATGACAGAAAACTGAGCAACAATTAAACTGGAAAATCGTTAATGATTGATTAATATTTTGATTCCATCCACACACATGTAAGAAGTGGTTGTTGTTAAATAATCTGCTACATTTGCAATTGTCACTGTTTGGAAATTTAATGTAAATTGATGATTAAGATGATGAGATGACAATTTGATTCAACAGTGATTCGTTGATTTCTCCATTGGCATCACTAAAAAATGGTGAATTTCTTTGGGATGATTGAGGTAAAAGTCTTGTAAATTCTGCAAAGAAAAATATTGATTGTTACAGAAAATTTGTATATACCTTTTACGACTTAGATCAGGGGAGGAGGGAATTTAATTATACAACCTTTAAGAACACACACACATCAGGATAACAATCAATTCTATAATTAACTTGAGAAAAATTTACAATTAGATTTTATACAAGTTTCCATAGTGTGTTTTTCTTTGTATGGGCTATTTTTTGCCTCTCTATTTCTCTCTCTCTCTCTCTCTTCATCTATCTATCTCTTTGTATATTATCATTGTAAATGTTTGATATTAGGTCGAAGCTTTAAATCGCTTAAAATTGTGGGGAAGAAAAGGCTTAGGTTAACTCCTTTCATTTTTTACGAGTTTGCCGGAGAAATGGTGACGTTAATACCAAGATTAGCACCATCAGCATAAAGGTTTGCAATCGCTGTGTCGAACACTAGACAATCGGAAAGGTTAATAGCAGATTGGACACCTTCATCTATGGAATGAGGTGTTGCTTCCCAAGTTAATCTTCTTTTCTGTCCATTTAATTCTAGACGATAGATAAATTTCTCTGCTTGTTTGGGTGTACCAATAAGTTGAACTACTGCAAAAAATTGCTGATACGCTTGGAACCTTTCTTGTTTCTCTAAAACCAGCATAAAATGATGATTAAAACATGATTGAATCATAACCCAGTCAACTGCTCCGCTTAAATTAATATCAGTAGCTAGGAAAACAATATCTTCTCCTTGTAGAGTTGTAATACTTTTATGCTGGGTCATCAGATGGTGCATAACTTGCTTCAATGGACCATTCCATTTACAATTGCTACCTGGAAAGGAGTAGAAACCAAAAGAAAAAGAGAGAAAAACAAATTATTAATGAGAGATATCAATTGTGATGGGAGAGAAAAATTGGAATCAAGTGAGAAAATCATTAAAAATGATTATTAACTTTAACTCATTCTGTTTGTCAACCTTATTAAACTTAGAATAGAGAGAAAGATGAACGTGTAGTTTAATACGAAAGAGTAAAAGAAAATGGAAAAATAATAACTATTGAATTTGTAGAAAAGAATAAAAAAAGTGTGAGTGAATAACAATTAGATTCGCTTTGCATAACATGGTTGAACGAATATATTGGAAAATTGATTCATGTTGAGATAAGTAATGAAAATAGAAGAGAAAAAAAAGAGAAGAAAAATTTGATGGTTAGCCATTTTTGCTTACCTGGACAAGGGCAAGAGTATGATTTGAAATCACATGAATCCTCGTGATCAGTTTTATCTGAACAAGAGAGATTAAGAAGGCACCCTTGAGATGAGTATTTACATGGGAACATTAGGTTCATAGCAAGTTTCTCCATCTGAAGATTACGTATGTTACTTGAGATTGGAATACGGCAAGTTGGACAATTGCTTAATTGTTTACGACAAGCTGAGCATAAAAGATGACCATTTTGACACTGAAGAATAGGTGGAAGAACGTAGTCAAAGCAAACAGGGCACTCAAAGAGAGATGTAAGCTCATTTTGATGTGGTTTAATGTCTTGTTGACTTGATGAACATGATACACCAGGAGCTCCAGGCCCAGATGAGATGATGGATGGTGAAGGTACAATATGAGGAAAATTTTTGGTATCAGTTGTATTGAAACTATTCATAGGATTATCATTAACTGTAAAAAAAGAAGAAAGATAAAAACAATAGAAAAACAATATGAATAACAGAGAAAATGAATAAATGTAAACAACAAAAAAAAAGAGGCGAGCGAAAAACGAAAAGAAGAAAGAGAAATAGAAATAGAAAGAAAGATGAGAATTAACAGATGATGGAATAAATGATAAAAACAGGAGCACAAAAGTAGATGAGAATAAGATGATCAGTAGAAAAGTGAATACAATGATTGTAAAAGGTGAAACAATCAAGAAGAAGAAGACAAAAAAAAGGTAAACAGATAATCTACAAAAAGGAGAGCCAATAAAAAAGGGGGACAGATGAAAGGGTTATTTTAGGGTAATAGGATAAAGAAGATAAAGAAAGAAAGAGCAAGCAAAAAAAAAGAGAAAGAGGCAAAAGAAACTGAGTTCAGAAGAAACTTGTTTCTTTTTCTTGTTATTGTTGACAAAAAAAAACATTAACTTACTTCTTAACATTATGTTAACTCCAAAATAAATAAAATCTTATTTTTTCACAAAAAAAAATCTTAGTGTTTAACACAAACCAATGGTAACCCAATCATTTATTTGTTGTAAAGGTTAACATAAAAACAAAAGACGAACAGTAACCAATTTAATTAAACCATGGAATCAATTTAAAAATAGGTTAATTATCTTAGAAAATGAAACAATCAAGAGTTAATCAAAACTCTTTCCAAACATAAACACAAATAAACGCCATTTTCATAAGAAAGGGAAGTCAAAAGAAAGAGAAAGAGAAAGAGAAAACGTAACCATGGCAACGTCGAAAACCGCCAATTATGAATGTGCAGAAAAAGTGGATCATTGATTTGATTTTAATTTCGTTTAATTTTTTTTACAATTAAAATTTAAATTTTTCATAAGGTTGAAGATGATTAACTTTCAATTGAAATTTAACTTGATAATGGTTTCATCTGATTGTTTGTGTAATTTTTTGTTTGTTTGATTGGGAAAAAAGAGAGATTTAAATTGTTTGGTAACCTGATTTCCAATAGAAACGCAATTAACTAATTGTTTGATCTTCTTGCTGTGTTTATATTACTATTACCTTTTGATTATTTACGTTTTTTTTTACATGTTGATGTTAATGATGAAGCAAATAAAATAATTTGATTGTGTTGCGATTTTTGTAACAATTTAGCAATTGAAATAAATTTGAAAATTGTTTCGTATTGGATACAATTGATTTTCATCGTTTCCTTTTATCATTTTGTTGTTAATTGTTTAATTTAAAAGAGGAACATTTTAATTATTAATATACAATGGGAAAAATTTAGAGAGAAACATAATTTTAACAAAAAAAAAGAGAAAGTAATAAATTGTTGATATGAAAACAGGAATTAAATTGAGCAAATGTTAACAAAATTATTCTAATTGTGACTTAATACATTTGCAATTTATGTGATTTGATTGTTATTACATAAATTAAACTCTAAGTCCAGTTAAAAGAGTTGAAGTTTGCCACATTTTTTGAACAATTTGTCGATCATTACAAAGCTTTGGTGGTTTAAATAGTTTACAATTAGTGAAAAATTTACCGTTAACTTGATCTAATTTAGGATCTGTGGCAACATATAACATTGTTTCTGACCCTTGGTCAACAGTTATCGAGATGAAAGTTCTTGCAGTTATCCAGGCCATAAATTTCATATAAAAGGGATGATGATCACGAACAATGTCCGTTTTAATTGACCCAGGATGAAGTGAATTAACTGTGACCCTGATCCCTCCAATTTGTTGGCTAAAGTTTGAGCGAAAGCAACATTAGCCCATTTGGTTAGAGCGTAATTAGTGAATCCAGAGTAAACTTTTTGAGAGTTTAAATTGTCAAAATCAACTCGAGTGGTCATAAATGAAAGGTCAGAAGCAACGACAACAACTCGCGATGGTGCTGATTTTTTAAGAATCGGAATGAGAAGATTAGTCAACAAGAAGGGTCCCAAATGATTAACCTGGAAACACAATTCGTTTCCATCCTCGGTGATCCTTTTATCCGCTGGACTCACTAGTCCAGCATTATTGATGAGAATGTCCAATCGAGGAAACATTTGACCAAAAGTTTCGACGAAATCATGAATCGATGCAAAAGAAGCCAAATCGAGAAGTAGAAAGTGAACATTATCATTTCCAGTTTCCTCGCGAATTTTTTCAACAACATCAAGGCTCATGGTCTCATCTCGAGCAGCGACTATAACGGTAGCCCCACGAGCGGCCAATTTCTTAGCCGCTTCTCTACCGATTCCTCGATTAGCTCCAGTAACAATGGCCACTTTTCCATCTAATCGTACATTGGGATCACTTCGTCTCACATTGATTCCATTATAAAAACCAGAGAAAATAATTCCAATCCAAAGTATCAACTGTTCAATATGATAGATAATCTCGGTAACCAATTTAGCCAAATAGAGTCCAACTTTGGTTGAATCGGTTGATTTATTTGTCGATTTCATTGTTAATTAGACACAGAACAATTAAGAAAAATAAACACAATTCACCATAGAATTGAATGGAACAGGTAACCAATCTAATGGCGATTACTTGTTGATTATGAAAGAAGAAAAAAAAAAGTTCTAAACTCAGATCAACATTTAGTAGTTTCTCTTGATTCGGTAAAGGAAAATAAAAACTTGATCAGCTTAAAGAAAAGTGGGAAAGGCGTTACAACAATTTATCTACAATCAGGTCAGTTGAAAGCGAAATTTTTGAAGACCAGGCCAGTTAAACCAGGAAGTGGAAAAGTTTGATGATCTTTTCTCACCCCATTACATTTAAATCAAATTAAAGGTAATTCGAAATCATCTTTGACCTGAACCACGCGAGGAGACAAAATCGTCGATAACATTACTGTCTAAGTCTTCAAGGAAAATACATTTCTCTTCATTAAATTGTTGATTATCGCAATTGTTTGAACAACAATAGATTAGAACAGTTCCAAAGTCGATGTTCAATGGTTCGCTTGATTGTGATGAACATTTTAATTGAGAAATTAGTCCAGGCATCAATTGTAATTCAAATGTACGTTTACAGCCACAATTTGGACAATCATCTACTCCAGGAAAGCCGATAGATTTATTCAATAAAGGTTGACCTTTCCACGAATATCTAATTATCTGACCAGGCCAATCTCGTAAACTTTTATAAAATTTGTAAGACTTTTTATCGTTCGAGAAGATTGTTGAAACTTCCGGATTCTCATATTTTTCACCATCTTCACCGATAAAGTTGTTGTCATCTTCATCTTCCAGATTATATTTAAATTGTTTCATCGATGAATATGATTTAGAATATTTTAAATCTTCCAAATTCTCAACATAAATGTAATAAGGTTGGAAAGTATGATTATCGTTATTGGAGATTTTTTTTGGAAAAAATTTTCCTTTCTCAGTATTTGTAAGTTCCAAGGATTCGGCAATTTGTTGTGAATTATTTCCGGAGAAATTAAGATTTATCTTTTCACCATCATCACCATCATCATCACTCCAATTAGATGAGTCATTAGCCCAAATTTGACGTTGATTTGATTGTTGTTGGGGTGAGACTTCAACTGGATCACAATTTGATGATTCTTGGTGATGAATGAATCTGAAGACAGAGAAATGATTACAATTATCTTGAAGACAAGCAAATACATAAATCAATCTTAAAGCTGGATTATCATCAACAGCACATTGTATTTGACAAATTGGTGAGCACAATTTAACACAATTAGGACAAATCAATTGGTCATCCATAAGGTTTGCAAGTTTTGAATCTTCAATTGTTTTGGGGAAAATTGATTCACCTCCAATCTTATTAGTAGTCCAATAAATGTTACTTTCATCTTTAATCGGTTGATCAACAAATCCAAGTAGCACAAGAGATGAACACTCAGTCATGTTGAATCAAACAATTATCACAATTCAAATTAAAACAAATCAGTAAAAGTAATCGACAGTTAAAGTTTACCTGGTTAACCACATGGAAGAAAATGTAAACAAAGACTCGTTTCCAACCAAAAAAAGTAGATCCTTTACTTGAATCTGAGAATAAAAATCCAAAGATAATCCAAATCAGTGGATTAACCTGAGATTAAACAATTTCAAGATTAATTAAACACAAAAAACAATTAAGATTAATAATCAGTAAGGGTAAAGATAAACACTTCGGATTTGAGGCCAATCGATGTAAACAACAAATGTTTTCAATCAACCGGATTAACCAGACAGTCCGAGCTTAATCCTAATTGGAAATGATTTACTTTGTATCTTAATCCTCACTGATTAAACTGATCACATTGAATGGAAATTGTTTCTATAAAAAAACCGCCAATCAGCTGTTACTTTTTGTTCATTTCGCTTTTGTTGTTAAAGTTGAAAATTGATTTTCTATTCTGTTTTTATTAATTAATTGATTCTCCAACAATTAAATTTATTTTCAAATTGATTTAATTTCCAATTGTATTGACATCATATTAATGTGATCCAAGCGATTATAATTGTTAATTGGAAACATTTATTATTCTAATTATTCAACTATGGTTATTGGTAATTGACCAAACAAATCATCATTTTAGATTATCCTGAGAACTGTTTAACAATTAACTAATTAGTGTTCCAATTTTCAGTTAGATACATCATCAAACGGTGAGTTTATTTTGAACAATTTAATCACAATTTAGAAAATATAAATAATTCTATTTTTCGTTCTTTCTATTCCAAAATTAATTCTCTCGTTGGTTTGATTTTATTTTCTTCTCATTCTTTACTTATGGGAGTTTAATTTTCGCTTCTTCTTCTACTACCAATTAACTCTTTTTCTAATTATTTTCTATTCTCTAATTTATTACAGTTTTGTGATTACAATATGACCAAACAATTAAAAATTACTGCTTTTATGAAGCCAAAACCGGAGAAGAAGAAAATAGAAGCCGATGAGTTTGGAGTAATTACCATTGATGACGATACATCATTTCGTAAATTTGATGATGATGATTTTGTGGAAGATTATGGTGACATTAAAAGGAAAAAAAATTCTTCAATTAAATCAGCAAATTCGCAGATGAGAGACAACACCAATCCCAATAATAACAATACGAATGACGGTCCAAGAAAATGTCCTTTTTATAAGAAAATACCTGGAACTAAATTTGCCGTTGACGCTTTTAATTTCGGTCTAATTCCGGGAATCCAATTCTATTTTCTGTCCCACTTTCACTACGACCATTATATTGGACTGAAGAAATCGTTTATTGGTACAATTGTTTGCTCTCCAATAACTGGTCGACTTGTAATGAGCCAAATTGGAATCGCTGAGAACCAATTGATTATGATTGATATTCACCAGCCAATTATGATCGATGGAGTTCAGATCATCGCTATTGACGCTTTCCACTGTCCCGGTGCTGTTTTATTCCTAATGAATCTACCCAATGGTAAACGAATCCTTCACACCGGTGATTTCAGAGCTTCACCAGCTATGGAAAAAGATATTTACTTGACCGAAAAGCCAATTGATCAAATTTATCTCGATACAACTTATTGTGATCCTAATTACAAATTCCCTGCTCAAGATGAAACTTTACAAGCGATTCTCAATATAACCAAGGATCACCTTGAAAAATACAAGCAAACCTTAATTGTTTGTGGCACTTACAGCATTGGAAAGGAGAAAGTGTTTAAAATAATTTGCTCATCACTTTCCCTTAATCTCTGGGTGACTACGGCAAAATTAAAGCTCCTCAAGTGTATCGATGATAAAGAAATTAATTCTTACCTGGTCACCGATAAAACTAAAGCTCAAGTTCATGTATTACCAATGAAAGATATTAATCAACGTGTGAGTAATTGATTGTAAATTGATTGTTGTTGTTCACAAAACTAATTTAATTTTGTTTTCTCTTTAGGCTCTCCGAGAATATTTATCTGAATTTGGTAAAAAATACTCATCAGTTTTAGCGTTCAAGCCAACTGGATGGACGGAAGATGGTAAATCATTGAGCTCAGTTAAACCAATTATCAGGGATAATATTTCAATCTATGGTTTGTTGATTAGTCTTTCAATCAATTGAAACAATTAAACTAATTGGATCATCTATTTTTGCTCATAGGTATTCCTTATAGTGAACATTCAAGTTACTCCGAGTTGGAAAGATTCATTAAATTTTTTAAGCCGAAAACCATAACACCGACAGTTAATGTTGGTAATCAGAAAAAAAGGGAATCAATGTTCAAAATTTTCGCTGATTGGAAAACAGGGGATAAAAAACGATAATCAATTTAATCGCAATCAAATCAATTATTTCCCGACCATTTAAACACTCTGAGAGTGTTTAACCAATGACAACAACAATCGAGTGAAACATTTTCATTAACCATCAACTATTTTTCGAAAAATTATCTTCTATCTAATTAATATCAATCGCAAATACTCACAAGTTGATTGATTATACTTTGTTAATTAGTGATCATTTTTAATCAACAAGAAAACATTTAAACCACTTGATTGATTTTAAGTTTTTTTTTTCAATATCAAAACAAAAGACAAATATGACAATTTCACAATCAAAACACATTAAATCAATTATGATCGACAAGTTAATCAATTCATCAATCGATCACTGAATAAATCGCTTTTCGTCCATTAATTGTCAACAATTACAACAATCTAATCAATTGAATTAACTAAAAGAACAGAAAATGGTGGCGCCACCAATCGAGAATTTGTTTAACTTAATCGCCACCTGATCTTTTCATTTGGTCAACACATTTTGTTGTTGAGATTAACTCATTTTAATTGTAAGTAATTAAGTTTAATTTTCTTTAATTAAGGTTAATTTTAATTGTTTAATCTATTGATTGTTGTACAAACTTCAATTGACATTTAGTTCTGTTACTTGTTGTGAGTAAATGGTTTCTTTTTCCATGCTAAAAATGACTCACTATGAACACGCAGCTCTTGTTACCTTCATTTTATTAACTATCTGTTAATTGTGTTCTAATTACTAATTAGTAGCTTTAATTTTTTTTTAGAATGATACAATTTACATTGCGTGTCACAAATCTACATTTGATGATCTTGGATTGTCCCTTATAGATTTTTGCTTAATGCTGAGACATTTAGCTAATTTAATTTAGCTTTTCCATTTTCTTTTGTTCTATTTATTTATTAATTCTTTTTTTTTAAATATTCTATTTCAATTTGGAAACAGGTTCAACGTTTACGGAATTATTTATCCAGATAAAATGGCTGATCGAAAGAGTCGACGTAAGGAAAAATTGGCCAAACAACTTGAAAAACAAATGAAAGAAATCGCTTTGGAAAATTCAAGTTTCTCCGTTTCCACTTCTAGCAATCAAAATGCTCAAACAATTGACAATGCAATCAAGATAGACAATTTTTCAATCAGTGCTGGTGGTAAAGAATTGTTTGTAAATGCATCACTTAACATTACCTTTGGTCGAAGGTATGGTTTAGTTGGTCCTAATGGTCATGGAAAAACAACTCTTCTTCGTCATATCTCAGAAAAGAAGGAATTAAATTTAGCTGAAGATTTACATGTTCTTCTTTGTGAACAAGAAGTTATGGCTGATGAAACACCGGCAGTTGAGGTTTTAATCAAAAGTGATGATCGTGTTACTAAATTACAAAAGAAACTTGAAGAACTACAAAATGCTGAGAATCCAGATCAAGATCTTATTAATGAAATTTACACTGAATTAAATGCTCTTGGCGCTGATTCAGCTGAAGCCAGAGCTCGACGTATTCTGGCTGGTTTAGGTTTCTCAACGAAAGAAATGCAAGATAGACCAACTAAAAATTTCTCTGGAGGTTGGAGAATGAGAGTTTCTTTGGCTCGTGCTCTTTTCATTGAACCAACACTTTTACTACTCGATGAACCAACTAATCATCTTGATCTTAACGCTGTCATTTGGTTAGACAATTATCTTCAAAGTTGGAAAAAGACTTTACTAATTGTTTCTCACGATCAATCGTTTTTGGACAATGTGTGTACCGATATAATCCATTTAGACCAGAAGAAACTGTATGCTTATAGAGGAAATTATACTAAATTTAAGGTCATGTACCAACAAACGAAAGCGGCAAATCAGAAAAAATATGAAACCCAAGAGAAACGGATGCGAGAACTTAAAAAGAAAGGAGCTTCCGGTAAACAGGCTGAGAAATCTGTTAAAGAGCATCAACAACGTAAACAAGGAGAAACTCAGATTGGTGATTTAATCGAAAGGCCTAAAGAATATGTCGTCAAGTTTAAATTCAAGAATCCAGATCCCCTTAGTCCTCCGATTCTTGGTCTTTATGATGTCGATTTTGCCTACAATCCGGAAGGACAATTACTTTTCAAGAAGCTCAATTTCGGTGTTGACATGTCAAGTCGAATCGCAATTGTGGGTCCAAATGGTGTCGGTAAATCAACTTTTCTTAAACTGTTATCAGGTGAATTGGAACCACTTTCAGGTGAATTACGGAAAAATCATAGAGCTCGAATTTCAAAATTTGATCAACACTCAGGTGAACATTTAAATCCAGAGGAAACACCTACCGCCTTTTTACAAAGAGTATTTGATCTTGCCTATCAAGATGCACGGAAACAATTAGGTTCTTTTGGTCTAGTGGGCTATGCACATACAATTCCTTGCGGTCAACTCAGCGGTGGTCAAAAAAGTCGTGTAGCTTTATGTGAAATGGCTCTTAAAGGTCCGCACATTTTAATCATGGATGAACCTACCAACAATTTAGACCTTGAATCAATTGATGCTTTAGCCGATGCACTTAATAAATTTAAGGGCGGTGTTATAATTGTAACTCACGATGAAAGACTAATTCGAGAAACAGAATGTCAACTTTGGGTGGTGGAAAATAATACAATTGAAGAGATTGATGGTGGATTTGATGATTACAGAGAGGAATTACTAACAGCCCTCGGGGAAACAGTTAACAATCCATCAATTTCAGCTAAATTAGCTGGAGCAATTTAACGATAATTAAGTCGATTCTCTTAGTCTAATAACAACAGAAGACCACGAAAAATTGATTGTTATAACCTCTTTTCTATTATATATAAATTAACTTGTTAAATGTTAAACTTTTTCCTCTGTAACATTTACCAAATGAATTCACCCTTTTGCTAATTAATCAAAATTTTACTTATCTAAGAAATAAAAAGCAAATCAAAACGCCAACAATTAAATCTAAGGACAATCAACATTTACAAGGTAAACCTAATATCCAAATCTAATCGAGTAAACTAACAATTTAGTTGCTTGGAAATTACATAATCTCCTAGTTGACTTTATTTTCCAACAATTAACTAATCATTTTCACAATCAAATATTGGTAGTTAATCAAAATTGTAACACGAAACTAACAAAACTAATCAAATATCATTAACCAGTTTAAAGGATCATTTAAATTGTTAACCAACCATTAAAAGTTTAATTATGTTACGATTGTGATATTTACGTCTAATTAAATAAAACTGTTAAAATATTAATGATGATAAATAGTAATTCAACTAAATTGATGAGATCAATTTCCTTTACAATTAAAAATTACGGATTGTTAATCACTCATTTTTAAAATAAATTTTTTACATCAATGAAGGTTAATTTGATTAGAGAAACATTTTCACTTGTAATTTGAATTGTCTTTAGTTATTTAATCAGCCTTGATTGTTGAATAGTCAAAGTAACACAATTGGTAAAACGATTAAATCAAATGTACACAATTAACAATTTAGCCTAGTAATTTATTGAACACATTGATAATTGGCTTTAATTGCCTAGGTTACAAAGAGATGAAAAATGGAAACAATTAGTAATAACTTTTAATTGTTGTTGATAGAAAAAAAAGCAAAAATTGACAGAACAATCAAATGAATGAAGTTAATTGTTGACAATATTGTTGATTAAAGTTGATTGAGGCTCTCAGGGTGTGGCAGCGGTGTAATCATTAGATGAGACCAGAACTTTGTTATTCAATTAACTTAACTTTTAATTGTTGTGAAGATGATTATGACTATTGGAAAGTTGTAAACTTTTATCTGGATTTAATTTGAATGAGGAAATAATCAAAAAAAAAATGTAATGATGAAATTAAAGTGGACCAAAGAAATGGACAGAGAGCAGAAAACAAACAATTAAGAAACACTTGATTTAAGCATCTCCGTATAATTTGATTGTTGCATAAGCAATTAAGGCAATCACACAAAATACAATTACACCAATGGCCAAATTAGTGGCCAACCAACTCATCCGTCCGAGTCCAGGTCGATCACTATTGGATTCAATTTCAAAGGAATCGGAAATGTCTGATTTCCGAGGGATTTGTGAGCTTTCACCACGTCCCATGATTAATTAAGAGCTAAATCAAAGTCCCAAAGTTGATTAATAACTAAATTAAGGTTTGATTTCTCCAAACAATCAAGCCAATTGATCACAAAACTAAAGTAAACAGACAAACTGACCAATGGCTCTTCCAATGTTACAACATGTAAACTGAATTAAAGATGAAGATGTAAGTTAATAATTATCAACCAAATTAACGGTAATGTGATTATCCCAAGCACAGTTAACAGTTGAACATGAAGCGAATCAAATTATAATTAACTTTATAGTTGATTGTAGATTGAAGGTAAAAGAAATTAATTCACAGTAAAAAAAACATAAACACTCACACAATCAACACTCATAAAGAAAAACGTTGAAACGTTGCAACGAAATTCAATTCGATGTCGTTGATGGTTAATAATTGAATAGATTTAAACATCCGTTTCGGGCTGAGATGAGAGAGAGAGAGAGAGAGAGAGAGAGAGAGAGAGAGAGAGGTGAGATGATGATAATGATGATGATGATGATGATGGAAGAGAAAAGATTCTGAAAAAAAGAGAAAGAAAAAATTAGAATTTGAATTGTAGACAAATAGTAAAAAAAAGGAGGGAATAGCAAGGACACAATTAGAATTAATAATAAATTTTTTTCTCTCCAATTGCAACTAATACACAATCGTAATTATTATTATATTGCCTTGTTGTTTTGTCTCTTAATTGTTACATGTTGATGTTTATCATTTACATTAGTTACCAACTTGATTCCGGAAGTTACTATCAGTTAATTGTCCTTGAAATTTGATTAATATTTGGTTCACACTGTTTTCTGTGTCCTTTGTCATTTCTCACTGATTGTTCATTCAAATCTATTATTGTTTCCGTTATTAATCAATTGATTTAACTGATAATCTTTTAAATTTACAAATTGTTACCCTTAATTGTTATCAAACTTCATCTATTACAGGTCGGTACATAAAACATTTGAACAATTTTGAATGGTTGTAACTATTGATTGATTAGTTTGTTTATTAATTAATTAATATGAGTGAACAGCTCAACTATTCAATATTATTTAAACATAATTTCAATTTTTTAAAACAATTAATAAATTAACCAGGCCAATTTAAGTCGAAAAACCCGTTTTCGGATGGCGCCACTGTCTATGTGATTTTAGGCTGGGGTTTTTCAAACTGAAAAATCGCAAATTTGACCTCACGATTGTGGCCAAAATAATGCAGATAAAATAATAGTTTTCTCATATGTTATTGTCGCCAAAAAGAACTTTTTAAAAATGAAATTTTATTAATTTCTGTGCATCCAGTTAAAAATAATAGCAAGTTGAACTTTTTTTGGCCTAAATTTTGCAAAAATGACCTTTTATGTCCTGATCAAACCTTGTAAAAAGTGGTTTTGTTTAAAAGGTCAATTTTATTATCAAATTTAAGCTGATAAAATTAGCTATCGAATGATGTATAAATCAATGGTTAAATGCTAGTATTCTGTTAATTATTGAGCTTCAAAATTGTTCAAATGTATTTTGTACCGACCTGTATGTATACGATCAATTTTAATTGACCGATTTTGTAGTAAAGTTTAACGTTAAATTGGTTGAAATGTATGATCTCAGTTTACCTGAGGACAATTAGAGGTTTCAATTTGATTCTCATTGTAATTGTTGACTAATTTAGAGTTGATTGTAGTTAATTTAAATTGCTGGGCAGAGGAAATAAGGTTAATTTAGTCATCATCATCATCTTTTTTTTCGGGTTAATTTTGTTCAAAGTGTTATGTCAATTTAATAACAAAAGAATAACAATTAATTCAGTTGTTGTTAATTTCTTTCCCTAGAACTATTAAGTTAATCATTGAGAGAAATTTAAATTTCGTCATTTTTTTGGGTTAGTCGATTTCTATTGAAATTTTAGAAAATCATTAAAAGTGTTCATCAAATTTTCTACCTGGAGAAAATTAAATTAAAGGGAAATTACCTTCGTCATCTAATTAGTTTCAACGATTTTCACCTTCTCCATTAATTAACTGCTTAATTGTTGTCAATGTTTACTCAGCTAGTTAATTCTTCATGGTGAAAATAATGAAGAAAAAAATTCTTTTATTATTATGAGTTAATGGTCCCTCTTATTATCTACAGCTGATTGGCTTTAATTGTTGATCATCATGTTAATTGTTATCATTGAATCAATCAGGTTTATTGGAACAATTTAGCTGATTGATATTAAAGAAATTGGAGAAATAGAAATTACAATTAACGAGGTAAAGAATAACAATTTAAGGTGAATGGATGGAAATACTTTGTTGGAATTGGAGAGAAAAGAAAACCAAAGACCAAATTACTATTTAAATTTGATCAAATTATCGGTGATTTAGTCGAGTTACAATTTAGAAGGAGATTGATTAAGGTTAAAGAAAGGTAAGAGTTAATGGTGACATAAAAAGAAAAAAGTTCTCAACAAAATTGGGTGAAAATCGGTGAACCAGAATCTGAGCCGAAAATAGAAAACCAGAAACCGCTTCAAGTTGAAGATGCTTCTTGTTGCCACATCATTTTCCTCTCTCTCTCTCTTTGTAGAAAGTAAATATTAGTCTTTCTTTTTCTTCTCTTTCTTTTTTTCTTCTATTTAGTAATTTTTTCCATCACAATTATGATTAAATCTCGATTAATTAGTTAAATGTTACGTCTGGTGATTTAATTGGAACAATTAATAGACGATTTATCTGTTTAACTGTTACCCTTTCTCCAACCATCAATAGGTTTTTATTTTTTTCTTTCTTTTTCTCTCTGTTTTCATTTTGTTAAATATTCTCTTCTATTATTTTAATTGTCCAGTTTTCAATTTCTATTCTATTTAATTGTTTACCAATTCTATAAATCTAAATCTTCCCCTTCCATTTCCAGATTATCCAAGTGAATCAATTTTATCTCCGCTTATTAACAATTGGATCAAGGTGTTTGGGTTAATCGTCTACAAGTAAAACAACAACAACAACAACAACCCTATTAATGTGTACACGTTGTCGTATCTTTATCAAGCCAATTTTGAAGCGAAAATATTTGTAAATACTATTAGATTTCAGTGATTTCCGTTTTGAGAATATATTTCAAGCTGAATTGTGAATACAAGTAACAACAATAAGACCAACACAACAACAACAACAAATCAAAGAAAAGAAATTGTCAACAGTTTTTATCTACATGAATCTTTATATTGAATAAGTGGATAGCAGAAAAGTAAAAAAAAAAGATTAGACAAAAAATACGGAATCAAGTTACAAGAGAGAAAGTATTTGAGTCTTTAATCGTCTTTAATTGTCTTGATCATCTCAACACTTTCACATTACAATTTGGATGAAACCAGCTGAGAGTTAACAGTTAACTGTCTTCCTTTTCATCTTAACCATCACCATCATCATCATCATCAATTCATATTCATCATCAATAGGATTGGATTAACATTCTCATGGATTTCAAAGTGATTCTAATTTTTGTGATATGTAATTTAGGTTTAGCTTATGGTTTCTTTGAAGGGATTTATTGTGGTGTAGACAATTGTTATGATGGTAAGTAAACTTGACCCTCTCTCTCTCGTTAATCCATTGGATTGAATTTTCCAATACATTTATATTAATTTGATTCTATTTCCTTTGTTTTTCTAGTATTAAATGTTACCCGAGAAGCGACCAAAGAGGAGATTACCAAAGCTTACCGAAAGTTAGCCAGAAAACATCACCCTGATGTCCACAAAACAGCGGAAGCCAAAGCCGAGGCTAGTGAAAAGTTCACCCGATTAGCAAGTGCTTATGAAATATTGAGAGATGATGAACAAAGAAAGGATTACAATTACATGTTGGATAATCCTGATGAAGTGTATAGACATTATTATCATTATTATCGCCGCCGATATGCCCCCAAGGTGGATGTCAGAATTGTCATTGTAATTACCATAACAGTTATTTCTGGTATCCAATATTGGGCCTGTCTATCAAAATACAATGAAGCCATCGACTATTTTTTAACTATACCTAAATACAGGTAACTAATTAACCCAAATCTACCTGTAGATCAATAATTGCCAGCGCGTTAATTACCACAACACTTCCTATCCAAAAAATTGGGTCTCTTGTTTTTTTTCTGGTCTCCAAAAAAAAAACAAATCAAACGAAAATTTCGCTAATTTTTTTCTTACAATTATCATTCAAATCATTAATCAGGATTTCCTTTTTCTCCTTTTACTTAAAAACAATTGACAATTTGATTATCGCTTGAGAATCGTTTCGTTTGTTTTTTTTGTTGTTGTTCTAAATCATATTCTTATTTTATATTAATGCAATTGAACTAATCGATGTTTTGTTTTTCTTTTCTTCGAACCAGAATTAAAGCCACCGAAATTGCTAAAGATGAAGGTTTGCTCAACCATTCGGCAGCTAATAGGAAGAAGAATCGATTTAGAACGAAAGATGAGATTAGACAAGAAGAAGAGAAAATTTTACGTAAAATAATCGAAGAGAAAATGGACATTAAAGGAGCTTATGCCAAACCGAAGATCACTGATGTTCTATGGGTCCAATTGTTTCTTCTTCCAGTAACCATATTCAATTGGATCTATTTCCAGATCCGGTGGATTTATAAGTTTACCATTTGCAAGGAGGAATATGGAGATGAAGAGTTGGAACATTTGATTAGGAAAAACATGAGTCTCTCGAAGAGTCAATATGATGCTCTGGATGCCGAAGAGAAAGAGGAATATTTTGACCTTGAACTTTGGGACAAAGAGAAATATAAAACATGGAAACAAGAAAAAGACGATGAAATGAGAGCTAAACTCGCCGAAAGTGGAGTAGCCAAGAGATACCGCCGGTGGAAAAAGAAAGGTGGACCAGGACAAATTACATTCTTAGATGATTAATTATATAATTCGTTGTTAAAAGACTTAAAAAAAATGTTCGCAATTAACTCAAAAAATCAATTTCTCTATTGGGTTATCATCATCTTCATCATTCTAATTGCTAATGTGAAAACCTTTAATTTTTCCTCCTCGTCAATTAATCAATTTTGTTACTGAAAATTTTAATACAGAACAGCAAAAGTTATTAGATCAAATCGCTAATTAAACAATTTATTTATATAAAAAGAAACAATTGTTCTGATTCCCCGATGATTTAGATCATCAATTTGTACAATTAATTGATTCTCATCATCATCAATTTGATTTTCTATCATTCTAATCAATTGATTATCCAGATTTTCACATTGTTTTACCTTATCAATAACAATCAACTGATTAGCAACTTGTAACAATCATAAAGTGTGTTAATTGGTAATTGGATGAAATTAATCAGATAGTCAGATATTGATAATTAATCTAAATTTAGAAAAGGTAAGAGTTAAATTGTTTCTACTGTTTCTTTCAGCAATTAACTTAAATTGATAATTAAACAAGAGTCGATTGATTCTGTTTGGAAACTGGTCAACAATAAGCAAACAATTTAAATCTAATCATCAGAGAAACATTTATAATCACAAATGAAACTTGTAAAGATCGGTAGATAATCAATTCTAAATCACTCATCAAGTGAGAAATCAGTAAATCAGTTCAACAGTTAATCGCTTTTCTAAATTGTTCCAACTTAATAATCGTAACGTTTACCACATTGAAATTTCCCAACAATAATCACAATTATATTGTCAACGATTGGTAAGTAATCTAAATGGAAATTGTTCCAATACAATTAACAAACATCTCAAATTGCTCTTGCTTTCAGTCGCTTTTCATTTACATGTAGTGTAATTGTTGTAACAATTAAGATCTAATATTGTCTCTATCTCTCTTTGTCTTAATTGTGTTTAGAAACTTTAATCATCTTGGAATAGGAAAAGTTTTTCTTCTGCCCATCTGATTGTTTTCCATTTCATCCTGAATATCATCAATTCTCTCATTTAATTTGGGTCATGTTTTGAGAGATTTAATTGATAGTGAGCATCAATTTATCTTCTTCCATTCTGATTAATTGTAACTAATTGATTCTCTTTGTTTTTCTACTCCTTTCTCTCACTTTGCACATTATTGTTTATACTAAACAATAAACTGTAACCGTTGAACCATTAGATGGATGAAAAAAGAGCTGATCAGTTGATTTAGAGAATCAATTGTCATTTCAACACTAAAAGCAGAATTAATTATAGCTCTTTGATCTGATTGATTTAGGGAGAGATCATTAATTTTTTCCTATCTCTCTCTCTCAGCAATAAACTCATTTTCTAATGAACATGAGGTTGATTGTTGATGTTGAATCTTTTTCTCTCCATCATCATGTAAACATTAAGTTAATCATCTCTGATGAATTATTATCGTCAACATTATCCTTCGAGTACCAATCAAGGTCAAAGTAAAAGCCTCCGGTCATTGAAACAATTTAGGGCAAAGTGATTAAAATGAACTGGAAAATTAACACAATCACCATTTAGACAACGAAAACCAATTGAACATCCAAGAAGAGAGAAATCAGCTAATTGATACCTTGAAGAGAAAATTAAAATAGAAAAACTTATAAGCTAATCCACAAAGTAATTGTCATTAATTAGAGGCATCAGAATCAATTAACAATTAGAGAGATAATGGAAACAAATTGATTAACAATTAAAAGAAAACACAAAAACACATCTGAATGTAATGAGATCCAAATTGATTGATCCTTAACCAGAATTTATAGAAAACCAGAGAGCCAATTCCTTGGTAACAACCAGTTAATCGGAGTAGTTGATTGGACAACTTTGATTGTCTATCTGTTTACACAATCAAATTAGATTGAAAATTCAATCAAGATACATAAATAGAGAGGAAAGAAAAAAAATCAAATCAGAAAAATTAAATACAAAATCAACTATCAACAAGTGTCAACACAATAGAAGTGGTTAAAAAAACATACACATAGACGTTGATTATAAGAGGAAGATATTGAAACACAAATAGATAAAAAAAACAATTAACTTATTGGTGATTAAATTGATTGGCTTGGTAGAGAGGACAAACTCTATGAATTAAGAGATTAATTAGAAATCAAAATGGAAACCTAAAAGGTTTTAATGAATTAATCTGAAACCAGAATCTCAACCGTCATGGATTAAATCAACACCTCTGGTATTAGGCCTAAGGAAACAACAACACCCACCTAAACAATAAAAGAAATTGAACAAAAACAATAAGTAAACAGGAAGAAATTAAATTAACAAGAAAACAATTAACACACAATTAATAAAGAAACAATTCCAATAAAATCAGTGAGATTAATGTAATGTAATTGTTAATAGAAAAAGAAATTAAAAATTTAGAATAGAATAGAAAAGAAACAAAGACTTACCTTAGGATCCAAAACTCGATCATCATTAACTAATTTCTCTAATTAACCAGATCAAAAATTCTGATCAACAATTTAGAATCGAATTAGAATTAAAAATAAACAATTAACTTTTTCTCTAAATCAACTTGTCACTTTGAGAGAAAAATTTCACAGCGAAATTAAGAGAAAGTCCCTCGGCTCTTTTCTTCAAAAAGTTCTCAGCTGGTTTAGTTTTTTTCTTTTCAAAAGTTCGGATAAAGTTGGTTTGTCTTTCTTTTCTTTCTTTTTTACAACAAGTTGTTCTCTTTCTTTTTTTTCTTCTCTTCATCATCTTCTTTCTCGTTCTCTTTCTTTCCTTGTCTCTCCTTAGCTCACTTGGTTTTGTCTGTTTCTGTCTCCCTCCCTGCTCTTAATTTCAAGTTAGTTGTTTATTTCTTGGTGTTCACATAACAACAACAACAATCAAATTGAAGAGAATCAACATCATGAGATTGGATAAAAATGATGGAAAATGTTCTGGACAATTGTAGCAATTCTTTAAACAACAATAACAACACAATCAACAGCAATTCTTCACTTACCTGCGCCAATCGTTTTGAAGATGCTGAAGATATTGATATTGATTATTCATCTACTAAATGTGTTCTAGAAGGAGAAACTTATCTTCCAATAATTTCAAAATTATCTACAACAGAATCAAATCAATCAACCTCATCGTCCATTGATTCTTCATGTGATAGTGATTATTATCCGTTAAACCACCTAAGGATCACCAATGGAATCATAAATAGGAATAAAAATGGTGATTATGTTAACACTGGCTCACCCAAACCAACACACCGCTCTCTTAACCACAGAAAACAACATCCACCGCCTCCACCACCACCACTACTACCACCATCTCAACCACCGATACCACCACCCCCAATCTATGCCAATTTACCATTAGTAGGATCAACAATAACAGGAGAACCATCTAATTCAGCCGATTCAACAAACAACTATTCTAAACCTCAGCACCACCATCACCACAATCGCCACCACAACCAACAACAACAACAACAACAACAACAACCACCACCACCACAAGAGAAACAATATCAACCTTTCCATCGGCGTAACCACTCACTCACTCATCGTTTCAACAACAACAGTATCAACAACCATTACCACATGAATCATCACAGCCGAAATAATCATTATCATAATGTAATAATCTCATCATCATCATCCTCTTCATCTTCATCCTACCCATCATCACCTTCATCAATTTCATGTTCACCTCCAGTTCCCGAAACGGGTACCGATCCTAACCGAGTATTACTCAACCATTGGTCGGAATATATTCACCTTTCTGGTCGTAAATATTATTACAATTCAGTGACCAAACAATCATCATGGAAACCACCAAGACGTGGATTACCAATCGTAAGTAACTACAATACCAATAATAATAAGATAACCACCACAATCAAATCAAACATATTAATCATAATTCCAACCGGTGATTCCAAAAGTCAATAATATTTAATCAACTTCAATATTAGAAACGCTTAAGGACAAATTAATGTTTTGTTTTTACTTTAAGGTTCATTGTTGCTTTCGCCTTGTGTCATTGTAAACAAATAAGGAATCATAATAATAGTGAAGGTGATGATGATGATAATGATGATTAAGATGATTAATCGAGATGAATTTTCATTCTTATAATATGTATACATATTACATTTACTTTCTTATTGCTTTAAGTTAATGTAAAATCAACCAAAAAGGTTACATATTACTTATTGCAATTCGATAGGATAACTAATGTTTATTATCAATAGTCGCTCATCATCATCATCATTGTCCTTTTAATTATCAGAGTGAGAAGATGAAGAGAACTATTTTATATAATAGATGATGACAAAGAAAGAGAGACAACAGAGATGAAGATAAATGTCAATTCGTCATAAACGTCATGTAAATAGATGGGTGGTTTTCAGAAAAGAACATGAAAACTGTGTCAGTTAGTTTTCTTGTCTCATGTTGTCTTAATCATCGTCATAATTATCATCATCATTTGGAGAGAAAAATTCATTTAAATTCATCTTTTTTTCTTCTTCTTCTTCTCAATGTTTTCTTCATCATCATGATTAGAAAATTAAGAAATATATATAAATATAATAACGACAGATTAAATCTTCCTCTTTCTCGATATAATGTTTTTAATCATCATCATTATTATCAATTGTTATTGTCATTTTGTTAGCTGATCAATCAAATCAAGAAATAATAGTTACAATTGAAAAAAAAATAGGAAGAAGATGAAAATTAAATGAATATGATGACGATGTTTATAAAAAGAAGCAGTAAAACATGTTAATCAAATTGGAGTTGATTTTGTGTTTACTTTTGTGTTTGTTGATTGTGATCAAAATTAATGATTAAGATAATGATGATCAACAACAACAACAACAACTAATCAGTCTAATGATTTCTGGGTTGATATAACTTTTACCTTGAAGGTAAGAAAATTGTATAAGAGAAGCAAGAAAATCAATATTGAATAGTCAACCATGATAATGATTATGTTGATATTACCTTTTTAATTTTTCCCGTTACAAGTTGATTAGTTAAACTAGTTAGTTGATTGTTAGTTGAATCGATGGTTTCTTGCACCGGAATTAGTTATTTCTATCAATTCAAAATTAACTAACAATCTTTTTTTTTTAAATCCGGGTGAGTTTCTTTTACTATTATCAAGTGAGAGATAAAAACTTTAAAGTGAGCAGCATCTGATGGAGTTATCATCTTGACTATCTAGCATCTTCTCTCTTAAGATCGTCATCATCATTATCATCATTATCTTCATCATCTAGAGTATCACCTTATCTGGGTGGCCTGCGGGAGAAACAATTTCAACATTTTTCATCTTCTCACTTGATCAAATATTATCATCATCATGGGTAAACCTTTTTTTCTGTCCTGTTCACTGAATAATGATGATGAACAAGATGAAGATGAAGATGATGATCCTCATCCTCATCTTCATCTTCCCCACTTTACCTCTAATTAGAGTCTTGTCTTTTTTTCTCTCTCTTCCTGTTTTTTTTTATATTCCAAGTCATTTATTCCGAAACGTTTTTTTTCACACTATTAGTTTCTTTGTATTATGTTGATATTTTAAATTCTGATTTAGTTAATCATCTTGGTAACTGATTAATGATTGCAAGATGATTTATAGTCAATCTAACGGTTATCTGTTCATAATATTGTCTCTTATTTGCTTGTTTTATCACCCGAATCTTAACTGATTTAAATGATTATTTTAGGATTCGAAAAACAATCAATCAATTTATCTAATTGTTATATATTGATTTCTTTTTATATAATCACAATTTCAACAATGGAAAAGTAATAATAATAATAATCATTGAAGGTGTATTATTATCAGTTCCTTGTTTACCCAATTTCATTTTGATTATTCAGGTTTTCATATTATGAATCAATTACAATGATGATTAACTCTTCCCTAGTTGATGATAGACTTAATGTGAGAGAATGTTAAGAATGACCATGAATTGACCATTGATGATAATATAATGATGATGATTTACCTCAATGGTAAGAGAAGAAGAAAAATAGTTTTCCCTTTCTCGTCTTTCGTTAGGAATCACGTTTTTTTAGCCCAAAAGTAAAAAGAAAGGAATGAAAAAGAAAATGCTTACCAGACTGACCAGTGGAAAAGAAAAGTTTTTCAATTGTAGTGGACAGCAACTCTTTTGCATATTTAGACTTCTTTTGAAAGCAACAACTATTTTTTAAACCATTGAGCATAACATTATCTTCATCTCTCCTGTCCATCCATTCACAGTGGTCAAACAAATCAAGTTGAAGAGGGAGGGAAGCAGAGAGAGAGAGAGAGAGAGAGAGAGAGAGAGAGAGAGACTGACCTTAAAACCTTGTCCAAATCTTTATCCATCACCACCCAAAACAAAAATGTACTTTACTTTTCTGGTCAAATTGTTGCCCTAAAAAAGTGGACCCACCAAAGACCAATATGGTTAATAATAAGCCCCACCAAAAGAAACAACAACAACATCATCAACCTTTAACCTAACCCATAATTATTTGCAGGTATATTACATATAAATAACGTAAACATGTTAACAAATAGTTACCTACATAACAATTAACATATAATCAACCATAAATGTCTTAATTTTAATTATCCTCATCATGTGTGATCAAAATGAAACTTTATTAACCATTTATTGCTAATAATAATCATCTTTTGATTTTCTTTTCGTATCTTCATCATATGTTTGATGTTTTTAATTTCATTATCTAGATTTTACTTTATATTCACAATTGAATTATCAAAACGTTTTCTTTTTGTGTATATTACCTTGAATATCTGATGATGAAAAGATAATGATTGAGAAAATGAATGGAAAGATGATGAAGAAGAAAAAACGAGAAAAAATGAGAATAAGTTATTCTGTGATTCTGATCTTTTTTTCTCCCTTTCAAATTACTTCAATAAAAGCATCATCGCCATCATCATCTTCTTTAAGAAAGAAAGTTACCTATTGTTGATCTTCTTTCTCATCATCATTATCATCATCAGGTAGAGAGAGAGAGAATCAAGTTGAAACCAACGAACCAAAGTTAGGCTACAGTTTCAAGTTAAACGAAACCGGTATACCTGTTGAAAGGTCAGGTCATGGTGGGTTCTTGGTCTCTCTCATCGTCTTCCTCCTCCTCTCCACCTCATCATCATCATCATCATCTTCTTCATCTTCATCCTTATTACCTGTTATTTAACTTGAGATGCTTGACTAGACAAAATATACTGAATGGCTCAATGGTCTTTGGCCTTTTTGTTTTCTCTTGTAGCTTAATCGTTTAAAATAGTCACACAATTAAGTTAATTAAGTTAATTATAATAATAGTAATCTAATATGATTTATATTCCCTTGATATTTCATGTATATCAAACTAAATTATCACATTTAATTAACAATTAATTTAATCTCAATGATTGTTACAAATGCTTGTTTCTTAATCATCGTAACCTTATACTACGAGTTAATTAACTTTTTTGTTTTGCTGTCAAATACCATTTACAATCAATTACTGATTACCGTTGATTATTATCTTAATTGTAACGTGATAGTAATTTGAATTTTGTTATTGTTGTTGTTCCGAAATCGCGAAATTGAATTATAACAACAATCAAACCACCAAAGAAATTAAATACAAAAATTTGATTAATGATCAAATTATGAGTGATTGTGTTAACCATTAATTGTGATTGTTAACTGTAACTAAATTAAATTTATGGTGAATCAATTTAAATTAGTTACCCTTTCTTTTTTTGTTACTGTTAATCAATTTAAATTGTTGATACATTTGACATTGTCATTGATCACAACCTTTAATTGATATTAAGATTAACCTTTTTATTTTTTGTTATTCAATCTTAATTAACTTTTCAAATATATCAATTAGAGAGTTAATTGTGTCACTTTTTGGGTTAAATTGTTAAATAACAATTTAGCCAAACCAGAAAAGCTCAAAGTGTTAAAGGAAAACTAAAAGGGTTCCCCTTGAGAAGCCTAAATATAAAAGTCACACAATCTTAATTATCCCAACAATCAACAATTAACGTTAATCATAAACAATATTTACGAAAATTTTTCTTTTGGGTATTATCATTACGAAGCTATTTGAGGTGAGGTGATCATTGAATGGAACCATTTTTATGATTAATTTTCTCAATATTAATCATGATTAAATAAACCAAACAATTAGCTACCATTTTCGCATTGTTACTGATTGAAATTCCCAAGCGCAAGGTTAACCGTTAATTTATCATTAGTTAATTTAATAGTTGATGATGATGATGATTGTTAATCAATTGATTTTACCTAAAAACTTTTCCCTGCCTTTTAATTATCATTTAAATATTAGTTTAATTTTGTTACAATTTTTAAATCAACAATATAATAATAATAAATCATCAAAATTTGAAAGTTGATGAGTTAACCTCTTTAATTGTTATCAAAATTAAGATTAACCATTAAATTAGTGGATTTCAAATCCTTGATTAAAATTAAATCATATACTAATCAATGGTACTCTTTATATACATTTATTTATATCTAATTATTTGCAATTTAAAGGTAATCAGTTGTAATTTATCAACATTTTTGATGATAGAGTAAAAATAAATTGTTATACACTGATTGTTGAATACTAATTGTTTAATAACAATTATAATGTTGATTTTTTTGGCTTGATTATATGAACCTGATACCGATGATGTTGATTAAAAGTCCATCAATCAGTGTCAACTAAATGGCTTCTTATCAATGAGGATTAACATAAACACCAAATGATTAAACATAATTAACTTTGATTATATTGTTTTTTTTTGCTGATTATCGTATCTTAATTGTTGTTGTTTGTTTGGCAATCAAATTGTTAATCAAAAGTGTTACTCTTTTTTCATTGATCTCTTATTGTTATCAATGAGATAAAATCTAAGATTCAATCGGAATAACAATGAAAAAGTTACATTTTAATTGTTCAATTTGATTTGTAATAGAAGTGAATTAAGGAAGCAAATCAAGAACAACAATCACTGTCACAATCATCAATCAAGTTTTAATTATATCTTGATGATTAATTTCTCATAGATGATTAATAATTATGATTAAAGTGGAAACGTTATAAATGATGAACAAAATGTTAATGAAATTGTTTTACTTTTCTTTCAATTTTATCAATAGTTTCGTGATGAGGATGAAAATACAAGTCATTCAGAGGAAAATCTGACCGATAGTTCATCAGCCAATTCATGGTCACCAACAATTAACCATTCTCATGATACTCTATCAATATCATCAGATTTTTCATCTTCCAATACGATGACACACAATAATAATACAACTTTATCATCATCAATCGGAGGAGGAACAACAACCTCGAGTAACATTTACTCTCACAGGTTAAAACCTCGAGTTCGACCTCGTAAAACAATTCTGGGCAATTTGTGGCAATCAGATAATAACAAGAACGATAATGATGATGAAGATGATGAAGATGAAGATAATGTTTCACCCTATTCAGTACCACCACCAATTCACCATCATCATCACAATAATGGTTACAATAATCATTACTCTAATCTTGATTATATAAATGGAGGGATAGACAATCGTTCATTAAAAAATAATCACAATGCTCATAAACATCATCGTAATCATAATCATCATCATCATCACCGTCATCGAGATAACCATGATCATTATGATGAAAATAATCCACCACCACCACCACCACCTCATTTACCACCTCATCATCATGATACTTGGTCATCTCCATTGTCCACTGGCTGGAAAAGATATATTAATGATAATCAAGTCTATTTCGTCAATGATGTAACCAAAGTTAAGGTAAGTGATTGTATAAACCACGACAATCAGCACAATCAGCACAATTACGATAATAATTATGACAATTAAAAACCCACAATGATCAACATCCTCTCTGTTAAACCCAACCTTTACCTCCTCCTCATCCTAGTGAAAATGCTAACTCTCATTTCCCTTCCTCATCAATATTATCACACCACAGGGTTTCATCATTTAATCATAAACAGTTAATCTAAATTGTTATTAACACAATTCCAATCAAAATATCTCGTTTTGTGATATTTTCTGTTTTCTTTCACTAAATTGGTCCAATTTTTTCAACAAATTAACATCTTTCTTCATCAACATTATCATCTTTTTGTTCAATGGTATCTTGTCATCTATTTTTTTCATATCTATTCATCTTCATCTTTTTAATCTTCTCTCTCTCTCTCACCTTAATCCCTGTTGTGAAGTGTTATTCCAATGCCATCTTCTTAAATAGTGTGAAGATTAAGATAATGATTATGATGATATTTTCTCTATGTGATATGTTATTTTCCTCTTTCAATCTTGTTCTCTATTAGTTTCTAAATAACTCCCACCAGGCAAAGAAAATCAACAAATGGATTGATCTAAATTCATATATAACTCATCATCTTTAAGCTTTTAGGTGTTTTTCATCCTTCATCATCATCATCATCTTCTTCTTTTCCATCATCCTCGCCCCTTGTCCCCTTCAAATTAGGTCAATCATTTACAATAGAAAATTATTATTGACTTTAATTCTAAAGCTGTCTAATACTTGAAGCTAATTCTAGAAAATTATATTTCAAGAAAATCATCATCATGCTGATCATGATTTTGTCAATTTCCAATATTTACAATAATCAACAATCAACATTATTCTGTTGGTTGATGTTACTTTAAACACCAAATACAGTCAATCAACTTGAAACAACAGACAAAAACACATCAACAATAGACTAATTGCTTCAAACAATTAACTCTTCCTTAACGTTTCCCTACTTAAAGATGAGCCAACAATTAATGAACAATTAGTTACTTTTCTTTTCCTTGTTTTAATTGTGATTATTGTTTTTTGTTATTGTTTACCAGATGATTACTTGAATACTGAATAACATTTAAACCGTGATCAGTATTAAAATGTTTGTCTCTTTTTTATTTACCCTGAAGAGCTCAGATAAGTTCATCCAGAATAATGAACATGATAAATTGTTACCTTAATTATAATTGGAATAACCCTGAGAACTAATTGTTAATCAAGTTTAAGATGAGAAAACCTGAATCAAAGTTACAAATCCCCAAACAACATCATCATCATCCCAATGTATCAAGTGTTATTGACTTAATTGTAATCAGAATCAATTAACAATCAGTCTTTATTGATTCCAATTTACAAGTCCAGTTGAATTATACTTTTACATATATCAAACGGGAGGTTAATTGTAACAAATACTCATTAAATTAGCAGATACATCAATTTATTTATCCTCTTATTCATACAGCTAATTATGATATTATTATTGATTAAGTGTTATATCATTTCCATCCTCTGTTAATTGTTAATCATCAAATTATTTGCTGTACACAATCAAAACTATTTTGTCAGATCCAAATTAAATCAGCTAATATGATTCAAGAAGGAAGTTTATTTCCTGAGGAAGTTTAAATCATCATGAAAACAAAAATTGGAATTAATTTAATCTCAATCAATTGATTCCTCTTTTTCAATATTTAATTGCAATTGTAATTAATCATCTTTTTCTTTTCACTTTCTCTTTAATTGTTAAATCAAAACTACAATTAGTGGTTCTGTAAATACGATGATTCTGGTCGACTCTATTTCTATGAACCTAATGGAGATCAATCTTATTGGCAATTACCTGATCATGTCACCGACGAAGAGGTATCATTAATTGCTGATCATTAATTGCTACCGCTAATTGTTGTCTTGCTTTTCTTTTTAATTAACTTTGCTTCACTTTTTAATCATTTCTTTTTTCCAATTCTCCATCTCTGATGCTAAATTTATTCTTATTACAATCAAGCTTTACATGAAAAGTTATTATAATTTAGTTTTCTATTCAAATTTTTAATTATCACGCAATTTATGCTTACAATTTAACCAACAATCAGCTATATCTTAATCTTTAATCATTAACACAAAGGCAATTCATGATTACATCCTCATCTCCTCCTATTTACCTTCACCTTTACCTTGATTAATCTTAGATTGTTGTTATTATTTTTTTCTTCCACATCATTGTAATCAAATTCATGATTAACTAAATGATTAAGATGATTTTATATGCGAATCTTAATCAATGTGATCACAAACTAGATTAAGATATTTCTCTCATTGCTTCTGCTAAATAGTTACACTAATTGTCCAAATTATTTGAGCTTAAATCGTTAGCCAAGGTTTAATTTGTCGCAAAGTATATTAATACATTTATTGTTAATTGTCAACTTGATCAGTGTACCATTAGTGATAAATAATTTACCTTGATTAGTGTATTAATTGAGCAACAAAAAGGTAATTGTTAGTTGTTATTTGGACCACAATGATTAAAGTTAATTTCTGTTTAACTTTAATCCTAAACCTTGATTATTGTTGATTGTTTGCCTTTTTTTGTATGTGTATATTTCAATCAGAAATAAACAGTTAATCAACTTTAATCACAAAGTTAATAATATAATAGTTAATATCAAGCAATCAGGTAGAGAGAGAGAAAAAAAATTGGGAAAGGAAATCACAGTAAAAACCTAATCACAATTAACTCTCGCAACTCAACGTAACAATGTAACAATCAATCTATTAAGTTAGAAATTAACTAATTACTATTTTGTTCAACCTTCCGAAGATTACAAACAATAAGTAATCATAACAATCAACTTGTGTTAACCATCACAATCAAATCAACAATAGGAAAAGAGTTACCAATAAATTAACCATTTTATTGAAGGAGAAAAAGTTTACTCTTAATTTAGTTGTAACCTCATCATCTTTAATCATCTTAATGCTCATTAGAAATCATCATAATCTATTTTAAGATGTTTAATTTGATTGTTGTCCTTGTGGTTTTTAAATGATTAACTTTCAATATTTATTTTCTGTTTCAATCTAAAATTGTGATGCCAATTTGATCACTAATCATGATTAGTTGATGATTACTTGTTATTCTGAGTCTTAACGTTGTGATATTTGTGTTCATATCCTAATCTCCATCCTCATCCTCCTCTGAAGCCTTAAATTGCTCCAAATAATGAATTAAAAGCAATTGAAATTGTTAAATTGCCTTTACCACTTTGCTGGTCGTTGATTGTTCATATACAAAATTTGCTGATTGTGAATGTTGATGTTGGCAAACTGCTATTTTTTTCCTCTTTCTTTTCTTTCTTTCTAACAATTTTCTCTTTTCTTTCATTTTATCATCATCATCATCATCATCATCATTATTATCATCACCAATCTCCATCTTATTTTGGCTGAAACACACAACCCGTTAACCCATTTATCTTGCATGGCCTCACCATCGACATCATGGTAACACTTTTATTCATTTAATTGAATATTCTGGTTTACTTTTCAAATAATCATCATCATGATCCTCATCTAATTTATCATATTGATTAATCATCATCACCATCAACAACAATTACGCAGTCTGATCGCGACTGCCAATCTCAAAGTGATGCATCAGAAAGTTATTCACCAATAACCAAAGATTTACCTGAAAATGGTCATGATATTCATGTTCATGGTGTAACAACCTTTTCCTCCTCCAAACCGGCGGCAAAAAAACCACCACCACCACCTCTTGGCTCACTATCATCTGCATCTTCAGTTTCAAGGATTAAGAATGACGGAAGTTTAAGATTACCCATGAAGAAACATTATGTCAACAGTTTCTCCCCTTCGCCCATTGACCGTTCATACAAAGCAAAGTCTATGGTTTTCCTGCCCACTAGTGATAAATTCATCAGCATGGACTCAGATACAGAGGATAGATCATCAATATCCACCATGAACACAACGATAACATCACCGATTTCAATGATAACTTCTTCATCTGCAACAACATCACCAACCACCAAAACGAGCAAATTGAATTTCAACAATCACAAAATCAGTTTAAATCATACAATTAATGGTTCTCTTAATCATCATCCATCAACAAATCAACAAACTCCTCCGATTCCTGAAAATTTGGAAGAATCAAGAGTGAGTGTTGAAAATTTTTTCTCTTCTTTTTAATAATTCAATTCAATTACAATCATGAAAGAGAAAGAGAAAGAGAGAGAGAGAGAGAGAGAGAGAGAGAGAAATCAACGATAATAAGGAAGCAGAAAAAAAGTAGCAAAATTAATCCACAAAAGATTAAATTGTTTAAACAATCAACCAACCTGATTACAATTAGTTGATTGTTTCACTTAGTTAAGGTCAAATTAACTTTCTCAAGACAAAATTTCCTGGTCAATATTATTAACTGACACCAATTTACCAATAACAATATGATGATAATATTGTGATTAAAATTGTGTTATCATGGTGATGATGATGATTTGAAATTAATACCTTGATGATAATCTGATCCCATGTAGAGTGATCAGAAAAGGGTTATCATCATTACTATCTTGATGATGATGATGATCCCTTGCTGATTACAAATGTCAGATAAATGTAAAAGTTTTTATCATTCACTGGATTAGGAAACTGTGTCAATATTTTGAATACATAAAAATAGATTATTATTTTTATCGTATGAAAAAAAATTCATTCATAATCCTGTCAGGTTAATCAATTGTTAATCTGTTAACCTCTAGTTGGTATTAATTTAAATAGTACAACAATTTAAACTTCAACTACTCTCCAATTATGATTTAAAGTTGATTGAAAGTGTTGACCTGTCAAAGGAAAAAAAATTGATCAATGACAGATCATCAGATTAATTTACACATGAATTAATTGTAATCAATTGAGATATATGATTTATCAGTGAATTATTAGTGGATCTCAACTAATTTGTCAACAATTTTCCTTACCAATTTCTCAGGTAAAACAATTAAAGTAAGACAGGTAAACAATTAATTCCCACGTTTTGATTAAAGTTTTTTTCTTTCTGGTTTAAACTTTAATTGTATTAATTTAACAACTACAATCAAATAAATTTAGGTTATCTTTACAATCTTCAATTAACAACAGATATTTGATCATCTGAAGCGCTCATTCATCAGGCTACTTTGAGACAACTTTCTCTCTCTCTCTCTCTCTTTCTTATCATCATTATCACCACAACAATCATAATTAACTCTCTTATTATACAATCAACAAAAAAGAAACTACTTGTTGATTGAACGTAACTTTTGCTTCCTTGTTTACACTTGATCGTCGTCATCCTTTTTATTTACTCCATCAAAATTATCATTATCATCATCCTGATTATTGTAACTACAACTATTAACTAATTTTACTCTTTAATTGTTATTAGGCTTTTAAAACAGGAATCTTAAATCGAACCAAAATAATGGAAAATGGAAAACGACTTCGTAAAAATTGGTCTACCAGTTTGGTTGCTCTATCTGATTATTATCTTCTTATATTTAAAGATGCAAAAATTAACTCACATCAAGAGGTAAAAATTGACAATTAGTTAATCAATTTCAAATTTTTCTAAACAACAATAGTAAATGTATTACAAGAATAGATTTGGTTGATTGTTTTCTCTTTTCTGGATTATCTGATTTACTGATTTTATTACCATTTTTTTTTATCTTTTCAATTGTTTTCAGGAAAATCTTAAACCTGAGATTGTTATTGAATTAGGAGGATCACTTATTGAATGGAGCCAAGGATTATCCAGTCGTAAAAATGTCTTCCAATTGACAACTTTCACGGGAAATCAAATATTACTTCAGGAAGATTGTTCATTAACTGCCGCTGAATGGTTTTATTCAATTAAAAGTGCCATATCTAAATTGGTATGATAAATGATTAAGTTAATCATTGATATATCGAGAGTGAGAGAAACTGTAAACAATTAACTTGAATTGCAATTTAACTTGATTGACTTATCGTTCTGATAACGCGTGTTAATTGTTTCACTTTTCACAATCTCTCTTTGTAATAAACATAAAAGAAATACAATGAGATATAAGGAAATTTAAAACAATTTAATTAACTTTAATTAGATTGATTGTTTTGGAAGTAAATTTTCTTCTATTGTTTGTTGACTTTTACACTCTTTGAATATGATTAGCGAATCATTTGCTTTTATATTTGCATTTCTCTTTCTCTCTACAGTTTCGTTGATTTAACTAATCATTAATTTTGTTTTTTTCTCTTCCTTCTTTTCATCGTTAATTGTTGACAATTTAACAGCCTCAATGTGATGGTACAGCCACTATTGGTTCTAACAATTCCTTGGAAACTAATAACAAAGACTGTAAATTAAAACGATCTAAATCAACTAAACGTACGTTTAATTTTGTTTTTCCAGGAAAATTAAGATAATCAATTCATTTGCGAAAATTAAAATTGATTATCATTACGAACAGTTAATTGTTCCCTCCACCCTAATCTCTTTCTCTCTCTCTTTCCATTGTTAACAATTGATTCTAATTTTTTGTTTATTATAATTTCTTAATTGTTGATAACCAGAAACATGTAAAAAGCTTGAAATCAATCAAAAATTGAGCACCAAAAATGGTGCCAATGGCTCAGGAGATGATAAGATTACTCCAGAGAAGAAGAAAAAAATTCGAGAGCGTTTAATTAACTTCTTATTACGTCGTCCAACACTCGATAGTCTTAGAGAAAAAGGAATATTTAAAGGTAAGTTAATTATCTAAACAATATAATCGAGTAATTTAAAAATAAACCATTCGAAACAATCAATTACATCATCATGTTCAGTTTAGCAACAAAATATTATGTTAATAGTTGTGGACAATCAATTGATGTTGATTGTTGTTGTTGCTTTCAACTTTTTTTTTGTGTTGTTTAAATTGTTCAAATGTTGATGATTGTGATATGATCACAACAATCAATTAACTGTCCTCCCCTAATAACCAGCAAATGAACACACAAACAAACAAACGAACAACAATCACAGTCAATTGAAGTATTGTTATTTACTATAATTTAATCGTTACAATTAACTATTTATCTTGATTATCTTTCTATTAATAGATGGACCCGTCTTTGGTTGTGATCTTTATTCATTATGTTCAAGGGAGAAACAATTGATTCCTAAAGTAGTTCAACAATGTATCAAAGCGATTGAACAAAAAGGACTTAAAGCCGATGGTATTTATAGAGTTTGTGGTAATTTATCTGAAGTTCAAAAGATAAGATATCAAGTTAATCATGGTTAGTATTTAATCATCATCATGATAATCATAATTGTCCATTAAATCAGATTAACCATCAAAAATAATCTAATTCAAATACAATAGAATTAACTTGTTTTCAAGGTTCTCCTTATATCTAAGTAACTGTTTGCAGATAAACATTTTCGTCCACAACGATTATCATTATTTGGTCACTTTTGATTATTCTGATGATGATTTATATCTTTAACTGTTCATTGACATTATTTGTTAACTTTTTTCTCTCTCTTTTTTTTCTACAGACAATTATGAAGGAATTTGGGCTCAAGAAGATGTTCACGTACTTACAGGTATATTTCTTGGAGCTAAATGATCGTCAGAAAACACGCAACAATCAAGAAAAAGTTTCTTTTTTTACTGGTTTTCTCTCTAATCTGTATAAAGGGAGAGCGAAACTATTACTTGAAAGTTACAACAAGATTTTTGGATATTTACCTGAGCAAGAATGTTGTTGACCGTGAATTAGATTCTAAAACAAACCCAATAATCGTTATCAGATTTTTGTATATATTTTATATCTATATCAAGGTCAATCATCATGAGATTAATTCAGAGCGAAATCTGAATAGGAGTAATCAAGAAAACGAAGGCAATATAATGAAGAAAAACATTCAACAAGATGAATAAGATCGAGAAAAAAAAGAGTAAATTAAGAGATGAAAAGTTTTTCTTTTAATGAGATTATTCAGATGATGAAGATGATTGGGGCTACCTCTTTCTCTCTCTCTCTCTCACTTTATCATCCTCATCATCAGAGTAGATTCACTCTCATGTCAAGGTTTGATGTTTGTCTGGATCAATTGATTCTGATTCTGTTTACCAAGAATCTGAATGATTATATCAACAAACAGGATCAAGATTAATTTCTGGTAGTTGGTTTGTTTTAGGTCATGGTGACCTCTTATCACTGAAGATGATGATGATAATGATGATAAAATGAAATAAGTTGTTGATGATAAGTCAACGTAATCATAATAGTAAAACTTGTTTCCATTCAGTTCATTATCACACAATTTATTTGGACGCAATTAACGGTTTTAATTATCTCATTTGATGACAATAACAATTATACTTAATCACTAACCTCCATTACTTTTACAATAGATGGTTAATTTGTTGTTGCTAATCAAAATCAACTGATTATTTTTACTCCCTGTTTACTATTGAATTTAGTAAAGCCCAAGCATACATGATATTAGTTACAATGATTAGTTAATTGTAATCAATTTCACGGTCTCATGTTCCTTGGGTTGCCCATACAAATCAATCAAATATCCAACAACTTGTTTTCCAATACAGAAATTGATTCTCTTATGATTAATATTAATCATGATAATCAAGTTAACCTTTTTCTTTTCTTGTTTTTCTTATTAATTATAAATATGATTTATATTGTTGTTTAACTTGAATTCTAATTGTTGATTTAATTTTCTTATTTCTCAGGAGCTTTGAAACTTTTTTTCCGAGATATGAAGGAACCTTTATTCCCATGTAATCGTTTTGATTCACTAATGTTCACAATTGGTAACTATTTGTTCAACTGATGATCCATTTCAATAATCATGAGGATAATCATTGTAATCATCATGAAGAAAGAATCAGAAACTTTCACCCTGATATCTGATAGAATCCATCATTTACCCTCAATCAATTTACTCTTTATCTTAATCTTGATTTTCTCTCTTTTTCTTTTCTTTCCTTCATGATGATTCCGGTGAAATTGTTCTGATTGAAATTTTGATCATGTAATTCATTTTATTGATTTTGATTCTTACTCTTTTCTCAGGTTTACCAGATAAGAAAAGGAAACAAGAAGCCATTGTCAGGGTGATCCGAGATTTACCTCGATGTAACAAGGAGACTCTCAGATACCTTTTGAAACACCTTCTAAGGTTAGGATTCAATTGAAATTATCTACATGCAATTGTTCAGTTTTTCATGGCTCATGAAAAACGCCAAAATATAGTTTACCTGAATATCAGTTGGAGATATTGATGTAAATGGACTCAGTGATTATCTCAGGCATTCATAGCAAGGGAATAGATTCACGTTTGGATTATAAGGAGAAAAAAGTTCTGAGTCTGAATTTTGGAAGAAAAAAATTTTCATCTACCGGCTCATGATTGAGAAAACAAATAGACCTGAGACACGGAATATTCATCTCAAGGAAGACAAGAGATGATAAGAATGAAGATTCTTTCAGAGAGAGCTGATGATGATAATGAAGATGAAAATTCTTGGTGAAAAAAAGCTCTCATTCAGAGTTGATCTTTTTTTCTTTCTCATCTTTTCATCATATTTTCATTCATCAAATTACAATTGTCGCTGTTATCATGTATAAATTACATGATGATGATGAAAAGCTCATTGAACTGTAGGGTCAAAGTTTTTGTCTTATTAATTGTGATAGTTTACTTGAATTATCGCAATTGAATTACTCAAATTAATCACGAATTGAGTTATTTTCATGAAATATAATCTTAATTTGAGTGATTAATTTTTCAATTTTCAATTAGTTTAAATGTTTTCTTTGTTTAATTGTTAAAATAATCAGCTGATGTTGAGATAAGTTTAGGAAGTTTCTGTATGTGACAGTTAAAGGATTAAGAAAGCAAATTAGTTAAATTGTTCAATTAAATCTGATAACCGTGATAATTAATTAACATCAGCTACTTGTCATGATACTTAAATCATGGTCTGATGATTGCTACTGTTAATCTGTTAATTGTTAACAGTCATTTCTTCATTCATTGACAAAGATACAATTTTTTTCATCACTATTTGATTATCTTATTATTGTACATAAAGTAAATTAACTAAAACAACAATAATAACAAGAGTTTAATCAAATTTTTAAGTTAATTGTGAATAGAATGACTTTTTTTGATGAAGTTCAAACAACTTTAATTACAATTATCTAATTGTTTTCATTTTTTCCCTTTCAAACAGAGTTCAAGACCATAAGGATGAAAATCGTATGCACATTCAAAATTTAGCGATCGTTTTTGGACCAACGCTAATGTGGCCTGAAACGGATTCCAACAATCTCGCCTATGATATGATGCTGAAAATGCATTCAAATCAAGTCATTGAATTATTGTTACTCGAATTTGATCAGATTTTTACATGATCATCTGAAAGGAAATCCTCGATTCATCATCATCATCATCATCATCATCATCGCGATCATTAAATCACTGAGAGATTTATTTTGATAAACAATTTTTTTAATTACAATCCGTATTGAAGATCTACAATTAACATCAACTAATCAATTACTCACCTTTACGTCAATGAATAAGATTTAATTTCCCATGAATGGATCATCATCAATTCAGGAAAAAGGAAAAGAAAATTCAATCAATATCACCTAACCCTTTTCTATTTTTAATTAATTAATCAACTTTAATTTTTTTTCTCACACTTTATATTATCTATTTTCTCATCTTTCTCCTAAACTTCCTTTACACCATCCAATATCTCGAGATGTTTTATTTACCTTGAGGCTAATGTTTTATTTGTCTCAATCTAAATTTATTATTATTTTTTTGTCAACTCTAACCCTTCCAATCCAATGAATCATCAACAAACTGACCATCTAATTTGCATACTGACCGAGACTCACTGACCGGTTCAGTTAAAATATATAATGTATCTCTCTCCCTCTCTCCCTCTCTCTCTCTCTATTTGTTATATCAGTTTTTACCAATCAATCAAAACTACAATCAAATTTTGTTAAATTATCTACAATAATGTATTTAAATTAATTGATGATAATATAAAAAATAATTGAAACTAAACATCAAATCAATGATAAATTAATGGAAGATGATGATAATTCATTATCATCAAGTAAATTTTTTCCCATGCAACACTGGGAAAGAAACATCTAAGTGATTTTAATTAACAATTTATTATTGATTGTGATGATTAAGATGAAGATTAGGTTGATGATTAAAGATGATGATGCGATTTGATGAACAGAAAACGTTTACATTTAATGTATTGCTTTTCTTACCGATTACTGGTAACTGTCAAAATCTCAAGTCTCTTGTCATCCTCATCACCGGCATCCTCATCCTCATCCTTATCTTCATCTTCATCTTCATCTTCATCTCCATCCTCATCTATGATTTTTCCCGTTAAAATGTTAACAGTTTTTACGACCAATAAACCGTTTCAATCGTTGAAATTTTCATTACAATTTACTGTTGACATAAATTGGTTGTAGAAAACAAATTGCAATTAACTGAACAGCTACTGAATTAGCTGATGATGATAATGATGATGAGGATGAAGATAAAAAATGATAAACATCTCGACTGCATTACTGTGTTAAAAGGCGTGTTAAAAGTGCCATCAAAATGGTTTCATCTTCATTTTGTCACCTCTATTTGCCTTTCTAAATGGTTCCAATTCAAAATCAACAATAAGATTAATGTTAACAATTAGTGAACCAAGTTAATTACTTCCCGAGCAGTCAAAGAACAGAATCACATTGATTAATTATAACAATTTGTACTTACACAGACAAACTATAATTAGTAAATTGTTATCACCATCATCAACATCATCAAAATCAACTCTTCTAATCCTGATTTATATTAACCAGAAAAGCTAAAAAAAATGACCCAAAATCTATTGCAAACAATTAAATTAAACAACGATGATTGTTAGGATGCTAAACTTGCAATTGGATCACAAATTAAAAATATAACAAAAATATCCCGTTTCTTATATTGAATTGTATTTCCTTCGAGAAATTTAACTTAATCAATAACACAATTTAGCTTCAAGGCAATTAAAATTATCGTTTAAAGGCTTAATTCCTTGAAATTCTGGTGATCGATTTGCTGAACCATTCTAATCATTTGGATCTTGAATCGATACCAAATCAATAATTCTGATCAATTACATGATAAAAAAACTTCCTCTGGCAAGGATGAACACTTTTCCATTCATTTAGACGATTCCACAAATATTAATTGATCAAAATCAGATGATTATTAGGATTAAATGATATTCCAAGTCGCATCTTCCAAGTATTCAAAGTAAATTGTAACAATTAAATCAAATTAATGGTAAGAAGTTAATGATTAGAAAAACTCACAAGCTGTATTCATCTTTCACAGTATCAAGTTTCTCGTAAATTGTGACAGTTTAATTGTTGGTTGATTGTCACACACACACACGATGATACTTGAAACACCAGTGATAATTGTGAGTAAACTTTAATCACAATTAAGACGGAAATCTAAGCAATACAACAAAAAAAAACTTTAATCTAATTCACGGAGAGGAAAAAAATTACAATTCAATTGGATTAACAATCAACAAAAGTAAACAAACATTTAAAATCCTTTTATTATGTTAAGTGTTTCCAATTGGGTTAAACTTTCAAGATCACTTGATCATGTCAAAGGTCACCTTATGGTCTTTGTGTGTGTTGATTAAATCAATCAACAATCAGTTGATTGTCCACTTTTTTTTCAATCCCAACCAATAACATTATTGAAAAGGATTATGTTAATTTAGTTTAAGCTTAAAAACCATTGGTAAAGATTATCCTTTGGGATTGTTGTAGTTACCAAAATTTTGATTGTTATCAATTAATTCACACAATTGAAACTGTTACCCTCCTAATCAATTAACCTACAATACAATTAACCAAGTGTGGTTAATCAATCAAACCAATTGTTGAATGTTAATTGTAAATAAATCACCAGTTAGATAACATAATCATCTTGGTAAATAAATATTACCATATAAGTTAATTTAATTGCTATCATTACAATTTAGCAGTTTTATCATTAACATTGTCTTAATTGTTAACAATTGCAAACATTTAGTTTACATCACCATTTAATTGTTAGAATATTTTTTTCCAAAATAAATTGTCCTCGATTCAATTTCAATTCGTATCATTTATAATTATGATTGATTGTATTAATTGTATTTAATATAATCAATACGATTAACTGGTTAACTCATTGTCAACACAATTATCTTTTTTTTTCGCAAATTTAATTGTCGACAATTAAACTTATTGTCACTTTAATTGTATAGGGAAATTGGACATACCTATAATCGAGAATGAGAGAGAATAAGTTTCAGATGAGAAAATAAGATAACTAGAATTCAACCTTATCTTCATCTTCATCTTCATCTCCATCATCATCATCATCTCACTACTCATCTTCATCTTCATCTTCATCTTTATCAAAATCCTCTAATCTCTTATTTCTTAGAATTTTTTTCTTGACTTTTCTTTTTCATCTCTTTCTCCTCCATCATCCTCATCCTTTTACCCTATTCCTTGAAGCATTTTCATCATCATGATCACCATCATCTTCAAAGCTTTCCATTTATACTCGAATAAATAAATTGAAGCAAAAAAAAAGCGAAAAAGAAAAATTTTTCTCTTCATCATCACTTTTCACTATTTCTCCATCATATTCATCCTCATCTCTTCAGCTCTATCTTTATCTTTCTCATCATTCAACCACTTTCCCTTTTCACCATCTTAATCATCCTTATCATCATCTCTCTTTCACTGTCTTCCTCCTCTTCCATCATCTAATAATCATCTCTCCTCAACTTCCTCTCTCATCATCATCTCTCTCTCTCTCTCTCTGTTAAAAGGCGTGTCGAATGTACCAACTAGAACGTCGACTCAATCTTATAGGTTATCAAAAGAAGGTGTAACCCACCGAGAGAGAACATTTTCTTTTATTTATTGATCATCTATCGCCAGAAGCGAGTTAACTGTAGCTTTGCTACTATTTGGTGCGAGTGCGAGTGTTTCCCATCTCATCGAAAGTCGCAATGTTCCCGTTGAAACCTTTAGAACCTTCAAATTACTTGTTATCTCCATCATCATGTTCATCATCTTTATCTCCTTCACCTTCAAGTCATTCGGATAATTTAGCCGATAAGATAAATAAGAATTTACTTTACTTTAACAATACAGTTCTTAATTATTCATCAAATAATAACAATTATCAGCATGTTAACTGTGAATCAACTCCATCATCATCATCATCTTCTCAGATAATAACATCTTCTTGCCAACCAACAGCATCAACAACTCCACCACCCTCATCATTACTATCAACATCATCCATGGATATTAATAACAAACGGACCAGTACGAACTCTAATCATGTCTCTCAATCAATTGGTCAACAACAACAAGGTCAATCTCAGGAATTATCTCGACCACCATATTCTTATATCGCTCTTATTTCAATGGCGATTGAATCTTCAACCGAAAAACGATTAACTCTCAGTTCAATTTACGAGTTTATCATCGATAAATTTGAATATTATCGACAGAACAAGCATGGTTGGCAGAATTCAATTCGTCACAATTTATCGTTAAACGGATGCTTCGTTCGTGAACCTCGAGACGACAAGAAACCAGGGAAAGGTTCGTTCTGGCGACTTCATCCCGCTTCCTATGGGATGTTTGACCATGGAAGTTACTTGAGGCGGAAAAAACGATTCAAAGATAATTTAATGAAAGAAGATGTTAATTGTTCCCAATCGAAAACTTCAACGGCAACAATTGACCCTCTTCGCAAGTCCCGATCAAAGAAACAACCAAATAAACGTAAACAATTGCGAAACTCTTCCTCACCCAATCCAATTAAATGTAATTCTATTGATTCTAATAATTATATTACACCGATTTCGCTGAGTACAATTGATGATAAATTCAATGATGATTCTGGTCAAGGGTCAACCAAATTGTCCAATAAACGGTCAACAATTAAAGGTTGCGATAGGAGTTCAGGATTATGTTCAGTTGATTATCTTGATGATGAGGATGAAAATCAAATGATGAATTCACCAAAACAATTGGTAATTGATTGTAATCCTTATAATGATAATTACTTTGAAAGGAAAGATAGAGATTATGATTTAATTGATTCTCATCATTCTTATCATCAAAATCATCTTAATAATCATCAATCTAACGGTAATTATAATCATTTCGTTAAATTGGAACCTTTTTCATCCTCAAATCTTCATCATTTATCTTCCTCTGGATCATCATCTTCATCTTCATCAACAACAATACCAATGGTTGATTTAGTTTTTAATCCTTACAATACAATTTTCACCGATCACAATCAACTAATTGCTGATAATCAAGATAATGTAACACCAATTAGTTTAACAAATGGTTCGATTGTCTCTTCATCAGGATTATCTTCATCCTCTCTATCATCATCATCGATGACATCTTCTTCTTCATCTTCACCCTCTTCATTATCATCTCTTTCATCATCTTCTTCACCTTCTTCATCCTCATCCCCATCTACAACCTCATCTTCAACCGGAAGTGGTTCTGGTGCAAATGAATTAAATCAAAGTGTTAATCATGATTCATGTTCAACTTTCACTGTTGACAGTTTAATGTCAACAACAGCAAACACAACAAACACAACAAAAACAACAACAACAACAACACCTTCAAGTGCCGATCATCATCCTCATCATCTTAATCCGTATCATCTTCCACCATCATCTATTGGATTATCAGGAACAATTGAAATCTCATCATCCTCTTATTCAGATCAAATATCAACCTTAACAATATCAACTGCAGCTTCATCTCTATCATCATCATCATCATCATCATCATCGGTATCTTCAGCTTTAGTTTCATCAACAACAACATCATCATCTGGTTCATCTCCATCATCAGCAACCTCGACAACACCAACACCATCATCAATTTATCATCATTCAAATCAATCGTTATCTGTCATGATTGACCCAACTAGTAATTCTCATGCTCATCTTCAACCATCATCATCATCATCATCATATGATCGTTGCCTTACATCAACGGTTCCTTCTTGGTATCAGGATGAAATTCATCACCCCTCTCTTCCTGAAAATCATCATCATCATCATTCATATCATCATATTGGCTCATCTTCCTCCCTGGTAACATCATTGGGACAACAAAGTTGGTCAAATTTTCGCGATTATTATCCAGAGGAAATTAATCTTCATCATTCAAGATCACCGCATTCATTTCAACCTCCACCACCACCACCACCACCACCCCAGCAACAGCCACAACCACAACACCAACAACAACCACCAAATCATCATCATCACCACCACTACAATCATCATCCAATTTACAATGAAGATACGTGCAACCAACGGATGCAGGCAATATCATCATCAAATTTACCTAATTGTGCTCAAACATTTAATCACCCTAACTACTCAACAGCAAATTATCCTTGCTACTAGTCACCTTAATCATAATCACCTTGATCATCACACAATTTAAAACTAATTAATAAATCTCTCAGTTAATCTGAATAAGAACAATAAAAAATGTATCCTCTTGTTTTCACTCATTAAAATCTTTTGATCTCTCTGTCAAAATATCAAAAAGTCTTCAAATTAACCAATTCACAATTAACAGTATTTCAAATCCTCATGATGATGACGATGAATCATGATGATCAGAGTAAATCAGATTCGATAGTAAAATTACAAATAATCATAATCTCTGAATGAATTGATAAAAAAAGAATCAGAAAAAACTTTCATCTGAACTTCCTTGTTTTTTTTTCCTAATATTTTCTCATTTGATTTAATCATAACAATTTATTAATTTCTCGAATCTATATATTAATATCAATATTTTCATCATCTTAATCATCATCTCCATCCTCATGATTAATAAACTACTAATTTTTATATAAATATCATGTCAAAGTCAAGTGATAAACATTTAATTCCCAATACTTATTAACTATCAACCAAATGACAATTTAATCTTTAACATGATAATAAACAATTGTTGTGTAAAGAAGGTCAATTAAATGATAAATATAATTAATTAATCATCAACCTATACATAGATTTTTGTTATAATAAATCACAACACTAATAAATAAATTCCCATTTTATGTATATCATCAGCATCATTTCCGTTTCCGGACTCATCATTAGGTAGCTTGTAATTTACTCATTACAGGTGTATAGCTAATGATAAAAGTAAAAACTGATCGGAAACAGAAAAGGTAATAATATCCGGAAAATCATAATTAATTGCTAAATATAATTGCAATTATGTTGATTAACAAATGTAACTTAATATATAAATTTCAAACTCTTAGCTTTGTTTTTCATTTCTTTTCCCATAACAATTAAGTTTTACCGACACTTTGGTTTTTAATTTTTAACTATTACCAATCAATACTAATGATCCCAAGTAATTAACAAAGGTCTATGAAAACAATAGTAACAATTAGTGTTAAAAGTAAACCTTAATTGTAAACAAGAGTGAGAAAGTTAATTGTTAGATATTAGATTGCCAATGATAATTGAAACTGAGCCAATTTGAATATGAGTAAAATGATTAAATTGATTATTGATCAGCGGATCAATTGAATCAAGAGACAATTAGCCGAGTCTATGTATAGTAATAATGAAACTATGATTAAATGAAAAGGCTCCAGAATGATTATCACGATGATTAGTTAAATGTAAGCAACAACAATTAACTTTGATTGTACCTTTTTAATTGTATGTGAAATTTGAAACCTTTCATTTATTGTTTTCCAATAAAATTTTCAATTTCAATCTTTGGTTTATCATCAATGTGAACAGATTATCGTCATGAAAATGATGATTAGGGATGGAAACTTATGAACAAATGAAGATAAGACCACACAAGTTATCTTCCTCTTCTTTCTTTCTCTCTTTCTTTTTGCACTCAGTCATCATTCTCATCATTCTCATCATCATCATCCACAAAAAGCACATGTCTTCATGTTAACCATCATCTTCATCTTTTTTCATCCTCATCACTTTAAGAACAACCAAAAGACTAAAACTTTGATTCCTACGGAAAACTTTCACTTTGGTTTTCGTGTTTCGTTTTTCATCCTCATCCTCTCATCTTCCCTATGGGTTAACTATTCCTTTCCGTTAACTATGGTGACATTGACAACTGAATGAAAAGCTTAACAACAATTAAATTAGTTGTTAAATTAACTTTAAGTGTTGACAGTTCTCTCTCTCTCTCTCTCTCTCTCTCTCTCTCTCTCTCTCTCTCTCTCTCTCTCTGGTTTTACTCCAATTGCGAATTCAAAGAATTGAAATTTTTGACATTTTTCTTTCCGGAGGAATCATTAATTATCCTCTTAATTACCTGATAATTTCTCATGATTCGATCAATAGTATTATAAATCATGGTCATAGTTGTGGTCAGTTGATTGTTTTTCAATGTTTCACATTTGTCAATCAATTGATTATCATTTTTCCAATTGAAAAATTGACCATTTGTTGTTACTCATAATTTAAATTAATCACTTGATCATTTCAAATCTTATGGGAATGTGATTTGATAGTAACATGTTATTTTCACTAAATTGTCAACATTGATTCAGTTTGTTTCCTCTTTTACAATCAATAATTAATCATGTTTCATTTTCATTTGAAATGATTAATGTTGACGTTAATCCATAACAGTGATTTAGCTTAAGCAACTCTTGTTAATCCTCATCTTTCATGTTAATCACAATCAACAAATGTTTTTTGTCGTTTACAGTTAATCAAATTCAATTGATGAGGATAAGGATGAGGATGAAAAAAAAGGTAAACAATTTACATTTAAATTGTTGAAACTTTTCAAACAATTTAGTATCAACCTCAACAGGATTAAATTAACATTGAGAAGACAAAAAGTTAATTAATTGTCTCAATTTAAACTTTCAAAGTTTGCTTGATAGTTGTATTGACCATTTATTAGATTAATTAAATGATTACAGGAAATTAACAATTTATATTGAATTTTAATGTCAATCAAAATGGGTAACCAGCTAATTGTTATGATTAAGTTGTAGAGGAATCAGTTAATCGTGATATGAAATAGTTATTAGTTTATATTAATATTTAATAATCTCATTGAAAAAAAATATATATTACATTTTATCAACATCTTTGGTAGGGGTTTTCAAGACGATGAGGATGAAGATGAGGGATGAGGATGCTAAGGATGAGGATGAGAGGTTCATTGATAGTCACTTGAAATTGCTGGGATTGGGAAATGGTTAACCATGTTTAGATTAACATTATTATTATTATGATTGTTCATTTAATTTGATTCAAATTGTTGAAGCCACTTGACTCATTTGGATTGGTTTTCATGATTGGTATCAATGGTTAACAGTCCAGCCAATCCAACAAAACTGTAAATGAAATTAGATTAACATCAATAAGCCTCAAGACACTTTTATCATCTTCATCTAAACCTCCCTTTCTCCCTCTTTATCATCATCAATGGGCACACAAACCCTATACCAGAAGAAAGAAAGAAAGAAAGAGAGAGAGAGAGAGAGAGAGAGAGAGAGAGAGAGAGAGAGATGACAAAATGGGAGTGAAAAAGATGCGGTGTGAATTGTGAATGAGATATGGATGAAAAAGATGATGAGAGGAAGAAAAAAAAGGTTATCAATAAAACATACGGAAGAAGATGAAGATAAGGATGATAGTAGAGTGAGCAGTGTGTTTTTTTAAAAGGAGGGTGAAGTGGGTGGGAAATATACATTATTGATATTCTGAGTGTTCAATTGTAAATCTGTAAGTCTTTTTATTCCCGAGCCTTTTGATAGCAGCTTTTGCTTTTTACTTTCAACTTGAGCTTTTACTAGACCACAAAAGGATCATCATCATCATCGTTTTCATCCTCACACTTTGAAAGAGAGAGAGAGAGAGAGAGAAAGAAAGATGAGGATGAGGATGAGAAGAGGAAGAAAAGGTTAAAATATATTGTCCAATATCCTGGATCCGTTATCAAAACATCTTCAGGGCTTTTTTGGTATATGCAACAGAGAAAGAGGGAGATGATGATGATGATGAACCAGGGTGATGAGGAGGAACAGATGATGAAAGTGATGAGGATGCTAAGATGATGATGAGATTCAAGCTTTTAGCTTCTTTTCTTTCATCTTCTAATCTCAATAACTAAATGAAAATGATGTTGTTCATCAACACACACACATACATACACAATCTTAAACTATTAATAAATACGGAAAAAGCTTAATTAACATAATTCTAATCATGTTGATTAATTTAATCAACTTAAATTGAGTTAAGTTGCTTCATCATTTGAATAGTTTAGGTGGTGATGGTTTTGTCTTGGGAAAATTAATTTTCTTAGGTGATATTATAATGATAATCATAACAATCAAGTGATTAATTGTTGTTATTGTTGTTGCTTTTATAGTTGTTGATTATTCAAATTACTCGGTTGATTAATCTTTTACCTCAAATCCATAGTTAATCAAGTTTACAAATTGCTTTTAATTTACACATTAATTGATGATTAACAATTAAACCGAAAACTACTAGGAATTGAGTTTGTTTTAATTTAACAATCAATTACTTTATTGTAAGGGTACAATTAACCTTGAAAATTAACTATTACATTGTAACAATTAAATCCTGGGCTCTCTTTTTGGTTTGTTATCATTGGTGTTCAAAGGTTAAGATTGTTGCAATTAACTAAATTGTTTCACTTTAGATTATGTTCAATTTACAATCAATGTAGAGTTGATTTGATTTCAAGTTAGGGTTAAAAAAGATTCTGTTTATATGATTACAAAATTGGTAAATTAATTAACTAATTGCAACAGCATCAGGCAAGGAAAATTATTGATAATCAATGAAAATATTCAAAAGTTAATTAACTGGGTGGTAATCTGGGTATCCTATTTTTTAATCATCTTCACCGGGATCGTTAATTGTTCACTAATTGCGTTTGCCTCTTTTCCAATAATTATCAGTTGCTATTAAATTTGATATTTGATTCGTTCAAATCAACTGATTGACTACTTTAATCATCTGTATAAGTGAGAAAGATAAAATTAATAATCAAATAATTGTAAACAATAATACAAACTTGAAAATAAATCAATTCAATTAACCAAAACTAATCAAATTACAATAGTTAATACAATTTGATCCTTTCTTCAAAATAAAATCATAATTAGTAAAACATTAGGATAACATAATAAAATAATATCTCAATGGTTGTTGTTACATGTAATCATGTTGATTACCGGTTGATTTGTGAGCTAATCAACAATTAGGATTAAAGATTGTATTCTAGAGTAATAATTAAGGAAGAGAGGTTAAGATAATTAACGAATACGAAATTGATCATTTGTACAAAAACCGATCAATTACCAAACATTACAAGTTAGTAAATTAGTAAGCAAATATATTGATTAGATTGTTGTAAGTTGATTATCTAAGTCAATTGAGTACGAATATATATGAACAATCAAAGGTTCTCTTGATGGATTAATGTTGATTAGTGAAAGGTGATTGAGGAAACAGATGATTGAAAAGGACTATGGGCTTTTACAAGAAAGACATTAATGTCTTGAGATGTATTTTAATTGTAAGTGAAGCTTCATCATCATCATCAAGTAATTTAACTTTTTAACTGTTTTAGCTAAATTGACGATGATGGTTTCTCGTTTTTTCCTGGCCTGATGATGATGGGAAATGGTTGAATTAGTTTCAAGCTCACTTTATATATATGTTACTCTCTCTCTCTCTCCCTCGCTTGTACTTAATCAACAGCATTTGAAAGCTTAAACACCATTTTAAACACATAAACATTACTCACATCACAGACTAGAAAACAGATGAGACCATGAACAGGGTCATCCGGGTTTCTTATTGAATAATATACAATATTTTTCTGTTTTTCCTCCATTGATGATTAGATGATAATCACTGGTCATAACTCAGATCACTTGGTAAGCTTGTTCCATAACCCTTTATGCTTTGTTTTTTTTCCTCTTTTCTTTTACACTTTTCGATAATCCTAATCCTTTTTGTTGGTTTTCTTTTTCACTTCTTTTTCTTTGCTACCATTAACACCATCGTCATCATTTTCCATTGGATTTTCCATCTCTAACCATAAGAAAATTAGTTCCATAGTTTTTTTCCCTACTTTTTTCAGAAAAAGAAATGAACATGTTATATATACAATATATATATTATTTTTACTTTTCTTCTTCTTTTCCTCTCTCTTCTTCAACGGTTAGAGTCCTTCCTGTTGTATCAACAAGCGAGAACTGATGAAATTGCATCTTTTTTATCCTTCTCTTTTTTTCTTCTTCCATTTTAATGCTGTAGGCTAATGTTGTTGTTGTTGTTGTTGGTGGTGGTGGTGGAGGTGGAGAAATTGTTGATGATGGTGATGAGTATGTTGATGTTTACGGATTACGTTTATCTTTGTAAGGAGAATCGTTTTCTTTGGCTTTTCCTTTTAATTCATCTCCATTGCTTATCCAGAAAGTTAACATGGTTATTCAAACGTGATTCTCCTCCCTGTATGTGAAATACATAAATAATAAAATGTAAGAGAGAAAAAGAGGAAAAGGAAATAACAAGAAAATTATGATCTCTTTTATACATTTGATGACTTTTACAAGTCATTCTAATTACACAGACATGTATTATCCAGAGTAGATTAAACTTACATTCTGTATATTTTATCATGCTTTTTTCTTAAATCAACAAGATAATTCTGATGATGATCTCCGAAAATTGTAATAGAAAACAAAAACACCAACATGGTGAAAGGCCTCAGTTCCTATATTTAAATGTGACATTAATCTGTCTCTCCATTAGACTGTGTCAATTTATGGATTCCTAGAGAAATTTAAAACAAATTATTGGTTACAAAGTGACAAGAGTTAATTTACTTACTCTCTTTTTAAATCAATTTTAGGTTTACAATTTAAACGATCAATTTAATTAACCTTCCGAGTGATTGAAATGAGATGATAACCAATGAGACTTGAGTAGTATTCAGGGACTAGAATTACTGGGAAGTGAATATCATTTGGAGCCATCAATCAACTGCATCGAAATCACATAATTGAACAAAAAATTTCAACAATTAGAATAATAGTTAATTGTAAACAAGAACGAAATTGGTTAAAATTATGTAACAATTTTGAGTTGAGAAAAATTATTTTGTTTTTTTTCGAACGATTAGTGGCTCCATCTAGTGGATGGAAATACAACTAATCAAGTTTCGAAATTAATTTTTCTTAATTGATAAAATTAAAATTCTAGGATTGATTAGTAATTAAGAGTTTTTATCGTTTTCTTTTCCTAAATTTCGCTTTTCCAAATAACCTTTGGATAACTTTTAATTTCGTATTTATAAATTGAGAATGATTAGAAAAATAATCTTGATATTGGACTTTTTGATCGTTTAAGAAAAAGTTTATTTTGATTTTAGTTTAAGTTTTTACAAAATTTTTGACAATTAACCAAAAATTGGGCTTAAAAAACGAGGTTAATTTTTAATGAATTCTTGCATAAGACATTGAGATATGTAGTTAATCATATTGTTGTAATAATTATCACATTCAAGGGAGTTAATCATATCGGTTGATAGTTTAGTCCCATTATTGTAAACATCATCTTTTGATTTATTAATTACCACGGGTGTTGGTGGTGAGGGTTTTCTTTGTGCTGTAATTAAGAGAGAGAGAGAGAGAAATATTAGACTTGTATTCGACAATGAAAGCGTTTGGAATGAGGAGAAAAAAGTTCTTACAATTATCATTAGAGCCATTGGCAATTGGATTAGTTTGATTAGCTTTCGATTTAACTGTCGGGGTAATGGCCACTGCTCGAGTTCGTGCTCGACGAGCTGCATCGGCATCAATGGCACTGGTTGACCGAAGTGTTGATCCGTAATTTAAGTAAGTACCTGAAAATTTCAAGCGAAACATGAAAATTATGTTGAAATGATTTTGTAGTAAATAAGAAATGTATTCTAACAACAATCAATTAATAATTTTACCTGGTATTGAAGATGAGGATGAAGTTGACGATGAGGGAGAGGATGATGGGGAAGAAGAGATTGACGAGGAAAAGGATGACGATAAAGAAGAAGATGGCGGGTATTTAGGAAGAGTACATCTGATTCTCGGTAAGTAAGAAGGAGGCTGTTGCTTGAATTGGGTAAAATACGAGATGAATTTTCCACCGGTGGATTTTGGGTCGAGTTCGAATTGGTAACCGAAGGTAATTTACTATAATGTGAAGAGTAAGAAGATGAGAGAGAAGATGTGACAGGAGAGACCAAGGAACTAGTGGAGGTTTTCCGAATCGAAGGTGATGTGAACGAAGAAGATAAAGAAGACGGTAATTGGAACGATGGTGATTTATTATAAGTGTATGATGAACTCAACGATCCGGTGCTTCCTCGACCTGGAACTTTACTCAAATTGGATAAAGTTCTTGGCGGTGGTGGTTGTTGTTGTTGTTGACCGAAAGCTTCTCCATGAAGAATCCTCTGTTTTGATGGATCAAGTGATTGAAGTAAAGAATCGGCTGATTCTCTAAAATGATCTGCGAATCCCCAAAAAGCTTTTCTAGCAAATTGTCGAGCCTCTGGATCGGCATCAGATATTCCTTTTCGTATCGCTTCTTGAAGAGTAATCCCGTGTTTCTCTAGAGACGATGTTGACCATGTATGTAGAATTTGATCTAAAAATTCACAACACGCTTTTCGAATCTCTTTTGACTTTGAGTTCATATTATACGCGATCACAGGAATAAATCGAGATGATCGAGTATATTGGATGATGAACCTTATGGCGACTGTCGCAGATGAAGACATTATTTTGACACTATTGGGTATTAATGAGATAAGAATAAGAAGTAACATCTCACAGAATCGAGATGCTTTCAGGCCAAGTTTCTGTGAGATATAAGCGATCGTGAAACAAGTCTCTCGAACTACTTGAGATCTCAGATCTTTGACACACGGGATAAAAGCTAATTCTAAGCCTTTAAACCAATCGAGAAATATTTTCATGTCGGTAGAATTTGACATTAAAACTGATCGAAGTCTCTTTAGACCATTTATCCGTTTAGTCCAATCGGAGCTCTTTCCTCCCAACCAATCTCTTATTCGAGACAATTCATCTTCCAATTCTTTCGTTGAACCAAAATGAATCATAGGAACATCTTCAAAGGACTTGATGAACATTTCTTCATCAGCAGCTCCAGGACAATCTATTAATTAGACAAGTAGACAACAGAAATTAATACAATTCTTTTAACTTAGTTAGAACTCAAGTCAAAAACTTACTAGCAGCTAATTGAGATGCGATTCTTATATTGGGAGAAACACCTCGACGAGATGGAGGCAAAGACGATGCTCGTTTCAGTGGACTCAATTTCGCATCGATATCGTTATAAGATGGTATCAATGAAACAGTCGACGATACTGATTGTGATGGTGAATATGTCAACTCTTTGGATTCTGTAATAAAAAAACGATAACAATTAGATTGATTATTATTTCTAACAATTAATCATAGATCTTCACCCAACATGATGTAACTTAATGACTTTTTCTTGAAAAATTATAGCACAATGATTAGTGCAAATGTATTAATATCACAACAGAGATTCAATTCCTAAATGATCATTTCGTTATCATGAAAATTATCATTTTTTTCTGATGATAACTCAAGTGATCTTCACCAATTCAAGCTCATCAATAGGGTTAAGGTCTAATAATTTGATGAAAGTTTATTGACCAGAAAATAGTTAATAACAAATCAAATTGTTCTTGTGTATAAAAACCAAAGTATTCATTATAAACCTAATGTTTAAATTGTCTTTTAAATCAACTAAACCAATGAATTGGACTGAATCTTTGCTCAGCTCAGAAACGACTTCATCTAATATTATTTAGTATCGAGAGGCTCATCTTATATTTGAGATTTTATCAAGTTACAAATCTCAGTTGATGAATTTAGAGTAAAAGTGTAACGGGATAGGTGAAAGCCCTGAGGCGGAATTGTATCTATTTCAATGAAAGTTTTCACTTGAAGAGATTCCGGCTAATTGTAATACGATTGAATTTTACCTTTATCATGATTACCATTGGACATCGATGAACTGATTTGATTAACTTTTGGTTTAATTGCTGATGAAATGGCCACTGCTCGAGTTCGTGCTCGACGAGCTGCATCCGCATCAATGGCACTGGTTGACCGTAGTGTTGATCCGTAATTTAAGTAAGTACCTGAAGATTATTATCAAAGTTAAAGGTCACAATTAATGTAAATGTGTCATGTTATCAATAACAATCTAAAAATCAATTGACAGACACAATTGGTTAGAGTTTCCAATCTGGAATCATGTCAATAGATTAAGTTGATAATTGTTTTTAATCCTCTCTTTCAGAAAGTCAAACAATTAAAATCAATTCACTATTCTAAGGGAAAAGTATTCATTTCAATGAAAAGCAAAAAAGCTTAACAATCAACAATTAACAATAATTTGAAAAGAAATCCCAATTTCTTAACTGCAACAATCAACTAATTTTAGTACAAGTTAAGGAAAAGATTTATGCAAAAGGAAAAAGGAAAAATCAATTCAATTGATACTTTGTATCTCTTACCTGGAGTTGAAGATGAAGATGAAGTTGATGACGGAGGGGATGAGGATGGAAGATGTGAAAGAAGAGGAAAGTGATGAGGAAAAAGATGATAAGGAAGAAGATGGCTGATATTTGGGAAGAGTACATCTGATTCTCGGTAAGTAAGAAGGAGGCTGTTGCTTGGAATTGGGTAAAATACGAGATGAATTTTCCACCGGTGGATTTTGGGTCGAGTTCGAATTGGTAACCGAAGGTAATTTACTATAATGTGAAGAGTAAGAAGATGAGAGAGAAGATGTGACAGGAGAGACCAAGGAACTAGTGGAGGTTTTCCGAATGGAAGGTGATGTGAACGAAGAAGATAAAGAAGACGGTAATTGGAACGATGATGATTTATTATTAGTGTATCTTCCACTTAATGGACCATCGTGTTGGCTCAATGATCCGGTGCTTCCTCGACCTGAAACTTTACTCAAATTGGACAAAGTTCTTGGCGGTGGTGGTTGTTGTTGTTGTTGTTGACCGAAAGCTTCTCCATGAAGAATCCTCTGTTTCGATGGATCAAGTGATTGAAGTAAAGAATCGGCTGATTCTCTAAAATGATCTGCGAATCCCCAAAAAGCTTTTCGAGCAAATTGTCGAGCCTCTGGATCAGCATCAGATATTCCTTTTCGTATAGCTTCTTGAAGAGTAATCCCGTGTTTCTCTAGAGACGATGTTGACCATGTATGTAGAATTTGATCTAAAAACTCACAACACGCTTTTCGAATCTCTTTTGACTTTGAGTTCATATTATACGCGATCACAGGAATAAATCGAGATGATCGAGTATATTGGATAATGAACCTTATGGCGACTGTCGCAGATGAAGACATTATTTTGACACTATTGGGTATTAATGAGATAAGAATAAGAAGTAACATCTCACAGAATCGAGATGCTTTCAGTCCAAGTTTCTGTGAGATATAAGCGATCGTGAAACAAGTCTCTCGAACTACTTGAGATCTCAGATCTTTGACACACGGGATAAAAGCTAATTCTAAGCCTTTAAACCATTCGAGAAATATTTTCATATCGGTAGAATTTGACATGAGAACTGATCGAAGTCTCTTTAGACCATTTATCCGTTTAGTCCAATCGGAGCTCTTTCCTCCCAACCAATCTCTTATTCGAGACAATTCATCCTCCAATTCTTTCGTTGAACCAAAATGGATCATAGGAACATCTTCAAAGGACTTGATGAACATTTCTTCATCAGCAGCTCCAGGACAATCTATTAATTAGACAAGTAGACAACAGAAATTAATACAATTCTTTTCACTTATTTAGAACTCAAGTCAAAAACTTACTAGCAGCTAATTGAGATGCGATTCTTATATTGGGAGAAACACCTCGACGAGATGGAGGCAAAGACGATGCTCGTTTCAGTGGACTCAGTTTCAAATTGTTCATCTGTATTCGGATATAATGGAAAGAGATTAGAATTAAACTTCGAATCATAAACAAAATCATTCTATTAATAATCGGTAAAAGTTAATTGGAAAACCCAAAGTGGTCAAAGACCAGGAGATAACATGAGAACCGAAAATGAACCAACATTCACTCATTACTTTTTTCGCTGATTCTCATCTGTTTTTTTCGCCATTTTATTTTTCGTCGATTCATCAACAATTCTCCATCCATCAATTCATCCTCTCTCTTTTTCTCATCATCTTCGTCTCTCTCTCTCTTAAAATCTTAATGTTTACTCATCTTTTCCCTCGGCCATTTAAACTTCACACTTTTCTACTCTCTCAGTTCAATCTAATCTTGGCTTCACATTGAGATTCATTCCTTTTATCATCCTCATCATCATCCTATTTATTTCTCTGTCTGTTTCCTCATCTCTCTTTTCATCTTCCCTTTCAATTATTGTCTGTCTTAAATTAACCGTTATTTCTGTCCTTTTTTCTACCTTTTCATCATTATCTCTTCAAATCCATTATCTCCACTAATCTCTCTCTCTCTCTCTCTAAAGTCATCTTCTTGTCTTCTCTCTCTCTCACCAATCTTAAGTTGATCCTGATTTCGAGATTCCATTCATCCATGATGATTCCTTATTTTATTGTTGATCGATTTCAATTCGATTTAATTCTTAACCTTTTTTTTTATTTCTTCTCGCGTTCTCATTTCTAATCTTAAATCAATTGTTAATTTCTTCTCAATCATTATGATTATCATCATCATCTACACTCCATAATCATCATCCATAAGTGTTCACAAGGTTCCAATTTCATCCTCATCACTGAGATGAAATATTCAATCAACTGGTCAGATGAAAATGATGGTAACACTTTCACTGTAACAATTATAACTAATTAAAGGATTGGTAAACAATCAACACTCAAAAGAAACAGGTCCGCATCATCACAATTAACAATTAACCTGAAAAAAAAATGTTGATCAACAAAAATGGATATATAAAAGATGATTGGTCAATAATGATGATAATCAGGATGTTAACAATTAAATTGATCAACCTGATACACTGAGTGTTCAATTAACTTTTTTTTTTCAACTTCAAATGAAATTTGATTGTAATTTAACATCAACAATTAACACAAGACCTACAACACAGTTAAAACAAACTGTCAATAAACACAAATTGCTTCAAGGTAAAAACATATGATCATCATCATCATCAACCTTATTGTAACTTTAACCTATCAACCTTATCTTCACCTAATAATCATTATTATCATCATTTTTTTTACTCATTTTCTCATCTTTTATAATTTTTTTTAACAGTTTTCATCCTTATCATCACATCTCTCTCATCAACATCATCATTTTGAGGATAATTTTTCATCCATGTTTCACTTATCTACCTTAAAATGTGTTGATTTAATATCATCATCATCATCATGATACTTATCACAAAGTTTTCATTTTTGTTTGACTTTTATCATCACGGAACGGAACTTGGCCTGATAATGATGATGATGATGATGATAGAGAATAGAGAAGATGATGAAGAAAAAGAAAGAGAAAGAGAAAGAGAAAAAATCAAAGATTCAAACAAAGAGGAAAAGGTTTCGATTTACCTGGAAAAAAGTTTATTAAAAATTCTTGCAACTAATCAAGAGGCCCTTTTTTACCTTTCCTTTTTTTTCTCATCATCATCATCTTCATCTTCATCTTCATCTTCATCATCTTCATCTTCATCTTCATCTTCATCATCTCCATCTTGGTCAATGGCTTCCATCAACAGAATTGCTTGAGGTGCTTCAAATACAAAACTGGCCAACATTGGGATTAATCATCTACTGGTTACCTTTTTTTTCATATACTGACCTTTCAATGGACTTTGAATACTGATTCTCATCCCTTATGAGGTTGAACCTCATCTTCATCATCCTTTTCTTTACCTAATAACCATAATAATAATACTTTCAATCTCCATTATCACCATTTCAATAGTCAGATAATAATGATGATGATACAATTTATTTGTATCTTCATCATCATCTACTAATTATATCTAATTTTGTTTCATCTCTTGCAATCTTTTCATAGGGTAAATATATTAATCCTACGATAATCAACTTCAATCAATGTAAATATACATTATTAATCTTGTTCAATCAAAAAAATATTGATTTGCTTTCTAAATTGTCTTCCTAATCATCCTCATCCTCATTATTATTTATCATTATCAACGCTATATTATTATTGCATTTATCATCATTATCATCATTATTATCAATGTCTGATATTTGTATCATCATTTCAATTGTGTCTACAAAGGATTTGTAAACTATTTTATATATAACAAATTGTTTACATCATTTAAATGATAATATAAACTGAATCAAATCAATTGTTTGATGATGAAATTACTTTAAGGGTGACAAATTTTGATTACCACACCCGAAAACATTGAACCAGAAAAGGACATTAACTGAGATTAATTCAAATATTATCCTTATATCAATCAGATAATAACCTTGAATTGTAATATTTTCAATTCAAATTGAATTTGATTGATTTTTACAAATAAACAAATCATTATGATGACCAGTATGTATGTAATCAAAAGATTGAGTAATTAACTTTGTTATATAAGTTATATACAAAATCCAGAAAAGGTAAATTGTTAACCGTTAATTTTGTTTATCCTCATCATTGATCAATTCTTACAACAATAACAATCAACTCAAATAAAAAGCCAACCTTGGTCATCTGTGACATACTGAAACAATTCAATGACCTGACAATTAGCTGATTACCTTAATCATGATGTGTACACATTAAATAGATGATGGTGTCAAGGAAGAAACAAAATCAACATTAGAGAGAAGAGGAAAAATCAAGGAAGAAGATGAAAAAAAAGGTAAAAAAAAGAAAGTAAACTTGGAATAAGATGATGATGATGATGATAAAATTGTTCCGTAAGCTGAAAGATAAGCAATGATAAGATGGATTTTGTTGACTGGTCACTTCATGGGTTAAATCTTAATGGGCCAGTGGAAATCACGAAGAGTCAACATTAAGATTGAATGAGAATCAAATCTATTACAATCAACGCTATCATCTGAATTATTAACGGTAATTTACTTTAACCAACAAACAATCAACTTTCATAACATGAGATTTACAATGATGATGATGTACTTATGGTTCATTTTGTTGATCAACAAAAGGTTTTCGTGTTACCAGGGGATGAGGATGGTGGTGGTTATATGTCCAGGGTGGGGTGGAGGGAATATGGACTCAGGAAGTGTAACTTACATTGTCGATCTCATTGTAAGACGATAGTGATGAGACTGTGGATGATACCGATTGAGATGGTGAAGATGTAATTCCTTGGGATGCTGTCATTTAGAATTGAGAATAATAATCTTAATTAGTGACACAATTAATCCAAAGGTAAAATAAAATTGTAACAATCACAAGAAAAGACACTTTTTGATTTGTATGTTTATATTAGTAAATTTCCAGTTAATCGCGAACAATTAACTTTTAATTTTGAGTAAATTGTTGATAATTTGTTGATCTTTAAACAATGTTAACACAATCAACTGATGAGATACTTTTGAAGGATAACATTTGATATTAATTGATGACAATGGTTAATTTTAAACCATTGGTTAAAATTATGGAAACATTTTGTTAATTTGATGCTGATGATGAGGAAAGAAAGAGTCAAGGTGAGTTTAATTTTTGGTTTATCATCCTCATCAATTGGATGATGATGATCAGCATCATTAGAAAGGTAAAACGGACACAACAACAAGAGAAACACAGAAATAAATTGATTCTCGAGTAAGAAAAGTAAGAGATTTCAAGGGAAAGATGACAGATGATGATGAAGAAAAGTTACGTGAGTGAGTGAGAGAGAGAGAGATTGAGGAGTGAGATGGATAATTATCAATTCTCTGGAGGTTGTATAAGGGAGAATTGAACATTTCCCAATTTGGGCGAAGAAATTAAAGTGAGATTAAGTTTATTTAGAAAATGAAATGTTTACATTTAAGGATTGGAGGCGATTGAGAAGGCGATGATGATACAGAAAGAGAAGATGAAAAAATGTAGAAAGAGAGAGAGAGAGAGAGAGAGATCTTAAGGGAGGAGAATAGTAACTTGCTTGGGTAGAGCCGGTTAAATATGAGAGAGAGAGAAAGAGAAGATGAGGATGAGGATGAGGATGATAAGAGAGAGAGAGAGAAAAGTAAGATGATGCTAAGGGGCTTTTACCTGTTACCAGTTATGGTATTGAATCTTTTCTTCATCATCTCATCATCCGTTTCTTTTTATCTTCATCTTCATTTGATTTGTATCTTCTTTGTCCATGTTGATTACAATTTAATCTCATCAATTACAATCAATCCCATAGGAACGGAAGTTGTAATAATATCAAGGTCACCCTTGGATTCAACGCCAACGTTAATACCTTGATTTTCACCATAACAACAATCAAGTTAATTGCGTTGGCCTTTAATCATAATTATCCCTTCATCTTGTTTACATACTAACAATTATAATCATGATCCTTTGTTGTTTATTTTACTACTAATGATCAAATAAACAATTAACTTATTACATTTCTTATCAATTGAATGATCATCATTTTCACCATTAAGAAACAATTTAAAATTGAATCACATACATATTACTTATTCTTGGTTTACAATTAAAAAAAATAAGATCAAAATTAGTTTAATTGTTTAACTCTCTCATTCATTCATTCATTGATTGTTGTTGATCAGGTAAAACAATTTAAATTGATATTACTTCAATTACAATGATCATTTTTGATTATAATTTTAATTGTTTTACGAAAAGCGTGAAATTTTTTTCTCTTCAATTTTGATTTGTTGTTGATTGTTAATCTTAATTTTAGTTTATTTGTTGATGAAGTAATTTAAATCATTACATGTTAACTGGTTTACTAATTTTAAATTGTTAACCCTTAATCATTTGGATGTTGGTTCCTTAATTCACTTAGGTCAGCGTGAAATTGTGATTCTCACTACAGGTAATCAAGGTAAATAAAGATGAAGATGATTAACTTGATTATGATGATGATGGTAAATTGTTATAACCTTATTATGATTAAAATGATGTATATTAACCCTATCAGGCCATTGGGCTTAATTTTTGAACAACAATCAGTTTAATCATATTATTAATCATCGAGCTGAGGTAAATCAGGTAAATTAATTGTAGACTCACACACAAATACAAAGTTAATTGTAAATTATCATTATCATATTGGTGAATCATTAATTTGATTGATGAGGATGATACTTCAGATGATGGTGATGATGATGATGATGATGATTCTTGTTGATTGCAATTAAGAAAATTTGTTTAATTAAACACAAACCACAATCATGATAATCTATGGCTAATTTAATTAGCCCTTCTTATTTGTTCAAAGAGTTGATTAACTTGATTATCCTGTGGTAATTGATAATTTAATCACGATTACAATCAACTAAATCGCAATAAATAATTAGGTTTAATCTTAAATCATAATCTCATGTTATTAGTTACTAATTTTTCCTCATCATTTGTATGATAATTAACTAACTATAAATGGTTGATTATTTGGATTTAAAGTCACAATTTAAATTAAATACTGTCCCAATTAACTAATCATTTCCGTTATTATATTAAATTGTTGCTACTGTTGAGTAAACTAATTTTTTTGTTGTTGATAAATTTGATTGTAAGGATTAGTTTTTCTGGATGAAGCCAAACTTTAATTCAATTGGGGGCATTGACAACAATTTATTAATTGTCGATCGTTACAATCAAGTAGGAAGTAATCATCTGAAGGACAATAACGACATTAATCAACAACAATCAACGATTAACGGTTGATAATTAAGGATTTTGATTTAATGGTAGGCGATTATAATATTGATTAGATTAACCTTCAAATTATTATTGTAGTTAATTGTTAATTTTACTAACTGATTGATCACAATTTAATATAAAAGTTTTAAATATTTGAATAAGAATTTGAAAACAATTAAGTTTCAAGAGTCACAATTTAAATAAACAATCATTAACTAATCATCAACAATTTTACTTTTATTGACAAATATTGTTAATAACAATTAGTAAATTGCTGTTACCTTTTTTGAAAACAATTAATTATCAACATGATTTATAAATCATTGAAAAGTAAATACAATTTGATTATTGTTTTTAATGTGATAAACATGATTTTTAATTATTATCAAATATTAATCATAAATTGTTGGGTAAAAAGTTAACTAAATAGTTTACAATTTATAAATTGCTCCAGGCGATTATTAAAAAAAAATGTATTTATGATGATTAACTTGATGATGATTATGATTAAGAGGATGACATAAATGTGAAAAAAATATCATCAATTGATTAATTGAAAAGTTTCAAATTGTTTACAATCAACAAGAAATTGATTGTTACAATTAGCAGATTAATAAATTGTTGATGATTGAAAATCAAACATTTACAATTAATTAGTAAATATTTTACTTACATGATAATTAATAGTTAATCAACACTTTTTAATCATCTTTGATAACTTAACTACACCATCAACTGAATCAATTAATTGTTGATTTAACAGAAATTAAGAATTAACAAAATCTTAATCACAATTAACTAATAGTAATTAACTTTTTTTAGATTGAAAATTTTTCATATTTTGCCTTTTAATCAACAATCAACAAACTTTCATGATTTACAATCAATTGTTACAATCCAAACTCAAATATGAACAATTAAGTGATCAAAATGTTGATTGTTACAATTAAATGTTTCAAGTCAAGGTAAATTATTAAATCATATCAACACAATTAACTCTGATCAGTATTTAAAAATTAAGTATGATTATCATTTAATTGTGAAAATAAAGTTTTCAAGTACTTTAATAATAGGATTAGAAAAGTTAATTGTTAATCAGTTGAATTTAATTTTGTTTAATTTAAAAGTAGATCAACACAGTTACAAGGTAATCAAATTGTTTGGTTAATCAAGAAAACTCTGAAACAATTTAGCTCAACAATTAACTATTATGAGAAAAAAAAATTATACAAAGAATAGGGAAAAAATAAACTTTTCCAACAATACCAATGATTAACTGATCACGATTTAATTTAAATTGTTGCAACAATTTAAATCTAACCAACTAATCAATTGAATCAATTGAACAACAATTGAAAGGCTTTAATTAAATTTCAGTAATCAAATTAAATTCAGTGATTTCTTTTCATATATTAATTATTTTCGCTTCTTCAATTTAATTTTTAATTGTTACCACTTCTTTTTGTTAACATACACAATTAACTTCTCAATTGTTGTTAATCACAACCAATTAACTCAACACTCACGATGAGGCTTCTGGTTAATTTAATCAAGGTTATAATTAAGTAAAAGTTTAAAGTTTAGTTAAATTGTTATAAAACAAATGTTGATTATAAAAATGGTAAAGTTGATACAATTAACTAATTGCTGGTAAATTTGATTAAGAGATAAAATCGTCACCAAGAGTTGATTAACATTGATCAATTTTTATCTGGAATTTACAATTAAAATTGATTGTTGTTTGGGAAGATTTTTACTTTTTGTTCACAATCAACAATCAAAATTCAATACAATTAACTGATCTAAATTAAAACTAAAATCTTGATAACATTAACCAGCTGAAAATATTTGATTCAATAATATGAGACACTCAATATGGTTAATTAACAGTAACCAGATACAACAATCAACTAATCAACAGCATACACAACATACTTGATCACAAATATAAATATAAATTGTTAACTGGACACTTTTTTTAATTTAGTTAATTGATTAACATTCAATTGATTTCACCTACAACATTGTGCATCAGTTAACAAACTATTTTCACTTTAATTTTTTTCCTTAATTGTTGTGATCAGATTGATTCAGTTAACAAATCATTTTCACTATCATCATCATCATCATCAATAAGATTACAATAAATAGTTAACACTTTTTTTTTTACTTTCACAATCAACAAAAATCAACAATCAACAATCAACAAAACCAATTTCATTTCATTTTACTTGATCACCAAAACAAGGACACAACAAGTAAATCAACAATCAACTAAATCACTTTAATTTTGTATTAATCCAACAATCTGATCATATAACTAATACAAACACAATCAAGTTGATGATTAAAGTTAATTTGATTCCAGTGATAAAACTATTCCTCCTCAACAGTTAATTGGAGTTGAAGGATTTTCTTGATTAATAATTTCCTATTATCATCAAATTTCAAGAGTTGAATCATCATCTTCATCTTAATCATCACAATCAACTTAATTATCATCATCTCTTCATGAAAATATGATATTAAAACGTAATTTAGTTTTGATTTATTAACCATTCCAATGGTAACCAGGTAAATTGTTGGTAATCATTTGGATAATTCATCATTCATAATTGTCGCTGTGTGGTTTTTAAATTGTCAATCAACTGTGCTAACTATTAAAACTAATCAACCAACAATTTGATTGGTTATACAAAAAGTAAAGTCAACAATCATTATGATTGACCAATTGTGCTGCTTATTGACGTTAATGGTGATGACCATTACCGTCAATGGTCAATGGTTGTCCGAGAAAGATTATGTTGCTGGTCAAGTTAATTACACTCGATGTTCACCTCCTCCCCCTGATTACAGTATCTATGAATATACAATTAAGGATATTCATCAGGAAATCGACATTTCCTTAGCTGACCATCAACACAAGGCCATTCTATTGGTCAATGTGGCCACTTACTGAGGTTATACCCATCACTATATCGGAATGAATGCACTTCTCGAACGTTTTGGACATGATCAGTTAACTATAATCGGTTTCCCATGTAATCAATTTGGAATGGTAAGTAATTAACTATCGAACAATTAAAAAATTTCTTCATTACCAATTCGAAACATCAACAAAACTTACAACCACTTAGTTTCTAATTGAGTTTTTTTAGTCGAGTTATTGTTTTTCGTATTGATTATGATCGTTAATTGTTGTTGGTGTTTTCGGTGAAACTAAAAAAATTAACAAATTATTTCATGTGATTTTCTGATTGTGATTGAGAAAAAAAAATTGGATGATCTTTATTAATTATCAATAAACATCGATAATTTTTTATCATGTAATCGATTCTTGATTATTTGGTTAAATTGTTTTGATCGATTGATTTTTTTTTTCTCATCTCGATTGTTGAATGAAAACTATTGATTATAATTCAGTTGATTGTTGATCAATATTTATGACTTTTTATTTGCCAAATTTAATAAACAATTAAGTGCAAATTTTGATTGTGATCTTGTTTTTTTTTGTTTTGGTGTCACAATTAACTGAATTAACTTTTTGACAAAAATTGACTTTTACTTTTTCGAGAGGATCATCAATAACAATTATCAAGTTAATTAGTGTATATTATTATAAACATGCAAGATAATTAGCTAATTGTTAATTAGAAAGGTGTTATAAATGTGAAGCAATTAATGAGACCAATTTAAAGACAATCTTTAAGGTCCAATGATTTAATTAACCGGAATCACAATTAACTAAATAGTAATAATAATAATCAGATAGAAGAAAAAAAAATAAACAAGATCACAATCAATGAACAATTTAAAGGTCAAACAATTAACCGTTTAAATGATACAAAACAAAAGACCAAATAACAACAATTAATTGATTTCACAATTATAATTCAGTTAATTATAAATGAGCAAATTAAAGCATCCAAATCAACAATCAAGTCCAAAAGTAAGAAAAAAAAACTCAATTCCCCTCAATCATAAACAATTAACAAAACCAAAACTATTGGAAAATTAAAAGTAAATCAACTGATTGTAAACAATTACAAGAAAACTAAATGAAAGATCAACTAAATTGTTGTTAATTGTGTTTCCACAGCAAGAACCAGGATCAGGGGCAAAGGAAATTCTCAACGGAATCAAATATGTCCGACCAGGTAAAGGTTTCGTTCCTGATTTTAATTTAACCATGAAAATTGACGTTAACGGGGGCAGTGAACACCCGCTCTGGTCATTCTTGAAACGCTCGTGTCCATCGACTAAGATTAACTTTAATAGTCAATCGCAATTATTTTATTCACCTTTCAATGAACGAGACGTTAAATGGAATTGGGAAAAGTTTCTTATCGAACCTGAAACTGGACTAATCTACAAACGCTACGATGCCTCGATCGATCCTTATTATATTGCCGATGATATTGAATATCTTCTAACACGAAGATCAACAGCGGCTTCGTCTTCATCTCTCTCATCCTCATCATTACCGTTATCTTCATCATCTTCATTAGCACCATCGCCATCGAAAAGTTCACCACCATCATCATCATTATCATCAGCTGAAGTACGTGATTAATAAATTCAATTGTGATCACAATTGAACAGGATCAATAAAAACTATTCCAAATCAAAGCCAAATTACATTTGATTGTAATAATAACGATCAACAGCTAAAAAATCATGTTGATAATTATGTCAAATTGTTAACTGTTAACTTTTTTTTGTCGTCCTCTTAATTGGGTTCATCTTTTTTTTGATTGTTGGACATTTCATGATTATGATCAACTTGATCTTTAGTGACAATTAATTATCTCTTTATGATGAGTGAACCTGAAAAAACAATGTTAACATTGTTTGGGTTTGTCTTTGATGCTCGTTTTTAACAATTACAGTTTTTCTTAATCGTGATTAGTTAATCATTGGTTATTGATTAATCAGAGTAATTTTAATCATTCCTTCTAGTGCATTCATTCCGGTTGATTATTCTGAGACTTTAATTGTAAACGATTTAACTTAATTGTCACGAATAGAAAAAAGTTTCAGTCATAATTATCATCTTGATTGGGAGAAAACAAAATCAAATCAAATCAAACCGAATCAACAATCAACAATTAGAATCAAAAAGTAATAAAAAATCAAATTTTCACTAATTTTACTAATTAAATTGTTCTGACATTTTATTTTTATGGTAATCATTTGTTAATTGTTATCATGATTTTTTCCTATTCTCATGGTAATTTAATTTAAACCAGTTATTATATCCAGCCGATTATTATTGTAATCAAATTATGATAATTTTCAAACGTAAATCAATAGGTTTAAATTGTTGACTTTCGCGAATCTGATTAACTATTAAGATCATTTCAAATCAGTTTAATTGTAACTATTAATATTTACAATTAGATCAACTAATTATAATTACAAATCGATCTGAGTAAATAAAGGTTAATTAAAATTTTTTATTTCACCACCTAATCAGATTGAACCTAAATTAATTGAACAGATTTTAACAACAATTTATTAATTAATAAGCTCATTTAATGGTTTTCTATAGATTCAGTTGATTGTTAAATGTAATTAACTGATTTGATTAGTGTATCAACCTTTCAATTGCTTGTGTTGATGTCAACAACTTTTTATAATAATGAATTTATTAACAATTTGTTGATTATTTTGATAAGAAAAATTTATTCAAATCAAAAGAAAAACAAAATTATTGATTGTTGATCAATTACGCCCGAGGCTAAATTAGAGGTCACAATAAGATAAAAATAGTAATAATCATCAAGATTTTGACCACAATCAAATATTGAAACACTTTCCAATCTCTGTGTTGATATAAGTAAACGATAATCAAGTAAATCAACAAAAATTAGGACAAATAAAAAACAAAATCGAGAGACGAATCAAATGATTCGAGGAATTTGGACTATTTTCGAGAAAAAAAAGTTCAAAAGTTTTTCGAAAACTTATTGAGTCAACTATCGTTAATGGAATAATAATAGATCACATTTTCAGTGCATTTCGATATGAGAATAGCCTCAATTTGGCCTCTATCGACAATTGAGTTCGAAAAGTGTTTTTGTCGCCATGATCGATTCGTGATTAGGATTGATTGATTTTTCCGCTTCTTACAATTTAAGGTTAAACATTAATCATGATTGAATAAATTGTAATATTTATTACACAATTAATTTAAAAGTTATGAATCAATTTAAATTACAGTTTAAATATTTAATTGGTAAACAAACACACACACAAACAATTAAAACAATTAAAACAATTACCCCTTGGAGGTAAATTAAACTGATATCATATGATTAATATCAATTGGCTATAAATTAAACTTTGGATTGGGTCATCTTCATCTTTGACCCCCTCCTACCTTATTTTATCATCCTCATCCTTATCATCATCATCATCTTCATCATCATCATCATTGTTATCGTTATCTAAATTACCACAATTAAATGTTAATTGTTGATTGCAGGTCACTTTTCAAAGATCAGGGTTACCCGTTTTTTGAATCATTTGAACAATCAACTACAATCAAAAGTTTTTTTTATGACAATTGTTATTGATTAAATTAACTGATTGTTATAATTAAGTCCATGGGAATGAGTATCAATGCAATGATTGTAATTATTGTAATGATTAACTTAATTACCATTTATCTGGTCATATTATTACTTCAATCTAAATGATAAATCTTGAAAGGGTAATTTAAGTTTCTAAATTAATAGTTACCTTGATTTAAATTGTATTGAATGGTAATCATCATGATGAATCCTAATCATGATTATAATGATTAACATGTTTAAGATTTTTGTTAAATTGATCAATGAATGGATTAGGAAAATTAAAAGAGTTAAACTTAATCATGATTAAGATGTTTGTGTATGGATTAAATTAATTGTGGTTTAAAAAGTTAATTTGCTTGATTGTTACTGATCATCATCATCGTTGATTAGCCTGGTAAACCTTTTAATCAGTTTTGATTGTTAAGAATTAGTTATAATTTATATACACGTAATTCATTGTAATCAGTTAACTAAATTGAGAATTGATTAACAGGAGTAGTTAATTGTAATCAGAATGAAATTAATAGTTAATTGTTAATGAGATCGTATTGCAATTGAAACGTTAATTGTTAAGCTAATTAGCTTTGATAATAATATCATCAAAAACATGAAACCGTTTATTTTTTGTTTACAATTAACGTTGGCTATTAACAATCAACTAAATTGTTATTAACTTATATAATCTAAAATGCTCACAATTAACTGATTTCAGTTAATTTACAAAAAAAAACTTTCCAAATTGATTTGTTATTAATCACTGATCACTTTTAATTGTTATTCCATTTCTAATTTAAAACTGATAATAATGGATAATTACTTAATCATTATCAAGTAGCAATTGAAATACAAAAGGATTAACTTTAATTATATGATTATCGATATTAAATTAATTCAGTTTCATTAAATTAACTTATAATCATTTTAATTTACAAATAAACTTTTCATGTGAATTAATTATCAATCATTATCAAGTATAATGTACAATTCAATTAGCCTTTTCAATTTTATTATTGTCACAATTGTTTTAGTTAATGCTGTTAATTGTTTCAAAAATGATTAATGATTACAGATAATCATTAACCCTTTTCACCTGATCAATGTTGTAACAATTAACTATCAATTTTAAATTAAAATAGTGTTAACTGGTCATTCAGTCTGTAGCTTAATTGTTAAATCATGAAATGGTGATATTTTAATTGACAATTAAAAACAACTTTTAATCAAAACTATTTGCACAACAATTAAGACTTTCGAGCGCCATCTATGTGATCAAAACGTTATCATTAACATTTAAACTTAAATTGCAAAAAATTTGAAATTTATAACATAACAACAATTAGTTGATTGTGATGAATTTTGAGAGGATTTTCATTGTCCAAATGGTAGTTTAAATTGTCATTAGATAATTGTTGATTTAATTGTGGTAAAAAGGTGACAATTTCAAGTAAAACCCATTGAAAACCAATGGACTTTAAATAATCAACAGTTTATGGGAAACAATTAACAGGAATGACAATTAAGCATGAAGATGTGGTTACAATTAAGCCAACAATTGAGCCTCTGTTATTGACAATACACTTAACAATCAACCAATTGCTTGGAAAAGCATAAAAAAACATTTATCCGCAAAGTAAATCAAATTAATCAACTAGATAAATGTATTATTATCAAAACCATTAACCTAAATTGTAACAATCTAATATTAAACCCAATCCGTTGATTGAATCAACTGATAGAAAGTAAATAATAATAATAATTAAAAAAAAAGACTTAATTATTATCAAGAGTGAAAGGAAAACAGGTCAACAATTAACTGTAATCAAATTATCAAGATTACCAATTACAATGATTTATTGATTATCAATGAAAGTCAATGTGTGATTAATTTAAACTAAATCAATAGAAGCAGTTAATTACCACAATTAAATTAATCTATCTAAAGCTTTGGAGGTCCTTATAAACAAAATCGTATAAATAAATTTACAATTAAATGATATAAAAACTCATTAGTAATTTATATTTATATGAAATGAAATCGCAATCAGTTAATTGTATTTAACTTGATTCCTTTTTATTGAATCAAAAATAAAGCTTGATTAATATTAACTGACCAATATTGATATATAATTACAATTAGCTGATAATTTAGAGGGGGAAAATAAAGGTTGGTAAGTGTGGACTTGGGTATCAGTAGTTAGTTGATTATAATCAACCGATAATCAACAAATTTATGATTAAGATGATGATAGGAGTGGTAATGATATAAGAGTTGGTGGCAATGATGAGGATGCTAAAGATGAAGACGATGATGAAGAAGATGATGATAATGATTGACCAGGTAAACCAAATGGTGCCAAAATTTTCACTCGAAAATAGGTTTTCATCATCACTTTTTCATCAGAAATGACTTGAAGGCTTATCATTAAATTAGGAATATCAATCAAATGATTATTATAATTTTCTTGATTACAATTAAGATTCAATTTGATTTTCATGAGTGTATTGTGATTAACTGATTTTTCTCAATCCTGGTTAATCAAAGTCACAATTTACCAATGTCATTTTCAAAATTATTGGTTTGATTGAGAGTTTGTAATCTATTGAATCAATGTCATTGGTATTAATTGAATTTGTCTATGAATTTGTGACTTTGATTGACAGATTTGTCTCACAATTGATCACTATTCCGATTGAATTAGTTGGTTAATTAGTTTTAATCATGTAGATTTAATCAATTCTGTCATAATTAACTCAATTATAAGATCGGATAACAGGTAACAATCAGATTTACCTTTAATATTTAGTTTCAAGGGTAAAAAAAATGATAAAGAAACAAAAAAGTAACAATTAAGACACTAATCTAAATCTGAGTTAATTGTTGATAAAATTAACTGCTGGCAGTTAATCATAATTGCATCGTAACTAATTTAAAAGAGAGACAGAATATGATTAAAATTAATCAAAATTAAGTGAAAAAGAAACAAAAAATCACACCAACAATTTAGATAAACTTAATTGTTTGATATGTTTAATTAATGAGAAGCAAAGAAATCAAGTTGACTGGTTAATAATTTAACTCTCAATGAAACAATTAATCTTAACAATTAACCCTAAAGGTGATCAAACTGTTGCCCTAATATCAGAAACCATATAATCATTTTCTTAAATCACAGAAAAGTTTAATCAACCAATAGCCCTAATTGTTAATAATATTTAAATTGTTTCGATGCTAAAATTTGCATCGATCTCGTTAATTGTTAGGTGGACAATCAGGTGACCTTAACATTAATTGTTTCTGACCTTAATTATTGATACTAGGTTAATATTAATCAAGGTGTGTCCATATTAATAGGCTGAAAATTAAATATTTTTTTTCAACGACAAGATTGTCTTGATTGTTAACAATTTATTTTTATCCTTGTCTATAATTTAAATGATCAACAATCAAAATCGCGTTGGATCATGATAATGTTAATTGTGTTTGTTGATTATTTTTTGATGGTTACTTTTAATAATCAAATGACAATTAACTTTAACAAGCTTGCCCTTAATGTTTCTTGGTCTGATTATCATT